TTGTCGAGGCGCGCACCGGCCTCGCCGCGCGGCTGCGCATGACGAGCGACCGCGACAGCGCCACCGCCATTGTGCTGCGCGGACAAGGCCCGGTGCTCGCCAAGGCCGCCGACGAGCTCATCGCCGCCTGCCCAGACGTGGAGATTTTCAAGCTCGGCGCCCTCACCAGCTACGACTACGCGGCGCAGCGCCTCTGGCCCGTCATCGCCTCCGCCGACGACGACGGCGCCGCCGCCGCCGCCGCCACCGTCGTGCCCCCGGACCGGCTCGACAACATCTGGCTCCACCGCGAGCACCAGTACTGGATCGACTCCGCGTACGAGAAGCTGCCCCGGCCCGCGCACTGGACCGAGGCGTCCTTGGACCTGTACGTCAAGTCGCTCGTCTACGGGCGGCTGCGCCCCGGCGTCACGCTCCCCGTGTACCTGCACAACGTCCACACGGACGCGGTCCGCGTGCGGCTGCTCATGGCCGCCTTTGAAGACCCCGCCGCGCGCGGCGCCATCACGACGGCCATCCTCAAGACGGCGCTGCAGTTCATGGCCGCGCACGGCGGGCACCGCGCGCACGCTGAGCGGCTCCTCGCGCACGCCGAGCGCTGGGGCGTGCCGCTCGACACGGACGCCTTCAACATCCTCCTCGACGGCTACGCCCGCACCCACGACGCGCGCTTCTTCCACGCCGTCCTCGTCAAGATGCGCGAGCGCTGCTTCTACCCCAACACGCGCACCTGGCTGCACCTGCTGCGCCTCGTCCAGCGCGACGACGTCCGCCTCCAGGTCGAGGCCGCCATGTTTGACCGCGGCCTGTTCGAGGACCCGGGCGCCCGGCGCGGCGTCGCCCTCGTCACCGCCGGTGCCCGCGCCTACCAGGCGCTGCGCGCCGGCGAGTCGCTCCCCGCCTTTCTCGACAAGCAGGTGCTGCGCTTCGGTCCCGCCTGGCTCGCCGACGAGGCCGCCGCCGACGCCGTCCTGCGCGAGTTCTTCCTCTTCCACCCCTCGCCCGCCGCCAGCAAGCGCTTCCTCGACTACCGCGTGCTCGTTGAGCGCATGGCCGAGCACGGCCGCCCCATGGCCGGCAGCACGCTCAACCTCATCCTGGAGCACTGCGCGCAGCCGCACGTCGGCGACTGGGACACGGTACTCTGGGCGCTCGACCGCGTGCCCGCCGCGTCGCCCGACGCCGTACGTGACCGCGGCGCTGTCGGCGCCACCTACCGCCACCTCGTCGACTTGTGCCTCCGCACCCGCGCCGCCAGCGCCCTAGCCGCCGTCGTCTTCTACGCCGTCAAAGAGCGTGCGCTGTCCGTCCGTGCCGCGCGCACCGCCGTCGCCCAGGCCATTCTCGACAAGGACGGCCATGTCTTTGCGCGCGCCCCGCAACTGCTGTCGCGCGACATGGCCGCCGCGCTCCGCGCCTCGCCTGTCGAGGCCAAGGCGCACGCTGTGCGCGGCGTCGAGGCCGCCATCCGCGAGACCACGGCCGGCTACGCGCCGGCGGACCGGCTGGTCGACGTGCTGCGTGCCGCCCGCGCGCTCGATAGCGCGCGCGAGTCGGGTGCCGCCGCCGCAGGAAAGACGGCAGACGCAAGCGTCGACGAGCCGACCGTGACGATTGCGCTCGTGCGCGTCGAGGACGATGACGGTCTGCCGTTGCGGTCCGAGGTGCGCCTCGACCAGCCCTTTGACACGCGCCGCATGGTCGTGTACAACCAGCATGTGAAGCCGCCTTGGCTCGCGCGGCGGAAGCAGGGCGGCGGCGTGGCGCAGACCGAATCGAGAGACAAGAGCAGCCAATCAGGAATCTCATCGTCGTCGTCGCCATCCCCGTCGTCCACCCAGACAGCGGCACCAAAGGAAGGCAAGGAAGCAGCTGCCTCGGAGCAACATAGCAGCGGAAACCATCCACTTGTACAGTATCTAAACTCATTGCATTAAAGGTATCCGCATAGGAACCATGATTGATATAGAGAGATAAAAGCCCACGGCATCATTGTATTATAGTTGTATGAAGATGAGACGCAGAGGCAGGGGGAGACCTAGATACCCTTACATTTAGAGCAACATCCTTCTTTAAAAGGACACGTCATATAAATGCACATATGCTCGAGAATAATGCCCATTGCACGACCCGAATGAAAAGTATTCGCTTTCCTTTAGTCTCTTTTTGTGGTGAAAATACAAATCCCAGAAATCCCCCTCTCCTCCCTTCATTCCTCTCCTCTTCACCGCACTCTCACGACCCCGTCTTTACAAAAAACTAAAAAAAAAGATATCGTTGGTCCAAAACTTCGTTTATTTCCCCTCCACCCCCTTTGCCCATCTTCGTTCGCCGTCGTTGGGGGTGAGATCTTTGCAGGTCATCACCTCATCGTGTTCCCTCCCATTTTCTAAAGTCATGTCATCGTCTCAAGAGGAAAAAACCACCCGTCCTTTGGCACAGACTTGTTGCTTGTTTTCCACATCACGTCGCTTCCCGATTTCCTCGTCTTTTCGGCTGCATAACTTTTGAGGGTGGGCCATGGAAAAAATATATATGTCATGTCTAGAGAAAAACCGACACAGCTCCTTCCAACAAATCCCATAGTACTAGCAGGTGTGATTTTCGAAAAAGAACATTGGGAACACGGAAAAAAGAGGTACATGAGGATATCATCGCCAAAATGGAGATCTTTGAAGCGCAAGACAGGGTGGATTGAAGCAAAAAAGTTGATACGTGGGATTGGTGGTTGTGGGTGCGCTCAGTCGTGGGATTCAATATTTACACTGTCACCCAGTTCGGCCATCGCATCGTCACTCTGGCAGGTCAAGACGACCACCTAGTCCTTCTTAGCCTCTTCTAAGGCGGGCGTAGCTTGCTTTTCTTGGCTCCCGGATGCGTGGATGGGTTTGGATTCGGCGGACTCGTCCGAGGTCGATTTGGAGGCAGAGGTTTCTGCCTTGGTACCCTTGGCCTTTTCGTCCTTGTCGGTCGTCGTAGATTTCGAGACTTGGCTCTCGAGGTCGTTGTCTTCGTCGGCATTATCGAACATTTCGGTATCATCTGAACCCGTAAGAACCTCTGTGCCATCCCCGAGGAAAATAATTCGACCGCGAGACCCACCAACACCGAATCCTTTCCTGCCATCGGCATCCATCTCATATCCGCTGTCGCTATCCTCGTAGTTGTGGTGTACGCCGGGGCCACGGAATTCGGCTGATGGGGGGTTAACTCTGAGTGCTCAAGAGCGCGCAGGCGCGGGCTGTGACTCGGTATTCATACCGTATTCGGGAGGGGCGCAAGGGCCGTCGCCGTTGGCAACACGCTTGGCAATCTCGTCGTACCATTGCTCCTTGGTCTTGCCGTTAAGGAATGCAACGATAATCATGGTCATATTGTCACAGCCGACACCTCCAGTCTCAGAGTTGGAAGCCAGGCAGTTGTCCATCATGTTTTCACAAATCTTCTCAAGCTCCTGCTTGGCGGCGATACCACGGCGAACGAATTCGACGACAGCCTGAGAGGACTGGCAGTCCCAGATACCTACATATGGGTTAGTATGCGACCGACTTGGCCAAGGCAAAAACATGGTGTGAAGTATCAAAACCTACCGTCACAAGCAAGAACAAGAAACTCGTCCTCGTCGGTCAGATCATGCTGCTCGACATCAGGGAAGGCAGTGACGATCTGTGACTCGGGAGGTAGCTCAGCAACCTTCTTGAACTCGAAGTCGCCAATGGCGCGAGACAAAGCAAGGTTGCCATTGACACGGCCAAAGTCGACAAAACCACCGGCAGCAGTAATGCGGTTCTTCTCGGTCTCAAGCTGAGGCTTGTGGTCTTCGGACATGGGCTTAGCGCGACCCTTGATGCCCAAGACACCCCGAGAGTCGCCAGCGTTGGCCTGTTGGTGTGTTAGCGGCCTCGTGGTCTATTTCGGCGCCACATTCGTGAATTTCCATTGACGCACCACGTAGAGTCTATTGCCCACAAGCAAGCTGACACAAGCAGTGCAGCCAGAAACCTCATCCTCGAATCTGGGATCTGTATTTACGTGTCAGCGGGTTCGATGGACGTTTAGTAGTATTAGGAGCGGCAATATACCCCCAAGCATAGCTCTATCAGCAGCGAGGAATCCGTCCTTGAGACCTTGAGCGTAGTCGCCCTTTTTGAAGGATTCCTGTCTGGCAATGATGCTGTGCAAGTTTGCGCCGCAGTAGGTCGCTACTTTTTCGCCACCGTGGCCGTCGTATACACCGAAAAACGACAGTCGAGCGTTCTTGTGGACTTCGGATTCTTCGGCGGTAGGGGAAGGCATCAGGTCGAGGACGGTAGTGTCGGCATCTTCCATGCTGATGCGCCATCCTTGCATGGAGGAGACACCATAGTAGAGGCGGTCATCTTGGCCCTTGGATGAGTTCTGCCGGTGGAGAGAAAAAAGAAGAAATTAGCTTGGGAACAATTTGGATTTTCTAGAATAAGAGGTCATGGCTTCGCAAATTGCGGCCTGGCACGCGTATCAGGAGTGATTTGTGGTGGCGGGCGAGTGAGTGCGGGGCAGCTGGAGGAAGGGATTTCCGTGCTCAACAAGCGCGTGAATGCGCAGCTTGTCAGTCTCCAAGAGACCCAGAGAGCGCCGCGGCCGCAGAACTTCATGGCCAGCGCATAAAGAAGTCATCGCTGGGCCACTGCTGATGCTCCGCGACATCCAGACTCCAGCAAGGCAGAAAGCGCGTTGCTCGTGACTGATAGACTCCAGCAATGGCTCAACTGCGCATCCAGATGGGACCCGGATATGTGCCGCGGCGGGGGACGATGACGGCTCCAACCTGTGGAGAGAAGGAAGCAAAAAAAAAAATCAGAAAACACACCTTGTCAACCACCGGCTCCGAAAGGGTTTGACCCATGGTTACAGAAAGGGAGCGGCGCGAGGGCAGCTACCGCGAGATTCTGGAGTTGTGTGCAGTTTGCGGTTTGTTCGTGGGGAGGTGGGATGGATTGGGCGGACGAAACCGTGCGCGGGGCTGCAGAGCCGGGGAGGGGTTGCGTTGATGGGCTGCCAGAGGTTGCGGGCAGGACAAGGCCTTTATATCGAAAGGACGGAGGACGCGTTGCAGAAAGAAAGGGTTCTCCTCGGTCGTTCGAAGGGAGAATGTTCTTTCGCCGGCGTTGGGGGTTGTGAATCCTGCAAGTTTCAAGGCAGCGGGAGAGAGTGATCTGGCCGGCGTTGTCGAAGGGGGCGCTGCGCCAGGGAGGACAGACGACGCACACTGACTACGAGGTACATTGGGGGGGGCGGGATCAAGGAAGAAAATGGGGCAGGAAAGGCCCGACCTCGCAGCAGTGCCATGTACCTCTCTAGGTACCAGGTAGCTGGGAGCGGCAGCTTGGCTGTTCGTACTGGTAACACCAAGTTGGAGACACTGAAAAAGTCACACCATAGGTACCTTAGTACCTTAGGTAGATGTGATCCCACGCAACCTCCCAACGACAGTGTCCCAGCAGACGGGACCTGTTAATATTTCCAGGTACATATCTCTCTTCCTCACTACCTACCTAGTACCTTTTGCCGTGATTCTACCTCTGCCAGCAGCGACCGGTGAGCTAAATAGTTCGCACTCTACTTCAGAGACCCCGCAGAGCTTCTTCGCAAAACAGGCACGCTACTAGGACGCGCTACAGGCATTCTCCCCGCTTCCCTGTCGCTCTCGCCGGTACTCTGAGGTGGCGCAAAACTTCTGTTCATCTCTGATAACGATAACAGTAGTTCTCTGTGCTGCCTTGAACAGTAATACGGGCTTTCTGCGTGGTTCTTTGTCCTACCTGTACTCAAGAGTCCAGGCCACCAGCTGACTCCAACATGCAAGAAATTGCTTACTTACCTAGGTAGGTAGTTAATAAAACATTGCCACTGTAGATGTGTGCATCACAGACATTGGCCAGTCGACGACGGGCTTCACTCCCACTGACTGAATCGACACTGCGTGAAAATGACCACCTCAACTCCGAACACAACCAATGCAAGGTTCAAGTTACAAACACCTGCCGGCTGCCTACCTACCTGCCTGTCTGCCTACATCCAAGGTAGCTGCCTGCTTGCCTGCCTGTGTACATGCTGGTGCATCATGTGCCCAGATCAAGCTTTTTTTTTTCAGTCATCCAGCCACCTAACAGACATCCGTTACCACCCACACATCTTGAGTTACCAGTCTCTGCAGGCACCTAAACGCCGACGTCAGCGCGTTGCCGCCTAACACGTTTTTCAGCACCAAGAAAAAAAATAGAAAATAGAAAATAGGCACACGGCATCGGACACGTCCCCCAGTTCGCGTAACTACAATATCTCCCCCATCTCCTCCCATTTTTCGAAAATGTGGGGGACAATCCATTGGGGCAGGGTTCGGGCAGGCCAAGGCCCGGCCGACGCGGCCCCCCCCATCTGTTATGTATTATTATCCTGCACACCGGGGGCCCCTGCTTCTCGATACCTCAAACAAGCCGATGGACTTATATTTAGCATATCCCAAATCCAAGCGACCGGGTGAATTTCAAAACACACCCTTGCCGTTGCTCTCGAAACTAGCCCAGGAAGCTCTTCTCCTCCAAGATGGTGGTGCCGCCATGCACATGGCCCGCGCCACCTCAACCCATTCTCCCGACCTATTCAGGACAAGCCACTAGAAAAATTCCCAACCCCTCCATCCTCAAAGCAGGTCCAAGATTTTTTTTTCAGCCGAATCTTCTCCCAGGTCGCGTGTTCAAATCTACAGTTAGTTTTCTCTAATCACACCCCCTTCCATTTCTCCACGTTGTTCGCTACGCCTTGGCTCACGCCCGTGCCTCCACGCCTCCACGAGCACCAACACGGAAAAGGAGCGTCCTACTAGATGAGAAATGCGGCCTAGAAGTACAACAAGCACCAACACAGAAAAAGAGCGTACCAGATAAGAAGTCCGGCTTACAAGTACAACAATGCATTTCGGGTTGTACAAAATAGATTCATACTACTAAGAGAATCCCATCTCCAGTTCGCTCTAATAGTAGTGACTTTGTCATGCACAAAACATGAATCATCGTTCTTCACCCATGATTCCCAAACAGTCGTATCACTCACAATCCCAGCATGCCCGTTCTCAATAGCATACTTGACTTTACCCCGAAACCCGAGCTAGTCAAAAAGGCTTCTGAAAATATGTTATTGTACTCACAATATCTCGTCCATCATACCAGGATGATCATGTTTGTTCAGTTGAGGCGCATCATCGTTGTAACGCGGCACATAACAATCCGGGTACTCGCTTCCCCTATAACGTTTATGATAGGGAACATATGGGCGCAATCGCCAGGCAGCACGGTTTCTCTTCTCCATGCGAGTCGCTCGACGTCTCGCCCGCGGCCCTCGCGGCGCGCCCGCCAGCGCTGGATCATGTCGGCCCATGTCGTCTAAACGAGGTCCCTTGATGAGCGACACGAGCTGGTTGATGAAAGGAAACCGCCTTCCCTTGTCCAGCTCCTTAATCCACTCCGTATATTCCATGGCCTGGCTCGCCTTGAGCCCTTCCATCACCGATGACGTGAAGAGGTGCTCTAGAAGCTCCTCGACGCTGCCGTTTCCGTTTCCGTACCGTGCGAGAAGCCGGAGATGGCATTGTTGCGCATCTCGAACAAATTGGTCGAGGCCATTTGATCCGGGGGCCAAATTGATACGGGTAAGATCGACAATGTCGCGGTGCGTCTCATAAGTCTGTTGAGGGTGCCGCTCCGGCTCTGCCAGGAGATCGCCCAGCAGCGCAAGCGTGTTTTGGAGCGTCGCCCCGGGTATATCCCATCCACAGTTCCACAGCTTCTGTAGAACATGCTCCGACGTAGTACTCATTAGAAGCTGCACTGCCCGCCGTTGGTCAGCGGCATACTGGTACTTCTCCGTGCTGTTTAGCGGCCTGAGGTTGGCAGAAAGCAGGTACCGCAAGCCCATGATATCCAGCTGCACAAGAACGGCCTTGTGCCACCTTGTCCACGAGCCATGCCCGCGGAGTTCTCTGATTCTTGGGGTCGAGTCTTGGAAGTATCGTGCCATGTGGTTGACTAGTTGCGCTTGTCGTGTTGTAAGGTCCGTTTCGCGTCTTTCCTTCTCATCTGTTAGAAACGGTTCTTTTTGAAGAAAAGGTTACAAAAAAAGGTCATCATTAAAGCAAGGAAGAGGTCAGAGTACAGGTACTTGCCTGAGTACTCCAGGTCTGCCAGCTGGCAACTGCCTGCCAGCTGCCAGGCCCCCGGTTGCCATGTGCAAACGCATCAAACGGGGTGGGCATCACATCACTACAGAAACGCTTCTCGATGTTCTGCGTCAGGTTTAAGAAAGTTTCAAGCATGCCAAATGCTAATGTGTGTCTGTCTGTCTACCATTTTAGGCAGGTTATCATTAAATGAGCTAGAGCAGCGATAAATCCCAACGTTGCAGATGCAAGTGCCTCTTTATATTCCCGTGTCACGCATTCGCACTTTTCCCGTATCCCCGAATAAGATTTTCCACTCTTTTCTATGCTCTCCCAATTATCATGTCGAAATGAACAGCCCAGAAATCCCAAATGCTTTCAGCCCGGTCTTGGTGACGTTCCACACCCAATGCCAGCCGCCTAAATGCGACGGAAAGGCGGTGACATCGACCTCTTTCTCTTGAAGTCGCGACGCTGTCCCTCCTTTACCGACGCAATCTCGTCCCGGAACCGTTCCTGCCAGTGCCGCGGCGCCCTGTGCGGATTGAGGTACCAGCAGCCGTCGTCATCATGCGGCCACGTCTGTGGGTGGCGGTCCGCGCAGTAGCCGCAGCGCTGCGGTCCCTTGTGGGTGAACTTGGTCTTCTTGGTCGCCGCTTTGGCAGGCGATTTGTCGCCGCGATTCATGAGTTCCCTTCTAGGTTGCGCGGCCACGGCGGCGGCCGCCGCCGCTGCATCCCGCTCCTCCTGGTCGGCCGTATCCTTGGCCAGCAGCCACTCGGTGACGCCCGCGCGCGTGCCCGCAGACCCCAGCGTACCTTCGGTCATCTTCTCCTTCCACTCGGCGTACCATTTCGGCTTGGCCGTGCGGAGGCCCTCAACAAGCGAGGATACAAACAGCTGCTCCAGAAGCTCCGCGACGGCAGAGCCCGCGCCATCGTTACCTCCGCCGTAGTGTGTGAGTAGGCCCTCGTGGCAGTGCTTCGCCGCCAGAATGTACTCGCGGACCGTCTGCGCGCCGCTGTCGAGGTCCATTCGGGCCAGGCCGACCAGGCGCCGGTGGCTGGCGGACACCCGCTCGTCCTCCTCGCGGCACCGCCGCTGCTCGTCGCCAACGATTATCTCGAGTGTGTTGAGCGTACTCTGCACGGTGGCGTCCTCGGGCTTCCAGCCGCGGTGGTACGCGCTCGCCAGCATGGCCTCGGACATGGCGTCTACCAGCATGCTGATAGCGGCTGCCCGGTCTGTATCGTATTGATTGGCGGCGTCAAAGTCGTCTAGATCTTCGGGGCCGTCGTCGGAAAGGAGGTATCGGAGGCCTTTCGTCTGCAGGGCCATGCGAGCCTTCATATGCCAGGTGTGCCAGTTGTCGATGCCAGTGAGCTTGCCAAGGCCTCGGTCGGGGCATTGCTCTTGGGGTGGTGTGGGAGGAAGCATTGCGTATGTGTATGTGTGAATGTGTGTGCGTAGAAAATGTCTGATAAAAAAGTGAGAAGTTGAACTTCAAACACTCATCTCCCGCTCACCTAGCCCTGGAAGCAGGGGTTCGACAAGGATGCGACGGGGACAGACAAACGGCTTTACGGATACATATCCGCACCAGTTTAAATTCAGCGGCTTAAACAGCTACCTGGGGAAGTACCTGTTAGCTTGCAGAGACGGACCGTTTGAAATTTTGTTTGTTTTTAGCAGTGCCGTTCTGCGAGCAGAAGTGCACAAGTTAATGTGGCCAGCCTTGTATTCTTACCAGGGTCGCATAAGAGGGGTTCTTCTTTTCAGGAATGAATGAATGAATTGATGAATTAATGAATTGATGAGTTGATGAGGAATTGATACGAAATCGTATATATGGTAAACGAAAGAGTCAGTGGGTCAGGCTGAGTGGCAAGTAGTTTCTAGGTATTTGCTTCGTGAGCGTCTGTTGATTTTATAACAGCCGCTTCTTCTATAATCTGGGTAATATAAAGAGTACAATCCAAAAAAAAAAATTGCCCGCCAAAATATGCGAAAGCAATGAATGTGTTCCAAAATACGCCAGTATTCACACAACTCCAATCAACCTCAACCACCTTGTCGACCTTTCTAGTCCTGTATACTAAACAATTATAGATATAATGGTATCAATCGCATCAAACAAGAAGAAAAGTGATGGGAAACCATCAACACTCAGTAAGCCTTTGCGCTTTTCGCGTCACCTTCCAATCGAGGACAACTTATATGAACACTTTAAAGCTGCTGCCCTCAGACAGCTTGCCTGAGTTGTCTTTTCGCCATGCACTCGCGGCGCTCGCAGCTGTGGACAAGACACTTGCGCTCTCGTGTATCGTCGTCGTCTTCTCTGCGCCCACCTCGCCCCATTTACTCGCGGGCGCGGGCGTAGGATTCGAGCGCTCGCCCGACATTGCGCCTTCGCGATTGTCCGGGAACGGGCTGAGCGGGGTGTCGTCGACAATGGACTTGAGAGTCATGGCGGTGGGATCTCGCTTGTTAATGACGCGCCAGTTCTCCGCGGACCCAAACGAGGGACCCGACATGAAGCTTTTACTGCCGTTGGAAGTCAGGTCAGCCCAGGGGAGGCCGTCGCCAGAAGGGCCGCTCGTGAGGTAGGCCGGTTCTGGTGGGCGTATATCTGAGTTGCTGGTATCAGAAACGGTGATGCTTTCCCAGTTGGGGTCTGACCCCTCGCTTTCTGCGATTGTTGACGCTAGATGTCTGTGATTCCGGCTTCGCTCGTTCAGAGGGAGAGCAACGGAGCTGGTGGTTTTGGTCGAGTACGTGTCGGCGCTTTTGTGCCCGTATATAGGCGTGTAAGCGAGGGCCGAAGCCTTCTTGACCGAATGGCCCTTCATTCCGGTGATGGCATCCATGTCCTTCTTGTATCCCCCTGGACCAACGTCATGGATATAGCTCCCTGTTGCAAACACTTGATGCGTAGATTCGGAGATGCTTGGGTCGGGCGATGGAGCACCGCCATTGCGCATCGACTTGGCGCCGCTCATATATGGAACATCTCCTTCCACTGTTTCCCAGGAACGCCTTCCATCGTTGCTTTCAGCAGGACTGATACTTCGTATCGCGGCTGGCTGGGACCTAGCGGTATGTGGTCGTTCTGATATCGCCCTGTAGTCTTCTTCAATTCCGCCCAGCGTTTCTGACGACCGTCTCGACGTTGAGTGTAGATGCACCGCTTCCATGTATGCGGCCGCGGTAGGCTTCAGCATGTGCTTCTCATTGTTTGGTACAGCAGTCATTTTCTCGACGCGGCGCATGGAAGAGCTGGAGCCATGGCGTAGGCTGCTTATGGGGTTGAGGACGTTTGATCGAGTCTTGCTCGACAAGTAACTTCGGCTAGCCCGACGGCGTCGCAGGAAGCAAACAAAGAGCATGAGCATTAGAGCAATGAACAAAATCGGGATTATGGTGGCAAGTAAGATATCGCCGGTGCTGAGTCGACCGCCCATTGTTGGTAAAGCCGATTCACCAGGATTATTTGAAGACGTCGAGCTCGGGCTGCTTGTTGTTACCGAGGTGCTTGTCGGAGTACCGTCAGGTGCCAAGACGTTGACGTGAAGTTTTTCGCTTTCAGAGAGGCTGGAGGACTTGGAGCTGGCATCCACGGTAACGTCAAAGTTGCCTTTTGTGTCTTTCGGGACGTCGCCGGAAAGCTTGAAGCCATCGACCTTGAGCCAATTTTCGGTCGGACTGACACTGACGTTCAAGTTGATGTCGGATGGATTCCTAAAGTACTGGCTGAGGTCGACATTAAATTTGCCGCCGGGTCGAGCCTCCATGTCCTCAAAAGTAGACTTGAAGAGACCAGTGGCGACGTTGACGACAACGAGAATGTCCAAGGTGGCAGAAAGCATGCTGCTGTATGTGATGGTAAAGTTGCTGGCATGGTCGCCATCGCGAGGAGTGCCACTCAATTTTCCAGTATCCTTGTCATAGTTGAGCCACTGAGGCATGCCCTCCGTCGTAACATCGAGCTCGTTCGACTTCACCAGCTTACCGTCCAGAGCAATGGCATTCTCCAGGCCGTCATAGTCAACGGCAGTACCTCTCGTGGCATTGATCGTAACTACAGGGTTCTCTGTAGTGAGCTTGTGACTTCCAACCACAATGTTAAAGGTGAGTGAGGTGGCAGCGAAACCAACAATGTCGGATGCCACCAGGCTGAGGCCAAAGGTCTGGGGCGGCTGCACAAGAGACTCGAACGGCGGCGTTGAGCCCGAAAATGTGAGTGAACCAGCGTCAAACTTTACCCAGGCAGGAAGAGGACTATTGTTGGATGAGACGGCATAGTAGTTGAGACCGCTATTCTTGCCAAATGTGTCTGGGTTGAAGCTGTACCGGAACTGGGTGGCTGGGTACGAGAGAACGGACGAGGGTGCCGAGATGTTGCCAAATTTCTTTATTTGGTCTTGGAGAGGAATCTGGACAGAAGGTGCAGGTTTTCTCGAAATAACCAGAGTCGAGTCCATGGTGGTTGAGCCAGTGTCGTCAGTGGCCACAATATCGACCTTTTGGCCAACAACTTCGCCGTCGGCCAAGTCACCATCTCTGGGAGTTCCGTAAAGCCTGCGATTCGCACTCTCGATTGAAAGCCATGAAGGATGATTTTGGCCGAATGAGTATGTAATGTTGGAGGATGATACGAAAGTTTGTGGCGAGAATGAGTAAGTGAAGAATGTGTCGAGTCGAGCTGCAAGCGGCAGCTGCGCGTTGAGCGGAAACGCGAGGTTCGGTTTACCGCAGGCGAGACTGACCAGTTGCAGAGCCACGAGAATTATCGTGAGCGCCGCCATGATGACTCTGCAGCGCCGGGTGGACGAGGTCTTGATTGATGGCGATACACCCGAGGATGCTGATGATGGTGACAATGTGTTGAAGAGACAAGACACTGTGAGGGCAATGGTGATGAGCAGAACAAGGCAAAGAGAAAAAGGGACAAGAAGTCTTGCAAAAGTGCAGACGGCGAGGGGGTGTATCAATGTCTTTGAAGCCGTTTTGCAGCTGATGGCTGGCTACATTTTGCCGATACCGCCCCCTTCATTCCTACACAATCGCCCCACGACGCATTGTGTGAAAGAGACGAAGGCCCCCAACGGCAGCCGGGAGTCCATTACGACGAGAGGCGGACTGTCTCGCGTCGATTCTTGGAAGCGCGTAAAGCACCTTTTTAGGCGGGGAGAGGGAGGGGCTCGCGTGAGGAACGAGGGCTGGGCATTGGTGAGTGGTTGCATTCCTGCGCGCGGTGGTGAGACGTTGGCCTCTGTTGGAGGGCGAGACGTGGGGCCGCACTATTGAACGGGGCGGGATCGATAGCTAGAGCCTTGAGAAATGCAAATGATCGATGGTTGGAAACCTTCCGGATTTAACGTTTCTTTGATTGAATAGAGTGAGAGACCACTGCTTTGTCGTTGGATGCGGCCAAGCAAGGGCACCGTTAGAGTTGGACGTTGGGCATGGCTGCGAAGCTAGTGACGGAGCATCGCGTCCCGTCTGTCCGGGACGCTGTAGCTGTGATGCGGCTCGCCATGGTATAATAGATGGCAAAGACAAGCGACGCCGATATTTCTAGTTAGAGACGGGAGAAGAAGCAGACAAAGTGACAATACCCACGACGTCACAAAACGAACAGATGGTGTGCCACTTTATTCGAGGCTCGCACATTCCAGGCGCACAAAAGGGCGATACCTGGAATTTGGCCGACGATTGGTGGTTGGAAGATGTATCACCTGTCAGCCGTGCTACAGGCCAGCACTGCAGGCCGCGCTAGCGCACGACCATCTCGACAAGATCTACGGATACAACTTGGGCTTTACACACCTCCATCAACGACTTGCTTCCATCCGTATCATATCGCCTTCATCTCTACAGCATTTCTCTCTCGGAACTCTATTCGATTTAATACATACACACACTCAGCAGAACCTCGAACAACGATAGTGATGGAAACAGACGACCAAATCGCCTCGCCAAACAGAGCAGCCATCGAGGCGGCCCGAAATGTCTATCACACTGTTCAGAGGACATTCCCCGAGGCTGTGGCAGATTTTGAGTCAAAGTGGGCAGCATTTCAAGTTGTTTGCCGTTCGCTGCCAACATCGGCGAGGTACTGCTCTCTTCTTCTTTCCATCGTACGCGCTAACTCTGGTTGTTTGGCAGCCCTGGTGACTCTATGCGAACGGACGAGTTCGAGACTCTCAAAAAGCAGGGTCCAAAAATACTTGCCTTCTTAGTTTTCAAGCTCACTACAGACATTGAGCTAAACTCATACGGAGTATTTCTATGCAAGTCTCCTACTCTTATTCTCGGTGCGACCACGTCGCTCACACAGCTCAGTCAACGCTCTAGTAAACGACCCCGAGTACTGCGGGATCCCAGATAATGACCTCATTTCAAAAGAGGTCCTCCAGCGATATGCGAATCAGATTGTTGAGCTCAGCTTCCAACGTAACAAGGTCTATCAGGAGCTTGTTAAGGCATGGAAAGAGCATTGTGCAGAGTTCAAATTTCTCCTCAGCAGGGGCGTGTGTTGCGCTGGCGACGAATATTGGGACCTACTTGAAGTTGGACCAGCCTTCATCCCTCATTTAATGGTGGAATACTCTCATGATCGAGGCGGATACTGGTACGAGCTTATCCACGAAATTATTCATGGCCGCACAACGGAGGCGTACGCAATTTTTATGAGAGATAAATGGTTTGATGTTTGGCGCGAGTTCTTGAACGGGAGCGAATATGAGCAGGCACCAAAGTATATTCCTAATGAATGGGATCTTTACTTTACCGGTGCTGGTAAGAAGCCGGGTCCTCAGTCATCAGGTACGTGAGTATTTCAGGCAATAACGACGCCAACGTTGAGTATTTGCACAATACAATTCTACACAATTTACCTATCAAATTAAGTACTTGTTATTCCAAGTAGAGCCGCAGGCATGCTCTACTGTGTGGGACATGTGGCACTCTGGCCATCCAGCTTGGCCAGCTTTCCGGTCTGGGGGCTACGAGATAGAGACGCCAATTTGAAACAACGAAGGCATCTTTGGAGTTCTATCGTAGCTTACTACAAGCCTAGGGTCAGGGCTGGTGGAAATGATTGGTTTGGAAGCTGTCGTGCCGAAGCGCCGAGACGACCTGCTCGGGAGGCCGTATCCGTTACTCGACAGAGCTGCCAAGCTAGCGGACTTCTGGTGTTGACAACATCCTAGGTCATGTGCAAAGTGTGCCCTTCTCCAAAACAAGAATAGTACAAAGAATACTCATGCTGTTCTTATAATTTGAGCGCTGAGAACCACTCGCCTGCAGCCTCTTGGGGCTGGCAGCGTTACGCCACTCATAGGTATCGGCACACCAATCAGTATCAACACAATCGTTACGCCACTCATAGGTATCGGCACACCAATCAGTATCAACTCAATCAACTCTCCAGTTGCATCTACACTTGATGTCCAATCAAAAACTGCCCCCCCACCCTGCCCCGTCACCTGAAACCTCTTTTTGGAAGGTATACGCACCATTAAGATTCAAGGTGTTCGAACTTTTCCCAAGTCAGCGGCCGAGGGAGGCCTTGGCCAGGAGATGCTTCAGCTTCGCGGCCGTTGCCAGCGCTAAAGTAAACACTCAAAGCGACGCCTCGCCGTTTGAGTAGCAGTACAGTAGGTATAGTTGTCGACCGACCCATTCCAATTTAGCCATGTCGGAGAACGATGACAACGAGCCCACCAGCGGCCAGGAGTGGCAGCCTCCCCTCAGAAGGCAACTATGTTGAAAGACGTCGAGCACTCGTGGCATCTCTAGTTATAACGCTCCTGTTAATAATAGACAGCCTAGAAGCCAGAAGAATAATCCTCATTACCTAGTATATCTAGTATATATCTATACTATATAACTAGATAGAATATATATAATATAATAACTTTACCTTTTATTCTATATATACCCTATTAGTCTTAATAGGTTATAAGCCTAATAATATTTATATTTATTTATTAAATTACCCTAATTAGACTTTATAGTCCTTCTAGTATCTTAATAAACTTATAAGTATTAGAAAAACCATAGTAGCGGACTTATACCTATACCTTACTATACTAGGTACTATCCTAGCCTAGGTGAAAACTAGCCTCTCCTATATACTAATTTACTATTATATAACGATTTTTAGTAGGTTTAATAGTATTTAGTATTCTTAGTTAGTAGGTTCCTAGGCTACTACCTTAATCTATATTCCTTTATATCTTTTATTAATTATTAACTATCTAGATATATTAGTTTTACTTACCTCTATATATATATCTAAATAGTAAAATAGTTCTTTATTATTAATACCTTTTATAAGATTATATACTATAGTATTTATATAGTTTTTAGCCTTATTCTATATATTAAGGGCTAGGTAGTATAGTAGTTAGTATGTATTACTTCTAGCTTTTTACCCTAGCCGACTCTATAGTTACCCTGCCTATATTCCCTTACGAGTTAGTTATAGGGCGGATACGCTGCTCGACTTTTAGAAAAATCGTTTAGGGTGCCTCCGGCTAGATTCGAACCAGCAATCCATATACTAACCCATATAGTATTAATTCTTTTTAAAATAAAATAAAATTTTAATTATTATTATTACTATTATAATAAGTTATTTTATTTTTAATATATTCTTAACTTTATTCTATATTTAATCTTATTAATTTATTTATTTATTTATTTATTAAATTACTCTAATTAGACCTTATAGTCCTTCTAGTACCTTAATAAACTTATAAGTACTAGAAAAACTATAGTAGTAGACTTATACTAGCACCTTACTATGCTAGGTACGGTTCCTAGGCTGCCTAGGTGAAAACCAGCCTTTCCTATGTGCCTCTTTACTATTACGTCTTTAATAACTAGTAGGGTTTAATAGTATTTAGTATTTCTTAGTAAGTAGGTTCCTAGGCTACTACGTCGATCTACGTCTTCCACATCTTCTATTAATAATCGATACTATCTAGGTATATCTATTTGCTTGCTATCTATATATGCATCTAAGTAGCTAACTAGTCCCCTGCTGTTAGCGCCTTCTATAAGGTTGTGTGCCACGGTATTTGTACGGTTTTTAGCCTTGCCGTACTATAAGGGCTGAGTTTGGTATAGTGGTCAGCGTGTGCCTCCTCAGCTTTTTGCCCCTGACCCACTCCGTGGTTACCCCGTCCGTGGTCCCTCACGAGTCAGTTACGGGGAATTTATTTAATTATTAATATAATAACTATAAAATAGGCTAGAATTAAATTAGAAATTAATATTATTATTATTATTAATATTTTATATAAGGAATTAGGAGTAGAAGTAATAAATAATAGGATTTAGTTCCCTAGAAAGATAAAGAATCTATAAAAAGCTTTTCTAGAGTTTTAATCTCTGATAAAATCTTAGGAATTATAAGCAGTAATTAGTTAAAGATTAATCAATTACTATATTTTAAGACTAGTATAGATATTAACTAGCTATATCTACTAGGCTAGGTAATAAGTATTATAACTAATAGGGTATATATATAATAAGAGGTAAAGTTATTATATTATATAAGTTCTATCTAGTTATATAGTATAGATATATACTAGGTATACTAGGTAATAGGAGATTATTCTTCTGGCTTCTAAGCTGTTTATTATTAATAAGATACTTACTATGCTTAGTATACTGCCTTATCTAGAACACTCTATATGCAGCCACAAATTTCATAGTCGTGTTACTTCCGCCGCATCCCCTGTCTTCCTAATTATCATATATACTTAGAAAGAGTAGAGCTTAGTTATAATTCAACTTTTCTAGCTAAGTCCATCAAATCTATCACCAGCCTTTAGAATGGTAGCTGTTAAAGGCGTTTAGGTAGATATCCAAATTCCGACTCCTTGCATTGGCATCTTCACTCTTCTTCTGGTAGGGCTTCTCGGATTTTCTCTCCCAGAGGAGCTGGAGACGAAGAAACTCGGGGAGCTCGGTGGCAATCATGTTACGGCGGGTGGTACGCGGCGACAGGGCTGTTTGAGCGTGGACGTAGTTGGTAGGGGCGATAGTAGGCTGGGCGCTGGGCCGGGGTATGTCGATGATTGGCTCCAGACCGAGAGGTCGCATACACTCATGGGAATCGTGAGAGGAGGCGCTGAAGGTTGTTGGCGCGCTGGGCCTAGTGTGTGATGACGTGATGGCAGAGGTAGAGTGGGATTCTTGTCGCTGAGTCTGCGCAAGCATCAAAGTAATGAGCGAGCAGCGGGATACCAGGTTAGACTCAGTACGCTGGAATAACTTGGCATCAACACTCGATTTGCCGCTGTCTTGTAAATCTTCCCAACCGGAAGAGTCGCTCTCATCGATAGCGCTCTCATCGATATTTTTATCGTTTATATCCAAATCGAGAGATCTCTCTAAGCCCTGCTTGCTAGAAGAACATAGACCGCCAGGAGTAGACTTAGCCAATCCGTTCTTCTGGGTGAGGGCGGGAGTAGGCTCAATAGATGAGTCGCGAGCGGCAACTGCGTTGCTTGTCGGCTTGGAATCGGCAGCCATAGCGAAGGGAGACGAGCGGAATCAAGTTATTACTAGAGTCTAAGGCAAGTCTTAGCAAGAAGTACTTATATTAAACAGGTGGCCTGAGTACTCAGTAATCAGTAAATGTACTGATTCCGACTATTTCTTATAAATGTCTTACGACCTTCCTCCAGAATTGCGAACTTAGCAAGCAGGTCAGGTAACATAGTGTCATCAAGACCGATAGGCAGCTCAAAACTATTCCTGTAACATAATTTGCCGCATGCCAAAGCCATAATTTGAAGTCTCTCCTGATCGGAGTGTCCGATCTCTGAAACGATACCAATTTCCTTGAGGTATTTCAAGCTTAGTGCTGCAGCCTCGGCTTGCTCGCTGTGACTGTAATGGCGCTGTAGTGGAAAGAAACAATCCGGCAGCCCGACCACCTTATCCTCGCGTAACTGGGCTTGAAATTTATCACTAAGGGTATCAATCGAATCATTCATAGTCCAGTCGGTAGAGTTGAGTAGTGGCGATAAGGCCCGGCAAAGACTATAGTCGCTTGACGATAATTGAACCCGTAAGTCCTTATTCCTTCGCACACTAATGAGCATTGCCTGGGTAAGGGCAGTATATTTTTTGTAGGCATAACTCTGAGTTCTAGTCTGGTATTAGCCTTCGTTATAGAAAGGGTTGTAATGGCTTACAGGCTATAACTCTGGGTATTCTGTGAAGTCATGGTAACAGGGTATGATTACAGTTCCGGGGTAACATGATTTGACAAAGAAGCCGTACCAGCTTGCCCATTTTAATGTAAACCCGTCTCAGGAGCCAGTCAGTGCAAATCCCAGACCAACTAACTAGGGGTGTTGTTGCCAACCTATCTGAGTAAGGGCGACACGTACTGCTCATTAGACATTGACCTACTTAGTAACGCTGATGGGCTGCATTCGAACAGCGGCGTGATTACCCGGCTGCCGCGTACTCGTGTAGAGGATGACTTCGTCTATATCGTCTATATCCGATATTTGGACGATCACTTCCTCTTCTGTCATTCGATAACGGATATGACAGAAGAGGAAGTGATCGTCCAAACATCTTCCTATCCTTGTTCTAATCACGTGCTGAACCAGCACAATTGCCTGTTCATGGTGTAACTCGCTCCCCTCCCCACCATAGCGTACCATCAACAACCTCTTCTTGGATACTACACAGCACAGTATGACCCAAAATCTAATTCTATCCCACGCGACTGGCATAGAGAGCTTGCCGAATTTCTTCACAGTCTATTGGCCGCAATTCGCGGATAATACAAAACAGAGTTTGTATAATGAGCTTTATCCCTACCTTACCCGCTGCGCTGAACTCCTCAGTACACTCGAGCCTCAACTTTTCTCCACAACAGACCCAAATTGGTTCTCACAGACACCCTCTCCCTCGCCTCCAGCGCATCCAAGTCCAACAACATGGCCGACAGAATCTCAACTGCAAACAGTGTCTCGAGAATTGGCTCGCACGCCTACCCTAACACGGCTGGCATCATCACGGGCACAAGCGACCTCCCGTCGGTTGTCTCGCGCGCCTGCATCACAGAAAGCTTCCCGGGCGCGATCGATCTCCCACTGGTTGACACCAGCACAACAACCGTCGACCGCACTGATATCTGAGGAGTTGCCGCCGAAACACCTTCCTTATTCGCCCGCCGAAATCGAAAAGAATTTATCTGATTTCTTTCAATCCGCTAGAGAGGGGGACAGCAAAGAACCCTACCTAGCATTCCGTCGCCTCCAAACAACAGTATGGCTCCATGTTATAGAGCTGCGATTTCGTTTCCTCGCCATTTTTAAGCTATATCAGACTTTGGTGGATCATGGGGATAAGAATTTGGCGCGTTGCACAGGTCCGACAGCGAAACAAGCGATCATTCAGGAAACAATTTGTCTTCATCCAGATTTGGAGAGGGCCAGTATCGAAAAAAACATCAACCAATATATCGAGCGCGGAAAGAATTACCAAAAATTAGTGAATGACCTCTCTCTTAGCGCGGTCATTAGTCTTGGTGTTGATACTCTATCTCTGTAAGTTTTAACTAATTGGTTGATATTTTCCTACCTAATACTAATTATATAGATATGAGTATCGTCAGACAAATGATGTCTATAACTCGCTTATTCACACGTTAAAATTCGAAGGGGCGAAAACGACGACCGAGCTCGACTTAATGCCTAACGACAATATAGAGAAGAAGCTTGAAACGTTGCTACAAGGACATTTAGAGCGGACCATTCGCGAGTACCATGCTTGGTATTATGGCAGTACTCGACCTATGGGCCCTAACGCAGATTACTCTCTGTTTCTTCTCGCCGATATTGCTCTTTCAACAAACAATCCGCCCAATGCCGACAACCTAACAGGATACACGGATTCAGACAACATGCAAACGCTCAATCCATTTAGCCACCAACAGACGATAGACATTGGCATAGTCCCGAATCCAGTCATTGACTTCGGTGTGCCTAGGATAAAAACGTTCTCAGACGCGAACATACCTGGAACGCCTGAGATGGTCATCGACTATACGACAGAGACATTCTCCGATACCAACATACCCGGAACGCCTGAGATCATTTTTGGGAATATGTTCGATTATACGACAGAGACCTACTCCGATACCAACATACCCGGAACGCCTGAGATGGTTTTTGGGAATACTTTCCATCTTACAACAGAGACATTCTCCGATACCAACATACCCGGAACGCCTGAGATGGTTTTTGGGAATACTTTCCATCATACAACAGAGACATTCTCCGATACCAACATACCCGGAACGCCTGAGTTGATTCTAAGGGATACACTCTATCCTGCGATAGAGACATTCTCTAACACGAATATCCCAAGGGATACACTCTTTCCTATGACAGAGACATATAGGCAGGTATTCACAGAATACGACAGGGATATTGTAATTAGCAACTAGTATCAGGCATTCTTTTCTGTAAAATATCTCCAAATATCCATCCAGAGTTCCCCTGTCTCCGACCTTACTGCCCACCCACGAGGTAAGATGCAAGCAACACCCGCAGACCAATTATCGAAAGTTCCATCCGGTAGTAGTATCTCGACTGGAAGTCTCGTTTCTAAACTCGCGAGTTGTATAGCAACTAGGGCGTCGCATTCCTGGACCTTAAAGTAGGCTCCTGATGGCACTTTTATCGTGTATTTCTTGATCATCTTGATATCGAACCCGATGTCTCGAATTTTTTGTAGCTAGTTTGTTAGTAGTTTGTCTACTCTGTCAGAAGCTTGGCAACATACCGCTGCATCTCCAAGTGATTCATAGAGCTGTCTGCTCTCACGAGACAACGGAGAATAAGCCACCTGAGAAGCCTTGTCGGATCCACTGATCATTCCTTCGGCGGCGCTCTCAGGACTATGCGCCGCCTTTTCGAGCTGAATTTGCTGCTTCGGTTCTCTTTTGAGCGCCCTACATGCCTCCGCGACAAGCGCTTCTTGGTCGTCTGAAAGTTTTATTGTTGTATGCTGCATGGTGCTTTTAGGCGTCGTCAAAATTGTATCCGCGGGGTTCACGGTATTTGGAACCCCTCCGGGGAAAGGATAAGCCGGGTTGCCTCCAGCTGCCCCACCCGTTAGGCCACTCATATCAAGGCCAACTAGGTAGGTAAGGAATGAGCAAGACAAATTTACGAATAGGAGTGCTCCGTAGTAACTACTTAGCAACGAAAGATAACCCTATTTACTACTTTAAATATTACTCTAGTGATCTATTAGGCTGGCGCACAAGTTAACGGCCTGATGGCCTAGGCTGAAAGTGCCTTGCAAAGTACGGAGTATCATGCCGTAATATGCATACAAGACATACAAGACCAGCACAAGCATTGTAAATTTGCCACCAAGTGAAACACGAAATATCATTAATTGGCCCGGCTGCCGCTCTAACTAGCGATGATTATGAGCTTTTACTGTTGGAATCAAGGTGTATTCGAATACGATAAAACAATGCAAATAACGTCAAATTGGTCTCTTCTGGTGATGCTTGATTCTGCTTGATGTAGGCCGATAATTATTTAGGCCCCCTGCTTTCCTAAATGCAGATAAGCAGCCTTATCGGACCTGCAGCGGGACTCGAGCCTCGTTGCCTTTTAGCTCAGGGTCAGAACACTGTCCCGAGGGGTCGGAAGACTCTTCTAGCCATATTGCACAAAAACAGCTTTGGCAGAATGCTGCCGTAAAGCTTCCTCACACCTCATTTCTGGATATTTCAGGCCGTCGATCAACGTCACTAGATTCAAACCACGAAATACCCGAGACTCGGTCGCTTCAAGCCACGAACCCCCCTGGTCCTCCACGGGATTTTCCTCGGCCTCCATTATCGATCAATCCCGTCCCGAAGGACCCCTCCCCGAAGCCATGGGAGACCTTGCTGCCTCGCCCTCGCTCGACGCCATCCACATCAGCGAGGATCTCGCGCCCCTGCCCGAGAAGAAGATAGCCGGCGACACGGACGTGACGTTTGACGGGCAGCTGGAGAGGCCGCTGCGTCTGCGGGAGGACCTGCGCACCGGCTGTGGCGGGCAGACGTGGCCCGCGGGCATGGTGCTCGGGAAACACATGCTGCGCTACCATAGGCATGAGCTCCAGGATGCGAGAATGTACGTTTTGTGTCTCTTGTCCCTCTCTCTCTCTGTCTCTTGCCTCGTGATCGGTGCAAGGCTACCAGCTGCTGGAACCCAAGGCCAAAGCCCTTCACGAGGGGGATCCTGAAAACAAGTCGCAACGCCGACAGGATGCTGACCCGGTTTGATGGACGCGCAGACTAGAACTCGGAGCCGGTGGCGGCCTCGTCGGTCTTGCGGTCGCGCTAGGTTGCGGCGTGGCGAGCCGCCTCATGCTGACGGACCAGCTCGAGATGCTCCAGCTCATGAAGCACAACATAACATTGAATCAAGTCGACGACAAGGCCACTGCTTCGATCCTAAACTGGTAAGCCCCACGCTACAATAGAAAATGAGAACTACCCATGTCCCTGACATCACAAATCAGGGGAGAGCCGCTGCCCCAAGAGGTCGTCGACTACAAGCCCAACGTGATTCTCGCCGGCGAGTGCGTTTACTTTGAGCCCGCCTTTCCGCTGCTCATGCAGACCTTGCGGGATCTCCTCACTCTCTGCCCCGACGCCGTCGTCTACTTTTGCTTCAAGAAGCGCCGCCGCGCCGACATGCACTTTGTCAAGATGGCCCGGAAAGCCTTTACCGTCGAGGAGATCTTTGACGACGACCGGCCCGTCTTTTCGCGGCAGTCGCTGTTCCTCTTTACCTTTCGGGCCAAGCTCGGCAAGCAACAGACGAAAAAGCCGGCGAGCGAGGAGGCGGCAGCGCCCGCGTCGTAGTCGGGGAATGGAATCGCGCGCACGATCAATGCCGCTTTGGGAATCACGAGGAATCCCTTTTCATCCACTCTTCTGATTGAACTCGTGAATTCGCTGAGCCATGGGGCCGATGTGCACTACCAGCCTCGTCTCTAGCCTGATGTCGACGGAGGGTTGGGGTCTGGAATGCAGCTGCCGTGGGGAACGAGGAAATACCAGCGTCCGGCTTGCCATGCCTTTTTCCTATCCCCCACAATCCGGGGGAAAAATGTCGCTTGCCTCAAATCCGGTATATCGACTCCGATATGCGCCATCGAAGCATGGGACGGAAGACGGAGGGCATTCACCCCCCGCACGGCGTCCTCTGAATGCTGACATGCAGCCACGTGCCAAGGTCGTCCTGCCTCTTTTGTCCTTGATTACTCCGCCACCCTTGTCAGCTTTCTTTTTCTGACTTGCACCTTGGTTTCCTCGGCATATTCCGTTAAAAGTACATGAATCAGCGCATAATTCGCGTGTTATATAGTTATTACACTGGGCGAGCATGTAACTCCCCACTCACGACGCGAAAAAAGATGACATGATAGATCAGACGAAAAACGACATAGACGCATCTATAGAAGAAACTTGAATAGAAGCCATGACCAGAAGAAAAGCGAACTAGATGGCCAGTTTTTCAAATACAAAACCTGATGCAATGGGATGCCAAAGCCTCGCTCTCGTGGCACGAACCGGGATCCCGCTTCTCGAGTCTACACCCACGTTTGAAGCTTATCTTGGCTGCCATGGCGCGCGGGTTAAAATCTGACAAGCCGGCCCCAGCTGCTTTTCCAGCTCGTCAAGCCCTGGAGATTCCAGCCCAGGTCAGATCAAGAACTGGACTAGCGGCAGGGCGTAACAAGGTCGGGAAAATGATGCTCGTTTAGGCAACTGAGTGGCGAGCACATGGGTTTTGTTGTCGAGGCCCTGCTCCCCGAGTCATCTCAAATTTACAACGTGGAGAGTGAACGGGGGGGCTATCAAGAGGAGCTTACTTTATATAAGGCCCAAATTGGTATTCCTCTTGCGAGCCTCTTGTTTACTGTTCGGGTTCAGTTGGTCGTCGGAGGCTGGTACCATCGGGCGATATCCTCACTTACAGTCTTCTTCACGCACACCTCCTCTTTCCTTGAACCGCTCTTCCAGCGCTCTTGTACCCTCCCAGCTCCCTCCTACTCCTTCCCTCTCCCTTCTATTCAAGCGATGCGGCCGAATGGCGTGGCACCCTCGCGCACCTTCACCCTCTTCCAGCAACTGCCCTGCGAGCTACGCCTGCAGATCTGGCAGGACGCGCTCCCCGACGCCGAAGGCAGCGCCGTCTACTTTTTCCGCGACTGGAAGTGGAATCCCGCAGAAGCCCCGGACAACGACGACCACCACCACCACCAGCCCCGGCCCGTCCTCGAGACCGACACGGAGCTCGGCGAGGACATTGTCAACCCGCACGTCCCCGTGGACGGCCTCGCGCACGTGTGCGTCAACCACGAAGCGCGCTCGGTGGCGCTGAAATGGGCGGCCCGGCACGGCCTGGCCGCGCTGCAGCTGCACGAGCGCGCCTGGGACGAGCCGCACGACGCGGGCGGGCGCGTCGTCGTGCGCCCGTGGCAGCCGCGCCGCCGCGGCGACGCCGTGTACGTCGGGATGGACCGCTGGGACGACTTTTGCCGGCGCCCGTGCACCTTTCCGTTTGACGGGCAGGCGGCCGTGTACTACGGCACCGTGGACTGCGGCTACTACGCCTGGTCCTCCGCCACGTCGGGACTCTTTGCCCGGCCCGCGCCGCACAGCGTCGCCATCCGCACCCTCGCCCTGCCCGCGGCGGCGGCCGGGGTCGCCGCGCGCGCGCTCGCGGGCCTGCTGCACTGCCTGCCGAACCTGCGCCGCCTGCAGCTCGTGTACGGGCCGCTGCCGCAGCCGCACGAGCGCGAGGACGAGCCGCTCGTGCCCCGCCGGTGGACGCTGGCCGACGCGCACGCGATGACGGACGGCGTGAGGCCGTTTTACTACTACGCGGATGATGCGCCGATGGGCGGCGGCGGCGGCGGCGGCGGCGGCAGGTATGCCCCGCGCGAGGGGGAGGCGCCGCTACGGGGGCGGGCGCTGTTGGAGCACGTGCAGCAGGTGGAAAGGATCTTGCTGAGCGAGGTGAAGCGGTGCGAGGTGGAGAGCGAGGCCCGCGATGCTGTTGAGGGCGAGGACCGCTTACCGTTTACGCTGGAAGCGGTGGTGTTTGTGCGGGGGCACTGACTTGGCCCTGTGCTTCTTTCCCTTTTTTTTTTCTTTTTTTTTTTTACAAACACCTTCTTCCCTTTTGTTTCTTCTCATTGGGAGCAGATCCCATGACTGCTGTACATACAGGGCTTGGCCGGAGGCAGTGTACATACCGGCCGGCAGTTGTCATTCTTTGGGCTCTTGAGGTTGAACAGAACCCACGTACAGACACGGCGCAACATTTCATTGCATACGGCGAAATTTCATTCATCGTTGATACAGTAGGACGGGCTATAATGACTTGTCACTATGCAGAGCAACAAAAATAAATGAGATTGCTGCATTATCTGTTATCTGTCCATGCACAATATACGTCATGCATTGCCTGCCGCCAAAAAAATTGGTTGCCTCTTGCAAATATCGGTGCTTCCTCCGCAGTCAGACATGCAGCTTCGTTGTTTCCTACTCAATTGCCGAAAGGACTAGACCCTGCAGAGACTCTTCCTTCTGTTGCATACTGTCGCTGCACCTGGTCAGCAACTTCTTCCTTCTCTTGCATGCTGTCGCTGCACCTGGTCAGCGCAAGAAACGGGTGACACTTGCGCCGCGTGACCACAAACAGAACTCTTAGGGTTAGGGTTAGTTGCCACGACAAGATCGCAACCAAGACTAAATTATTGAATAGCATGAATGCAGTACTACGACCAGATAACAACATCTAGACTATGGTCCATCATGCCGAGGTCCAGGCTAGGGTCGCCAACTCACCTCCGAGTCCGTATTACACCCTGTTGTTAGTAGGTAGTCTACCATTCGAAAGCTCGTGTTCGACGAGCGTGAGGCGTCCACCAGAGCGGGAGAAAAAAAGCCTTGCGGGGGTTCAAGTAGTATTACATGGCAGGAAAAATTCATGGTTATTTTTAAACTATGACACTGGGGATTGTCGTGAGCACGGCCAGTGGGCAGCTGGGCGGTACTCGTGGTGGAAGCAACATTGCCTTCCCTTCCTAATTAAAATGGCGTGTCCTGACCGGGCCTTGCAGCGCAAGCACACTGCTTGGTACGGCTGAAGTCGCCAAGAGTAGAGAAAGGGTTGGGTGTGACGATGGCGGCAGGTCGGTGTAGGAGTGTTTAGACAACCAGATGCTGTACGGTAGTCTCAGTTGACGTGTGACTCTGCTGCGACGGCTGCTTGCTCAAGTTGAAAGTCGACCTGCACACGACGACGCACCGGGATAGAGGGGTTGTTCGGCAGAGAATTCGACCGATACCATATCAATACTCTTCAGCATATCCTACGGGTTGGTCTGATGTCAAGTGATCAAACATGAGCTATTGCCGGATGGGTTTACAAGATGGCGGGGCGCTTATGCAGCAACGATACTATCGGACGAGGAGGCTTGGTACTGCGCTGTAGATTAAATCGGCAACCGCAGGACTGGCCGTTAGGCCGTTGCGGCCGTCAGCAGGTGCGATATCTCAGACGTGAGCAAAAGGCGCTTTGTGAGCAGGAGCTGCAGGCGACAACTGTAGGCGACAGCCGTTGGCGACAGCGACAGCCGCAGAGGTGGTCGGGCACAGATGGGCTCGGCTTTGATGCGATAGCCATCAGCTGAGAAACGGGCTGCAGCTGTGCGCACATGTCTTGGGGAGCGGGCGCTGCAGTAGAAAGACAGTTTAATGCGGAAGCAGACGAAAAGACAACAACAGCGAGATGGATGCAGACGCTCCCCAGGTTCGTCCGGACCGAGGCTGCTGATCAAGGGTCGTTCATGTTTGCGGGGAGGGCAGACAGACGGAAGAATATGCATTGACGATTGATTCGTCGTCTGTTCACACCACACCGCGTGGCACGGTACCTGTTGAAGGTGTGGAGGGGGATGCACATGATTGGACAGTCGCAGCGGGCGCCTGTTCGCGTCGTTTCCAGAAACTGATTCAATATGTTTTGACCGATTCAGGGCAGTCCGCTTTTTGCAGAAACTTTCTTTTCCAAAAGTCAGTTGGTTCTGGATCGGTAGTAGTATGTCTCTACCTCGGACGTTGACGGTCAAAGGGCGGTTAATAAAAAAAGAAAGGAATCCACGAGGACCAGTGGAACAATGTTTTCCGCGCCGAGAGGGCTGTGAGACACGAGTGACACTTCGAAACAGGCCTTGTGCATGTCTCTCATGTCTCTTGCCAGCAAAGCGCTGGGTGGCACGACAGGCGCGCCCGGGAATGGGCATGGGCATGTGTCGAGCAGGGACCAAGTGTTCTTGGCTTGTACTCTGTCATCTGAGAAGTGGTAAAAACGTGCGCGTCGGCGGCGAGGCAAAGCAAAGTGGTTGCATGGCGACGAGAAACGCAATAACGGGATACGAGAAAGGGGCTGGCGACGACGACAAACAACAAGAAGGAATGGTTAGAAGCGAGAAGAAGGGGGAAACGGGAAAAAGTGTAAAAATGGCGAAGCCAAACAGAGTCGCCCGGAAGTAGGATAGCGCGAGGTACACAGCCAATCAAGAGCGGCCAGTACCTGGACAGCTCAGCCGTGGATACCAGTATTTTTGGCGAGGGACGGTGGAGTCAGGCAGTAACTAGGTACAGTATGGTACGAGGCACGAGGCTCCAGGGCAAGGGCAAGGGTCGGGGGAGGGCTTTTGCAGCGCAGAGTTTCAGGCCCTGGCAGCGGCAGGCTATTTGGGTATTGACCGGCCGCTGGCGTGCGTGGACAGGATGCCTGCAGCCTGCATGTACATAGAAGACAGAAGACCAGACTCATCTGGTACATCTGGTACATGCAGTGAGCCGATATTCGTCACCCAGTTGCAGGTACCCTCCCTCCCTATTGACGAGGTGGGTGCGAGGCCTGGCCCTGGGTTGGGCCAATCACGTTGCGTTTCCTGCAAAGGTTGTGTGGCTGTGGTTCCATCTGGGAGCGACTCCCGTCGAGCCGTGCAACCGTGCATGAAGGAGCGCGGACACATGTTTCTATGACTTGTCGACTTGATGCAAAAGGCTATGGTATTATTGTACCTGCATTGAGTCTGTTGCATCTTGATTGTCGGGAGATAAAAATCCGTTTGACCTGAATCATGGCGGTTCGCGGGGGAGGGACGACAAGAACCTGCCCACTCTTGCAGCCCGCTCCGCATGTATGTCAGGCAACCAACAAGAGCAAGAAGAATGAAAAGTCAAGGATGCGAAAAAATGTCGCCTATTGAATTTTTGACAGCGGCGACCAAAAACCACGCACGCCATGTGGCAGAAAAGATTCTAGACCGAGATTCTAGACCGCCAACCGCCAGTTCCACAGCGGGTTTATTCTTGACCTTTTTTGCGGGCTGGGCGGGTTTAGTGTGTGTGAACCTGACATATGAAAAAGTAAAAACAAAAAAAAAATGAAAAATGAAAAACGAAAAAAATGAATGAGAAAAAAACGGTCCACCAAACCGATGCGCCTCAGATCAGCCCGAATCCTTCCTCTTGACGGCCTGCCAAGTCGCTTCCCGCCCAGTGGCAGTGCGGGCACCCTGGCACACCCACCAGTGACACGACGCAACCACTATCTTGGGCCTCCAGTTCTGCGGTCTGTGGTCTGGCCCTTGTCATGGTCGGTCCCCTGCTCGTCCCTCCCCCCTTCCATCTTTTCTCCCCTGGAATTCTTTCCGCTAGTCAGGTCCCTCAGCCACTCAGGTACCTTTTCATCAGGTATTACTGGTACTGCCGTGGCTCAACAGGACCGCCGCAGCCCAAACTCAGGCACCCTGCACCGGGCAAACACACCATTGTAACCCCCCTCATGTCACCCCTTCCAGGTACCATCCATTCGTTGTAACTTTGTACCTGTATGTGCCCCCTCCACAAATCCCATCCCCATCTGCCCACTCCACCCTCTCACCTCGACTTGCATCTCTCACACAAATACATTCCCTCTCTTCTGATTCCTTCTTGCTTTTCCCTCTTTTCTTCTTCAACCGACTTTCCTTTTATTCTTGCCGTGCTTCCCTCCTTTAAGCTCGCCAAGATAGCTGCATCGCCCAAACTCTCCTTTACGCCTCAACTGCCCATTATATAAATCCGGCAGCCCTCGTCTCTCACGACAACACTATACGCTTTACGCGCCCAACTCACACTCACTACATTGGCTGCGCCAACAACCATTGCAACAACTCACGTCTCAATCATCAATCATCAATCATCTTTCTCTCTGCCGCTTCGCTGTGCCTAGCGCCCTTCCAACTACCAAACAACCGCAACCAACTCGCTTTGACAGCCAGTCACCACCCAGTCATCATGAAGTCCTTCGCTCTCGCTACCGTTGCCCTCTTCGCCGCCGTCGCGGCCAAGCCCGTCCAGCGCCGTGACCTCGTCACCGTCACCGAGGTTGAGTGGGTGACCAAGTACGAGACCGTCACCGAAATCGTCGACGTGAGCACCACCCTCTACGTCACGCCTGGCCAGTCCGTCCCTACCGCCGAGGCTACCATCCTCCCTGAGCCGTCGAATGGCCAATTCTTTGAGACTGCCTCGCAGGCGCCTGCGCCTGAGCAGCCCGAGCAGACCCCCGTTGCTGCTCCTCCGGCTCCTCCTCCGGCTCCTGCGCCTACCACCACCGCTGCTCCTCCTCCCCCTCCTCCTTCTTCCTCGGCTCCTCCTCCTCCTCCTCCTGCGCCTACCACAACCGCTGCACCTGCTCCTCCCTCCGTTGCCCCTGCTCCTGCCCCTGCTCCTACTTCTACTCCTGCTCCTGCCCCGGCTCCGGCTCCTCAGTCCTCTCCCGTCGTGGCCAAGCCCAGCGACAGCGCCGGTGGCAGCGGGACTGGCACGAACTCGGGCGACATCACCTACTACGCCGTCGGCCTCGGTGCTTGCGGTGAGGACGATAGTGGCAAGGACAAGACGGAGAACATTGTCGCCCTCTCCAGCAAGCTCATGGGTGCCCAGTCCAACGGCAACCCCATGTGCGACAAGACCATTACCATCTTCGGCAACGGCAAGTCCGTCCAGGCCAAGGTTCGCGACAAGTGCCCCAGCTGCGAACCCGGCAGCATTGATGTCAGCGAGAAGGCCTTCCTCGATCTCTTTGGTGACCTCGGCGTTGGCCGCACCAAGGTTACCTGGTCTTTCAACTAAGCACGCTTCTTTGCTTATGTGAGCTGCGAGGCTGGAGCCTTGCGCACCCGAGTCGCTCTCTCAACCTTGTCGGGACGAGACCTGGAGAGGCGCTCACAGATACATCTGGAAATGGCGAGACCATTCATTTCACTCTTTACTTCTACGTATATAGACTTTTTTCCCGTCATTCGCTCTTTCTCAGCTTGGTCTTGGAGATTGACAGGACGTTATGAGACACGCAAACAAACCCACTCGTCTATAGATAGAACGTATGTACCGGGATATAGACATGGAAATTATCTAGCACTATATCCCTGAATATAGTCAGTTGAATGAATTGAATTTTTTTAAAAAGAACTTGGTCGTTTCAAACTTTGCCAGTAGGCAGGCGATGGGGATGTCATTTTCACTGTTAAGCAAGTTGAATACTACGAGTAGTTGTGCGGTCTGGACACGTGGGCTAACAAGAGTCCAAGTAAAGTTTTGTTAGTCGCCCACGCAGCAAAATATCGTCTGTTGTCAATAAAGAATTAAATATAACGTCTCTAGACGCCGGGTGTACGTTGACTTGATGGGCAAAATCAGTGCGCTTGTGCCTTTTTCATCCGTAGCCGCTGGACATGGGCTGGTCCGATGTTGCGCGATTTTATTTTATTTCGCGTCCGGCTACGAGCGCGAGCGCCAGCTAGGTCGGCACTCGGGACGAGCGCCGCTTACCCGGGATGAAACAATACGGACGAACTTGACAACGCGGTCGTGTAGCAAGACTGTTTTTCGTTTTTAATGGCGCAAATGCCTAGATTGTCGCGTTTGAAGTCAATTTTATGAGGACATGCGGCAATGTTGTTTCAGGTTCAAACAGCGTCAACATCGGCAGCGTCTTCCCGTTTCCGTGGTTTGTCATTGAACACGGGCAAAACAAAGCCGGAACTATGGATACTTGATTCCAATCACTCGGGTAAGCAGCACATAGAGGTTAGGAAAGAGAGAGAGAGAGAGAGAAGAAAAAAAAGGCAGTTACTATTGATGTTTGTCTCGACTTGATGATACCACATCAAAATAGAGAGTAGAGGCAAAAAAAGAAGATCTCTGATGAGAATGGGATTCGAACCCATGAGGATTGCTCCACCAGGAAACATATTAAGGTGTCCTTAACCTGGCGCCATAACCTATGACAGTTGTTAGCACTAGTGATTGACAAGGGCTAGTTGTTCAGGGCTGCTTACCAACTCGGCCATCTCACCAATCATGCATTCCAGAGGAGTTATTCAATACTATAAGGTCACAGCAGTGGAACACCAGTAAAATCAGCAGCATTAGGAGCTGAAGAAGAGGCGCACGACCCTCAATTATACCATGCAGCTGAATCACGCACAACTGGACAAACAAATCTTTCCGAGCTGTAGCCTGCCTGAGATAAATACATACTAGGATACCCGAACTGTCCGTTTGTCCCCTTTGCAGGAACTGTTCCTACTAATGGGTCGGCTGTTTTTATTTTTGCCATTGCATGGAATCGCTTAATCCAATGCTTGAGAACCTTCTCCGGTCCATATGCATAAGGTGCAATCCAACGCATGAGGTCCTTCTAATCTGTGCATTTTGCTCCCCTACGTCGATGATGTTCCTTATTTTTATTTATTTTTCGAGACACCCCTTACAGCTACCCGTCCATCCTCTTTTTAAACCCATAATGTGCTCCTATTAACAGGCAGGATGTTACCCTCACTGTACTCCCGTGGTTGTCCAAGTTTTCTGCGTGCAGGAGGGCTCGGAGTATCTTGTATAATTGCATCCAATGCAATAAGATACGCATATCTTTATATTACTTGTTTCAAGCGTGTTACCCTCTCCCCCACGCCGGTTGCTTTCTTAGACGTGCCCGTCATCATCAGAACAACGGGCGGCGGGTGGGTTGCAGTCCCTTCACCACGCACGCAGACGAAAAGCCTGAAATCTAGATCTTGCAATGCCGATGCTTGCATTATGCTCGAACTACTGTTGTATTCTTACGACGTGATTTTTCTGGCTTATTAACTCTAGACGACTATTGTTGTCTCCGCCTGCGCCCCTCTATCTTTGGTGGTCGTGTGCGCTGACTGGGCGATGAATCTAGGACAAGTACACGACTTGAGCACTTTGCCATATGTTCTGTGACTCTCCAGAAATCTGCCATCCCGCTAGAAAACTCTTCTACTCTCATTAGCCAGACAAAAAAATAGGACATTACTGTCCGGACTAGTGTAAACGCTGCAGATGTGCGGGTGGCGATGGATGTGAAGTGACGGAAAGCTGCAATTTTCTTGCTGGCCTTCATATAAGAGAATAGCCACCCCGGCTTTCATCATTTGGTGAGATGGCCGAGTTGGTATGTTTCCTTCACAGCACCTTACTAGCCGACCCACGTCTAACAACTTCAAACAGGTTATGGCGCCAGGTTAAGGACACCTTAATATGTTTCCTGGTGGAGCAATCCTCATGGGTTCGAATCCCATTCTCATCAGAAATCTTTTCTTTTTTTGCCGTTTCCAGCAAAGCTGGCTCTGGCTTGGTTTTTTTTCTTACTTGCGTCTGGCGCGACTATTGTCCAAGAACGTGGCTGTAATAAGCGAAAATCTCTGGCATAGGTTAACTCGTCGACACTTCGCAGCGTCGAGTTTGCTTGCCATGGTTTTTCGGACTGCGCCTTAAGTATTTCGCATATAGCTATTGAAAAGCTCATCATGTAGTATTTTGTATCAAAACCGGGCGCCTATCCATACCAAGAGCTAAAACTCTCCAAAATGCCGCTGAAATAAAAGTCCGAGTCTTTTCTCACGGTGCTTCACCAACACCCCCGAAAAGACAACCAAAATTGAAGCCTACAGCATACTGAGCAAGTCCTCTACATATCTCCGCGTGTCAACACCGATCCCCTGCGCCAACCTTCCCACAGAGTCCACCCCACCACCTCCCATCAAGCTGCTGCTCACCGACGAGACGTGGTCACTCGCGCGCCGTATCAGAACAATTTCCTTGCTCGTCACCGCCGGGCCCAAGAAACCCGAACCTCCCAGCTCGTCACCACCCGCCTCCGACCCTAGCCGAGGCGAGGGCGGCGCCGACAAGACGCCGCTGCCGTCCCCTCCTCCCCGCGGCGTCTGCATCGCCACCGCCCGCGACGACCCAGCCTCGCGGTGCTGCTGCAGCACAAGCCGGGTCCAGACGATCCACCACCCACGACTCGTCTTTTGCGTGCGTTCCAAGTCGGTCACGCGCGGCGACCGCGTGCTGCTGTACACGTGGAGCACGTGCAGGTGCGTGTTGACGGCGTCGGCGCGGGACCACGACGGCTCGCCAGCCGGGTGTAGGTGATCATCGGGGATGTTAGGCACCGTCGTGTGTACGGTGAGGTCGAAAGGATTCCAGACGAGGTCGTATATGCCCGCAGCGCGGCCGCCCGTGTCGGGCCGCTCGGGACGGTAGCGCGTCGAGGTGAGGAGCGGCCGGCGCAGCGGCGCGAGCTGGTAGTGCAGCGATCGGTAGAGCGCGTCCCATGCGAGCGAGTCGGTCCGCAGACGGAATAGAAAGACAAAGAGGAACGGTCGGTTGACGTACACGACGACGCGCAGCTTCTCCGCGTTGCTGTTTTCCTGGACATTGGCGCCGGGACGCAGAGAGCCGCGCATCTGCGCTTCCGTCAGGGTGGCACCTGCCGCCGGGTTTTGCTGCGGCGGGTGGATGGGAAAGCCGCTGCCGCTTTCGTTGTTATCTAGCTCGACATGGATGGTGCGTAACACGGTGCGAGAGTCGCGCTCGGAGTCTGATTCATCAGAGGCCTCCGCGCCGCCGTCGTCCACGCCGCCGTACGCTTCCTCGATCTCGCCTTTAAGGCCGATGAGATAGTGACCCGCGGATTCCTGCGATGGGGATGGCTTCGGTAGGGTGGGTCTTTTGGGGGGCGCGGACTCGGCCGCTTTCGAGCTGGGTCGTTCTTTTGGATCGGCAGCTTGATCGGTGGAAGACCCAGACAGACTGGCGACACCGGGTATGGTCCAATACTGGCCGTAGCCGAGTTTTAGATAGCTCACCATCTTATCCAGTTTGCCATCCTCAACTTCACCAACTTGTGATTTAGCTACTTGGACGCCCTTGCCCTCTTCAATCGTCCCAGTGTCCGTAGTAGCACTGGATGGATTGGACGTTAAAGGATCGGACTTTTTGTCTTTCAGCTGCTTGGCCGTCGGTTCATTGCTTTGTGTCGACGTTTGTGCAGGATTTGTCCGACTCGAGCCCTTTGTGTCCGCTTCGGAGGTCTTGGGAATATCGTCCCGAGAGTCGGTTTTCTTCGTCCGAGTCTTGCGTGTTGAAATGGGGCTCTCAATCACGCCGTACGCATGTTCTCCCCAGGTATACAGGTCTTCCATCCAGTGCGTCACGTCTCTTAGAGATTTTCTGGACAGCGCACCCGTGCCCAGGAATATCGCCCCGTCGTCTATTGAGGGCTCCCTCCCGCTGCCCAGCCAAGGCGCAGGAGCGTTACTGTTCGAGTCTGTTTCGTCACCATCCTCGCCGCCAAACTTGGACACCATCAAGTCCACAAGGCCCTCGGTCCTGCCGACTAGACCCTCCAGAACCTCGCGCTCGCCGCTGCCACGCTCTTCCTCGCCGACGCCGACACCCAGCTCCCCCGACGCTGCGATATTAATGCCTTGATAAATATCTCTGGCGGGGTTTCCGTGCAGAGAGACACTCCACGTTGACAAGTACAGATCCCAGTAGCGGGTGAGGACGGCAACGAATTTATGTCGTGGTAGGCGCAAAAATAGTGAGCTCATGGAGACGTCGTGATGCATCAAGAAAATACGATGGGCTCGCTGGAGGTCCCGCAAGATGAGCGCGGCGGGCTTCATCTCCTTGGTATTGTAATCGTACTTTTCCTCTTGCGGCTCGCTATTCTTCGTCAGGAGTCGTGGCGGTAACGGCGTCTTGTTTAGATCAATGCTCTTTGCAGTAAATTAGCGACCGATGTTCTCGCGAGCAAGACTTCGTCTAGTCCACTTACCGCCAAGATCCACCATCCAGACTCGAGCTCACGCACAACGACCCTGGTCGTCTCTGTCTCGATGGCATCCACGGGTTCGCCGTCGGTGAAGCCCTGGCTGAAGCTGACCATGCCCTGGGCCAGGCCAATCTGGCGCAGGCGCTCGTTGCGCTCCTCGGGGGAGATGCCGTCGGTCGGGCGGCCCCGGGTGCGCGCGCGGCGTCGCTTGGCCGGGGCGACGGACTGTGACGTGACCGAGGCATAGTAGACAATCTGGTCGTCGATTGTGTCGTCGGATGTGCCCAGAGACGGGTTGTAGATGGCGAGGAAGCCGAGCTGCGCGGGGACGGGGATGCGCGGGGCAGGGGCTGCCACTGCCATGGCGGGCTGTCGCAAAGGTGCGGGAGCGCAAAGCCTACTCGAGTAGTGGAATTCGGAAGCTGTATTAGTTAGTGCTCTCCTCTATAGGCCCAGTCTCCCACGTCGAACCTGGGCCGTGGCCGCTTGTTTAGTGAAGGTGGCAGGTTGCGTGTTTGGCGGGGGGCTGATGCTGAAGTGCGTGGTGACCAAGATGCGCGCCACGCTTGAACCTAAAAGCGTCAACGACTATAACAACGCCGAAAATACAATTTGCATCATTTTCATTTGAATTAAATATACGTTCTCACACTCCAATCTTGACACTATATTATTTAATAGAAGCCAACCTGAGGCTCCGGAGCTCATCGAATATTTCCAATCAAAGCTGCAGCCGCCAGTGCTTACCGAGTCCTCCACAAACAGACAAGAAAATAATAGCAAGCATACTATCGTCATAAGTTTTATAAAAAAAATCGAGCCTGGTAGAATCAAGATTCGCGACTACGCTGCCCTACAGCGTAGTTTGTCGTCTCTTTCTCGCCAGGCGGCGCTCCTCGACAACGTCATCCCCCTCCTCGCCGTCGCTGCTGTCGGCGCTCTTGCGGGATACGGAATCAAACTCGGCGTCTCTCTGGCGCTTGAGATGCCACAGCCACCACAGATAGAATCCAAAGATGACCGTGGTCAGCGGCAGCGTGATGACCCAGTAGAGGCGGAACTGGGGCAGGAGGCCGACGCCGATGAACGGGGACTCGGGGTCCGCCTTGGCCCATTCATACATGGGCATGGAGAACATGGCCGATACGAAGCTGCCGGGCAGGAAAAACATGGTGACAATGGCGAGCGTCTTCATCGAGGACGAGTCGCGGTAGCTCGCGTGCGCAATCAGGTGGGTAGACTGGGCCAGCTCGATGCCGTTCAAGGCGTCCTCTTGCGTCATCATGTTGAAGATCTGCGCCTAGTCAGCTTCCGAGACTTGATATATCGCATTGAAAATGCACCCACAGCATTGATTTGAATATCCACGCGCTTCATGGTATACCTGGTATCCAGCATCTGCATCTCCAGCCTCTCCTCGAGCACGCCGACATGGTGGCGGAGGAGCCGCTGCGCCGCCGTGTCCGCCGGACCAACCGCCTCCCTATCCAGCTCCTTGACGACGAAGCGCAGCACCTTTTGCATCGAGGTGCTCTTGCGGTCGACGCTGGCCAGCTTGGTGGCGGATCCGCTGGCCCGGACGGCCAGCTGGCTGAGGCGGGCGTGCGTGGACGAGGCGGCCACGCGGCTCTTGAAGGTGTGGTAGCCCGTCGCGGCCTCGATGGCGCGGATGGCCACCTTGATGCGGCTCTGCGCCAGGTCCGTCTCGAAGCCGAGCTGCATGGCGAGGAGCAGCGCCGGCGCCATGCTGCTCGCGTACACGTCGGCGCAAAACGGCGACTGCAGCAGGCGTCGGAGCACGTCGCCCGGCGCGAAGCTCGCCGTGGCGGGCGTCGCCGCGCGCTTCTGGGCGGGGTCGCCGCCAGCACCGTCTGTGATGTATATAATGCCCTCGGTCGCGGCGGCCTGCTTGGCGCATCCCTCCGCGGTGGCAGGGCGCAGCTGGGACCAGATGGCCGCCAGCTTGGGGGCGTGGTTAAAGGCATAACAGTAGCGCTCGGCACCGGCGGGCGCGACGGCGACGGCGGGAAACGCCGTGACGCTCGTGACGGTGCCTTTAAGAAACTCGTGGGCCAGCTCCAGCCCGAAAGCCTTGGTCAGCTGGCGGTGGGTGTCTTTCGCGATGCCAACCAGCTTCCTCGCCGTGCCGGCCGTCCGGATGGTGACGAGCACGAGCCGCAGAAGCAGCGTGTGACCCGGGTTGCCTGCGTGACTGTCGCGCAGCCAACCAGGCACGGCGGAGGCATCAACCTGGCCGAGGCGCGGCACGACGTCGCCGCTGTCATTGTGCACCCAAACCTCGTATATGTCGCAGACACGGGCGCTGTTGTCGAACTCGAGCGCCGCCTCCCCGCAGCACGTCGCGAGCTGCCCTGCGGCGGCCAACTTTTCGTATATCTCGTTCATGACGTTTACTAGACACTGCCACTTGCTGCAAAGAAGAGAATGAAAAAAAAATTGAGAAAGGAATGACAGGAATAGCGACGGGTTTGCCTGATGCACGACAGCTTCTACGCGCCAGCCTGGTGGTTTAGCCGCTCAGGCGAGGCCGAGGGTGCTGCATGCTGCAGCCCACCATGATGCAACCCTCTCTGCAGCTTGAAAACGGGCAGGGCAAACGCCTTTTGGGGGTGTCAAGCAGGTTTTTTGTAGTCGCAAAATTAGGGTAGAGAGAAATGCGCACACAGACACTTGGCGCATTGCGTGTACTCTGGTGTTGTTTGGCATTGGGAAAGGCGACAGACCTCTGTACAGGGTACGTCCAACAAGTGCAAAGCAAGTGCCTCTCCAATCATCCCTCACTTTTGTTCAACTAGATAGTCAAGGTGCGGCTGAGGCCAAGAGCGCGGGACGGCCCGCGTTGATGGGACGGCAGTTGGTTCCTTGCACAGCCCAGCCACTTCATCTCGGGCGCTTAACTGCAGCTGGGAGGAATGGAGGAGGATAAAATTAGAATTTGCTGGCTTCGTAAAATCCGCTGCGAAAAGTATGTACAAATACATTATATGCATGAAATTGCTCTTGTATGCGAAAAAAAAAAAACGCCCAGCTTCGTGATGAGAGAAACAAAAATCCCAACTCCCCCGACCGCGACTCCTCCCTCCTCTCTATCCCCTTTTGCCTTGCTCCCGACTATTAATCCAATATCCTGCCATCACCCCCTCTGCTCGCCCTGGACCCTCGGCTCGCTCTGCCCGACCTGCCCGACCTGCTCGCCACCGGGGAGCTCATGCACCTGGTTCTGCTGCACGGGCGCATAGTAGCCCGCCGAGGTGGATTCCGACTTGGGATGCGAGGCGCCAAAGTACTGCTTGTTCTGCCAGTTGCCGTCAGCGGGCCGCTCGTAGCCGCCGATTTCCTGGGGCGCGTTGGCCGCCGCGGCCAGCCTCTTCTTCTGCGCGCGCCGGCGCAGGAACCAGATGGCGAACGCGAGCAGCGCAAGCGCCGCGAGCGCCCCCACGACGGCGCCGGCAATCCAGGCCTTGCTGGCGCTGCCTCCGGTGGATGGGTCGGGCGAGGCAGCTGGTCGTGTCGGGGCCGTGGTGCCCAGCGGTGAGGTGCTGCTGCTCGGATCCGTCGTCGAGCTGGCCGTGTTGCTCGTCGGGGTGCTGCCGGTCGAGGCCGACGTGCTGCTGCTGCTGCTGCTGCTGCTGCTGCTCGTCGTGGTTGCCGAGGCCGTGGTGACGGGCACGGTGTCGCGGTAGGCCTCAATGGCGTACCAGTACTGGGCGCAAAAGATGCTCGAGGTCACGTCCGTGGCGCCGGGGGCCGCCATGACGGACATGGTCTGGCACACGGCGGACCCCGGGCATGATCCGATGGCAAAGTTGTCGTAGGTCAGCTTGTTGTCCTTGCAGGTTGTGGCGATCGCGCACTTGGACTGGCCGCAGCACGCGGCGAATTTGCCTGATCCCGTAAACGTGCCTTGGGGGCAGGTCAAGGCTTCGGCTGTGGCGAGGGTGTTAGTAGGAATCGAAAAAGAGACACTCAAACTGCCGAGTGTTGGGTACCAGGAAGAGCTGCGTACTGGTGCCATCGGGATGAATATACCATCCCTCAAACTTGGGGCTGTCCGTAATCTGAGCAGCCATGATGATGGGGGATGTTTGCGCTGCGACGCTTATGATCAAGATACAACGGCTTGCGTCTGTCGCTATCGGGTCAATACTTTTCTGCTGCCAGGAGAAGACTTGCAGGTTTGGCAGCAACCAGGAGCAAGAACTCGGGCACTAGGAAAGAAAGCAAGGCGGCGGCGGGTGCAGGGCGTTTTGTATCACCAAGCTGAAAAGATAGAGTCAGTGGGGGTTGGAGGGGGGGGGCCGCAGCACCTATCTGGATCCCTCAGGGCATCAGCTAAATTGATTCAGAGAAATACAGCTGGCAGGGGGGGTCTGCATGATGGTGTGGTGGAAAAGGACCAGCGCCTAGGCGGAGGCAAGGGTGTCGATCAGAGGAGTTTGTCCGCTGTAATTCGTGGTGATTAAGACAAGTGTAGGCCAAGAGAAGCAGCCTTGCTATGGCCCTCCTGGCAAGTAAATGGAAATTTGCTGCTCTATTAGCAAATTGACTGAGTGAAGCTCAATCTCGCCATCTATAAGAAGGCTAGAATAAACCAGCCGTGAGTCGTGAGTGACGTGCAGACAAAACGACAGCTCTCCTTTCTTCAACAACTCTGTCTATCGGCAAGGAAATTCCAAATGAACAAGTTCTTGGTCAACGCCACCTCCTTGGTCAAAAGCAAAGAGCATTGAATGGGAAACAACCCCCTGTCGGGTGGGTGGCCTTGGATTTGAAGCCAGTCAGCATGGCCATTGCTAGATCAGCCTTGCCACATGCCCGCCAAGCAGAACAAGGACGGCCCCGGAGCCAATGGCAGCACCATTGGTCTGTTGCCTCAGGCTGTTGAACGGGTTGAATGGTTGCAGTAAGCGCTGTGTTGCATTGTACTTCTCCACTGGAGGCTGTGAAGTTGTTCTAGCTCGGCCGCCACGTTGGGGCCGATGGGGTCGAGGTCTTGGTGCCTTTTTGCGGCTCTTTTCTGTCACGTCGGGCAAGGAGATGTCAAGGAGATGTCGCCCAAGGAGACTCGGAGACGGACAAGGCAAAGAGGTTGCTGGACTCGGAAGCGCTTGCTGAACAAGATTTTATGTTGGTCGCTGTGCTCTGGGATTGACAGATGGAAAGAGAAAACATGGGCACCTCAGATCCATTGCCCCATACTAAAAGTGATGGTCGGCGACTTGTCGTTTGGACGTTTGGACGCACATTGCGATAAACCTCGCACATTCACTACACGTTGGTGAGATGCATCGACAGCGAATATCGGAGATACTGCGCCAACCTTGGCGGCATCAAAGTTTTGGAAAAGGTTAACTAGTTATCCCGCGCATGGCCATTCATTCTGCAGGAGCGTGGCCGCAATTTTAAAGACATGGCTTGGTGCTGGTGCGGCTGCTAAGAATAGCTCATCAGCGGAGTCGCTCGCAAGGCTTGCTCGCTCACTGCTCACTGCTCACTCAACCGGCCGCTCACTCAACCAGCCAAACTCACTGAGCCGTTCAATCGATATGCGGCAACGACTGGCAGAAACCATTCCCGTCATGAGACTCGATAGCAAAACATGGCCTTTCGATACCATGACCTCATTTTTCATCAACGTGACACGCAACATCTCACCTCGCACGCCATGATTGCTCTTCGAAACAGACGCTGGATCAGCCACGCTGCGGCGACGAGTCGTACCCACTCGTATCCGGGGCAGACGGGCTGTGCCAGAGCAACAGACAACAGACAACAGACGAGGCTTTCATGTGCGTAGATTACGTCTTCTTTACCTCTTCAGTTTGAAGCGCTACCCTCAAAATATTCACCTGCGAGTCACAAGCTGTCCCGCCAGCTTTCCTCATCGCCTACGATCCCTCCTGTAAGCTTCGGGCCGTTGAATAAACCATTCAATCACGGCGAGCTAGTACGTCATCGTCCAACTCACCATCCATCCAGTCACCGCTGCACAACCCCCAGAGCACTGTTGATCCCATCTTCTCCTTCTCCTTCTCCATCTCCCTCTCCCTCACCCAACTACTTTTTTATCCCGCTCCTACAACAACCCGGCCGGCACTGTCAACAAAATCCACCCACCCCCAACATCGCCATGGAGCAAGTCAAGCTTCTGAGGCGCCGCACGACGGACCTGCTCGCCCACGCCCAGCAAAACATGGCCAGCACCCAGCAGAGCCTCCTCAGCCGCGCCCAGCAAAACATCCCCGCGCTGTCGATGCCGCAGTTTGATCTGCGTCGTCTCAACCCCGCCGCCGCTGCCGCCGCCGACCCCGGACCCCACGGTACCTGGGAGCGCATCGACGACGACGACGACATCCCCGCGCTACGCCGCTCCGCCCACTCGCTCGACATCGTCGCCGGCTGCGCCTACATCTTTGGCGGCGAGCTCGCCGACGGGCTCGCCGACAATGACATGCACGTCGTGCGTCTTCCCGCGAGCGGCGCTAGCACCGACTACCTCCGCATCAAGGCCGTCCCCGAGACGCCAGACGAGCCGGCCGCCGACGACGACCGCCAGACCGCAGCGTCGGTCGCCTCTTCCGACGCCGGCCACAGCAGCCCCCGCAGCAAGGGCAAGGGCAAGGAGCGCGCCATGGAACTCGCCCGCCCGGTTCTGGCCGACGTCCCCGCCCCGCGCGCCGGCCACGCCACCGCCGTCATTGGCACCCGCATCTTTCTCTTTGGCGGACACAGCCACGCTTCTTCCTCCTCCCCCGACAACGACGACGACGACGATCACACCCCGCCGCCGCCGCTCGACGAGGCCGGCCGCGTCTGGGTCTTTGACACGCGCACCCGCGCCTGGAGCCACCTCGACCCGGCGCCCGCCGTCACCGGCGGCGCCATCACCATCCACCCCGCGGCGCGCAGCTTCCACTGCGCCGCCGCCGCCGACAAGCCCCGCGACTTTGGCGTCCCGTCCACCACCACCACAACCGCTATCCCGACCTCGCCTCCTCTCCTGCCTTCGCCCGCCAGCCCCACGACGCTCCGCGCCCGCGCGCAGAGCTGGCGCGACTGGGCCGTGGCCGGCCAGCCGCAGGAGCCCGCCGTCGGACACGTCGCCGAGACAGCAGACGACGAGGAGTCGCGGGGCTACGGCACGTTTTTCATCCACGCCGGCCGCCTCGCGAGCAGCGGCAGCGGCAGCAGCGATATCTGGGCCTTTGACGTCCACTCGCGCATGTGGTCCGAGCTGCCGGCCGCGCCGGGCCCCGCGCGCGACGGCGCCGCCATCTGCATCAGCAAGAGCCGGCTTTTCCGCTTCGGCGGAGCCTCGACCTCCTCAGGCAGCGGCGGCGGCGCGCCGCTCGGCGGGCAGCTCGACTACCTGCCGCTCGAGGTGGAGACCATGGACGACCGGCGACGCGGCGGCAGCAGCAACAAGATGGTCGAGGTCGCGGTGCGCGCGCGCGACGGGTGGCAGACGATTGCGCAGCACGCGACCAGCAGCTACAGCAGCACCGTGACGCCCTTGACGCCGCTCTCCTCGCCGCGGCGCGCAGCAGCAGCAGCACCCATCGTCGTCGACGCCGAGGAGCACGCGTGGCCGTGCCCGCGCGCCGGCGCCACCCTGTCCGCCCTGACCATGGGCGGCGGCCGCGAAGCGCTGGTGCTGGCCTTTGGCGACGCTGGCACCGGCAGCAGTAGCCGCCGGCGGCCGCTGGATGACGTGTGGCTGTTTTGGGCCCCGCCGCAGGGCATGTCGGCCGCGAGCGTGACGGCGGCCGTCATGCAGGCCGTCGGGCGCAAGACGGGCGAGGGTCGGTGGGCGCGCGTGGCGGCGCGGCCGTACGACGAGGATGAGCATGCTGGCAAGGGGTTGCCGCCGGCGCGTGCCAGGCTGGCCGGCGCGCCGATGAACAACCTCGAGGACAGCGGGCTTCTGGTCTGGGGCGGCGTGGGTGAGGACGGCGCCAGGCTCGGTGACGGCTGGGTCCTGCGGCTGTGAGGAGACGAGGAGGCTTGTCTCTGGAGGGGTAGCAGGCGGAAGGTAACGGTGTGCGAGTTATGTACAAATTGTGTATGCGCTGCTTGACACGGCGAGAATAAGCCGCAGAATGTTGGCAACTGGGCATCTGAAACTGGGCAATGCCACAATGGATCAACCCAAACGCTAGTTATGAAAAATGAAACCTTTGAATGACTCAATTCCGCGTCTATTGCCCCATGTGTTCTTCAAAAATACAGTGCCATGATATTGTAGCTTTAGTTGGTCATTGTTTTTCTGTATATGTACAAGTCCATTCTAGCCTCCAACCCACCCATCCATCCAACAATGTGCACCGTCTGCCGTCCGTCCTCCTTGACCAACGGAGAAGCGTAGACGAGAAACAGAATGGCAGCCGTCAAAGTGAAAAAGGAAAAAAAGCAAAGATGTAAAAGGTGTGGCTACAAGGCTTTTGGGGGACACGCCGTGCACAAGCCACTACATAGAGTCGGCATTTGCGCCCCAGCTCCCCCATCTTCTATTTCCCCATCCATTCTTCTTAGTTTACAAATCGGCCCGCGTCGTCTCCACGCCCCAGGGTTCCGTCGTCAGGTTCGTTTGGCCGGCGCTGTTCTCGCAGGTTTGGCGGCCGGAGAGGGGACCGGCGGCGGGGGTCTTGCCGGTGGCGGCGCCCTGCTTGAGGTCCTGGAGCAGCTTGACGACCGTCGTGGGCGTCAGGTCCTCGTAGTAGTCGTCGTTGATCTGGATCATGGGGGCGTTGACGCACGCGCCCAGGCACTCGACCTCGATAAAGGTAAAGAGGCCGTCGGGCGTGGTCTGGCCCTGCTGGATGCCGAGGTGCTCCTTGATGGCCTTGACGATGACGTCGGAGCCGCAGCCGCCGAGCTGGCAGGGAGTCTAGGGGGGGGGGGTTAGTCGGGTGGTGCTGCGTGTCTGGGTACCCGGACAAGCGGGGAGCTGGAAAGCATCTCGACACCGACGGGAGCCAAAAAATTTCAACGTACAGTGGTGCAAGCCTGGACAAAGAACTTGCCGACGGGCGTGCGGTTGTACATGGTATAGAAGGAGGCGACCTCGTAGACACGCATCGGTGGCATCTCGAGCAGGCGGGCGACCTCGTTCATGACGCTGATGCTGGTGAATCCGTGCTGACGCTGGCCGAGGTCGAGAATGGGCATGACGGCGGCCTTTTTGTACTGCGGAGGGTAGCGCTTCAAAATCTCGGCAATGACCTTTTCGTTCTCGGCGCTGAACTTGAAGGGGATATCGGGGTTGTTGTCGGGCGTGTTGCGATGCTAGGAGAGTTCAATTGTCAGCGGCCTCGCTCGTCTGTGTTGCAAATCGCCTGCGTTTCCCAGCTCATCAACTTTACGGAGCGACACAGCTAGAGAGCGGTGCGAATGAGGCGTCTCGCCGCCTTGCCACAACTCTCTTTCTGTTCCCGTTTTGTCCGCTGGCTCCTCTCGGGGGGTTCTGTTCGCCCGGTGAGTTTCGATGGAGTCCGCCGGGGGGACTGCACAGAAATTGGACGTTATGCATCACTGATCAATGCTTACCACGTTGAGGTTATCGCTCGGTCGGGTCGCTGAGACGGAAAAGGCGCGGCTGATCTGGGGACGGACGGCGACTCGCGCGGAGGAGGCGCGGACGCACGACCGGAAGAGGGGGGCGAGCTTGCTGGCCATTGTGACGGTTTGTGTATTGATTGTCCTCCGGTCGAGGGCGGAGATGGGTTGTCAATGGGCGGGGGGGTCGACGGCCGTGGCGAGATGGGGAGAAGGGTGAGAGTCAATTGGAGCTTTTGGCAAATGTCCTCCCGACACCAATTGGAAGCTGCTTGCAAAATACGTTGCTGTGATTGGTCGGAGATGGAGTGGTGGGTAAATACCGGCTAAAAGTAAAGCGACCAGCATTTGTGCTGCGACGCCCACTGTAAGTTGTAAGTTTTACGCCTATAATAAGCCAACTGGGGCTATGTCTGTTGTCGTAGTATACAATGCAGTTAAACTATTGACGACTTCTTGTGCGGTTTCAAGGCTCCCATCCCAACAGCCTTGGATCACATCTCCACACCCGAGGTGGGATACTTGGGGAAATTTCCCTTCCTGGAACAGCTTTTCCACATCAGCCTCGGGCAGCTCAGCATAAGGCTCCTCGCCAACCATGATGAAGTACATGACGGAGCCGAGGGCGAAGATATCGTCCGCCGCTTTGGCCGGGAGATGCCAGCTCCAACCTGGCGGTTGAAACCTAGCTCCAGCTGCGATGGTGTTCGGTGACCCGGCAGCCGAACTACCAGCAAAGTCGGCAATATGTAGATTGAGAGACCCGTTGAGTAAAAAGTTACGTGGTGCAACATCGCAATGAATCACATCTGCCATGTGAAGCGCACTCACAGCAGAGGCTGCCTGCAGAGTCCACTGTCGTCGTATCTCGGAAGATATCGATGCGGACGATGTCAGATATACCGCCAGATTACCTTTCTCGAAGTTCTCTAGAGTTAGGCAGCAACTCTCAGGGTCCCAGTCGATTAGTTTGGGAACATACGGGCATTCGCCAATTCGTTGGTAGATCTCAGCCTCTGTTCTCATGTCTCTTCGATGATTGTCCTCTTCCGTGGGGTTGTATGGGTTCGACTTTGGGTACTTGATAACATGTCCTGATGGAAGCAGCTCAACATGTGCCGTGGCTCCGCAGCTGATTTGCTTCCCTTTTGTAACGTAATAAATGGTGCCATGCGGCGGATTTTCTGGCACTTGGAAAACGGAGTTTGACCAATTAGGATGTTCTCTTCGTTGCCATGATCCCGGAACTGGCCAGTAGGTAATATGTCGGGGGGGTGCCTTGGGCGTCGGAACCCTCTATTGTAACTCTTTATTAGAACGTGTTTGCAAATACCCAGGTCGTTCCTACCGTTGATTTTTCGGCTGTATCCTCCTGCGACAGCCGACGCTGCTTCCTCAGGGAATTGAGTATGAGGTTCCACAAGTTGGTGCACTGCGCGATAGCATACCGCCATAGCGGCAGCAGTGATGCACGACTATTAGCGAGAATCATTGGCTAATAATGCGAAAAGCAGGACTGGATTTGCGAGAGGGCTGATTGTATTTTTTGAAAGGGGGCCCTTTATTCAGTTCGTCACTGGTCCCTATGTCGAATTCGTTTGTGAGCTGGCTTCCCCTTTCCATTATCGGGAAGGGGGTTCTTATCTTATCAGCGATAAGCTCACAGCCAAAACAAATATGGGTCCAGTGAACTCTCCGATAACCACTCATCGCTGGAGGCGATGGCTGTAAATACAGCATCAAAATCGCCTAGCAACAGGCCAAAGATCTTTGGATGGATGGCATACTGTGCTGGGAAGGGCCGCAAGAAGCTGCGCTGATGAGAGCAGCTCTCGACCTCGTCCTCACTGGAACTTGGGATGAAAACCATCTCTCAAAATCGGAAGCTGGGGTATCCTTGTCTCCAATTTCGCCGAGAACATCGTCATATACCCAACCATTCTGCCAAGAAGTAGAAAATTCACCCAGAGCATTCAGACTTGAGATGCAGCGTAACAGGGGCCGACGCCTTGTATCAAGCGGTGCAGTCTAACAGGCAGAGGCAGGCAGGATTATTCACGTGTTGTTGACCAGGTACTGCTGTCACAATGCGAAGTAGCCAGCCTCCTCTTGTTGGGCACTCTGGCAATTCGACTCCCCCGGTGGCTACTATTAGCGACCATCTCGTCGAGGCACTTGGACGGCTGTGCTGCACCGCTTTCCGATCGGGCAATAGCTCTATTCCGCGAGTACTTATAGTTCTAACTCCCGATAATCAACTCATACGGCTCCCATGCCAAATCTCTCGTCTCGCTATCCTTCAACTTCTGCTCGACAAACGACTCCATATTCTTCTTGACTCCATCATCGAGCAGGCCAAGCCTCCGCTTGCAGGCATCCTCGGGCGGTCCGCCAGGGCCAAAGAATTTCGGATCCAGCTTCTCCCAAAAAACGGCATCAAATGACATCAAACGCAAAGTTCTTTCGAGCCGCGTACACAACCCAGAACGCGCTGCTATCCAGCTCTGGCGCATTTTGGGCAAAGCTGGTGCTTGCCCTCCTGCACCTTGCGAGACGCAGTAGTGGAGGCTTCGCATTCTTCTAAAGCTTTCAAGAATGTTTGCATACGAGTCTCGTGCATGTATGACCACTCGTTCATACCATTCGGCCAATACTCAGGCTGCTCGAGAAGCAGCCACCACGGTGGCGCAAACAAGAACTCGGCCGGTGCGGCGTACGTGAACTCCCAGTCAATAACGCCTACAATTTGCAGATTCGCGTCAAGAAGTATTCGATGGTCGCAAATCATCACACCAGATTTTGAACGGTCCATCGTTATGCACACCACATACAATTTTCTCTTCACTTGCGAGCTTTTGGAACAAGTGTCTAGCGACGTACTTTCGTTGGCAATCTTCCTTGGACTCTATGGCATCGTTCCGCTGCGAAGCTAAGTGCTCCATGTGTAGTTGTGAAAGGCTCTTTAAATAGTTCAATGAAGACGTGAAGATGGTATCTGGCAATTTCGCTCGTGGTAGGGTGCCTTATTGAACCAGCTCATTCATATGCATAGACAAGGGGCGGTGTGTCACATCCCATGAGAACTTGCCAGTCTCCCGAAGAGACCCAATGGTTGGCAGCTCCAAGGTAGACAGCTGAAGAAGGATATCTGCCACCTGGCGGTAGAGCATTTCGAGCTTGGCAGGTTCAATGTTTGGGTCGAGAATGGGTCGGTCTTGCGTGCCACGGCCTGGTGTGTTGAGAGCCGCCCCCATATCTATAGTGGTTGATGTACTCCATGATGATGAAAGGGCCCAATCCAAGAGGGCTTTCCGCGTTCGTACCCCAGTGAAGAATAAACGGCACCGGTATACCGGCGCGGTCTTGGATGTACTTGATCATGGCGACCTCGTTGCGAATCTTCTCCTCGGGGAACATGGTGACGCCAGGTTTAGGAAATCGAATCACAGCTTCGCCGCCATCTTGAGACTTCATGCGGAATAGAGCGTTGAAAGTGCCGGCTTTTGGATCGCACATCTCCGTGGGGATACCACGCCAGTGCTTCACGATGAAATCGCCAATTGCTCGTAGCGTTCGTTGACTCTTCAAAAAGGGACTTTATCCACTCACGCTCGATGCGCTCGCTCTCCTCCCAGGCAACATCGTCGAATCACATCCGCGGTTGCATTTTCAGTGGGAGCCGGTCACAAAGCATATAGGTTGCTCTGGACAGATTTTTGCCACGCAATCGACTCTGAGCTGCGCTTGTACGGGGTTGTTGTTCAGGGTTGTCCGCCTCCCTACCACCAGGTACTACATTGTCCTACTATGTATTACAGTGCACATGAAGATTGACAAATCAGTAGGCAGCAATAGTAAGGACAAGAATTGGCTAGCAAAGACAGTGTGCGTATAAGATGATGCCGGACGTCACCACACAACGTGGTTGTAACTAGATAGACCCCTAGTACTGATCACAACAGGCTTAGGCCAGATGAGTAGTATTGAAGAGCCGGTTTCCAGTATCTGTAGTTTTGGTCCCTGTAAACTTATTGTCTGATACTCGCAGGGCTACCATGTTGACCTGATGCTGCTCCATCTCCGTTCGCAAAGCATGGCCGTCAGCGACCGCTTCCTTCTGAACCACTCCTGCCACCACCACAATTCTGGTGAGATTTTGCTTGAGCCGAGCGACATGGCGTAGGAAATCCATGATACTTTTGCCGCTGTTGACCACTGAATCGACCAGAATCAAATTCTTTTGGTTCTCCAGGTGGTGATGCTTGATGTCTTCCGGACCAAAAGCATGCAGAAACATGGCTCTTGGAAACACCCGACTGATACCGAAGGCCATTGGCTCCCCGCCACGCATGAGCGCAATGATTGTCGTCTGGGCTTCGTGAGCAAGGCGGAACCCGGTGGTTTGGTGGCCCTGCACATGTGGTACATGGAAATTCTCAACACCAATCACTTCCGTGAGATAGCGCAGCGCCAGGTACTTGCCAACCTCCTCGTGAGCGAGCCTGAGTTCTGCTCCGGCTACCGAGGCATCGCGAGTCGGAGACATGAGCAGTCTTGCCGCACCGGTGTCCGTGGCGTGGACCACGGTGCCGCTGCAAGTCGGCGCGGACCTGGAGACGGCGGCATTTGCCTCTGTGCCGCGGCGGCGCACGATCTCTTGGACAAAATCGGCATCAGAGAATGCTAGTAGCGGCAGCGTTGTAGCGTCTAAGCGTGGAGTGGCGTGCGGCGGGAGGAGCACTTGCTTGGGGCAGAATCTGCGGGTATCAATGGCTTCGCGAAGGGCGCTCTCCATGCTGCAACTTCGAGTTCGAGTGTCACCAGAGACGACAATGGCCCTGTTGGCTGCCTCGAGCATTGGCAAGTCAAGTGTGCTATCTCCAAAGGCCCAAACATAGAGGCCGGATTGCTCTCGAAGACTCGAGACAACTCGTGCCTTGGTCTCCGGGGTCATTACAACCTCATCCGTGATCCTACCACCACCAACGACTTTGATGCTGTGCCCAAGGCCAGCTTTGTCCAAAACAATTTGCCAGACGCGTCGAATTCCGCAGGTCAGTACAACAACTCGTATGTGCCCGTGGCTGCAAGCCAGCCGAAAAAGGGTGATAAACTCAGGGTGTAGAGTAATCGAGGAGGCGATTTTCTCGCACAGGGCCTCAAAGTCCGTCTCGTTGGTAGCTTCTTCGTACAAGAGCGTTGCCTGGCGAAATGCGGCCTCGGAATAGCCGAGCGGACTGCTGAAAAGGTTCTTGAGCGGGCACATCTCCAATGCATCTTGGCTAGAACCATTTGCAGCCTGCCAAAACATGGAACCGGCGTCGTCTCCCGCCAGAGTCTTATCCGCATCGACAACCAAGACAGTTTCTGCGCGCTCCTCGCCCTCAAGTGCCACTTTGACCTTGCTCATGACGAGAGCGAGGTTGCGTCTCGCGTTGGTCTGCTCGAAATGGCGCACCAACTTCAAGGCAAAAGGGAACGGCTCGGAATGCGGCGGGATAGTTGTGAACAAGATACAATGCTGTCTACAAAGCCCGTGGAGTTGGTCAATCTCGGCGCTCTGCCACTGCTCCAAGTGTGCAGTGGACACGGGCTGGCGATGCCGGTGCGTGTCGCCCAGCCGACGTTGGCGAATGGCGTCGACTGGCACCTTCAGATAGATGATGTGTGTATATATGCCAAGGTCTCTCGCAGTGATAACAACGTCGCCTGCGGCTTCACCTTCTGGCCAAAACATGTAATGGCCAACAACCAGAGCAGCGCGGTTTTGAGCCAAGCACTCTTCTGTAACACTGGTCATTGCCCGCTCCCGCACCAGGCGCTTTTGCTGTTGGTCAAGTTTCTCAAAAGCGGCAAGGCCTCCAGCAACGAGGGTGGATATCAACTCAGATCCCTCGTAAAAGAGAAAGCTTTCGTGGCCAACTTGAAGCTTTATCTCCTTCATCAAAGTAGACTTTCCAGACCCCGGAAGTCCGTACAATCCGATGATAACGGGCTTCTTGTCAGACGCAGGGTCAGAGCCGATATCGGTAGCGACCGTAGCCGCGGATGCCTGCGACACCGTCGTTGTAGCCATGTTGCTGGTCATGTCGGGACGATGGCGAATTGAGCGAGTAAGTGCTATGAGAAAAGGCAAGTGATGGTTCAGTAGTGGTAACTATGCCGTACATTCGCGCAGAAAAGGTCATGGGAGGAGAGGCCAGAACCTTCTTAAGCGAAAGCACGCTCGTTGGTATTCGTAGTGATTCAGACCATGGCGAGAGGCCACCTCCCCGACCTTGTGCTTCTTGGCTGGATTGATCACTTCTCGCACCTGGCCGGCATTGGCGGAACGGCAAGCCTTGGCAGCCACGCGGTAAAACAGCCACCTGGATGTGTATTTGAAGACCATGTAGGCGTAGACGAGAATGTGACGTATCGGTTTGAACGGCGGCACGCTCTGAAGCGGATAGCCATCATGCACGGCACGGCTGAGAATGTAAAAGACGTCGGCAGTCTCGCTCAGTCTCTGCAACGGAGTCAGAGCCTCGCGACGTTCCAGCAGCTCTTCGCGTAAACGCTCCCGATACCAGGAGGGTGCCTGCCGCTCAAGGCGCAGAAGCCGATGCCATCGTACAAGTAGCAGCCGTTGCATTGCGAATCAGGACAGGAAACGTAGTGGTTGCCCTGGAGAACTCTCCGCATGTCCAAAGTCATGGACAGTTGACCTGATGTCAAGCTCTGTGTGACACCGGATACCTATATATGCGCTCTTCTGTGGCTGCCTTAGGTATCAACCGTCGTTTGCTTTTTTTGGACCCTTGGCATACCGGACTTTTGGCTACTTGGATCCTATCCTGCAGACGGGATGGATTCTTTCCAATGTCTCACCGATCTTCCGCAGTTTGCAATTCTCCAATATATTGACGGAAACACTGATTCGGCTTCGAGGAGGCCAAAGCAAGACACTTGAATGCGTGCGCTGAAGATGCCATCCCATTGACCGGTGACGCACAAGTGTCACAACCAACGAGAAAATCACGTATCACAGGTATTAGGCTGTTCGTAGGCTGCGCTGCGATTTAGATGTACCTTCTGTGTCCACAATTACATTCAACTGTAGCAAGATTCGCTCTAGCATCCTGTTTACTAGTACTTGACGAGTACGTCCCTCTCAGTGCATGGGCCAACACGATATTCCATCAGAGTTCGTGTTTCATGACCTGGCTTACTGTCTTGACCACGCGGATGTGATTGAAGTGCGGCACTGTCTTGGAGACGCGGATGTGAATTGAATGCAAGGCAACTGTCTTGGAGTCGCGGATGATGTGATTGAAATGCAAGGTATGCTGCATTACAGCCTGCCAGCTCATGCCGCAGCTGGTTCTCTAGAGGAAAGAGAACTCTTGTCAACTCAATCTGCAATGACCTCGCTTGTAAGGGCATCCGTGCCCGGCGATACGAGGTCACGAAAAGCCGGCCAACTGCCGCCAGCGAGCTAGCGATTCAGTGCTGCCGGTGGACATGGTCCTGCAATGTAGCTATTTGTGCAGTAGGAATTGCTGGGGAATTTTATCCAAAAACGTCATGACTTGTTGACTGACGACATACCAAGGCATGTTCTGTTCCCTAGTTAGGAGTCCACCGGGCACCAGTTGTGCATATCGAAAACCAACACGGTGAGTTAACTGACCACGTCGAAGATGCGGTACGTAATTCAAATTCGCAGAATGGCTCGCTGCTTTCTTGCTCTTTGCAATAACCAACAAGCTTGTCCTCAACCGAAACGCATAAATATGTCGTCGTCGCCGCATGAACATGCCATCCCATCGCTCTGGTACAAGCCCCAGCCTTAATCCCCAACGACGAGCTACATGTCCTCTTCTCCAGCCACCTCATCTTCCTTCTCAATCCAAAACGCATTCATCCTAATCTCATCCTCCCACGTCTCCGGGAGCACCACCGCCGGCGCCGTCCTCACCCTCTCCGGCGTCACCGCAAACTCCCTCGGCAGGCGCACATCCCCCGTGCCGCGTCCCAGCATCATATTCGCCGCCGCCACGCCGCTCCTCGCCGCCGCCGGCATCCCATGCCCCGTGTACCCGGCACTTACAAACAGCCCCCCTCCACCACCGCCCAGTATCGCCGGCACCTCGCCCACCCACGGATGCCCGTCCGCCGAGTATCCCATGATGCCCGTCCACTCATACACCGCCCGCAGCTCCTCGCTCTCCTCTTCGCCGGGCCGCAAGTCAATCACCCCGTGCGCGGCCCGGCGCAGACGCGCGCTCACGTCCCCGTCCAGCTCGTCATCGCGCGACGTCTGGCTGCGCACCACCGCCTCGCCCGAGCGCTCCCCGCCGAGGATCAGCACCCCGTCGGGGCGCTGCGCGAGGTAGTCGTCCGCTTCGGCGGGCGTGCCCCAGATGTGCGTGTGCTCCAGCGGCGCGTACCCCGCCGGCGGCACGAGCGCCGCGACCTGCCCGCGCATCGGCCGGATCAGCGCAGACATGCGCGGCAGCAGGTGCGATGTGTACCCGTTGGTGGCCAGCAGCACCTGCTTGGCGACGACCTGGCCGCGCGGCGTGTGCAGCACCCACGACGTCCCGAACCGCTGCAGGTGCGTCGCGGGCGTCGTCGTCTGCAGGTTGAATCGGACACCGGCTGGCCGCGACTGGTCATTCGTGCCCAGCAGCGCCTCCAGCACCCACGCCACGAGCTTGTACGGCCACAGCTTGGCCGCATGCGGATGCACCACGGCCGCGCGCGCGCCCGGCACCCGCAGCCGCTTCAGCTCCTCAACGTCCTCGACGTACACCACCTTGTCCGCGAGCGCCGGGTGGTGGCGGCGCAGCAGCCGCACGTTCTCCTGGGCCGCCTGCGCTTCCGTGTCGGTGGACAGGCGGCAGACGGCGCCGACCGACTCCCAGTCGCACGGCACCTGGTGGGCGCGGACGAAATCGCGCATGTAAAAGTAATTGTCCAGCTCAAACTGCGCCACGTTGGGCTTGCTGATGAAGACGAGCGGGTGGCAGTGGCCGCCATTCTGTTTCCCAATGTCAGTTGCTGCGTAGAGAGATGCGTCACTGTGCGTTTGCAGCGTACCCGGCCAGTGGCCCCCCAGCACGCCTCCCGCGCCTCGAGCATCAGCACGCTGCGTCCCGCTTCCACGAGCGTCCGCGCGGCAAAGGCGCCCGTGATGCCGCTGCCCACGACGACGACGTCGGCTGACGCCGGGAGCTCCTTGGTGGTGCGGTGGCCCAGCAGCGCCGGCGACGGGTCCTGGTGCCAGTACGAGTGGGTGCTCTCGGCCGTCGGCAGCTCGGCCTGGCCCTCTTGCAGTTTGGTCTGCGTCATGATGGGAAGCAGAAAAGATGACAGAGATGTTTCTGTATGTCGCTGGCCTTTTTTCTGATGGCCTCGGATGACCTGATGGTTGATTGTTGTGACTGGCCCGGGTGGGGTGTCCAGGCAACTTATTATCAGAGAGATGGGCATACATATGTACATAGCGCCACGTTACAACCTCAACGTCTGACGCAGCCTGATGACGACGACTCCCTCGACGTGTCGCCCAACACGTCGCCCAACAATCATCGCAAGCGTCAGGTACAATGCCCGTTGATCCGGCACTCGATATTGCCCAAGTCAGGCAGATGTTACAAGCTCGGGCAACAATTAGGAACCTCGAATCAACAACTTGCTCGAGAGCACACTGTACCACTGTGTCACAAATGATAAAAAGAAATAGTTAAGCCATAATGTGTTCATACCATTTCATCGTTAGACTCATACGCAACAAAATAAACGTCGACTAATATGTTCGCGACTCCCCTTGCTGAGATCCATATCTCCTCCAGGTCCTATCGATGTCCTCCCATCTACTATGATACGTATATATTTACATGATCCTTAAACGCCAAAATTCATCCATGAGTAGCAACCGCTTCGGGTTCTGTGCCAATACAAGCCAGATTCTGTCTAGCCTTCCTTCTGTGTGGTGCCAGGGCATAATGTCCTTGCCCGTATATATATAATCCCAAGCTGGGCCTTGAGCTTCGTCGCCACCGCCCATATATCTAATATTTCAAGTATGGTTTCTTCTCGGGCGTCGCCATTTTCATCCGCCATCATTTCTGTAGCGGTGCTGTTGACGCCTGGCGGTGGTATGTGTTGTAATGCCAAATAACTCCATATAAATCATGTCGTAGTGTAACTCGGGAATGTGGCTGTCCTGCTTCCATTCGCAGCAACTTGCAAATTCATTGCCAAGCCATAGCGTGTTTGCCATGTTTCCAACAACTGAGCGATATCTCCGCGTACATTTCTCAGTACTGCTTCCAATCCAATCGAAGCTCGAGATGTATCCTTTCGTATGTATCCAGCATTGCTCTTTGGCTAGATCGGATGCGCGTCTAACAAATTTAGACGTCTGTCATTTCGGTATCGCTGTCAAAGGCAATCGCCACCGGGGGCATATCTTCCAGACCCCAGCTTCCTTCATAGACGGTGGCGGGTGCGTTGCGATGTTCAGCGAGCCACTGCAGCCCCTCGAGCTCCAGAACCTGATCGATGCGGGGTCTGTCGCTAGGCTCTTTAGCAGTCATCCAGCGAACGATAGAGTCCAGAGAGCTTGGGTGGAAGGCGTCAACCATGAAGGAGGGCTGCTGGCTGAAATCAGTATCAGTATTCTTGAAAGCTTTCGGAACGTTTCCTCTGCTGTGCTTGTTCGCCAAGAATTCGTTGCTGTGCACAAATTCGAGAGGATGGCCGCTGGTATCCCGCTTGACCTCATTGGAGGGCGTCCAAGTGAGGCTGGGGACTTCCGAAAGGTCTCCAGACCGGAGAGCAATCCATGTGGGACCATTGGGTGGAAGCACAACGTTGGCTGCGACCTCCAAGATGATGAGTCCAAGAGAAAAGACATCAGCCGGCTGGCCCACCTGACCCTTGAGCATCTCGGGCGCCATGTACTCTCTGTCGCCTTCCGTTTCTACACTGGTTATCGCAGAGCAGGCCTGTGCGAGGCCAAAATCGCCGATCTTCAGAGCACCCTCAAAGTTGATAAAAATGTTGGCGGGCTTCATGTCCAAGTGCATAAAACCGGCATCATGAATCTCCTTCAGACCCAGGGAGAGGTCCTGTAGAATCTTGAAGATGCGGAAATCGTCCAGGCGTCCACCACGACCCACAGTACCCAGGAACTTTTCCAAAGTACCTTCTTCACAAAATTCCGTCTGGATGTAAAGATGGGACTTGTGCTCCCAGTCGTCAACGTAGTGTACAACATGCTCGGCATGGGACAAGGCCTGAAGGATACGAGCCTCACGTAGCTTGATCTCTTGGTCCTTGAGTCCGTGATAAGGGTGCCTGCTCTTCTTGACTGCATACACTTGGCTCCTCGTTGGGCTTTGGCCAAGATGTGCTGGTGTCATAGATAGAGACCCGGAGAATAGGTCCCGGTTCGTCTTGGTGACGCGATAGACTGTAGAAAATTCACCTTTGCCCACCTGTTCAACCTTGTCGAACTTTGAATACAGGCTTGCATCGATATCAAGGTCGCTGTTGCGATCATTGACAGGAGTTACAAATATGCTGGTGGAAGAGCGGAAGTCTCTAGCGGTAGTGGGCGTGACGGGAGGCGGCATGGAGCTTTCGGCGGCTTCGTTGATCTGTGAGGGAGAGGGGCGGTTCTTCTCAGCTGGCAGAACGCCCTCCTGTGGAGTTTGGGGCGTGCGCTGTCTCTCGATGGGAGACGCGGTCGAGGATCGAGGAGGCAACTGTTTGACAGCAGAGAGAGGAGGGAGCACAAAGGTACGGTTTGCACTTGGGCTCTCCAGAGACTGCTCACTCAGGTTGCTCAAGCTAGGGGTCAAACTATTCTTGGTGGGTGTTGGAGGAATGTCAGCGTCCAAGCTGCTGGTCAGATCAGTGTTTCCGCCAAACAGCGTGCGTTCCTCGCCATCAAGGCTGAGGACGCTGCCCCGACGAGCACGGAACCCGGATGGGCCGCGCTGGAAAATGGTCATGCCCTTGGCGAGATTGCCGAATGTGTCCGGGGCACGGATAGGTGTAGCCGAAAATGGTGTAGAGGGTATGCCAGCAAAGGAGCCTCTGCTATTACCTCGCTTCCTCATGCCGTTTCCTGCTTGAGGGGGAAAGGTAGCAAACGGGTTGCCGTGCTTCTTGCACGGCGTGTCAGGCGGGGCGAACTTTCTGTCCGCCTCCTCCTCGGGGTTGCGGTTCACCTTGGAAATCAAGCCTGTCGAGTTGAAGGCGCCAACCCACAGATTTGCGTGGTTTGGCGTCGCCACTGCCTTTGTGTGGTCATGGGTGGATCGCGCAGTAGGACGGGTGGCGTTGGCAGGGAGAGAGCGGGAGAAAGGATGCGACTTGGGCCGCTCAAAGCGTTCAAAGCTGGGCTTGGGGGGTGCCTGGAAAGCAGGCTCTTCCTCGGTCAGGCTGTTCCCGGATGAAGATGTGGTCAGAGTTTTAGAGAGGGGGTGAGGTTGGTGCAATTTGCTGTCCAGCGGGTGCATGGACGGGTTTGGTAGAGGAGTCACATTTGAGAATGGACTGTCTCGAGGTACCTGAGGAGGCACAAAGTGGTCGGTAGAAAGTCGTGGCCTGCTTCTACTGGGAGTGGAGAGGTCCGAAGATAATTGGGCAAGCTGGCGCTCACCTGTGCGTCTGCCTAGAGAGCGCTGCTGTAGTGTTGATTTGCGGAGAGATGAGGAACGCTTGGGAACGGAAGAGGATGGTGAGGAGGAAGCGGAAGAAGAGAGGGCATCGCCGTGAAATGCGACAGGCATGGCTGAAAGCTCGTATTCAGTATGCGTGTCCTCGTGAATGTCGAAACTTTGAGAAGAGGTAGTGTTGCTGCCAAAAATGCTGAAGCCTTCGGGGTTGCCAAAAGTGGCGATGCCGTGCATGCTGCGGCGTTTGGCCACTGGGCTGCCTTGATTGGGATGATCCAGATTCATGGTCGCATCACTGCGCTTGAGGGCACCAGTGGTCGAAACCATGTATTCGGGCGTTAGGTCCAGGGCTTTGAGGAAGGCAGCTTGCGAGGAGCCAGAAACGTCGAGATGAAGACTGTGGCGCGAAGGTTTTTTATCGAGACTCTTGAGAACGGCGGCGCTTCCGCGTGCGTTTTCCTGGCCAGGCGAAAATCGATGTCGAGGAGAGGCGGAGGTTGCGGGGCGGGCGTAGTTGATGGAATCCGACGTGGTGTTGAGGCTGCGTTTGATCGGACTCTTGGGTGAGGAGCGGCGTGCGAGTTGGCGGGCGGGCGATAGGGTTTTTGTAGCCTTTGCGCTGCGCAGCGACAGTCGAACACTGGGACGTAGTGGCGTCAAGACAGGGGACTGCAAAGGCGTTGTGGATTGCACGAGTGCAGCAGCGGCAGGTGGCGCAGAGTGCGGATGGGCAGCAGTAAGCCGATGATGGTGTTTCGGCGTGAGCACAAAGCGTCTAGAAGGCGTCCGGGGAGAAGCTGGCAGCGAGTGGTCGGAGTTCTGAGAGCTTGTGCGAGAGAGAAACTTAGATGGTGATCGGGAGAGAGAGCGGCGGAGGGTGCGGACGGCAGAAGAAACATCAATCTGATGGGCGTGCGTGGGTGATGGCAGAGCCAACGTCCCGCCCGAGTTGGAGAATGACATTGTGTTTGTTGTGAGGAATGCGCGGCGAGGGCGTTGAGAGCGGGGCGCACAGTATACGGAATGTCGACGAAACAGTTGCTAGCCCCAAGTGGCAAAGATGCAAAGGCAGAAAATGGAGAAGCCGAAAATGCGTCGAAGTGTTTGAAGAATGAGCAAAGAAAAAAAAGACGAAGGCTTTGCGGCTGGGGTATATAAAGACTAGATGTCGATGTTGTTTCGAGGTATCAAACAGAGGTAGGTGACGTGTCGTGAATGTGTGCGACAGTAGAATGTCGGCTGCTGGGCTGCAGAGTGAGAGCAGGTCTAGAAGGCCCAAGATAGGAGAGGATTGGTCAGATCGGCACCATAGCTCGGCGAGCACCGTTGTACAGAAACAGGCAGCAGTTGTTGAAGCCGGATGTCGGCGGCGGAGGCGATGATGATGCGGCGTAATACGTGGTTGGGTTGTCGACTCGTCAGGCCAGGAGAGGCAGTTGGCACATGGCGGGTCACAAGGGACAGGCACATGCAAGTCGGTCCTGGTCGGGACGAGTGCGAGTGCGAGTCGATTGTTTATAACTTGATCTTGTGATTGTATTCGCCGCGCACAAATCACATTCGTATCCTGTCCCAAGCCGAAACGGTTCGTCCTCGAACGGTAGTCTAGATTTTCTTGTCCAACGATGCGACGGTCTGTATAATCGCACCACACAGCCCGGCTTTGTCGGTTCTCATACGACAACCATACCTCCGGAGACAATAGCTCGGTCAATGTGTCTGAGAAACACAAGCGATGATAAAAGGGAGCTATTCCGGACAGCAAGGGCAGGCGAGGATTGAGGGGTTGTTGATGGTGTGCGGACGAGCAGGTAATGTGAGGAATGCAAAAAGTAGGCGCAGGCAGGGTGCTTTCACGAGAACAAGAGAACGGAGCGAGGATGGGCACAAGAAGGAGTTAGCGCAACCACGGATTAAAAAAAAAAAAGAAGTCCACTCTGACAGGCAAGGACAGCAGGCAGGGGAAGTCGAATCCTGTCGCGGGTCGGGTCCTGGGTCTGGGTAGGTATCTGACGGGGGGTGTGCATGGAGAAGACGGGCGAGGCAGCGCAAAGAAGGGGACTTTGGGGGACCAGCCAGTGGACCAAGAAAGACGAAAGACGACAAGAGAAAGAGAGAAAGAGAGAAAAGGGTCGTGACAAAGGCGGGTGACGCATTTGTTTACCATGTTTCCTGATACAGCTAGCGTGTCGCGCCCGAGACGCGTCGAGAAAGAGGTGTGCGGCCCAATGGCCTGGGGGTGGGCAAGGGGATACAGGACAGGATACAGGGGTTACAGGGGGTTGGATTGGGGGCAGCGGCGGCCTTGCAGGGGAGGACGAGTCCGCTGCATCCACTGTCCCGTCCACTGAGTCCACCCGTCCCGCACAGTGAGCCACTTTGACCACTTTGACTGCCACTGCCCAGCGAGTCCAGCGCCACCTGGTCCCCGGCTCAGGCGCTGTCGCTAAAAAATTACATCAGTACTACAGACGACTCGCTGGGATCATCAGTGTGACAAGAGGGACAAGAGGGCGCTGTAATAAATGTGACCGTTGGCCACGCCGCCGCCAGCCCACACTGTTGAAGCAGATACTCTGTCCCAGTTGATCAGTCGACTTTCCGCGCGCCCGCCATTGCACCACCAGTTCTCACAGGGATTGCTAATACCTCCTAGGTAGGTACCTAGATTTCTAATAGAGCTCATTTCCACTGCCAATATTATCCTTCATTTCTTGTTTGCCTTTCTTTGCCACTCTTATTTCGAGTGCGCCGCACAGCCCACGGGGTACCTGCTCACTGCTGCAGATTGCTGCGAGCGCAGTGGTGTGCAGCCTCCCGATGCGTGTCTTGTTTTGTGATTGTTGTGATTGTCTTTTCACCCCGCCTCCTGTCTTTTCTGTTCTGTAATACTCTGTCCATCCTCCTGGGCCGTCTCCAGCCAGCCACTCATCCACCATCCATCCACCATCCATCCATCCACCACCATCCATCATCACCATCCACCACCCCAACCTGCGCGCTGCGAACCAAAGAAAAAAGAACTGAAACTCGGCGACAAATGTCTCGCCTGCCACGGTGCACGGCTCCACCCTTGGCTTTTTGCCCAGGTCAGTCTCATACAACACTCCCAGACGCACACCACCATGTCCACATCTCATGCAACATGCTGCACACCCGGCAGCGAGTAATCGTCTGCCAGGTTGCCGCTACTGGAGCAAACTCCCCCCGTCCTGTCCTGCCACGCTGTACTGCATCTGACTGCATCGTAGCCTACCAAGAGAGCGGTACCTGCTGCAGGCGGCGCCAGATTCCCAACGTGTGCTGCCCGTACTGGTGGACTGGACCCTGTCGACCTCAGCCCAGCTTTGTGCGCCTCAAATCAGACGACAATCTGGCTTTCGCTGGCCAGCCATCTTGTCCCTTGTTGCTTCCTCTGCCGCCTTTGAAACCCGTTTGTTCTCTCGACAGCCTGCGATATTGGCCCAATCTCGGCTTCATCATCCGCCCTGCTATTTTGCTGGCTGCCACCACCATACCAGCAGACGTGCGACATGCTATGCTGCATTGATCTCTGTCAGCTTTCAGTTCTCTCGCTTACTGGTATAGAGTAGTCTTTGCCCATAGTACGACTCTCATCCACATCATCGCCTTCATCACGCCCCAAAAGAGTCCAAGACACTCGCCGCCGGTGGGTCGTTGACGTGACGGGGCACCCAACCAAGCAAGCACCAAGCCCTCAACGCCCTCTCGTGCTCTCGTCATGCGCTACTTCGTACTCTGGCCTGCCGATGCCCAACCTTGGCCGCATCAGGCATCCATCGCAGCATTCTTCTTGCTCTCTTGCCTCGTGCGCCTTGCCGCTTGTCCCACGATGCGCCGCTGTCCTCCGTAGGACCGGCGGTTGCGTTGGGGTTCTACAAGGCGCCTCGCCCGCTGTCCAGATCGGGACAAAAACAAACAAAGCCTGTTCTGACGTAGTATTATCATGGCTGGTATTATCACTTGTGCCCCTATTCCCCGGCCTCTCCACACGCGACGGGGCCTGGTATCAGTGTAACGGATAGCTCAGGAGAAGCATCGTGGGCAGGCCGTCCAAGTCCCCTCTCTCCCATCGAACCTCTTCACCCCCTTTCTTTTCATCTTTTTAGGTCGCGACCCCGGTCAACGTTCTCGTCCGCCCAGCCCGCACTAGCTGCCGGTCTAGTAGGTCAGCCCAAAGCCCGACCCGCACGCACGGAGTCGAACCCGGAGTTCCGTCTAGGCTGTTGTTTCCATCTTGGGCCGTAGTCTTGCTCCTGAGAGGACCGCCTGGTCCCTGTAGCAGGTCGGTGTCAGTCGCTCTCCCGTCTTGGTGTCCTGAGTCGCTGTTCAATTTTGCTCGTCTTTGTTATGTCTTGCTGGTAATAGTCGCCAGCCTTGACTCGAACCATTGGCATTCCCGCGAGTCCAAAGGCCCAGGGACCCGGTCTTGATAAATGATGGCCCTAAAAATATTTCGCCAATTCATGCAAACTGGTGGGCGGCTGCTGAATCGCGGCCCGGGGCGCCCGAACCTCGGACGAGTCGGCCTGCCTTCTGCTGCGGCCAGAGGGCCGCCTTGAATCGTCCGTTTCGCACAAGAGGCCCAACTCCGGCCAAGACTCGCATTCTGGTCACTGGTCACTGGTCACTGGTCCCCTATGAACCCCTATTCTTTGTTGATTTCAGTCATTCGCCGAGGTAGCAGTCTGCGGAGTTCTCTGTTTCTTTTTTCTTTTTTGTGTCTCTTCGTGGAACATGTACCTGTTCGGTTTGTCTGACCGCCCTGCATCCAGGGCGGCGCAAGGCCGGTCCTGTGTGTCCGTCCTCCGAAGCGCTGGTAACACTGCGCCGAACACAAGGCGGTAAAGGAGATGGAGCAAGTGTTCAGGGCGCTGGTGTTGCTCACCGCATACTTCGTACACGATGGCATGCGACATCTACCGTATTCGAAACTACGAGGCTGGGTGATCGTGTGCAGTTAGGGCAGTCCTGCAAGGGAACAACCGAATTGCAGGGGCATGGGGTGCTGGTCGCCCATTGACCGCCTCACGCACAGTGCATGAACGTCCAACGACAGACTAGACGGGTGGCTGAACAAGATATCACGTTTTATGCTCTGGTGGCGGGGAATCCTGACTAGGAAATGAATACCCTGGTCAGGCGAGATTGAGGCTTGGAAGCCAACGCGTGATATTGGATCTGGTGGATGTCGGTGGATTTGCTTGCCCTAACAGGCGAGAAGATAAGATGCAGCCATCAGCGCTGCGAGCTGGAGCTACCCTATACAAGAGTTTGATCTTTTGATGATAGGACAATAAGACAATTGCGCGAGGTTTGACCATTTATTTATTATGCGCATGAAGTTAATAGTATCTTTTAATTCCTAGCGGGTGATAATAAATATTGTATGTGATATCGCACCCAAGTATGTGGCACTAGGAAACAATGCTTACACCCTTCGCTTGCATGACTACCTAGTTATTCTGCTCACACGCAATCACATTCTCCGAGTGCGAGGCAATTATCTCGCAACGTACATATGTAAAAATAGAAATGCAGGTATGGGCGCAAGTGACAGAATTTCGTAATCAACACATTCAAAAGCTAAAGAGCAGGCAGGAGCGCAAGTGACAGAATCGACTTTATCAGATCCGTACATGCATCCAATTAAACGCCCACATGCCACTACATATTTACAACGCACTGCCATGTTTCACCCATCATACGATGAAAAACCTTCCATCTCGCGTAGTTGTCGGCTAATGCAGGTCCATTTTTGTAAGGTGAATCAATCCATTCGGGGGCTACCGCAAAGAAAAAAGTCAGCAATGAATCGAATACCACGAAAGACGACAAGTCACCCGCGCAAAGACTACGCCGAGGAAACAACTCACCGGTGTAAACTGCCTCAGCTTGACGCCGGCCTGGCGAAACACGGCCGCCGTCTCCGTGTCCATGCTATAGCCGTGCGCGTAGACGACCTCGCTGATGCCGACCTGGCAAATCTTGATGCTGCACGTCAGGCACGGGCAGGTGTCGCAGTACAGCACGGAGCCGCCGCGGATGCGATCCCGACCGGCCTCGAGCAGCGCGTTCTCCTCGGCGTGGAGGCAGAGGCACGTCGCGAGCCCGACGCCCGACGAGTGGCCGCTGTTGCAGCGCGGGCACCCGCCGTCGGCGCAGTTGCGCAGCCCGCGCGGCGTGCCGTTGTACCCCGTCGACACGACCCGGTGGCCCTCGCCGACCAGCACGCACCCGACCCGCCGCTTCATGCAGTTGGAGCGCTGCGCCGCCAGCGCCGCCAGCGACATGAAGTACGTGTCCCACCCGGGCCGCAGCCGCTCCGGGTTCGGGATGTCCAGCGTGCCGAGCGTCGCGTACAGGTGCGCCAGCGACGGCGACGTGTTGAGCAGCCGCACCGTCGCGCGCGAAATGAGCGGCTGCAGACCCTGCCGCGGGCAGAACAGGTGCCGGTCGTTCTCGGCCGCGAAGGCGTCGAGGGAGAGCGGCGAGGCGCCCGCCGTGCCGCTGGCCTCGAGCCGCGCAGAGTGCCGCCGCCAGCGCACGAGGAGTGGCGCGTCGGTCGAGAGGAGCATGAAGAAGGGCCGGCGCAGCAACACGTCGAGAGCCTTTTCTGTGGGGATGTCGGTGGTAACGAAGCGGCTGCGCCAGCTGAGCGTCACGAAATCTAGAAGCGCCTCGGCCGTGTCAAATGTGTGGCTCTCATGATCACTTCGCACTGCCAGCGAATCGGGTAAATGGCTGCCGTGAGCGGCCGGGCCAGAGTCGGTGGCTTCTTCAGAAGCGTTCTCCCGGATACCATTGACTCCTAGATTATCGCCGCGTAGGTAGAGGCGCTTGAAGCCGTGGTGCTCGACAAGATATTGCGCCACCGTCTTTTTGCCGGAGCAAATGCCTGTCCCGCGCAGGTTAGTATCTTGCTCGGCACTCCGCTTTCGTTAACAGGGCTCATCTTACTTCCACATATACCAATGAGCATCTTGAGATTCCAATGTGATCCGCAAGGACAGCTGGTGGGCTTCTGTTGAGAAAAGTCGTGTGATTGATTGAGGGACGTGTCTCGGGCGCGGTTCGAGGTGGGTCTTCGCGTTTAATAGATTTGCCTGGCCGTTCAAATTCAAACGGCAACGCTTTTCTGCAGCAGATAATTCTGGATCAGGGAGGGAAGAAGCGGAATCTACAAGGGAGTTGCCCCCGTAAAAAAACGGAAGACCCTGTGTCAACAATAACCTCTCGTGATGTACCAAGGCTCAATTCCACACAGTTGGCGGGAAACCAGTAACTGGCTAATATCACCAAAGACGAACAGGAAAAGAAGGCACACTCTTAATAAGTATCCGGGGAAAGGGGAAGAACTTGAGCCAGTGGTGGAAAAGAAAAAAAAAGACAAAGAAATGGACGGCTCCTGAATGAGCTCGTTGACAGAGGGCATTAAAAAAATGCAAAAAGAAGATGTTCTCCGGTACAGGGAATCGAACCCTGGGCTGCTCGGTTCTTCATTGAGAGCGAGCGATGTTAGCCACTACACCATACCGGATGTTTCTTGATGCTAACGGTTTGCTTAATAGGTACTATAAAGTATTTCACTAAGGCCAAGTTTACTTTAACCTGAGTTTGGTACTACTAGGACGGCTTAAAATCTAGCAGTGCTATCTCAATCAAAATGGATAAAATTTCCTTACTTGGAAATGAAATTTTGAACTGTTGAGGCTTGAAGTTTCGCACTTCGTTAAAGTTCTTGTTTCCATTCGCCGTTGTCACCAGCCCTTTGTGACGCTAAGCCCCGCGGCGGGGCAGGCTAGTAGGGCATCACCCGCCGGCTCAAGCTGTCATGACTGTCTTGGTCAGATGAGCACTTTCGCAGACGAATATCCCAGAAAGATCCATTGCGCATCGATCCGACATCTTCTATAACTCCCGTAATACTGAATACCATCGGTATAACCGCAAACGAAAGCTACCATCACACGACGTCTGCAGCCTGACACGACACCAGGCGCTTGCAACATCAGCGCGACCGGCGCTGCAGCAACCATGGCGACTCCCTTGCAGTTTGCCCCATTCGCATCCGAGATTGAGCTGCCATTCTACTCGGCGCTCTTTGCGTCTAAGCTCGACTATGACAAGCTCGACGACTCGGCGCGCGGGATTCTCGGACTGTACGAGCCACGAGCGGAGCTACCAGAAGCGAGCAGCAAGATGCAGATACTGGGCAATGCCCTGACCAGCAAAACGTATGGAACAGTGCTGGATGTGAAACCTCGCCACCGTGGAGGTTTTGTGATGTTTGTGTCAGCGACTAACCGATGATGTAGTGCGCCGCTGGGCACGGCTAGAGCTGAAGGCATCATACGAAACGTAAACACACTTGAAGATTTCAGGAACATGGACAAGACTGCCATGCTTAAGACTGCAGGGCGTCAGGTAAGCCTTGCTAAAGTTCTGGAAATTAGCGCCAACTTGATTAACGCATGCTAGATCTGGGATGCCATTAACGATGGCACCATCTACTCTGTCCCCTCTCTACTCGCCTCGTTCGTCATCCTCTCCTATGCCGACCTAAAGAAATATAAATTCACATACTGGTTCGCCTTCCCGGCGCTTCATTCGGACCCGACTTGGCACCGTGCAGGCCCCAGCGAACGCCTCACGCCTGACGAGACGACGGCCCTGGTCGACCGTGTGGGCACGTGGCGCTACTCAGTCGATGGCCGCGAACACGGCTTCTTCCTCGCGAAGAAGGTTCAAGGTCCCGAGAGCGCCAGCCACGACGAATACGCAGATGATGCCGAAGAGATGGAGCCCGACGCAGAAGCTGAAACGGCCGCCAGAAAACTGCCATACCACTGGAACGTGGGCTCGCTACGCCGTTTCGAAGAGGGTTTCTTCAGTAATGTGCCAGAAGAGGACCAATATATCTGCTTCGTGGATGGATCGACACACGCTGAGGGTCCCTCCTGGCCCCTGCGCAACCTTCTTGTGTTGATCCGCCAGCGGTATCGCCTCACCAAGGTCAAGATTCTCTGCTACCGAGACACGCGCGCAAGACGGCACGAGGCCCGGAGTGTCATCCTATCCCTGGAAACGGACGCGGCCGGCGGCACACCGATGAAGGAGATGCCTAAGGTAACGGGCTGGGAGCGCTCCCGCAACGGCAAACTCCAGGCGCAGCAGGCCAACCTGGGCGAATACATGGACCCGGCGCGGCTGGCCGACTCGTCCGTGGACCTCAACCTCAAGCTGATGAAGTGGCGGCTAGCGCCGGACCTGGACCTCGAAGGCATCAAGAGCACCAAGTGCCTGCTGTTGGGCGCAGGCACGCTTGGCGGGTACGTGTCGCGCAACCTTCTCGGCTGGGGCGTGCGCAAGATCACCTTCGTCGACTACGGCCGCGTCTCGTACTCGAACCCCGTGCGGCAGCCGCTTTTTGAGTTTGAGGACTGCGTCGGCGGCGGCAAGCCCAAGGCCGAGACGGCCGCCGCCATGCTCCGCCGCATCTACCCGGGCGTGGACGCGCAGGGCCACGCGCTGTCGGTGCCCATGCTAGGCCACCCGTTCACGGACGAGGCACGCACCAAGGCGGACATGGAGAAGCTCAAGGCGCTGATTGACGAGCACGACGTGATTTTCCTCCTCATGGACACACGCGAGTCGCGGTGGCTGCCGACTGTCATGGGCAAAGCCGCGGGCAAGATTGTCATGAATGCGGCGCTTGGGTTTGATTCCTACGTAGTTATGCGACATGGTGCAGAGACGATGGAAGAGGGCCATGTGCCTCTGGGATGCTACTTTTGCAACGACGTGGTTGCACCAGCAGACGTAAGCCTATCTTCGCGCGGTCATTTTCAAATGCAAACTAACCACCCAACCCTCTGTAGTCCATGAAAGACTCAACCCTCGACCAGCAATGCACCGTGACCCGCCCCGGCGTCGCCGGCATCGCCTCGGCGCTGCTCGTCGAGATGCTCACTAGTCTTTTGCAGCACCCGCTCAAAAACGCCGCGCCGGCGCCCTCCCAGCCCGCGTCGTTGGCCGAGCGCGACCCGCCGAACCACCCGCTCGGGCTCGTGCCGCACCAGATCCGCGGGCACGTGTCGACCTTTACGAGCCTGTCGATCCGCGGGCAGAGCTACGACTGCTGCAGCGCGTGCAGCCCGCGCGTGCTGGCCGCGTACCGCGCCGACGGCTGGCAGTTTCTGCGGCGCGCCCTGCAGGAAAAGGACTATGTCGCCGAGCTCTCGGGCCTGGCCGAGGTGCAGCGCCGCGCCGAGGAGCTCTCTGGCGACTTGGACTGGGACGAGGAGGACGAGGGCGTGGCGGGCAATGATGATGGCGAGGGCGAGCTGCTGTGATTGGAAGGAGGGCACTGGTACAAGGCGCGAGGAAAGAAGAAAGAAATGGGAATGCGATCGTGGAAGATGTGGGGTGGCATAGAAGAGGAGTATGGGGTTTGGGAAGTGGTGATGGCGAGAGGTTTGGAATATGGTTCTCGGGCTGTCCAGCAAGGTCAAGACTCTGGACAATGGCGTACATGGGGTCATTTTTACATCTTTACAGCAATCTGTTGGCGTTTTTGAAATTGGTATAGTTTTATAGTAACGATTATGATTTTCTCTCTCACAGTCGTGATTAGGCCTTGGATTTGTACGGTCCTCAGGGTGCTTCACGGTTACATGATGTGGCGGTGCCAGGAACTGTGCGACATCGATATAGCAACACATCTGGATGAAACCCACCGTTGCCGTCTCATTACACACACCAAGCTGGTGGCAAACGCCAATCGGCGAGCTGGGATGGATTTATTGGGCTACTAAATGACAGTGATGGGCAGCGTTTCATGGCAGCTCATCGATCCACTGGAGGTGTTCGATCCACCTCGGTGGAAATGGGCTGGCGGCGCCTGCAGTCTGACGTAATGATGCGGCGAGCGAAAAGGAATCACGTCACAGCCTTGACTACAAATTTAGCACAGCAATTTTGTTACAGCGTCAAGGGAGGAGCTAAAGGGAAAAAAGTCTTTGGATTGATGGGTATCGAAGATAAAATTACCGTGGTCAAATATCGCCCGCGTTATGCAGCCCAGCGACCCTCCGCAGCCTCCAAGTTCATAATTAGAAGAGCGAACGGGTCGTGGACCGTTGCTCATCACACCAAAGCTACTGAGGAAAAAAGAAAGCCAAAGGAAAATAAGTCACCGTCGGCTGTCGTGGGGATTGAGGGAGCGTGCGAAGCGAATCGCGACCGTAAAGAAAGAAGAAGCAAGTGAGAAATGCGTCGTCGAGTCGAAGGAGCGTAAATGCGACGGCGATCGCGACCAAATGCCGAGGCAGACCGAAAGCTCAAAAGACTGAAGCACTTTTTTTTGGCAGGCAAAACAATGCCATCATTACGAAAGGCGCAGCTGAATGAGCTCGGGAGGCCGGGGCGGGCAGTCGCGGCCGTGGGGCGCTTGGCGGGTTTGACTCAGAAAGTCATGATGCAATAGCTACGAAAGCCTCTTGTCGCGACTTTCTCAGATCAGGGCGCCGCCGGGAGAGCGCCGGAGGCACTTAATACTTGAGAATGATGTAGAGAGCGTGGATGATACCGGGGATATAACCTGGAAGGGGGGGTTAGTAACTATGCCGTGTTTTGTTTTGGGGGAGATTGCAGCTGGGCGAAGCGCAGGCGCAGGGGGCGGCATGGGGGGGCGGCGTACCGAGGATGGTCAAGCAGATGTTGATGCAGAGGTCGGCACCACAGCCACGCTCCAGAAGGACACCCACGGGAGGGAGGATGATGGCAAGCAGGATTTTCTAACGCTTTGTTAGTATTCGCGAGGGAAGAAAATGTCTGGCGATGATTGCCGGTAAACGTACGCAGATGTCGCTAGAGAGACGTTCATGTTAGCTCGGGTCCTTCGGAATAAAATGGCTGCACGCGGCGCGCTGCAGCAAAACGGTGCAGGAAGCCGCAGCAGCCGCAGGATAAAATCTTACCTGGCAGTGAAAGGCATGTTGGCGTATTAAAGATGGTCAACGAGGTTGAGGGTCTTGTGTTGTAAGAGTGCTGTGTGTGGTGAGGTTGAAAGTTCTCGGTGATGGACAAGTAATTCAGTTGAGAAGAAGGGAGAGACGGCGGCGGGGAGAGGGGGGGGGGCAGGAAGAAGCTTATATGAAAGAATTTTAGCTCCGGCGAGGGCCCCGGACTTTGGGCAAGAACAAGAGGAGCAGAAAGAATAACTAGAGCAAACGGGCACAATAATACCAAGAGACACAGACGCACTGCCACTACTACTATGACGGCAAAGCAAGGCAAGGCCGGCTCGGGGAACTTGACTGGTTGGGCCAAATCTAGCACGAACCAGAGCATGGCTAGAGCATGGCTGGGGGGGGGATGGGAGGGGCGCGACGGTGTCTCCGCCTTGGCCGCACAGAGGATAGGCTGCTCAGCCACAGGCAGCAAGCAACTTGCCCTGCTTGCCTGCACAGTGACTGGTTGGAGTTGGGCTATTAACCTTGTGCTGTGGATGAGATGATTGGTTTCATTGCACTGTCCTTTTTTCCCATCCATTATTTTGTTCGATTTGCAGCCTTGCGAGGCGAGTCGCGGCACCGGGACGACGACGAATAGACGCTCGAACCTTGTCGGCGTACTGCTGCCCGGTAGAGACAGGGTAGGATAGCTCCAGCAGAGGTACCTAGCTCCAGCCCCACAGACGCTGATGACCCAGATGACTTTTTTGCTAACTACCTGTTTCTCGACACCTTGTTGCACACTCAGCACAGCCTTGACATGCCATGAATCATCATTGAAAAAAAAAAAAGTACCAAAAAAAAAACCAAACAGTAAACGCCAGTATACGCAATTCAAATCACATGTATCTGTATTGTTTTGCATTCCCACATCGCATCGACGATGGACGAAAATAAATTACAAACAGCCGCTCTGGCGGGGCCAACCAAGCTCCAGCAACTGCGTCATCGACAAGCCACACTTTGCTGGCCGCCAAGCTCCACCACGACGTCTCCAAATAATTCTTTTTATTGCCAAATTTTTTTTTTTTTTTCGGAAGAATGGACTGGATTCCGGCAAACGACTGTATAAACAAAAAAGAAAACACACAAAGATGAGAACAAGTGAAGGGATTGGAACCAGTACGTACGAAAAAAAAAAAAAGCAGAGCGGTCAGAAACAACTGAGACCCTTTGTCGATCCAGCCAGCTTCTGCCCTTGGCGACAACCTGGGCGTATCGCTTGGCCACATGCCCGTTCCCGTTGCTTGTACGTCATTGGGACAGGACAAGCACTAAAAGCACTGTGCTTGCTCATGTAAGAACCCTGGCTGGCCAGCCATTTGTCCTATAATACCACCTACTAATAACTTGTGCCAAATGAAAACAATGCACATCGTTTACCCATCATACGTCGCGACATCGAATCTACCCCATACCTCGAAAACCAGCCGCGATTGGCTCTCTCGCCTTTGTACCCCTGCGTTGAAAATTGTCATCAATGCGTGCCATCTCCAGAAAACGGGCTCCAGAATGATGGTTTGATTTTTTTGCGTTTTGTAGACAGACCACTTTGCCCTTTGCTTCCTTGCTTTTTCCTTTGCCCCATTCTCCTCTTCATCTGGACGCCACACATGATAGATATCCTGATTGTGGCACCACAACGTGGTTGACATGACCGCCGCCACACCCGCCACTCATCATTACATCACCCTTTCACACAACACGTCCCTTGGCCGTGGCGCAGCAGCCGTTGTGACTGTGTTTTCTACCTCGTTGTTTTAGTAATGAATTCCCCGACGGCCACGCCGATTCTTCTCCTTGACTAGGTAGTCAACGCTTTATCTCATCTTGACGCAACCTCCCAAGTCCCGTCTGCAGTTCTACGCGCCGCCCCTCCCCAATGTATCCTGGTGGGTGGGCTGTGCTGCGCTGGAGTGCAATGTCGGACGAGGGGGGCAAGGGAGGTTGGTCTGGTAAGCTCGTCACACGCATTCTGCACACACCACACACGCAAGGTAATATCGAATTGATTGAGTCACTCGGAATACAATGCCCTCAGCACCGAGGCGGCAGTGCTGGTTCCACGCCCACAAAAAAAGCATGTGTTGCGCCAGCACCAAGCTTGCTTGGCAAAAGGGCGAAGCTGATGTCTTGTCCCGCCTGCAGCGAAACCCGAGCGGGCGTGCGATGGATGCCTGAAATCTACTCTAGTCCATGGTGATGTTGTATTCGATCCTTGTAATTCACCAACAGCTTTTAGTCCCTACCCGAAGAGCTGCTCAACCTGTGCAGCATCTGGAGTCAATAAAGTATTTGTATTAAAAGTACAGCCCAGTCTCAACGACGGACACGACGCCCAAACCTTGCCAGAAATAGTACATGCAATAGACTACACCGCCCATCCATTTTCCCGCAGCGTTTCTCCTCCCTTCTGCGCCGCTACTTTTTTTCTTTTCAATCTGCCTTGACGGCATGACCCGCCAGCCTCTTGCCGTATAGCACGGTGCCCGCCAGCAGGCTCCCCGCCGCGGCGCCCACGTACGCGCCGACGACGACCGTCACCGGCCACCGCTGCCAGTCGCGGTCCCAGTCGAGCGGGATCGGCACCGCGCCGAGCCACGCGCCGGCAGCCGCGCCGACCAGCGCACCGTACGGCTCGTCCAGCGGCGCCGCGGCGCCCGCCACGGCCACCAGCGCCGACCGGTCCAGCCCGCGCGCGTGCACCACCGGAAACACGGCCAGCAGCGCAAAGTGCGCCGCGCAGAGCACCGTGTGCGCCGTGTGCGCGAGGAACGGCGCGCCAAAGAGGACCAGGAGCGCGTACAGTGCGGGGACCGTCAGCGCGGAGAGGACGAGGGCGACAATGACGCTCTGCGGGAACGGTACAAGTTAGCGAGTGCCTCGTACGGGGGTTTTGTAGAGATGCGTGTGTGAAAAACGTACGGAAATAACACTGGTGCTCCCGTCATTCTTCTTGGTCTTTTCGCCCGGGCGCGGCTTCTTGCCCGCTCTGCTCGCCGACCCGGCGGGTGGGATGCACAGCGTCGCGTAGACGGCCTGCACGGCGGCTACGACGGGTAGCGCCCTCTGCAGCGCCGACGCGGGGTCCGCGACGAGGCTGTCCATGCCCCATGCCAGCAGGCCCAGCAGCACCGCGACGCGGCCCACGGAGACGCCCTTGGCCAGCGGCGAGTCGTAGATGGGCACTGGGTGTAGCAGGATCTTGGGCCTGGTGTCGGCATCGGCGTCGGCGGCGGCCGGTATGGTTGTCGTCTTGGCCGAGGACATTGTGATGCGTGTGGTGTGCGGTGATGGCGGAGGGGTTGGAGGGCGAAAAGTCTCGAGAGGGCCGTCAAGGTATCATGCTAGTGCGCGCCGCACGTGGAGGAAATGGCTGCATCTCCATCACGAAGTCACGTGCAGCTACTTGCCGGCTTGGATGTGTAAGTGCTGAGTCGCCATGCCACAAAAGAATGCAGATGATGTTTGCAAGTCGAAAATGGGATAGTCAAGACCTGCTATTCACTCGAGCCGGATTTATCGTACTATTTGGTGCGTGTTTCAACGGGTCAAACGCTCAGAAAAAGGCCCTAGGGGCTGAAGCAAATTCTGGAAGAAAGAATGTCGCTGCGTGTTGCCCAGCTTTTTTCTCGAGTAGCTGAGAACCCCAAACTCGGCTTAGAATTAAACACGATTGATTCGTCCCATGTATTATTAGTATGAGAATCGTAGCTGTCAGCTGGCATTTCAATGCGCCTGACTGGTCGGCCGACAATCAGGCCACATCCGGACCACCCAGCCAACGGCCGTTCCGCAAAGCGCCGGGGGGGTCGTGTCCCCGCCACGTTGTTGTCCAAGAATGGTGCCACAATCGTTGCGACTCACCCGGCTCAGAGACAGTCGTGGTGTGATGTGCAGGCGCCAGCGTCTTTCTCGTCTGGCCATTGTGCCGCCACATGGGCACCTCGAGGAACGTTGACGATGATGTCTTGTCGCGGGCGGCGCCGCGAACGCATGATTTCGTCGGCGCGCTGCGGAGGAGGAGGAGGAGTCATTGCATGTTGGCTGGGAACGCGTACAAAAAGGTGCTGCGCGGCTCCTGTATAACGGTATTGGTTTCTTTACTTTAGAATCAAAGCCAATTCGTTCATCAGAAACAACTCTACTCACTTTTTTTTATATACGAGCCTCACCACTCAGTCCATCGTCCAAGCTAGCAACAAGACACTCTACTCTTTACGATACTCGACGACCATCCACAACCTCGAATCCAAATTCAACACTTTTTTTTCAAAGAACAAAAAAACATCAAAATCACAACATGACTCCCGTTGCCCGCGTCATCGCCCGCCGGCCGTTTTCCATGCTCCAGTCGCTGCGCGCCGTCGGCCGCGCCATGGAGTCGCATCCCTTTGAGCGGCTATCTAACACGCAAAAACATGCACCGGCCAATTGGGCGGGCGAGGCGAAGCGTCTCAGCGTAAACCTAGCCATGTAAGTCACTTTCCTATTTCTCTGCCGACTGGCGATTCCATGTTCCCATGCTGAGTACTGTGTAGGTTTGTTCCTGGCATTGCTCTCCTGCTCGGCTGGCCGCTCCTCGCCGCCAAGGCTGTTGATGGTCACGTTTAATGGCATCAAGGCACGGAGTGACCCCGGTATACAGGAAACCACAGATAGACACACGCCTCTTCCCCCCCATCCCATTGATTTCCTTTGTTATGCATCGTTACCCCCGGCGTTTAGGTGGGCATACTGCTATCAAGGACCATCTATACCTTGCGCAGTACACAATTGCATCTCCATTTCGCTAGCTTTTTAGCCTTTTAATAGAATCAAACGTCATCGTTCAATACAAGACGAGGCCCTTTATAACATGAACTACTAATAACACGGCTGCATGTACCCCGAGAAGCCTGCCACTGTCGTATGTTTTGAGCAGGCTTTGTCCCACCCCGATTCGTCCCAACTTGCTCGATTGCATGCAAACTACGTCTGCATGACAACGCCATATTGCCACCCCAAAGGTCAATTGCAGTGCGACAGCCAATCACACCTGCACCGGGAGCTTTATCGGTCGCGACATTTCCCCGCATTGACGAGGGGGGTCGACGATCCCATCGGCCATCGCCTCCCCCAGATAACGCGAGCGAAAGTTGGCTGCGGCAGTTGAACCCTCTTGTAGATACGCATAGGCGGTTCTGATGTGCTGCTAGGTAAGGTATGACCGACTATAAAACGAACAAGGCTTTGTTTGGTGCAAGCTCATCTTGGCTTCGCGCACCTAAACCCTCCAATGCACTTTGCGCAGACATCAAAATGCTGACGCCAGACGATGCCACAGTGAAGCGCGATGCCGGCCTCGATCTTCACCAAAGAGATGACGCTGCGGCAGTACAGCATGGGACGAACCGGATGTACGGCGTCGCCATGCCAGATATCCTTGCCAGCATGAGCGGAGAAGAGCGCGACACGCTGGAGCGCCATCTGCGGCGCAAGATTGACTGGCGACTGCTGCCCATGGTCATCCTCATGTACATTCTCAACTACATCGACAGGTGAGAAGAATAGGTCTTGACAATATAGTGTATGTGAGCTGATTGTGCTGCATGGGCAGGAACAACATTGCCGCTGCAAGGCTGGCAGGGCTCGAGGAAGATTTGAAACTTGATGCCAGCGGCAACCAGTTCTCGGTTCGTGACACGTTGGCTCTCAAGAGATGACAATTATCGGCTAATAGATGGGAGATGACAGACGGCTGTTAGCATCCTCTTTATTGGGTATATCCTCATGCAAGTCCCCTCGAATCTTCTGTTGAACAAGATGGGAAAGCCGGGCATTTATCTACCTGCTTGTGTACGATTCTCTTCTCGGCTCTGGTCCTGAACTACAGTCGCTGATCCAAACGCAACTCCTAGATGGCTGTCTGGGGTGTCATATCAGCAGCGACGGCCTCAGTACACAGCTTCCGAGGCCTGCTCGCCTGTCGCTTTTTCCTCGGTTTCGTCGAAGCCGCCTATTTCGTACGCACTCTCCCCTGCCCTGCCACCTACGTTTCCTCACTCTGCTTGCCATGCTAAAAAAGAACCCCTTCCCTTGCCAACAGCCCGGATGTCTATACTACCTCAGCTGCTGGTACACGCGCAGGGAGCTCGGCGTGCGCACCACCTACCTGTACACCGGCTCGCTCCTCTCGGGGGCCTTTTCGGGGCTCATCTCGGCCGGCATCACCGGCAACCTGGACGGCGCGCGGGGTCTGCGCGCCTGGCGGTGGCTCTTTCTGATTGAAGGCGTCGTCACCGTGGCCGTGGCCGGGGCCGTCATCTTTGTGCTGCCCAACTTTCCGCGCACCACGCCGTGGCTGAGCGAGCACGAGGCGGCCATGGCCGTCTGGCGGCTGGAGCACGACATTGGCGAGGACGACTGGGTGAACAGGGAGGAGCAGACGTTCCTGCAAGGGTTCAAGGCGGCGCTCAAGGACCCCAAGATGTGGGTGCTGGTCAGTCTTTCACCCCCCCCCGGGTCGCCCATGGCCGTGCGGACATTTTTTGGCTGACTGGGGACGTGATGCAGCTCGTCGTCCTGGTGGGCAATGGCGCCGCCGCATCCATTACTAATTTCTTTCCCACCGTGGTGGCGACGCTCAAGTTCTCCAAAGTCAGGACGCTGCTGCTCACGGCGCCGCCGTATGTGCTCGCCGTGCTGACCGCGCTCCTCAACGCGTGGCACGCGGACAGGACCGGCGAGCGCTTCTGGCACGTCTCTCTGCCGCTGTGCCTGGCCATGGCCACATACGTCGTCGCGGCGTCCACGACCAATACCGCGGCCCGCTATGCCAGCATCATGCTCATGGTTTGTTCTCGCCCCTCCCTCGGGCCCCCTTTGTCGCCGACCACTAACACGGCCCCCCCAAGATCCCCGGGCTCTTTAGCGGCTTCACGACGGCGTTTGCCTGGATCAGCAACACGCTGCCGCGGCCGCCCGCGAAGCGCGCCGCGGCGCTGGGCTTCATCAACGCCGTGTCCAACGCGCCGGCCATTTACACGAGCTACCTGTACCCGGCCAAGGCGGCGCCGCAGTACGAGGCTGCCTTTATACACAACTGTCTCATGGCGGCCCTGGCGATTGTCGCGGCGGGCGTGCTGCGGATGATGCTAGCGAAGCTGAACAGGAAGCTTGACAGAGCCGAGAGCGAGGGTGCGGTGGAAGCCGGGCCGGGCGAGGCTGTTGAGCTTGGCTTCCGTTTCTTGCTGTGAAGGGTTTTTTCGACAGACTAGAGAGATGACTTTGCGAAGCTTCAAGAGTGCGCGAAATGAATTGCAGTACTTTTCATATCCCTTTTACCGCCAATAATTCGCTGAGTGTCCCTGATCTAGGCATTTGGACAATGAGTTGCGATGCGGGGGCGGTAACTTCAGATGGATGGGATACGATAGTACCGCGTATTCCAGACTGATACAGTTGTACGAACCCAGGGTGGTGCGCCATGATCTGTAGGAGAATAGATGAGATTGCCCTGTCGAATGTAATAGTGGATGCGTTGGGTTTCGACGGTTGATTATTCGGGGCCAGCTGAAGGATGACGCGCATGAAGACTTGTTCTGCATGTTGCGGGGGGGGGGGGGGTATTGATACAAGGGGTTGCCTTTGCAGGCCTCTTCTAGTTAGTTAGTTGTTCGATCACGTAACGAAATTATAATCTATTATCCTTAGTAAAACGTGCTTTTTGTTGCCAAACTCTCCTGCCCGTATTCTTGGCAGTGGACACAATACGATGGCTGTTGGCGCTCAGTTTTCGACGCGTTTCAGCTGTACGACGGAAGACGGCGGGGACTCATCAGTATGCCGGCTTGTCGATGGTTTCAGCAGACTCGAGCACGTTTCACGGCGGGCTGCGCCGTGCATGATGTGCTTACGTAGGTTACGGTCGCGGCTTTGAACAAAGGCTGACAGGTTGACAGGTTGACAGGTTGTTCATGGCCGGCCCCTCGAGCCCATGTTCGATGCGTATGCTTGTCCTACGGATGCACGTCTTTGCCGCCCGCTGGATACAGTCCCGCCCGCCTGCAGCGTGATCAAAAAGCTGCGAACCTGACGGAGCTGAAAGATGGTCATGGCCCTCCGGAAACGAGATGCTCGGAGAGGGTCTGTGCCGCTCGCTGCCGATGCACATGGACAAGTTGAAATCACAAGTTCGGCCAAGAGTTTAGTTAGTTAATACCTATCCGCGTGGTTGGCGTTGCGCTAGACTCCGCTTTAATCTTAAAATGGTGCCAGGGGCCGAGCAAGGGAAGAGGAATATCTGGATGGATCGTAGAGGGTGATGGTCTGACAAGTTTATCTCGGAGGGAGATGCAGGTCCAAAAGGGCCAGTGGAAAAAGCAAAGACATTTAGTTAGTTAATAGTTAGCACAGTACATACCCAGGTTGGCTGTTGGCTTTAACCGCGATTTCGGCACGGTACATGGCAGGGTTGATTCATGTTCAATAAATGAGAAAACATGTTGTTGTTAGTTGCACAGTGCTATTCTATATCTGGAGTAGAGGGATCGTTGTGAGCGGGAGCGCACGCTATCGTTAGGAAGGGAGGACAAAGGGATCAATCGCACAGACGGCGGTATATCGCGAGAGCCTGGGCGTACCAAGCGAGACAATATTGACAGGTAGTGTGAGGGAGAGTCATTGAGTACATGCTATATTCCATGATATTGCGTTCCTTGGGGCTGCAGCCGTGTGTTACAAGATGCCGAAGGGTTGATGGACAAAGCCACACAATGCAAGTAGTATTACAAGGCAATGCGCCACTGCCGCCTAGGTACATACGTGTAGAATGAAGACCGTGTTTGCATACTCGTAATAAGCGCTAGCATAATGTCGTTGCTTTTGCATTCAAGTTATCGAGTAATTCACTAATACATGGCCGGGCCGAGTATCTAGCTGGTGTAGGGACTTGTTCTTCTCGATCCACCAGCCTTGTATGAGGACAGAGTCAAACTTGTTAATCAATAGTTAGCATTCATTGTTATTCAAGCCCAAATGACAAGTTAAATTATAAAAAGCCTGTTTCTAGCCCCCTTCTTTGTGTCTGGGTGCGCCACTAGACATGATGAGCGCGTCGTTAGCACGCGATAGAGTTTCGTCTACGCACGAGGGCAAAGGCGAAGACAAGAGGAGAAAGAGGATGAGAAAAGAGGAATAGTTAGTTGATCATCATTGAATTTCGATTTTCTCCAATGACAAGATCTTTCATGGCAAATACGAAGATGGGGGCGGAGGCGGGACCCAGAGAGAGCTGGGCTTTGTCTCATTGAAGAATTTGGGGGGAGGAGGCGAGGTACCTTCGAGTCTACATCGAGGTACTTGAGGAGCGGCTGTCGATGGTGGGCCTTGTTCTGTGGTGAAGGGGTAATTTAATATTAAAATGGCTGGCCAATGGAAGCGTCGGAGCCAGCTAGTTGCCACGCTGAAGGATGAGGGATAAGCCGTTTATAGGCAGATCAGATGGTAATGCAAAGCGAGCATTGTGATTGAATGTAATTTAGCCTCTCCGCAGGCAACATGCGCTATGCGTGTGCGCGTGCGTGTATCCGAGAATATGTGCTTTCGACAAAGACAGAGGACGGCAGACGGGTGATACTAGGTAATTAGTACTGAATATAAATTACTGGTTGATTGATACTGTTACACTTGGAGCGGGCGCTGGGTACCTACGGGACTGATGGGGCAGCTCTGCAGGTCCCCAGGTCCCAGGTACGGTATGACAGCCAGGCACTTCAGGCACTTCAGGTACTTCAGGTACTCAATACAGCTGGACTCTCCATCTGTCCACTCAAAAAGCAGGCTTTGCCGACGCATGCCACCCCTGTAGCTCATTAGGTTAGGTAGCCTCGCAGGGTGCCAGCAGGTACCTCCTCCCGCTGGCACAAGTACCTGCCCACTTGTCCCTTCTCTGACCACCAGCCTCTCTTGCTCATGTTCCTCCCCCGGCTGCCATTTCATTTTCCTGCCACACCCCAGATCATTAGGAATCTCCTCACTGCACACCAGCCCGTCCGACTCTTCTCTTGCTTTTCGAGCCCTCAGCATCCTCGCCTCTTTCTAATCTGCTGCTGCTTCCTCCTCGAATTTTCCTTCCCCACCATTCTCTCCACCCTGTGTGCAGCTCCGGCATTGGTTGCTTGCTTTCCTCAATCGACGGCAAGAGCTCGTCGCGTTGCTGTGCCAGTACCTAAAACTCCAGCGCCCGCAAACCCAGCCACACCAACCGCTGGGAAAGCTGACACGAGAGAAGCGCAAAATTAAATCAAAATCAGACAAAGAGTCGAGACGAAAGTGCGCGCCCAACCTTTTTTTCATCCGACATCGCCCTATTCGATTTTCCACCGAGTTTCAGACGCCTGCGCAACATCCATCTGCATTACTCAACGAACCGAATCCGTAGACACTGCGCATCTCGCTGCTAGACCCAGTTCAGCAAACAGCATCCCCCACGAACACCTGCGCTTGGTTCGACATCTACACAGAGCTCACGCACTGTCCTCCATTCGATCGCGGGGCAAGTGCCAATTCTCTCTCATCCGAAAGACTGCGGACTGCCCGATACCATCCCCGTCAATCTACCTGATTGTCCGCAGTCACAATGGGCTCGACCGACTTTGGCAATTTCAACGTACGGAAACAGACAGCCCTCTCCAAACCGCGGTACCCCTCATGTTTGCTAACCCCCCAACAGAAATTTTGCAGAGATTCAACTCTTCCAGTCTGCAACGTAAGCGCACCTCGTCTATTCAACCACTCGCGACCAGAATGCTAACATGGCATAGCTTCTCACAGATAACCACAACCAAACGGGGCCATGGGACGGCTGCCAACTGACCGGTATTCCCCTCAGTGGAGGCCGACACCTCGGTAATCTTGGTTCCATCATCTTGGCCGCTATTGCCATCCTCACATGTATCTTCTTGGTGCTCAAGTCGGACAGAAAAAAGGCTGCTGTTGGCCGGAGGTACGCAACCACTCATCACCATCAAGCGGCTCGCAGACACTAACAAAACCTGCAGGGAAATGCAATTGTTCCTCGTTAGCTACATCATCATTAGCATCTGCGAAATCTTTTCCGTCGGCGAGTTCCCGCTCTCTGGCAAAGTCCGCGTCGTACGTTGCTCTCATCGTTCAAGCACCCACAAGTACTGACCCTTTCGTAGGCATTTAGCGCGATCCATATCGGCATGATCATTGCCACGACCTGGATTCTCATGCTCAATGCTGTAATCGGTTACCAATTGATCGATGACGGCACCGCGCTCTCTATGGGCCTTGTGGTGGCATCTGCCGCCGCCTTCTTTATTGGCACCGGCTACATTGCTCTCGACACTGGCTTAAGCTTTACCGGATTCTGGGACTCGAGTTACGCCCTACCCAACCGCAACCTTGCTCTCTACGTCCTCTACCAGCTTGTGCCGCTCATCTTCCTCGTCGCTTTCTACGTTCTCGAAGCCATCCTCGTCCTCCGCATCCTCGGCGAGTTTCGCCCCATGATTTATCTGACGGGTGCTGCTGTCCTGTTCGCCATTGGACAGGTCTTCAACTATACCGTTTCGCCACACATCTGCAGCGGAACCGACGGCAAAATCGACGGCGCCCTGTTCCAAACTCTCTTTACCCTCTTGTCCGTCGTTGGTGTCTGGGCCTTTTGGTCCAGCATCACCGAGGATGACTGGTCAACACAAGAGGGCACTTACCCTTGATCCGCCCCGACTATTATCATATCCTTAAGCCATCGCTTTCATTTTCGGTTCTCGGCGTTATTTCTCGGAGGGGCTGTTGCTCGCTGCGTTTTATTCTAATCTATCTCCTTCTTATACCGGCTTTGTTGCATCGGCCTCTCCAGACAGCGAGAACATCACACCGGCCCTGGCACAAAGCCACTCGACACAAGTCATTCATAATATTTTTTACCGGTGGTGTTCTTTGCGAGCCTGGTTAGAGCGACGCAAACAATATCACGTTTCACTGCTCGCGATGGCGGTCTATCTTGGGAGAACCAGTTTTGGTTACAGCTTGCGGAGACTTGCTTTGCATATGACTGAAGTGGTTGTTTTCTGATGACGACGGACATGTATTGTTATGGGAAGCAAAAGCAAGACGTGACGTGGAGGAGGGAAGATATTTGTTCGCTTCTAAGGCTGACGCGCTGATGAACCAGCTGCTGTATTGATTTACATACGTTTCGTAGTATACCCCAGATGCAATTAATGCTCACACGTAGCTTAGCAATTAATTTACTATTGCTTCAATGACAGTTTGCTATTTCGTTGACATGCAATTCTAGAGGAAAGATATTACTTGAATAGTATTGAAAATAGAAAACGAAAATGCAAACGACACTGTAATACTGTAGTTCTGAGTGGTGAGTGACGATTGTGGAGAAAGCCTTATTTTAGGTGATGCGGCAGGGCTACCTAACTAGAGCTTTCTGCGTCTGCATTTCATTCACGTTCAACTTTACGCTGCCACCTCCCTCCCGCCAGGCAGGACTCGTTCCTAGCACGTAAAGACACGGCACCTTGTTCAATCAGCTGTATTGACTATTTCATTATCTCCTACAACCAAGGAATCCACAAAAAACATGGCCGATTCCGACGGCGAGTTTGTCGCCGACAACATGTCAGACGACCTCATGGACCACACGATCGAAGACGAAGACGACGATGACGATCACCACCACACCTCGACCGCCGGAGAGCGGCCCTCCCGAACCTCTGGCGGCGGGCGATCAAAGCGCCGAAAAAAGGACGGCGCCGGTGGCGGCGCCAGCCGCAAGAAGAAGGCGTCGGCGCAGGCGTGGGAGCAGTCGAAGCGGACGTGGGAGACGGGCCTGCCCGAGGAGGGTGACGACGGAACGCTGGACCTGACGACGCTCGAGGCGGAGAAGCGGCGGCGGCTGCGACGCGACACGACGCCGCTGCAGCGCGGCATCATCCGGCACCTGGTGCTGGTGCTCGACATGTCGTTTGCCATGGCCGACAAGGACATGCTGCCGACGCGGCACCGCCTGACGCTGCGCTACGCGGCCGCCTTTGTGCGCGAGTTCTTTGAGCAGAACCCCATCTCGCAGCTCGGCATCGTCGGCATGCGCGACGGCGTGGCGGTGCGCGTCAGCGACCTCGGCGGCAACCCGGCCGAGCACCTGGAGCGGCTCAAGGCGCTCGAGAGCCAGGATCCGCAGGGGAACCCGAGCTTGCAGAATGCCCTGGAAATGTGCCGCGGTGCGCTTTTGTAAGCTGTCTTGATCTGAGCCTGACCATTCCTCTACAGGATGCAACGCTAACGAATTCAATGTACACACAAATAGTCATGCACCATCGCACGGCACGAGAGAAGTCCTCATCATCTACGGCGCGCTCCTCTCGAGCGACCCCGGCGACATCCACGACACCCTGGCGAGCCTCATCAACGACCGGATCCGCGTCTCCATTGTCGGCCTCTCGGCGCACCTGTCCATCTGCGCGGAGCTGTGCGCGCGGACCAACGCCGGCGACACGTCGCAGTACGGCGTCGCCACGGACGAGGTGCACTTTCGGGAGCTCTTCCTGGCGGCAACGACGCCGCCCGTCACGCGCACCAAGGAGCAGAGCACCGCCAGCCTGCTCATGATGGGCTTCCCCTCGCGCGTGCTGGCCCCCGGCGGCGCCACCAGCTTCTGCGCCTGCCACAACCGGCCCTGCCGCGAGGGCTTCCTCTGCACCCGCTGCGGCACCCGCGTCTGCCGTCTGCCCGCCGAGTGCCCCGCCTGCGCGCTCACGCTCATCCTCTCGACGCACCTCGCGCGCTCCTACCACCACTTGTTTCCGCTGCGCAACTGGGTCGAGGTGTCGTGGGCCGACGCGGTCGGGCGCTCCCCGGCGTGCTTTGCTTGTCAGTGCCCGTTTCCTGCGGCGGCGGCGACGGGCGGCGACGCGTCTGCTAGGGAGGAGGGCCAGGGGAAGAAGCGGCCGACGGTCAAGGGGGTCAGCGAGAGCGGGCGGTATGCGTGCGAGGTGTGCGGGAACCACTTTTGCATCGACTGCGATGTGTACGCCCATGAGGTTATACACAACTGCCCTGGCTGCCAGAGTAATGTGCAGCCGGCCCAAGACGAGGCTGCCTATTCGAATGGACTCAGCAACGGCCACACCAACGGCGCCATGACGATTGATGCGTAGCATGGAGGCTTTTGCAAGACTGTTTAGTCGGGAGGGGCATGAGGCGGTGGAGATGCTACTCTACAAACGTGTACGAGAATGTTGAAAAATGGACGGCAGTGGATGACATTTCAGCGCGGTGTCGATAGAACGGCCAGGGCCGAGCAGGGCCGTGCTGCTACGAGATTTGCTTTGGGCTTGCAAGTTTTGGATTTGCGAAATATAAGCATAGGAAAGGCGTACATACGGTGTACAGTACCCAGGTCACACCATTATTATTTTTGGGAGTTTTGTTGTATTTTGAATTGATTTCTTTTTTTTTGTATTGTTCATTAGTGACAACAAGGAGTCGACAACAAGTCGTAGCTCATCAATAAGAGCAGTTGGAAAAAAGAACTGGCCATGTACCGTGCAAATGCTATAAAAGTTGACATGATAAAAAAAACAACGTGCTAACAAGCAGAAAGTGAAAGGCAGCCGTATCAGACAAAAAAGAGACTGGGGGGGGCGCAACAAGCAAGTATTACAACCCCGTTGAGAAGAAAGGGGGCAAGCGATTGGTGAACCATGCAGCAGCAGCACTTGCCCATCTACAGGTTGCCGCGCTCGGCCTGCTCGCGCTCAATAGCCTCGAAGAGGCTCTTGAAGTTGCCGGCGCCGAAGCCGTCAAAGTCGTTGCGCTGGATGATCTCGATGAAGACGGTGGGGCGGTCCATGAGGGGTTTGGTGAAGAGCTGGAGCAGGTAGCCGCCCTCGTCGTAGTCGATGAGGATGTTGAGGCGCTGGATGGTGTCGAGGTCCTCGACGAGCTCCCAGCTGCGGCGCTCGGTCTTGAGGCGGTGGCGCATGGTGTCGTAGTAGCTCTGGGGCACGTTGATGAAGTCGACGCCGCGGGCGCGCAGGGCGGTGACGGAGGCGATGATGTCGGGCGTGAGGAGGGCAATGTGCTGGACGCCGGCGCCGGCGTTGAAGACGACGTACTCTTCAATCTGCGACTTCTTCTTGCCCGGGGCGGGCTCGTTGATGGGCATCTTGACGACGTTGTTGGGCGAGGCCATGACAATCGACGACAGCGCCGAGAACTCGGTGCTGATCTGGTTGTCGTCGACGGACCAGAAGCGGTGAAAGGACAGGGCCGCTTCGTAGAAGCGGCAGGCCGCGTTCATCTCGTTCCAGTCCTGGTTGCCGACGCAGTGGTCGATGCGCGCCAGCGGCACCTCGGGCAGGCGCACGCTGCTCGTCGCCGGCTTGCCCGCGCGGAAGCCCGGCATGAAGACGCCCGTGTAGCCCGCGCGGCTGATGAGCGTGTGCGTCGTGTCGCCGTACGTGCGGATGACGGCCGTGGTGACGGAGCCGCTGTCGTCCTCGCCGCCCTTGACGGTGCGCGGCGGCTGCACGGCCTCGGCCCCGCCGCGCACCGCGTTGTCGTACACGGCCGCCACATTGTCCACCTCAAACGCGACGTCCTTGACGGCGTCGCCGTGCCGCTCCAGGTGCGCGTACACCTCGGCCAGCAGCCGCCGCTCCTCGCCCGAGATGGGCTCGTCCGCCGGCAGGTGCGCCGCCGACCGCAGCGGCGAGGTGAAGACGAACCGCACCGCGTTGTTGGACACGACGTACGACGCAAAGTAGCGCGAGCCCGTCTCCAGGCCCCGGTACGCCTCGACGTGGAAGCCAAAGAGCGTCGTGTAGTACGACGCCGCCTGCTTGGCGTTGCCTACCCACCAGGTGACGTGGTCGTAGCCGGCAAAGTTGCCGACGGGTGCGGCGGCGTCGGCGGGACGCTCGAGGGTGGCGATGGCAGAGGGAGCCATTGTGTGTTTGTGTGCTGTGTGAGGGTGAGGGTGAGGGTGTGTGAGGTTGGTGGCTTAGACCAAGTGAGACAGTATTACAGATATGGATGTAATACAATCACTGTCTGCAGTTGAGGTTTGTTGGAGAGTTGAAAGTATACCAGTAGACAGACAGGGTTCAGATAACAAGAGTAGAGAGATGGAAACGATTTAGTGTCGGGGGGGTCCAACATGTTTATAAAGCTTCTGGGGGGGGGGCACCATGGGATGCGTCAGTGTCGGCTTAACCCTTAACCGGGGAGGGAGTTCAAATACAGGTTATCTGTGTCAGGCTATCTTCCTAAACTCTCATTCGCCTCCTCGACAGCCTGGTCGCCCTTTCCCCAGCGGCAAAAAGAGCCCAGACAGGACGGGAGCGGCGGTCGCTGCATGCCTACTTTCTGGGCGTGTGTGTGTGGGTGACGGCCGCGCGTGCCCCGCCGTGAAAGCCGCGCCGGAAAGGCCCCGCGCGCCCCCGGCGCCCTTTGAGCCGTGACTTCGGCGTTCCGCGCTGGTGGATGCTCATGTGACGGCTCTCGACGGGCAAGAACAGCTTTTGTTAATGCCGATGACGATAAATCTGTTTCTTTTTTTTTGGTTGTTTCTACGCTGTTGTCTAACAAACTTCCTCCCTCCCCTGTATAATATGCACCTTCCCCTTTTTTTTAACCGGTGCGTACCTATTCATTCGTCCCCTTGCTCACAACAATCGGCTGTGATTGCGCAGTTGGTGGGGAAACAGCAAATCGAAAATTACAGTGTCTCAAAAGCGCCACGCGCTGAACACTTTTCTGAGAGAAGCTTGTAAGCCATAATACCTGATGCAAGCAAGTGCATGGATTCCCCGACCTGCAAACATTTTTCCTGCATCCTCAAAAACCGCCGATGGCGCGGGGCAAAAAGACTGCGGAATTGGAGCGCGCTCAGTTGTAAACCGGCGCTAAGTTCAAGGCTGCTCCGTCCAAAGCCGCGCCTTGCCGGCCCCGGTGTATCGTGGCTTGCCGCTTGCTTGGGGATCCACACTTGCCGCTTTGGACATATGTAATAAAATGTGGTTGTCTGGCAATGACGAAACTGTGTCTGGCCTTTTTTTTTTTAAGAATCGATTCGGCTTTACTAATCCACGTAAAACGGCCAGAGTGGACGGGGGCATCCCGCGGTTGTGGCAACCGGCCGAGCAATGTGAGCAGGTTGCACAGTTGCACAGACGATGACGGAACAACGATTCCCGAGTATCGAATTCGCTATCAACGAAGAATCTGACTACGGAAATGGGTTCCGCTGCTTTGATCATTATGTAAAGAAATGTAATATATGGCCTCATGCGCTACTTCTTCTACTCAGGTGCCAGTGTAATTCACCGGCTTGTCTCGCTCCCTTGACGTCCCTGACAATAATGTGAGATAGATTGGTATTTCCTACGAAGTAAGATTTAAAATACCGGTCGACGGTCAACTAGTTGTACCTGATTTCCCTGTCGTCTCGATCTCGTAGCTGTGTAGGCGCCAATCGCTCCACCGTCCGCTGTCGTGCGTGGGCAGAACAAGGGGCTCACTGAAGTAAAATTTGCAAAAGATTGTACAGCCGAATTGCATGTGTTGTCGTGGTAAAACCTAGTTCAAGTCTGAGGGTACCTTCGGACGTGGTGCCATCCCAAGTTCACTGGTGCAGACTAGAAGCAACTGAAGCAGCCGTTGTTATATTTAACTACGCCGGGACAAAAAAAAGTTGACCGAAAAAGAAAATCACCTTTAGAGATTCATTGTGGCATGAAGAAGTAGTTGTGCTCAAAATCTCCTGCTTGGTTAAAGTCGGTTGTTATCAGTTACCATTCATTGACCAGGTATCTGAAACGTGACGTTGCAGACAAGGTTCTCAGCCGCAAAGCTCTTTGAGAATAACATATAAGAACGCTTTGATATCTTCAGCTGTGAGTCGCTAAGTTGCATAGACCAGCAAGGCAGCTGTTGGGCGGCCTCATGGTGTGGACAAGTGTGCCGTCGTTAGCCGCAACACTACCCGCAACTGCAACTTTATCATTATAATGTGCATAGCAAGAGTGGCCATGTGGGAATACAAATTCAACAGATTATCAATCACGACGAGGCGTATTTGAATAGCTTCAAGTCTAGTCAATAAAGGTATAAAAATCCAACAGATGCAAACGCGGAACTAGTTGGTCTATGGCGTGTCTGCCGAGCCCCGCGCCATGACGGAAGTGGTGGGGTGGCGACGGTTCAAAGGAATGAGTGCCTCCAACCAAGCTTCCAGAACGAATACATATACGCAACACCCTACCCAGGCCAAGACATGCCGTAAATAGCTTGCCCCTACCAACAAAACATCACCAAAACATCGCCATCGTCCACCCCGCCCTCACCCTCTACACATACCCACCCGCCATGGCTGCCCACGTCGACCTCTCCCAGCGGGACATGAACGTGCTCGAAAAGATGCGCGACCCCGACTTCAACCCAGAGACGAGCCTGGTGCTGGACGAGCGACTACCGCGCGACCCGCACCTGACCGACCCCGCCGTCTACGAGCACGTCGCCTCGCGCGAGCGCGCCATTGTGCAGTCGCTGCAGGCGCTCGAAGCGGACCTCGCGCAGGCGCAGGACCTCGACGCCGACGCGCGCGCCGTCGACGGCTACCGCACCGCCATCACCGCCCTCGACCAGCTCATCAGCGAGCACCCGCGGTACGCTAGCGCGCGCAACAACCGCGCGCAGGCCACGCGGCGGCTCTACGGGGACCTGATGCTGCTCAGCGTCACCACGACGAGCGCAGCGTCTGCCGTGCCGCTGATTCCCGCCCCGGCGGCGGACGAGAAGCGGCAGGCGGCCGCGCGCGCGCTCGCCGACCTCGAGACGTCGATTGCGCTGCTCACGCCCCGCGCGCTGGCCAGCCCGATGGCGCCGACGGCCGCGCGCACGCTCTCCAGCGCCCTGACCCAGCGCGGCGCCGTCTACCTCCAGACGGGAAAGATGCTGCGGGCGGACCGCGCGCTCGACGTGGACCAGAGCCGCGACGAGGCCAGCTGGTCGGCGCACCGCTTCCAGGAGGCGGCGTCGCACGACCTCGCGCTCGGCGGCCGCTACGGCAACGAGATTGCGAAGAACCTGGCCGTCAGCGTCAACCCGACTGCCAAGCTGTGCGGCCAGATTGTGCGCGAGGCCATGCGCAAGGAGTACGGCCCCGGCTTCATAGGCCCGGAGCCCGAAGAGTAGAGGTTTGGGTTCAGGATATCTTGAAGACATATGTATCTCGCATCATCGTTCTGCTTCTTCCTTCCTTCAGTTCTCAGAAAGACATGGACCTTCATTGGGGGGTATCATGGTGGTATTATTATACAGTAGCTACTCGCATTGGGGTAAACATCAGAATGGCGTTTTTGGGTCTGATTTTTGAAACACTTATGAGGCCGGTGCCGATTTAAGACCGAGCCGTCTATAAAAAACAAGTTAGCGTATATACAAATGAGAAACGAATGGGCAAACGTGAGCATTTCGTACCGTAGTCCTGTCTGAATAGTTTGGCTCATGTTGTTGCCCTTGGCCTCCTCCTCGCGGTTGATGCGCAGGCCGGCTGCAGAGAGGCCAATGACGACCGCAAAAATGGGGTCAGCGACCTTTGAAATAATGTATGTCGGCGCAGGCATTTTGAGGTTTGATTGATGCTCTTGAAATGAAATCCGCTCGATGAGTCTTTGACCTTAAAACGGCCAAACGGCCAAGGAGGAAGTTGATGACTAAGGAACCCGTTGTCCTAGTTTGGATATCACGTGCGGCTACCACAACGGGCTGCACGTTCACGTGACCGCACACACTCGCTTGGGAAACAAGCCCACAAACCCCGAAAAAATTCACCCAGCCCAAATTACCCGTATCACGGCCTGTGTCCAAAAGTGTGACTTTGGAAAAACCTCTAATCCCACACACCACATACCCCCCCGACAAGATGAAGTTCCTCAAGGTCGGCCGTGTCGCCATCATCACCCGAGGCCGCTATGCCGGCAAGAAGGTAAGACTATTTAATTAATGGGATATGCTGTCGTCGCAGGGTTCGTCATCGAGGAGATACGGTCGTCGCCAATTACGGTCTGAGGGTCTTGTTTCGGAAACCGATCCAACGGGATAAATGGAGGAGAGAAGAGCTGCCACGATACTGCGCAAACGAATTGGGAACCCGAATATATCTGCCATCGGTTTATACGCCTGCCATTGTCGCATCGCCGGACCTACAAACGACTTGGATAAGTCACGAGGTGTCTTTGTGCTAGCATCGACACGGACGACGCGATGCTCGGCTCAAACGACAAAGATGTTCCTCAACTGCATCCGGCGCCAGTGTCTTTTTCGCCAAGACGCGCACACACAATACGGTCCTCGAACAATCCGGCAACTATTATGGCAGCTTCCTCTCAACCAGACCGTTGGACATTTCTCTTCAAGACCCCCAGTCCTGGCATATGGCGCCGCAAATCTTCCTCCAGGCCGAACCCACGACAGACAGCGCCTACTCACTACTCGATCCATGCATACTAATCCTCACTCTCCAGGTCGTCATCATCCAGCCCGTCGACAACGGCAACAAGCCCCACCCCTTCGGCCACGCCGTCGTCGCCGGCATCGAGCGCTACCCCTCCAAGATCACCCGCCGCATGTCCAAGGCCCGCCAGGAGAAGCGCTCCAAGGTCAAGCCCTTTATCAAGGTTATTAATTATAACCACCTGATGCCCACCCGCTACACCCTCGAGCTTGAGGGCCTCAAGGGCTCCGTCACCGCCGACACCTTCAAGGAGGTCTCCCACCGCGAGGACGCCAAGAAGACGGTCAAGAAGGCGCTCGAGGAGCGCTACTCCAGTGGCAAGAACCGCTGGTTCTTCACCCCTCTTAGTACGTTTTTCTTTTTCTTTTGCTCGCTTCGCTCGACGTGGGGGGCTTGGAGAGGAAACAAGGTCAAGGTAGAATCTTTTGGCTAACCATGTGGCAGGATTTTGAACAATTCGTTTTCTCCATTATGGTCATGGGAGTTGGCGGGATGTAAAGAGAGCATTCGAATGGTCACTTGAGGAACCCAGGGTTTTATTGCTTTCATAATGGGCTTCATGTGAAAAAGTTCGTCCAATTACAACAACACACAAAAAATTTACACGACACAAATACTTCCACGTCCCATTTCTCGCCGCTGTGTCGCTGTGTCTTGTATCGTGAATGGAACGGCGAGAGCAAGGCTGGTGTTTTACTGGTTTGGATTTAGCATGACTCTGGCATGAATGAAACAGAATGTTGGTGTTATCGGCATTTGTACTGTTGTGACTAGGGACCCGTGAGTGATGTTGTTTCTACCCGGCTGTACGACTCTTTTCACCGATGGGCTGGAGGAAACCCCTTCCACCTGATAGAATATGACATACATGACTCTGCCATTGTATACTCATGCTCATGTTGGACAGTCTGCACAGGATTCTCAGTTAAATACATGACAAATGCCAAAATCATTTCTACATTTCTATCTTGTGAAAACGCCGTTTAAAATACATCTGGAACCTTACTAGACCTTTTTCTCTCGAATTCCTGGTTTGAGAGCCAATTCTCGCCCCTCGGGATCCTTATTGCTCTTGGACTTTTTAGTGTCGTTGCCAGCTGTCCTCGCGTCCTGCGCCTAGCTAAGAATAATGATACACGGCCAGGCCTTCCAGAGGTGGTATTTTCCTCCGCTGCGCTCAATTGGCTCGTCCAGATCGCGGACTGCATTAAATGCGGTGCCAATCCATCACCGCACACTCGCTCTCGGGCAAGATACTTCACTGCCACAGCCTAAGAATAAAAATGACAATAGGACCGACTCGTAATCAGTCAAGAACGTAGCGCAGCTTGCGCCTATGTATTGCGACCGGCTTAGTTGGCATCAGTCTTGCCCATCTTGTTGGTGACGTCGGCAACAACTCTGGTGGGGTTGTAGTTGGAGGGCGCGAGGCCGCCAAACAATAGAGCAACGGTGAAGAAGATCATGACAATGATGCTGAGCTTGCGGAGAATGGGCTTGCGAGCACCAAACTCAGCCCAGTGGCGAGAAGCCTCACCAGCATATCCCTTGATCTGGTCATAACCAAGCTTGTAGTAGACCATGCCGCCGAGAGCAATGGAGTAACCAAAGAACTGCAAGGGGGTGACGGGGGTGCCCCAGATCATCATAGAGGCGGCGACGAGCATAATATCCTTGAGGACACCGCATAGTGTCAAGACGACAGCCGACGTCTTGCCAATCTAGGTAGATCTTGTTAGCGGACGTACGGCGGAGATGGCGAACATGGAACTTACGAGGAAAACAACGGAGACATTGAGCATGAAGGCGCAGAGACCATTGAGGAAAAAGGTAAAGAGACCGACATGGTACACTTCAGCCATGCTGACCTTGGGGACTTCCCAGAACAGAGCAACGAGACCGTTCATGGCGGCGCAGACGGGGGCAAAGTAGTAGAGGGAGACGAGCGGATCCATCTTGAAGTCGGCAGAGCTCAGAAGGCGCTGGACCATGGTCAAACGAAGAGCCTCGAAGAGAATACCAGCCATCTGGAAGAGGAAGCCGACAAGAACAAAATCAATTTCACCAAAGGAGGCAATAATGACACCGACGACAATGGCGGAGACATTGAGGAACTGCTTGATGTTGGGTTGCGAGACGCCTAGACTCCAGCCAGCGAGGAGGACAGCGACGGGAGTGGTGGCCTTGAGCATCTGGATAAAGGCAACGGATAGGTAGAGGTAGGTCAGGTTACCGAAGATCAAGCTCAGACTGAAGAAGAGACCGATGGGGACGACAGCGCGGAGGTAGACCCGTCCGGTCATCTTGACGTTTTTGCGGCCATCGAGGGCTGTCGTCCAGCGAGCGAGGGCTTGGGTGACGACGGTGGCAAAGACTAAGTGGTAGGTGGTGAGGATGACGGGGTAGCCTGCGGATGTGTTAGTTTCGGTATCACAGGGTCGCAAACAGCGTTGCGATCAGGAGGACACGTACGGAACTTGAGGGTATCCAGAATCCACTTGTTGAAGAGGATAACTGAGGACGAGAAGCCAATCCAGATGCTGCAACGAGTAAGCCTTCGTTTCGATACAGTACAAGCGGCAAACGACGGCAAGATGGACCTACATGACATAGAGGGCCGGATGGACGCCATTATTGGTAGAATGAGGCTTCTCGGAGGCAGGGTTGACAGTAGGGAGGACCGGCGCAGCGTTGCGAGGCGCATCGCCAGACACGCGGACCTTGTCTTCGGTGCTCATGGTGGATTAATGGTGTAGGATCGTGTTGTAGGTGAGTTCGTACGAGGGCCAGCAAGCTGCAATCGCTAGTATCGTAATGGCGTGAAGATGGGGTATTGCGACGCTCTTGGCCCGTTGGCGCAACGGCGAAGGGGGGGAGTGGAGGAGAAAGGATCAAATCGACAAGACTAGTAGAGAGTGGTGGTTGAAGTGAATTAGAAGAATAGAGGGAAGCAGGAGAGTTCCTTGAATGGGAACACGAAGAGAAGGAAAGAAAAAGAAGAGGAAGAAGAGAAGCTGCACAATGCTGGAGAAGAAAGGGCCTTGGCGGGTGGGAAGAAGCCGTGGGGGTGGATTTGGGAGAGATGGGAAGAGAGGTAGAAAAAAAAATTATGGCACGCGGTCCTCCTGGCGACATACATAGCTGAGGCGAAAGCGGGCAGGCAAAGCTGCTCTCAGCCAGGGCGCGGACAGAGACAGAGGGTGACGCGGGCAGCCAAAGTTTACAGGGGGCCGATAGCCCCCCCAGATGGAGAGGGGCCAAAGGCGTTGAAGGGATTTTGAATTTTTAGCGGCTTTTATTAGCGATAATGCTTAGCGGCCGAGCGCTGGAGGCCACTGTAGAAGGTTCGGAAGCGGGCAAAGCTGGTTGGCACTGGCGCGAAGAGGGATGTGAGACGCTAATGTTGGGTGAGGAACTGGTATGTGGCGCGCGCATGATAAGACCGAAGCGATTTTCAGCAATTGTTGCTCTCAATTTCGCTGTCACTCACGTTTTTACCCTCGAGGCATGTAACTAGATAGTCCTCTTGTTTCTTTTTCTTTCTCATGTATAATCAGCCACTTTTCATCCTGTGTACCCGGCTTGAAGCGACGGGTAACTAGCAGTCTCGGCAAAAACCACGACACAGGACGAATATCCACCCCACCATCGTCTCTCACTTACTATTATCCCATCTCAAGTTGCGCAACGTGACAAGTTTGTCTCTACCTATTATTATTCGTTAGTTCTGAGTGGTAGACTGGTATCCGTAGTCTACGGGGGATTGTCACCGTTTGGCGGGTCAAATGAGAGTGACGCGTAAGAGGCGGCGATCCATGGCGTCCCAGCTTGATTCTGACTCGCCCGCGGGCGTTAACTCTGGGGCCAGGTAAGAATAGATTGGGCGGGATAAGGTCGACGCTGTTTTGTGCTTGTGGTTGTTTCCATCTGGCGCAATGAGACCAGTAGCTGGATTCAACTTGTCAACTGCGTTGACTCCCAATATGCTGTATTAGCGCCACTTGTGCGTGTCTTGCCCCTGGGAACCCTGTGCCTGTGAACTCTGTCACTGCGACTGCCAGCGAACCATGGAAAGGGGCTTTTCGCTTTTCAGGGATGATCGTCCGCTAGCGGGGCCGCCCACCGGCCACTGCACACCTTTTACAGCGAATCAAACCAAACACGTTGGTCGTCGATACGCTAAAGATAAAGACGTCTGGTAGGTAATATGTAACTAACTAATAAAAAATTGGAAAAGGGATCTGCTTGTTCATCATTTTACATTTTGCAACGTGGGATGTTTTCTTCCTCGCCTCCTTTTTGAGTCTTGCCAAACAGCGTCTAGGTAGTAGCACACATCGACGCTGCGCGTCATTGATAGACATGTTTACCCTTTCTCCAACACTCCGAGTCTGAGCCCTACCTAGGTAGGTAGGTAGGTACAAAGTCTCCCTTGCCAATAGCGTTGTCACAAAACTACTAGCTGGCTCCCGTTCCAGCTGCTGCGCTATCCCTTGACTCTAACTACCGAGCATGTAACTAGCTGTGTGGACTGGAATTGTGTCGATTTATGCGTCCTGCATCTGTCCCCGTGTCTCGCAGTAACGACTCATCTTGCGACTGGGCCGAAAGCGAGCATTCCATCCCGGCTAGTGGAAGAAGGGCATGTTAATGGCGAATCTGCCACGAGGCTGACTAGTTAGCTGCATCGACGGATGCATCGCGCGAGGCTGTCGGCCAGGCTGGGAATAGCGTCAAAATAGCCGTAAAAAGGTCGAGCTGAAGGCTTGGCATCTCGAATGTTACTTATGCATCGACGTATGAGCGTGTGCTCGCTTACTGATAGAAATCAAGTGAATGTCCAGGTGGCGGCGGCTGTATCACGTTGGTGCTAGGTTATGATCCGAAACAAATCAAAGTAATAAATCGGATGCGATAACTATCTGCTGCTATATTTCATAGGTGAATGCATCCGGCTTATGATGTGACAATGCGTCATGCGTATCGACTCCAAATCACAGCCACTTACCTAGTATTCCAGGCTAGAAGCAATCCTCCCTTGATTATCTGACCATGTCGTCGTCTTTGATCACTTGTTTCTTGGCCGCTACTTCGTGTTCCCAGCTCCAATGTCTATCTAATACCTAACTACTGTACCAGAAACTGTGGCCGACGAAACGCTTTGCTTGGTTTGACTTGCTTTGCAAGCTTGCAAAAGCTTGTTCAAGCTGGTGGAACATAGAGAGGGGACCGTCTAGACCGTCGGCGATCCTGCCGTTTCAGAATTGTGGCCATGTTCCAGCCGCCAACCACGTCTTGTAGTTACCAACTTTTGGTCGTTGACGCGCACGCAGATCTTGCACTGCTCAGGGAACCAGGAACGAGAACGCAGTCGCAAGAGATTGGGGCTCGGCATTGTACATTGCGTGGTTGCGTGGGCAGCAGTCTGCAGATGTCCGTTTAATCTACTTGACGCCTGGAAGTTGGGAAGGTGGGATTTGCATCTTTCCTCCCTCAAAGCGTCGTGTTACAAGTAGGATCTACACGCGCACCCGTCGGGTAACCATGGTACATAGGTGGACTCGGTATTCCAAACAAACTCGGAGCGCCGTGTTGATTGGCCGTCCGGCTCGGATACCTGATTACACTGTGTGCCTTGGTTTGTTTGCGACCAGGCTGTCACCTGTAGGTTGTATCAGACATCACACGGTGGTGGCAGTGCCGATAAGCCAGACTGCAGACTGCAGACTGCAGCCACCGCTTTGCTGTGCTGTAGGCGAGGACATAACTATGGTGCAATGAGACAACTCATTAGGATCATTGTTGATGGTCAAACGAGTGGGATACTGGACCAGCGCAATATTTTTCCCGGTCTGCTCGTGTCCGTACGTCCACCTGTTATACAGCGTTACGCGATGCTACATGAGTCCAAAGAAGGAAAAGGTCTGTCGCTTTTGATAGTATAACCCTTCGTTGGGACAGGTGGCGTTCATCTTCCCGATGCGCTTCTAGACATTCCTTATTAATCCGTGCCTTCTTGCACTAACTAACTACCCTGCAAAGGCAATCTGCTGCAATAACGGTTGCTGAAATTAGCCGCGAAATTAATCCGTCAGCGTCACAATGTGATTGCCTCGATAACCAGCCAGGCGTGTCAGTGGCAACGATTGTTTGCGGTGGCTCGATTATCGCCTTATCAATTCACAGAGCGCTTCTGTTCGCACGCTGCCAGACAACAAGGCCATGACACGAGTCGTTGCCTTTGCTTCACGCTAGGAGACAACGGATACAGATTAATATGTAGCGGAGAAGCACAATCAGTTACTTTCAACCTCAAACGACCAAGTAACTGGTCAACTTGTCAGGACTGTACGAAGTAAAGAGCCTCGTTATTTAGTCCAGCAGGTATCGAGTCTGGGGCGGCCATGAGGAGTGAGTGGGCCAGATTGAGAGATAACCCCCTAATTAGAAGCCTTTAATTTTAGCCCAACAATAATCAATTTCAAATTTCTGGGCGCTAAAAAGTTAGGCTGTAATAGTTTGCCAGGGATCGCTAACGAGCCCGAGAGACGAAACGGGCTTAAATCATGAATTCAATTTTTATTAAAAAAAAAAAAAAGGTTGGTCGCGCTTCTTGGCTGGACATGCTACCTCCGTCTCCCTCACCGTCTGCTCAGAAACCTTCTTTCACCTCCATAACGATCACTTCTTGTTTATTTGGCATTGCTGTTTCCCGTTTGCGCTGCGCGTTACGTTGCCATTTTCTTTTCAACTTCTAGTTATCGAAACTTCACAGCCGTTACAACCTGGCACGCTCCCCCACCGTTACAATGGGCGCCGACCAGTGAGTAGCCTCGCCCGTTGACCACCCCGCAAACCGCCCGCACCGGCGAGAGCAGACATTGCTCAACGTCGGGCCAAAAGATTTGGCTGTACAGCACTGACAATCACCACCAAATAGACACGTTGATGTTCTCGTCATTGGCATGGGACCTACTGGTCTCGGTGCCGCCAAACGTCTGCACCAGATCGTGAGTGGCTACCCCTCCTTCTGCCCCCGATGCGCATCTCCCCTGCTAACAAGCCACAGAACGGCCCCTCGTGGCTAATTGTCGACTCCGGCGACAAGGCCGGCGGTCTTGCCAGTACCGATGTCACCCCCGAAGGCTTCGTAAGTCGACATGCGAACTCGTTGTCCCGCAATGGCGCCTCGTCCCGCTAACTGTGCACGCAGCTCTACGATGTCGGCGGCCACGTTATCTTCTCCCACTACAAGTACTTTGACGACTGCATCGACGAGGCCCTCCCCAAGGACGATGACTGGTACACCCATCAGCGCATCTCCTATGTTCGCTACAAGAACTTGTGGGTGCCGTACCCCTTCCAGAACAACATCTCCATGCTGCCCAAGGATGACCAGGTCAAGGCCATCGAGGGACTCATTGATGCCTCGATCGAGGCTCGCGTTACCACGGGCAAGCCCAAGGACTTTGACGAGTGGATTCTGCGCTCCATGGGCAGCGGTCTTGCCGACATGTTCATGCGTCCCTACAACTACAAGGTCTGGGCCGTTCCCACCACCAAGGTAGGCCATACTCATACTCCTCTTCTCCTCTAGCTCCAAGTTCGAGCATTGGCTAACTGATTCCCCTGCAGATGCAATGCGAGTGGCTTGGAGAGCGTGTCGCTGCTCCCGATGTGAAGCGTGTCACCTCCAACGCCATCCTCGGCAAGGTCGCTGGCAACTGGGGCCCTAACGCAACCTTCCGTTTCCCTGCCCGTGACGGCACTGGTGGTATCTGGATCGCCCTCGCCGAAACCATCCCCAAGGAGAAGAAGCGCTTCGGTGCCCAGGGTGAAGTTACCAAAGTCGACGCCGAGAACAAGGTTGTCAGCTTCAAGGACGGCTCTACCATTAGCTACAACAAGCTTGTCAACACCATGGCTGTTGACCACCTGGTTGAGAAGATGGGTAACCAGGAGCTCGTCAACCTGTCCAAGGGTCTGTACTACTCCTCCACCAACGTCATTGGTGTTGGAATCCGTGGTGCCCGCCCCGAGCGTATCGGCGACAAGTGCTGGGTAAGTTTCTGTGTCTTGGACACGCGGATAAAATACGCCGACACTAACTGATCACCAGCTGTATTTCCCCGAGGACGACTGTCCCTTCTACCGCGCCACCATCTTTTCCAACTACTCCCCCTACAACCAGCCCGAGGCCAATGCCAAGCTACCCACGCTGTACCTCGCCAACGGCGAAAAAGCTGCTTCCTCGGAGGCCAAGGAGGGCCCGTACTGGTCTATCATGCTCGAGGTGTCCGAGTCCTCCATGAAGCCCGTTGATCAGGAGACTCTGCTCAAGGACTGCATCCAGGGTCTCATCAACACGGACATGATCCGTCCGGAAGACGAGATTGTTTCCACCTACCACCGCCGCTTCGACCACGGCTACCCGACGCCCAGCCTGGAGCGCGAGAGTGTACTGAAGGAGCTCCTCCCCAAGCTGGAGGAGCAGGACATCCTGTCGCGCGGTCGCTTTGGCAGCTGGCGCTACGAGGTTGGCAACCAGGATCACTCCTTCATGCTGGGTGTGGAGGCTGTCGATGCCATCCACAACGGCGCGGTTGAACTGACGCTCAACTATCCCGACTTTGTCAACTCTCGCAAGAACACGGAGAGACGCCTCGCGCAGGCATTTGACTACAGCAAGGCAAACGGCTTGCCTGTACGCAACTAAGAGGGTAAGGAGCCAGAGGAAGAGGGGCGGAAAATAACGCTAAACGGAATGATATTGAGATTTGAGCAAAACTCGCTATTAAGCTCGTGGATTTGAGACACGAGAGGAAAGAAAAAAGGTAGAATAATCTAATAGACTTTGCATGTTGCAAGATGGAATCGCGGTCTCGTCTCTTTTGATGAATCAAGCAAGTGTCTAAAGTCTGAAATGAAATGATGGAAAGTGTGCTTGAGCTACGGATATGTGATGATGCAAACGTGGTGATTGGTGCGCGCGCTGGTGCGCTGTCGTAATAACTAACATACGGCGTTTTTTGACGTTGAAAGGCGATGGATTTTGGCGGGGATGCCACGGCACTTCAGCATTAGTGTAGCATTGGGCTGTAGACATGCAAAAGTTGTGCTCTATAAATAATTATGAAGATAAAATAGAATAAGAAGACCAGGCTGACTAGCTAACTAGGTAGACATTTTTCAGATCTGCACGGTTGGCAACGCAAGGCTTGTGGTGGTTGGAAGCGGTCAAGGAGGCCATGACCACCATATGACCATTGATGTGCAGAGACGAGCCACGAGCCACAATGCAGGGTGTACTCGGTATGCTTAATCTGTACCTGGTCAGGGTATCACGGGATGTGGGAAGGACGGGTACAGTCCGAACGACTCAGATCTATTAGGCAGCAAGATTGGGCGAGGACCATTTTCTTTGTGACGGTGGGGGGGAGCGCGAGCTAGAGACGACAGTGGTGATCGCTGACGGAGATGAGAAGTAATTACAAATAAAAGAAAAAAAAACAAGAGGGTGACTGGATGAACCTGGTATTATTACAGTCAGTCACCAACAGTTTCGCTCAGTAGGTATAAAGCATACCACGCTTTATATACTTTTGAGATTTAATAAGATTTATTTAGACTTTAATATATTTCAGTAGAAGCTTTTATGCACATATCTTTCATAACTTGACATTGAGTTCCTCTATGAACATGTACGAATTACGGAGTATAGTGAATTAGTTACAGTATTGCCTCCATTAGTTTGCATTGCGTCGCACAACAGCCCGGAAACGCCATCGACATGCAAGCGGCGCGGGCGTGCATCGACTCCACCACCAGCCAGGTCGCTGCCACTGCGCAATGGTAACTGCCCAAGCCAACGCATTTGCAAGGGGCAATGAAAAAGGCAGCCTTGCTTGCGGGCGCTGTTATTAAAAGAACAGTGAGACAGAAGGTTATTCCCCGAATGGTGAAGCCGTCAACTCCATTGCAATCATAACTAATAACACGTATCAAAGTCGCCATGAGAAAAGTGATTGCCATGGCCACCAGTTTACCGCACGAATCGGTGACCACGCCGCGTGGGTTGGTGAGATCGCGGAGGAGATAGATTGTCGCTAGTTACTAAGGTACCTTGCGGGTTGTAGGCGTCGTTTGCATCTTCGAGACGGAGGTCCGACGCAGCGGCAAAATCTGCTGTATTACAGATCTTAGGTACACTGTATTATTAGTACGGATACAGGTACCTTCCAGGTACCTGGCGGAGTACAGAGTACGCCGGGGCAGTTTGCCGCTGACTCTGCCAGCCAGACGGTAAAGTTGCAGTGCAGAGGGCCGGAGCAAAGACCTCCTAGTTAGAACCCCAACGAGCCGAAGACGGATCAACACACATGACACTATAACTCACAGTATTAATATACTAAAAAGACAAGGCAGAATAAATACTATAATGCGCCAGCATCGGCCGGGCCACCGATACCAGGTAGTTACTCACCCACTCGCTTTTCATCAATGCCATTTTACTATTATAAGCTGTTTTCTGATCATCTGCGAAAACGGCCTCTACCAGGAATCGCTACCCGCTGAGGGGCTGACTTGTTTCGGTACGTTCGGTACGTACCACCCTGTACGGTGCACATTGGCGGGTTCTCGAGGTACCGCTCGCGATTTTTGCCCACCTACACCTCACTAGGTAGGTATTCTGGCCAATTGCTGCTGCCGCCGCCAGATTGCTTGCTGCCGCCCTTCTCCAAACACTTGCAGACTCTGTCTCTGCTCTGCTGCACAAGTGACGTATCTGGGCGAATTGAGCTTCCCTCCATCCCAGCTCTGCTGATTTGGAGCAAAAACCACCGGCTTTCTCTCTCCTCACGCAACTCTCTCAAGCAATCCATCGACAGCCGCGCCGACCGATTTCGACCATGCTGCCCGCCCAGTCCCCTTCTCCGTTCGATTGATTCCCGCCCCAACGACCTTGCCTCCTCACGCCCCCTCCGGCCTCGTCCTCCCCTCGCCCTTCTCCAACCGGCCTTCGTTGGACTCTGTGTCCTTTTCTGCTCTCCCCGCCCCCCTCTTCTTTCTCGTCGCCAGTCTTGCTTGGCAGGACAATCATCCGACACTCGTAGCGACACCTGCCAGCGCGGCTGATCCATGGTTGCGCGCCACCTGCCATCATGGTCGGTGCCGCTGTCGTCACAGAGGAGACCCTCGATCCCCCTCCGCCTCCCCCGCGTCTCTTTGAGCGTCTGCGCCAGATAGCCGGCTACACCTGGGACGAGTCCATCCACCCCATTCACTCGACCTACGATTACTGGTATGTTATTCCGCCGCCTGCGGGGCATTGCCCACCATCTTGACGAGCCTTGTTCAACCTAACGCCAACTTTCTCGCTTGGTCCTTCTCTTTCGTACTTACCAAATATGCCCTCTTTTCTAACCGTGTATCGCGTTGCAGGTATGTTTTTGGATTTCGACTTGTGCCCCAAGCCCCGACGCCATCCGCCTCGTCCCAACACACGGCGAGCTCGGCACTCGGTGGCAAGCTGCGTCCCTCGACCGCAGAACATGGCGGCCAAAACACCCCGGCCTCTGCCATTGATAGCGAACCTCTCCCTTCGCCGTCCCTCTTCTCGCGCCCACCCTCGACGACCTCCTTGACCTCTGCTACCGAGTCCGCCTACACCGAAGAACCCATCGTTGCCCGTATCTCCCTTCACACTATCCGCGAAGAGCGGGCTTTTCAAATCGCCAATGGCTTCTTTGCCAAGGCCGACCCCAACGCCCGCCACATTGTCCGCCCGGTCGATCTCATAAGGCTGCCCCCGACCTCGGGCGACCGCGCCGCCCTCGTCATCACCGTCTACCAACGCATTGGCCCCAACTACCTGCTCCATGTCCTGGACATGGGCCCTGCACTCTACAGGGCACGCAAGGATGGCGAGTCGTATCAATCATACTCCGAGCCCGAAGCTCTTCCCATGCAGACTATCAGTTTGGAGCATTTTCTCAATTTCGCCATAGGCGCCGCAGAGTGCCTCGAGACTCTCCACCATCACCACGGCATGATCCACGGCGAGATTCGTGGCGATGCATTTCACTTCAACGTCGAGGCGAACCAGGTTCGGATCGTATCCTTTGGTTCCGGCCTGCGATCGTTCGAGCATGGGCTAACCAGCACCGGCTGGTCAATGCTGTCCAAAGAAATCGGCGCCAAAAATAAGCTTCTCTACATCAGCCCCGAGCAGACCGGCCGCATGCCAGCCGAGCCCGATAGCCGTACCGATATCTACTCCCTCGGCGTCCTCTTCTGGACCCTCCTCGCGCGACAGCCTGTATTTAGTGGCGACACCCCCCTCGATATTGTCCAGGGCGTCCTGAACAGGAAAATACCAAACGTCACCACTGTTCGCCTAGGCATCCCTGATGTCATTGGACGCATCATACAAAGGTGTACGGCCAAAAATGTGGCTGACCGCTATCTCTCCGCCAGTGGTTTGCGCCACGATTTAGTCTCGGTGCAGGAGTATATGAGCAAAGGAGACTTGCAAGCCCTTGCTGACATGCAGATTGGCTCCAAGGATGTATCGTCGTTTTTCTTACTGCCTACCGCCATGGTTGGCAGGGATGAGGAAAAGAAAAAACTACTTCGTGTCATTGACCGTGTATTCAGAAGTCACTCCTCACAGGCCAAGGGTCCGCACCCCAAGTCTTCTGATGGCTCTAGCTTCCGCAACGACGCCTTTCTCGCCGATGACGCCTCTAGTGAAGGCGCTAGCTCGATTGGCGACGGCAACACCCGGCGAAGCGGTTCCTTCACCCACACATCCATCAACGATCAGAAGATGTTCAAGGGGAGCTTCCAGTCCTCCGCGCAGACCGATTCGCAAAACTCAGACAGTGCCTCCACATCACACTCCATCAGCACCCTCCCGGCTCCTCGTATAACCCGCCGTTGGGAACGCCACCAGTCCATGTCCAATGACACAAACTCTGCTGTCGACAGCTCTGCCTATGACGGGAGTCGTCATGGTGGCATGGATTCCGGGGCGTCCGCGCTGTCTCGACAGCTCGGAGCTGCCAAGTTTAGGCGTAGAGGCCAATGTGAAGTCGTTGTGATTGAGAGTGCTGGCGGCCTGGGGAAGAGTTGCTTGATACAATCTGTATTGCCCGATATTCGCAAACGTGGATATTGTGCCACGGCGAAATTCGATTCAGCCAGGAGAGCCGCACATGGTCCCCTTATTAAGCTCCTGTCATCGCTCTTCAAGCAGGTATGGGGCGAGAGAAACACAGACACGCCCTTCCACCAAGCCCTGCGGCAGTATATCCGCCCGGTCTGGCCCATGCTGCATAAAAGTCTGGGTCTCCCCGAGTTTCTGCTAGGCCCGGCAGACACTGTAGCTTCCCGCACTATCTCACTAACGCAAAACCCGGGGCTGCGCAACCATAACCGTGGTGGTAAGCGCAGAGGCTCCTCGCCAGGCATCTCACCCAGCTCCTCTAGTGGTGGACCAAGCATTGCCTCCCAGACCGCGCATGACTTCTTGCGCGCTGGCGCCTCGACAAAGACGAAACGATTTGTCAACACCTTCCTCGACGTCCTCCGCGTTTTCACACACCACAAGCTCATCTGCTTCTGCTTGGAAGACCTTCACTTCGCCGATGAAGAGTCCCTGGAGCTCATCACCCAAGTCATTAGCTCTCGTATGAGAATGGTCGTTATTCTCACGCACCGGCCTGAAGAGCTTTCTGCCGAGAAGATGCAGAGCGTAATATATCCCACAGAGACCCTAGAACTACCCAAAAGCAGTCGGCCTGCCCTGACGACGCTGAAACTGGCTCCATTTACGGAAGCCGAAGTGTTGAGATATGTTGCCGCGACACTAGCTAGACCGACCGACGACATTTTGTCGCTTGCCATGGTCATCCAATCCAAAACGGCGGGCAATCCATTTTATATCCGAGAGATGCTCAGCACATGCAACCGCAAGCGATGCATCTGGTACAACTATGGCGACTCCCAGTGGCACTACGACTTGGACAAAATATTTGCCCAGTTTCAAGGCGAAAAAGACTTTGACGTGCTCGACACTGATTTCATTACCCGTCGACTCAACGAACTACCTCCGGCGGCACGAGCTGTTCTGGCGTGGGCAGCTCTCATAGGAAGCTCATTTTCTTTTGGACTCATATGCCGTTTGATGGATGCCGACTACGAATTCGAGGATGAAACTCCCCTTTGCGCTCTCGAATCTCCCACGCACAACAAGTACACACGGGGTGAGGCCATCGAGGGTCTGCAGGCGGCTGTGCAAGCCTACATCCTTGTTCAAAGCGAGACTGAGGACCGCTTTCGATTCGCGCATGACCGATACATACACGCTTCGTCGGGACTGAAGGAGTGCAATGAACAGAAGATGCACTTCATTATTGCCCAAACTCTCATGAAACACTATGCTGATGATCCAAGGGAACGAGCCGGCGCTGCTAGGCACATTTGCAAGGCGGCCGCTTTGATCAAGACACACCTACCAGAACGAGAGCACTTCCGCATACTTCTCAGAGACGCCGCCCAAGAAGCTGTCGAGAGCGGAGCTAGACCCACGGCTTCCAAATATTATAGCAAGGCCCTGCAATTGCTACAACCTAATGCATGGGAACCAGGCAGCCGTGATGTCAGCTACGACGAGACTCTTCAGCTCTACCTCCGCACAGCCGAGTGCTATCTCTATATGAGCAAGTTGTCCAAGGCCAACGACTTGCTGTCAGTCATCTTCGCCAACGCCAAGACACCGCTGGACAAAGCCCCAGCCTCCGTGCTGCAGTCCCGCATCTTCGCGCAGAACGGCAACTCGATAGCTGCCGTGATATCACTCAAGGATTGTTTGTCTACTATCGGTGTGGAGGTGGAAAAAGAACCTACATATGAGGCATGCGATAAGAAGTTTGAGGAGCTGACGACAAAGATCAAGCTGATGGATCGGTCCGCGATTACAGGTGTCCAGACTACCAGCGACCCAGTCATGACATCAATTGGCGCCGTTTTGTCCGAATGTTTGTCTGCCGCCTGGTGGAGCGACTGTTTGGAGTACTACTATCTCACGCTGGTCATGCTCGAGACCCATCTCACTCGGGGTGCGTTCCCGCAGTCTGGCATGGCGTTCCTGAACTTGGGTGTCATAGCCCTCTGTCGATTTTCCATGGCCGAGTTCGCCGTTGAGCTTGGGGTCATCTCTCAGGATCTGCTCTATGATGGGCGCGATACGTTTTCCATTGCGCGCGGTCAGATGCTCCACACGTGCTTCCTGGCGCATATTCATTGCTCCATGCCGCTTGCTGTCGCGCAGACGGAATATGCCATTGAGCTAGCTTCCGTTGGTGGCGATCGGATGTCGACAATTCTCAGTTACGGACTCACTGCCCATGCCAAGTTCTTCGCAAGCGAAAATCTTGACGACCTCGAAAGCTATTGCCAGTACGCATGCGAAGAGATCCCTACCTGGAATTCTGACACAAGAGGTGGTGCCATGATTGTCGCTATCCACCAGACATGCCGAGCTCTTCAAGGTAAGACGCGTGTGGGCGATGCTCTTGGTATCATGTCTGATGATCAGCACAACGGTCCTCGATACAAGACGTGGCTCATGACGCAGACGCAAGGGAGCAATCGATCCATTCTCTTGTACGAAAGTGTCGAGCTAGTCAATTTGTTCTTGTACGGGCATTATGAAAGAGCAGTTGAGCTGGGCGGACGATGCTACCACCACCTGGACGCCCTCTGGTCTGCGCGGAACAGTCGCCTGATTCTGCTGTTTTACGGTCTGGCCAGGGCAGGACAACTTCTAAGACAAATGCAAGACCCGCGCTCGCCCACGGCCAACTTTTCAGCGCAGACACAAGAAATTGTCAAGGAGATGCAGGGCTTTGTTGACAAGATCAAAGAGTGGTCAACTGTGTCGGATATCAACTATCTCTGCTGGTTGCGCCTGCTCCAGGCTCAGATGGTGGAGCTTGTTGGTAACCACGGCGAAGCGGTGCAACACTATGAAGAGGCCCTGGACCATGCTAGCGAGCACGGGTTTGCTTTTGAAGAAGCCCTGGGAAATTACCTCATGGCTGGCTTCTTCCTTCGCCGGCGCGCGAGACGATCGGCCCGAGCCGCCCTTCTGGAGACTGTTGGCCTGTATCGTCAGCTCGGGGCAACTGGTGTTGCCAAGGCTATTGAGGAGGAGCACTCGTTACTGCTTCGCGGACCTACCCGAAGTCACCAAACTGCAGATGCCGCAATACAGACTGATTTCGTCACGGAGGCATCATCGGGCCAATATGCTCATGCGGACGGCGAAGACGACCACCAGCTCACCCAAGTCAATTCGCATAATCTTATGGATGCTAAAGGTGACAGAATAGGAGCCTGGCGCGGCTCCGTGGATCTGCGGAATAACGACGCGCCCGGATTCCCCACACTCGACATGATTGACCTACATGCCATTCTGGTTTCTTCTCAAGTTATTTCATCCGTGTTGCAAATTGATGAGCTGCTCAAGACTATGTGCGATGTCATTTTGCAGACTTGTGGAGGTTCGGCTACTCTTGCTGCCATTGTTGTACAGGATCCTGACGGAGACGGCAATTCGTGGTGCATCGCTGCCAGTGGTGATCCTGAGAAAGGCGCCTCTGCACACAACCCTGGCCTCCCCCTTGCCACAAACTCATTGATTGCGGATAATGTAGTTCTCTACTGCACACGCTTCCGCGAAGCAGTATTCATTCCCGACCTCAGCGTTGACGAGCGTGCAGGCAACGTCAACGACACGTGGCTGCAAAAGAATCCACTTGGCAGATCTATCATTGCTATTCCCATCACACACGGCAACAAACCACTTCTCGGCGTCTTGTATATGGAGGGCGAACCCCGCTCATTTACAGATCGCAATGTCACGGTGCTGCAGCTCTTGGTGAACCAGCTCGCCATCAGCTACTCAAACGCCCACACCATGAAGAATCTCGAAAAGGTGTCTGCAGAAAATCGGTCGATGGTGTCTCTCCAGCGCACGGCGCTGAAAAAGGCGCGTCAGGCGGAAACCAAGGCCAAAGATGCTGAAGCTGAAGCGAACCGCAACGTCAAACTTGCCGAGGAGGCGGCCAAAGCAAAGTCTATATTCTTGGCCAACGTGTCGCACGAGCTGCGGACGCCGCTCAATGGTGTCATTGGCAACTCTGAGCTGCTCCGGGATAGTGAACTGAACAGAGAACAGATGGAGATGGCCGACTCGATTCGAGTGTCTGCAGATCTGCTCTTGACCGTCATCAACGACATTCTCGACTTCTCCAAGATGGAGGCGGACAAGATGAAGCTCTACATTATCGCCTTTAACCCCGAGGAAATGGTTCGAGAGGTGGTGCGCGCTGTGTCGTACAGCAACCGTGAAAAGACGTCTAAGAAGAATGTCAAGATTATTCAAGACATTAATCTACCATCGATGTTGATTTATGGAGACCCCATTCGTCTTCATCAAGTATTGGGTAATCTGATTGGCAACAGCCTCAAGTTCACAGATGACGGATCCATCACGATTGGGGCACGCCTAGAATCGGAAACTGTCAAGAGTGCGACTCTCACATTTTGGGTTCGGGACACGGGTATCGGCATCCATCCACAGCAGCTCGCCAAGCTGTTCCAGCCGTTCAGTCAAGCCGATGCTGGAACGGCGAGAAAGTATGGTGGCAGCGGTCTTGGTCTCAGCATTTGCAAGTCTCTGATCGAGGTCATGATGAAGGGCAAGATTCGGCTAGAAAGTGGAGATACGGCGGGCACAACGGCCTGGTTTACAGTAACATTCGAGAAGACGGAGGCGGATGTTTCGGCTGGTGATGCGCTTGCCAAAACATCACCATCCATTGATCGGTACACGAGTTTGTCACCCAGCTATGACCTGCAAATGGCTCCCAGACCGACTATGAATCTATCCAAGCTCGCGACGGAGGATATCCGCATCTGCATCGCCGAAGATAACCCGATCAATCAAAAGATTGCCATTCAGTATGTGAAGCGGCTCGGATACCGCCATGTTGTGGCTTATGAAAATGGTATGAAGGCCATTGAGGGTCTACGTGCCAAAGCAAAGGAAGGACAGCCGTACCATATTATACTCATGGACGTCATGATGCCTGTTCTTGATGGTTACGAAGCGACAAAGCTCATTCGCAAGGATCCGATGGAGGCTGTGCGAAAGATTCTTGTCATTGCCATGACAGCGTCGGCGATCCAGGGCGACAGAGAAAAGTGCTTGGCGGCAGGTATGAATGACTATCTGGCCAAGCCAGTGCGCGCCGATGTGCTTCGGCGGAAGCTGGACGCCTATGTCAATGCGCCCGAGAATCCATTCCCGACACCGTCACCCAGCCCGCTGGAGATTTCGCAGGCCGAGTATGACGCGAGATTGAGAGCGGTTGTGGAGCCTGTCCACGAGCAGACATTCAACCGCCAAGCGCTGCGGACGGAAGCTAGCATGGATCCTATGGAAGAGGGCGCCGTCTTTAACCAGCCGCTTGACTCGGAAGCGCTCCTCGCGTGCGACAGTCCCATATTTGGGTCGTCCACGCCGACGTTTCCAAGCCGTAGCCGGTCCATCACCAGCTCGGCATCGACGACGCGAAGCCCCTCTGAACCGTCCCGCGACAATGACAAGGCCCAATCGATGCGACCAAACGCGGATGGCAAAGCCAAAGCTTTGGCCGAGAACGGGAATGGGACCATGGCGAATGGTAAGAGCGAGAGCTGATGTGCGACGAAGGCAGGCGAATGTCTACGGATCATGCGGGCAATGGAGCAGTGATGGGTCATGGCACAAGATGCTGCTAATGTATATTAGTGGCTGGTTTTAGTTTTAGTCCTCTCTGGATTTTCTTTTCATTGTCATTTTTAGCGAATCTGTTCTTTTTTTTCTTCCTTGGCCTACATTTGGCGTTGAACATGGGTATGGTCAGGGGACGGGGGGGAATGGGAACGAAAGCGAGACATTTGGGTTTAGCCAGGCATTTCTCATTATTATTTGCAAGAAATCTTTTTTTTTCTCTTTCCCTCCCTCCCTTTGTCTTTCGGCTTTGGATAGTGAGGCTACGAAAACTGGCGCATGTATGGATTGTTGATTAGTCTAATGATTAGATTTGTTGTTTTCAGCATGATGGATGAGGCGATAGTTAATTAATTTTTTTTTATTACCGTGTATTTGAAAAGTCTCGTCGTTGACTGTGATTCTAGCTTTGCCGAAGAAGAATGGCAAAAAACGACGTCAGGCTGCAGTCCTGGTCATGGATGAAATGATGACATTCTGGGGAGGTGGTGTGGCGCGAGCCTTGGGTCCATATGCAGTCAGAGAGCCAATGAGTGAGCCTTTGCTTCTGTACGTATGGCTTGGCATCAGCGTTGAAGCAAGCTTGGCTACGGCCTGCTGATGGAGGAAATGCGCGACCATGGTGGGTTGATGTTGCCCGGTGGCGCGCATATCAGGCTGTGAGTGGGAATGCTTGGTGGGTTTCCGTCACGTTGCGGCCTGTCTGTATTAAGCTCCCAGCCGGGGAAAAGGGCCAGCTACTATGACGCTTGCGATGACGGCATTGCTCTTTTCCATCTTTCATTCATCAGCCAGAAGGGGAGAAACGCCAGCGAAATCATCGTCAACACTACCGGGTTGAATTACATCCACCACGTTTGACTTGCCACTACTTTTCTCTCCCTCTAATAAAAGAACATGTACTCGCAAGACACCAGTCAGCCGCCGAGCTACGAAAGCTGCGTGGCCGCGCTGCAGGAGCCGGTGCTGCTCGTGCTCGCGGGCCAGAGCATCCGCGCGGGCTCCGCCACGGGACCGGTGCTGTACGAGACGAACCGGGGCGTGGCCAACCTCGGGCCGGCGACGACGTGCGTGGAGCTGACGCGCGTGGAGCGGAGCGTCCGCGGCGGCGCCGAAGAAGCCAGCCTGACGACAGACGAGGACGCCAAAGAGTTTGGCGAGGTGGAGGCCGAGGACGGGGACGTGTTGGTGACGCCGCGGGTCCGAGTCCGGCGCCGGCACATTATGGACCTGGTGCACCCGACCAGCAGCGGCACGCCGCCGTACTACGTGAAGCCGTGGACCAAGCAGACGCAGCAAGGGACGTGGGGGCTGAAAAAGGCGTACGGGCTGCGGCGCTGGCGGGTGCTGCGGGTGCTGGAAAAGGGACGGTACGGGGAGCCGGCGTTTGTGGACGACGAGGAGGAGGAGCGGAAGAGGCCGCTGTTTTGCGTGGGCAAGGCGCACGGCGGCGCGTACGAGTGGACGGATGCGCAGGGCGAGAGACTGGCGCGGGAGGAGCAGGACCGAGGGAAGAAGGAGTATAGCTTGACGACGGTCAGGGCCATGGGCAGGGACGAGATGGATGCGCTCGTGGCTATGTGGTGTTGTCGGATCTGGGAGGCGGCGGCGGCGGCGCAGCCACCGATTCACGAAGGGATGGAAAAGGGTAAGCGGAACAAGACTTGACGATTTTTTTTGAGCTTATCCTTGCGATTTTCTGATTGACAAGCCACAATAAAAAACATAAAAAAAAAGAAGCTAACCGCCAGGCTGTCTAGTACGCCGACGACTTCGACTCGCCAAAGAGTTTCCGGGCAAGGGCGGCAACTTGGGTCTCGGTTTGGGCGCCGTGTTTTAGGCGAACAGCGAGAGAGGAGGGGATCAATCAATCTGGGAGCGGGCGCGGGTTCGCGTGCTTTTGGCAAGGATCAACAGTGCAGGAGGGGGGGGGCGAGAGAGAGAGAGATGATGACGGGTCAAGTTCCTGCAGGTCCTCCGGTACATGTAGATATCCCCCTCTCCCTGCAATACACAAAGAATTGGGCATCGAGAAGAAGGAGTCAAAGAAGAAAGCCCTTTTGCGATCTCAAATCGGTGAAAGACGAGATCGAAGTGCGTTCACTAAAGCGCCCCTGCAAGCTTCGTGGTTTATAAGTTAGGTCGACGCCTCCCCCGCTTGCTCCCGAGCCGGCCCGGTGCTCTGGGTACATGGGCGCACGACACCGGACGACGGAGGGGGGGGGGGGGCTGAGGTAAGTAAAGCATGTGCAGGCAGCGGAGAGGGAAGCAAGAAGCATGACCCCCTCCTCTTACGCGGGCTCTTACGCCGACTGCATATATCAATATGGCCTGATGCCTTTTTTTTCTCTTTCCATCTGCTTCTTCTCTTTCCCAGTCTCTTCCTTCCTTGGGTTCGCCTCTCTCTCTTCTAGTCTTCATCCGTAAAAAACAAAATCATCCATTCTTCCGTGCATTTCTTCCCGCAGAGGGGGAGGTAGTAACAAAGCACACATGGCACCAACGCACCGCGTCACCCCTGCCGCCCGGCCACCGGTGCACAAGCTGCCCGACGAGCTGCTCGTCCTCGTCTTTGCGCACTTTGACGACTCGTCTCGTCTGGCCCCGCGCTTCCGCGAGGACCCGGTGACGCTGCTCGAGACGTACCACGCGGCCGCGCACCGCGGCCGCGGCCGCCACAACCCGCTCAAGAACATATCGCTCGTGTGCCACCGCTGGCGCGAGGTTGTGCTGCCGCGGCTGTTCCGGCACGTGCTGTGGACGTTTCGCAGGCTGCAAGAGCCGGAGCCGGGGCTGGACGAGGCGGCGGCGGTGGCGGCCGGCTTTGAGCTGCTGGTGTTTCTGCGACGCCGTCGTTTCGGGGCGGCGGCGGCGGTCGAGGGCCTGACGATGCTCGTGCCGTGTCCGGAGCACCTGATGGATGACCCGACGGAGCTGGTGGGCCGGTTCGGGCTGCTGCCGCATGCCGGCGTCGTCGGCGCGGAAGAGGACGACGACGAGGACATGGCGGAGAGCGTCATCTTGTCCGAGACGGCGAGCAGCATCGGGCTGCCCGAGGACGCCGGGCACGCGACCTGGCCAAACACCTGGTTCTGGGACATGCTGTGGAGCGTCGTCGACCCGCTGCGCGTGAGCATCATCGCCGCGCCCGTGGTGCTGGCAACCATGCTCAGCCTCAAGGTGTTTATCCGCTGCCAGCCGCTGCTCATGACGCAGTACCATATCTTCTCCGTCTCCCGCGCGGACCGACGGCCCGCGGCGGCGCGCGACGACACGCCGCTGCCGGATCCCGTGGTGTCGGCCGCGACCATGGCGGCTTCTGCGCCGCCGAGCGACGACGACGGGCCTTTCCCGTGCGAGCTCCTTCCGCCGGCGCGGTCGTGGTCCTGCCTCGTCGTCAACGAGGGCTCCTCGGTGTCCATCTACAAGACCAACGGCTACGGGCAGACGCCGCCGTCGGCGCTGCTCAGCCTGTTGGCGGCCAACAACCACCGCGCGCTGCGCGCGTCCCTGCGCCGCCTCGAGTACGTCGCCGTCATGCCCATGGCGACGCACCTCCGCGCCGTGGCCGCGCTGGTGCCGCCGCGCCTCGAGGCCCTGTACGTGCAAATCATGCCGCGCGGCGTCGACGTTGGCGGCGGCCGCTTCGAGGGCCTCGACATGGAGGATCTGCTCACGGAGCGCGACTCGGTGTACGAGCTGCTGTTTGGCGCCATTTTCGTGCCCGGCCCCCGGCCCGAGTGGCAGGCGCTCCGCGTGTTTGAGACGGGCGACGTCGACGTCGACGACGGCACCGCCTGGGCCGAGGCCGTCGAGACGGCACAGGCGAGCGCGTCCTGCTGGGAGGTGGCGGAGAAGGGCCGCTTGGTCAGGAATATCGTGAGGGAGGAGGCGGAGAGAAGGAGGAGGCGGCGACTGGCGTGAGATGCTGCATTTGGCGTTTTGGCAGCGCTGTGAAGGATGTGTCATGTTGGGTGTTGGGTGTTGGGATCTTGGGGTGCAGGGTTCAGACAGGTGGGGGGTGTCATGTGTCGGAGTCGGCCGGCTTCCGGTTCGCGTTACGCAGACTTAGGAACACTACATTTCGAGCAGCAAAGAATCGGACACGTCGTGCCGCATGCATTGAGGTGTGACCACCCATTTCCCCACGGGTTCTATGAAAACTGTCCAGCCTCGGTAGGCGTCTACTGTGATACGCCATGTTGCTTGCCCCCCAAAAGATGAACCCCAGATATGCAAGATTTGATCCAAAACTAAGACATGTGCGTGGTACACGACACAATGAATAATACAAGAAAAAAAAAACATAGAAAACCGGGCTGTGGCAATAAAACGCAGAAAAAGAAAAAAAAAGAGCGAGGAAGACGATGAGCTGCTCATGAATCGCTTCCGCTGAGGTTGCCGTCCTCGTCGTCGCTGTCGGTCAGGTCCACGGCCAGCTTCTGCGCCTCGTGCTCCGTCATCTCGCGGTAGGTGCTCCAGCTGAGCGCCAAGAACGCCAGCACAATCATGGAGCCGCCGAGCATGGCGGCGGCCGAGAGGGGCTGACCAGTGAGGGCCCAGTCGGCGAGGGCGACGATGAAGATGGTGAGCAGCGCCGCGACGGACGACAGCACGGGCGAGGTGAGGGATATGAGGACGAGAAAGGAGCCGCTAAAGACGGCGTTGCAGAGGACCGCGAGCAGCACGAGGCGACCGGTGGCGGCATCGGGCAGCGCAAACGTCTCCCAGCCGAGCATGTGCAGCAGCGGCAGCGGGAGCCAGAGGACGGTGAGGGTGAAGAGACCGATGAGGGAGCCAAATGTGTTGGCGAAGATCATGCCCCGGCCGGGGGAGACGCCGTCGGGCGGGCAGGCGAAGCGCTTGTACATGACCTCGTACAGGCCGTAGAGGACAGAGCCGAAGCCGATGACCATGTTGCCGAGGAAGCGACTCTCAGCGCTGGCGTCGGGGCCAGAGGAGGAGGAGGTGCCGGCGCTGCCGTCTGCGGCGCTGCTACCGGTGTCGCCGTATGCGACGACGAGGACGCCGATAATGGCAATGAGCACGGCGACTGACTTGTCTAGCCGCAAGGGCTCGCGCAGCAGCGGCACGGAAAAGGCATAGGCGAAGAAGGCGGAGCAGTTGTAGATGGCAGTCAGGTCCGAGGGCGTCGTCATGCTGACGGCAATATACCAGGAGAGGCCGGCGACGGTGAGGGCGCTGGTGACGACGGCCGTGACGCGCAGCATGTACCGGACGGAGCGGGCGCTGTACTGCAGCGTGGTGCCAAACACGTCGAGCGTCTGCATCTCCACCATGAGCGCCGTCGTCTTGAGCAGCTGCGTGTGGCGGCGCCAAAACACGGGCCAGGGCTGGTCGAGTTTCTGCAGCCGGAGGATGAGCAGCTGCGTCGGCCACAGCACGACCCACGAGCTGTGGGTAAAGTACATCATGCAGTAGGCCTTGTCCCAGCCGAGATCGTGCTGGATGTACGCGCTCAGCTCCGTCTGCAGGCAAAAGGCGACGAGGGAGACGACGAGGAAGAAGGCGGCATAGGTGTATTTCTTGCGCGCGGCTTGCTCGGCGGCGAAGCCGCGCGGGCTGCGGGAGCGCATGGCGGTGGAACGGCGCGAGAGTGCTGGGCGGGCGCCGCTGGTGATGGCGGGCACGGCGGCGCGGTTCGGGGTGAGGGTGCCGTTGGAGCGCCCGCGTTCGGCGGCGGAGATGCCGGCGACGGTGTCGTCGGGTTTGGCGAGGAGCGGCGTGCCGTAGATGCCCTCGTTTGGTCGCGCCATGGCTGGGGGGGAGCGTTTCAAGGTCTGGTTTGAGAAGCGAGTTGTCGGAGGGAGGGATAAGGGGGCGGCGCCCGGTCGCTCAGGGCATGGAGTCACGCGAGCAAGCAAAGGCGACGAATTCTACGGCAAGGACCGTCGGCCGGCTCAGCGTGGTGAGAGGAGGTGTCGAAAAGGAAGTTCCCGCAACGGGGTCGCCGTTTGTTGTCGATGTGGAGGCTGCGTAGTCTGGCATGTATTGGTTTCTCAACGGTAAGCGTTCTGGGCGGGTACGATAACGACGCTTGGGTCGGTTGTTTGGATCGGAGGTTGGAATGGTGGGTGGGACGACTTGTTGAGAGTTGGACTCGGTGGGAGGAATCAGAGAGAGGGGGAGAGGGTCTCGGATGAAGAATAAAAAGCAAACAAGGGAAAGAAGAAAAAGGGCGTTGGGCGGCGAGTTGATGGGGCGCGGGTAGAGGAAGGGTAGTTAGGGGACGGACGTGCGTTTCGACCGGTGACGAGAGCCACCGATCGAGGCTGAGCCGTCACTGTCACTGTGCAGCACAGCGTATTACAGGGTACAGCACGCAGCCAAGCCAGCCAAGCCACTGCAGTTCCGGATACTGACCGGACTGATGAGTGAATGGAGGGACGAGAGAAGAAACAGTGGGCAACGTTTAGGGGTTTTAGGAGGTCTAGATTTGCTTCCACCAACCGCCAACGAGGCGCTGAAGGCAAGCCTAAGAAGTGGCCCTGTCAGTTTCTGAGCCCCTAAAAAACTCACCAAACCCACCAAAACCTCCCTTCGTCCGTATTCTTCCCCGCCACAAGCGCTCGAGGCACCGCCTGGCTTCAGCGCTCCTCTGTGTCTGGAGTCCACGCGCAGCACATGGTGGTCACTGGTCAGCTTAACGCCTCAGTGCTACCTACTAACCTAGTTATAGCATCCTGCATCCTACAGACAACGTGGTCACACGCACACGGAAGTCACCTGCACGACGCCCGCTTCATTTATGCTTAACTACACATCTGCGGCTACTCTTTCCTGCATCTCTTTGAAAGGTCATTCATCACATCTTTTGCCTAGGACAGCATCCACATGTACTTGGCGCCACCGTCAGTCGCCGCATACCTCGGACGAAAGCATCCACGACAAGACGCAAAACGCAAACTCTTCAACCCAAACCCCTCTACTTGGCACCTGGCGCAAACAGCGCCTGCTGCGTATTGTACGAGTACTCCAGCGTCCCGTGCCAGTACGGCGCCGCGTCCTGCTTGGCCGCCTCCCACGCCCTGTCCAGTGCCTTGACCACGTCCTCTGGCAGCGGACCCTTTTCGATGCTGTCCAGGTTGCTCTCGAGCTGCTCGACGCTCGACACGCCCAAGATCACACCATCGTTCCCGCCTACCATCCGCAGCCCCGAGTGGTGCACCGACCACCGCAGCGCCGTCTCAATCAGCGTCAGCCCGTGCTTGGCGACGGCCTCTTCGGCAATCTGCAGCGCGCGGAACACGCCGTCCTTGAAGTAGCGCGCGCGGTACCGGTCGCCCAGCACCCCCGCCTCGTCCGAGAAGCGGCCGCTCTCGGGCACGACGTCCTGCGACTTGATCTTGCCCGACAGCAGCCCGCCCGCGAGCGGGTTGTACACGACAATGTCGAGGCCGTAGCGCCGGCAGGCCACAAACAGCTCTTTCTCAATGTGCCGCGTGATGCAGTTGTACATGCCCTGGTACACGGTCGGCCGCACCCAGTGGTTGTACTTGCACGTCATGACTACCTCGGCCACCTCGTGCGCGGCAAAGTTGCTCAGCCCCAGCTGCACAAACTTGCCTGCTTTGTGCAGCGCGTCGAGCGCCTCGAGCGTCTCGGCAAAGGGCGTGCCGCGGTCGGGGCAGTGGAGGTAGAGGATCTGCGCGCGCGTGTTAGTGACGTTTCCGGGCGGTGTTGGAGGCAGCATTTCATGCTGGTGATGCGGATGATGACCCAGTTCCTCACTTACATCCACGCAATCGGCGCCTAGCTCCTTCAAGCTCTTTTCCACAGACTCCGTCACCGCCTGGGCATTGTTGGCGCCGGGCGTTTGCGGGTACGTGACCTTGGTCGCCAGCGTAAAGTGGCGGTCCTTCCACCCGGCTTCCCGCGTAAAGGCCTCTTGCGCGCCGTCGATGTAGATGCGCGCCGTGTCAATCTCGTCGTAGCCCCGCGCCCGCAGCACGTCGAGCGCCCGGCCGAGCGTCGCCGTGTCGGTGATGCGCGCCCCGGCCTCCTTGGTCGGGCCAAACGTCATCAGACCCAGGATGACCCTGGGCTGGGTGCGAGTCGGGACGATGAGAGGCATTGCTTTTGGTCGTTTTGATCGTTTTGTATGTGTCGGTTCCTGTACATGTAGATGTTGGTGGCGAGAGCTGCCCACGAACTAGCCCGGTGCGGGGGAGCTTTTAACTAGCCCGCGATACGGCATCGGTGCTGCTTCCGAACGGCTCCGTTGCCCCTCTTCTTTATACCCGAGAGTCGTGACGGCTTGGAGACTTGTAGAAACGGTGACTCTGGTACACTCGTTATCGTACATCCTCATTCGACTTCAATATCGTCTTCTTGGAGACTTTGCCAGATGGCGGGGTATAAGTTGGGGTTCCCGTTCCTGCCTGGCTGTCTCTTGGGCGCAATTGCCACTCGACGGCCGTATCAAGCATCATTGAATAGCCAAAGCTATTGGTCGGAGGCGAACGTGGCGTCTGTTCGCTATGGAAAACCTGGTGAACATTTGTAAGACTTGAGCTTGCTCACTATGACGCTACAGCAACACCTCCGCAATCGGCGCCCCAGAGGCAAAGCACAAGATTCGGCCAACATCACTGACGAGCACTGCGACGCGTACAAAGGCAGAAACAAGTGTTTCACGATGATTAACTAGATATTCTACCTTACAATGTTTCAGCTCGCTTCGTTACAGTGTAGCCGACCAATGGCTCGTGTTCGACGGGAATGGACACGGAGGGGAGACATGAGTCTGTACTGGCTTTTTATAAACCCCATCGGCCGATGCAAGCTGCTTCTATAGGCTATCCTCATGTGTATCGGGTTGATTTTCGAGCCGGCGCCTGGCGTGTACGGGTACGAATACTCGAATTTCTTATGTAGTGTTATTTGACCAGGTCTCTCAGCCGAACGAACGCGCTGGCAGCCCCGGAACGACCAAAGGCAGGAAGGTAAAAGCCCAGTTACAACCACCGAATTATCCGTCTTGTTTCCATATCCTTACCCTTTTTTTCGTCTGCCTCTCAGCAAAGCTCCCAACATTCAGCCGCTGTGGGAAAGCAAAACTGCGTGCCCAGTCTCCAACCGCCACCGCCACGAGGCTGGCGGGCGTTGATCCGGTATTGATAGGTCGAACCTTGACAGAGTATTGTTTAGTGGATTTCAGGATTTACCTACTAAGAGTGCGTTGACTTGACAGCAGCTTGACTAGGCTGGGCTTGATTGAGAATCTTTCCAACTAGAACTCTATTGTTAGCTACACCGTACATTAGCGTATAGCTGGCCATGAGACATGAACGACGTCGAGCAGAATGTAGCCCCGAGTGTTCGCATGTGTAAGCCGCGGCCAAAGCGGCGCCGGAGTGTTCAAGTGAGCAACATGTTCCGGTTGCCATACGTACATTGTTCGCTGAGAGAGCTCAATTCGGGGGTGGACCATCGGCCTTGAAGCCCTAAACGAGTCTACGGCCGCGGACGATGCTTTTCATCGACGTGGATTCACCGGACTCGACATATGGATCATACCGCTTTGAAGTGCTGATCAGAAGGGTTTCATGCGGAGAAAGTGCGGAGAAAGCTGGGGAATGTGAATACCTGACCCATGGAGTAAGTTCCGTCTAGTGCATCTCCTCGTCCATGTACGTAATTGTGTCGAATGTTTACGCTTGTCGGGGCGTAGATTGCGCCGCCGCGGCTCTAGTCCCTCTTCGACGTCGAACGTCGAATGTTTGCGCTTGTCGGGGCGCAGATTGCGCCGCCGCTGGTCCCTCCCTCCTGTTCGACATCGAAGTCATCTATCCCCCAGAGGCACGAGCTTTTTTTGGAGATGCTTGGCGCAAAAAGAAAACACCATGAATACGATCGAACCATACTACTCAGCATGGGGAATGGTACTACCCCCCCCCCTCGTCGATGGAAATCATCCTGGGCCTCTCGACCGAGGAAGTTGTACTCGCTGGCTCCGCGCGCGTGCGGCCCAGAACGATCCAAGGGCGTCACGACATTCTTTGTTGCCTTTTGCAGCTGAAACGGGCCCGGAGGCCGCGTCCTTGCAGGATGCTCCGCGTCGATGGATAGTACCTCGGGCAGATGTTTTTGTACTTGTGTGAGATACACTGCTGGCTTGGTTGTCATTCATGTATTCAAACCACACGACAGCCGCCAATTGTCAGAAAAAGTCAAGGCAGTCCAGGACCTGCAACAACGACGACTTTTCACACATAACCCAATCATGCAGGTTACTCTCTGGTCCGTGGCTCGCGCCATCCTTCTTCTCGCCACCTCTCTCCATTCGGTTCATGGCCGGGCCATTGACACTCCTCGGGCGCTGATCCCGACCCCCGGCCAGGACCCGTTCTACGTCCCGCCGGCCGGCTTCGAGTCGGCCAGTCCCGGGGCCGTCCTGCGCTCCCGCAAAGTCGTGTCGTCGTTCTTTGCCCTCGTGCCCAACCCGATCGAGACGTACCAGATCCTGTACCGCACCACGGCCGTTGACGGATCCGCCATTGCGGGCGTCACCACCGTCTTCAAGCCGGCCCTTGCCAAGCGGGACCGCTTCGTCACCTGGAACACGGCCTACGACAGCTCGGCCACGCAGTGCAACCCCAGCTACACGTACCGCCTCGGGTCCAGCGTCTTGCCGTCCATCTTCACCACGAATGCCATCGAGCAGCTGATTATCGAGCTCTACGTTCTCAAGGGCTACATTGTTTCGTCGCCCGACTATGAGGGCCCGGACGCGGCCTTTACCGCGGGCCGGCTCGCTGGCATGGGCGTCCTGGACAGCATGAGGGCCGTGTCCAACTTTGGCAGCACCCTGGGCCTCTCGACGACCAAGCCGGCCATTGTCGGCGCCGGCTACTCGGGCGGCGGTCTTGCCACGGCTTGGGCTGCGGCGCTGCAGCCGAGCTATGCCCCCGAGCTGCCCGTCAAAGGCTGGACGGCGGGTGGGATCCCTGCTAACCTGACGTACATTTTTGAGTCGATTGACGGAAAGCTCTTGAGTGGTTTCGAGACGATTTCCCTCGCAGGTCTCCGGAAGCCGTCCGCGTATGGAGCCACTCTGAAGCCGTTCCTGGATGAGCTCGCCACGCCGGCCCTGCAAAAGGTGCTCACTATCGCCGACACCCAATGCACGGTGCCGAACCTCGTTGCTTTCCCGTTCCAGTCTCTGTTCGACACCAAGTATCAGAGCGCTGGCAAGGACATTCTCGCATCCCCAACGTTGCTCTCCGTCTTACAGGATAATACACTGGGCGTCGACAAGGCGCAGAAGCCGTCGGTGCCTTTTCTCATGTTCCATGCCAAACCCGATGAGCTCGTCCCATACGCACCGGCGGCCAAGACCCGCGACACGTGGTGCGCTGATGGCGCCACGATTCAATTTGTCGAGTACGGAAATGGTGGCCATGGAACGACGGCTGTGCTTGGTCTTCCCGACGCTCTCCAGTTTGCGGACGATTCGTTCAACAACAAGATTGCTTCTGGGTGCACGAGCAAGACTGTTCTTGACAGCACCCTCAACCCCCTTGCCTTTGGCATCTCGTTGGAGCCCCTGGCTATAGGGCTGATTAACTATTTAGCTGCCCTGGGCAAGCAAGATGCGAATTGGCTAGCTGGTATCAAGAGCGGCGCAGTTACGCGATGATGCAGCTTTTTTCTTTTTAGCAATAGCACAACGTTCAAAAAGGGAGAGAAGTATATGTAATAAATAATGAAAGAAACAAATCCCGCCCCAACGCAAAAATCACCCAACAGAAGCTAAGATGACTGCTGCGTAGAATCGAATCAACGGACGGCTAGAGTTGGCGGTAGACGCCCACCCACCGAGTCAAGCGCCACAGTGCCGCAGGATGTGAGGACAGTACATTCCTAGTAATTTCGGTTTGATAACGCTGGTGGCTTCTCGTCACCCTTTTCCCTGCAGGGAGGGGCCAATTGGAAGGCTCGTACCAGTTTCAGGTGTTTGACGACAAGATATGGGAGGGAACAGTGGCTGCCTATATTATGATTTAGGCGCTTGGGAGATGAGAATAAACGGTACACTATATATATTCGTAGAGCGGACCATTCCCCGCTGGCACCCTGTCAGCAGGCTGTCGCGTTGTGTTGTGTGAGTGGACAGGCCAAGGAGGCCAAGGAGGCCAAGGATGGCCAAGGATGCTCGCGCCAACTGGTACGGCACCTGTCTTGTGTGGCAATTCCAATCGTAGCCGGGCCGGGCCGGACCAGAGTTGCACCGGTGTGCATAGGAATAAGTGAGTACTCGTGCGTGCCTGACTGACTACATTGCTGCTTGGTGGACAGCATTTGTGCAGGATACAGGGCATGGGTCACCTTGCGTCGTTACCGTAGTTCTACTAATTCGTACACCAATCCTACAGATCGTAAGCGGATACGAGCGCATAACTCGCCGTCTGGGGAGCGAGCCTTGTCGCAGCCCGCTCGGGTGAGCTCGTCCTGGGCCTCCCATGCCGCCACCCCATCTTGCCATCGCCATCTAACCATGTATGATCCATGAGCTATTATTACCAGTAGTGTCCGCCCCCTCGACATCTTGCAGCTAATAATAATCAAGCTTGGCATCCCCCGGCCGGAGCGATGGAGTTTGGGCTAACAAATTTACCCACGTAAAAACTGGGCGGACCGCACGACGACCGACGACCGACGACCCCACACTTCAATGTCAACTCTTGTCGAAGCACCTCCCTCGCACGGCGGCAAACAACACAGTCTTCTTATTTCTTCCTTTTTTCTTTTCCCACGACGCTACATGAGCGTGCAAGATTGCTCATTGTTACGAGCCCGCTGCATGCCCGTTGCCATTGGTTGAGCCAACCATGGACTCGACCGCGGCGGACAGCATGGCGCACCAGTCGTACTGCGAGAACCTGTTTGGAAAGGCGGCCGCCACCGTTCATGCGACGTTTACATACGACGAACTGGTCCTCCAAATCTCGCCCCTCGCTCTGGTTCTGGCCCTGTCGCCCTTTTTCCTGCGTCACTACTCCCAGGCGCCAGTGTACTTGCGCCACCTCCCATTTCCGCGCCTGAAACTGGTAAGCTGTCTACCAATCGCCCTCTTGTTTCCCAGATATCTAACCTGTATCGTCTCAGTTTGCCGCCGGCTCCCTCATCTGTCTCGAATTCTCCAACGTCCTTCTCCGCCGTATGCGACTCGATCCCCAAGCAGATGCCATGGTCGCCGCAGCCCTGATCGATCTGGTTGCTGCACTCACCATAGGCATCATCCTCTACATCGAGCAGGGCCACGGAATTCGCGCCTCCTCGCTGCTTCCTTTATACGTATTTCTCGGATGCATCATGGACGCTGCCAAATGCCACCTTTTTTACTTGGATCAAGGGCTGTCCTCAGCTTCGGCCATTGCTGCGGCGGCTGGTTTTTTTCGACTCATTGTCCTATTCCTCGAGATATTTCCAAGGAAGCTACTTGTCGTCAACGAGAATGCTGCCTTGGTGGCAGCAGACGAAACTCTGCGAGAAGAGAAGAGGCGCCGTGCCTGGTTTGTGTTTCCAACGCTCACCATTTCCAGGCAGCTTCGCATTACCATCGAAAACGGCAATCTCATGCCCATTGCTCCCGAATTCGCATCCGACCGCTTATACCACAAGCTCAAGAGCTATTGGCAGCTGAGTGACGAAGTCAAGGAAAAGATGGAAAAGACGCGACGCACAGCCCAAATCGACGGCAAAGAAGCACCGCACCTCGAATGCGAGAGCCTCATGGCGACGTGTTATACAGTTTGGGAAACTGAGTTGCGACGAATTCTGGTCCCGCGCTTCTTTTTTGCCGTGTGCACGTTCAGCCAGCCCTTCATTTTGAAAGCAGTCATCGATGTTGTGGGCCAAGAGCAGGTTTCGCTCACGCGCAAAGCTTGCTTGATCGCTGCTACTGTTGGAGTTTTTGTTGGCATGGCCATTGCCAAATCATCGTATACGCACATGAACTATCTAATGGTCACACGCTTACGGGGAAGCTTGATTACACAAATCATCGAAAAGACTCACCGTATCTCGTACAAGGACGCGCGTGAATCCGCTACAGTCTCTCTCATGAGCACTTCCATTGATGGCATTGCTGCCGCACTGCCCAGAGCTGTGGAGTTTCCAATCATATGCTGTGAGACCTGTTTTGGAATATATACACTTTCATTCTTTATTGGAAACTCGAGCTTCCTCGTGGCTGTCCCGGTCTTGGTCTCCAACATAATTTCGTGGTTCTGGGGCTTCGCGACCGAACCAGCACTTTCCGCATGCAACAAGAGTGCCGAAACTCGGGTATCAATGACTACTTCCGTTATCTATCAGCTCGGTGCAATTAAGATGATGGGTCTCGGCCCTACTATTGTGCATCTTCTTCAGCGCTTACGACAGGAAGAGGTAAAATTGTCAAAGACATACCGAAACCTCGAGACGGTCACTTTCCCATTGGCTCAAATAGCGAGCCTAATGACGCCCGTCTGGATCGTTAGCAAGGCACTCTCAAGAGAGGAATATGCCGGTGGTGTCCCCGCGAATGTAATTTTTCCTATTCTCGCACTTGTCGCGGCCATCCAGGGCCCTCTTGGTCGGCTCCTCGACATGCACTCTACCATATCATCTCTCAGCAGCCGTTTCGAGGGGATTCAGAAATTCTTATGCTTGCCAGAAAGAGACGAGTACCGCTATATCAAGAATAAGCACGCTCCCAAGCATCGACGCATTCCGCCGAGGCACCAGCAATTTGTGCAGCCCGTTGAAATGGTTGACGTCGATATTGCCCCTCCTGGCGTACGGCAGCCTGTCCTTTTCCGTGTCGACTTTTCATTAGTACAAGGGTCAATCACGGCCATAGTCGGCTCTCCTGGCACTGGAAAGAGCACCTTGCTGCATGGCATGCTCGGTGAGGCTTCGCTTGTCGAGGGTGCCATCTGTGTCCAGAACGAAGACATGGCTATTTGTGGCCAAGTGACCTGGCTGCAGGATGTTTCAATCTTGGACAACATCATCGGTCCTCTGCCTTACAACGCCAATTTCTTCAGAAGGGTGGTCGGCTGCTGTCTGCTTGAGAATGATCTGGCTCACCTCCCTGGCGGAGCTGACTACATTGTTGGCCTTGGCGGCAGAAATCTGAGCACCGGACAGCGCCAGAGAATCGGCATCGCGCGGACAGTGTACGCACGCACTGCAGTGATGCTGTTCGACGACCCCTTTGGCTCTCTTGACCGAAAGACGGCAGTGTCCATCATCTTTCACCTGTTTGGCGCAAGTGGTTTGCTGAGAGAAATGGGTATTACCGTGGCTTTAGTATCGTATTTGCGCGAGAGCCTTGACGTCTCTGATAGAGTCCTACTTCTTGACGGTCGCGGTTACGCCTCTCTCGAGGATCAGCCATTCCAGACTCCCTCATTTGCGGCCTCTGTGAAGAACGTGCTCGACTCCGCGCCTGAGAGTCCTTCAGAAGAAGTCGAATATGCCGAAAGGGAAGCCATACGCCGCTCCTTGGAGTTTGAAAGGCAGTCGTCTTGTGTTTTCGGAGGGGGAGCAGTCGCTACTCAGCCTATTCCGACACCACTGTCCACCCTTTATATCAAGCCTATTGGGTACTTGCCTGTCGCATTATACGCATTGCTCGTATTTTGCCTCTCTCTTGGAGAGCAGTTCCCTAGTAAGATACTAACCTATGTGCCATTTTGTCGTGAGCTAACGATTGACTCAGATATCTACCTCCGAGATTGGTTCAACTCTGGTTCAAAGGACAACGGCTTCTTCATATGTTATGCCTCTGTGGCTGGCGGTACATGCTTGGTTGGCACACTCTCGTACTGGCTGCTGTATGTTAAACTTGCCCCACGGGCATCGCTTGAACTGCATAAGAAGCTCGTGAATACCATTGCCGGTTCAACGCTCGCCTATCTGGGCGTCGTCAACATGGGGTCCGTCTTGACCCTGTTTGACCAAGATGCTGTCGTGTTTTCGCGACAATTGCCTTTTTATTCCATGAGAACCGCATACGCCGTCTTCTCCATTATCATCAAAACCTCCATCATTATATCTGGCGCGTCCTATTTCGTCGCCATCCTCCCGCTCCTTGTGCTTGCGCTATATCGTCTTCAGCGCTTCTATTCCAAGACATCCCGCCAGCTGCGCAATCTAGATGTCGAGGCAAAGGCACCTTTATTCAAGCGCTTTGAAGAGACCGCCGATGGCATCATGTACATGCGCGCTTTCCGCTGGCTCAAGGCCGACACTGAGATCAGTTTTGGGCTTTTAAATGTTAGCCAAAGAGCATTCTACTATCTCTACTACTTCCAGCAGTGGCTGGTAGTCGTAATAGGACTACTAACTAGCAGTATCGCAGTCTGCTTCGTTTCATATGTGGTATTTTTCCCCAATGCCACCACAGAAGCAGCTATCGGTCTGTCGCTGCTTACTCTGTCCCAATTCGGCTGGACACTTGAAAGACTTTTTGAAGTCGCCACGCTTCTTGAGACATCCACTGGCGCGCTTGAAAGGCTAAGTACCTTTCTACAGAGAACTCCGCAAGAGCCGGAGCGGGAGGTCACAGTCGCACCGCCGCTGTGGCCTTCGGCGGGGAATATCGAGATTGTGGACGTGACGGCCACTTATGAGCCGAATTCGGACACGCCACCTGCGCTGCGACATCTGTCCCTCTTCATTGAGCCTGGGCAGCGGGTCGGCTTGACCGGCTCTTCTGGCAGCGGCAAGACGTCGGTGCTCAATGCCATTCTCGGCTTCGTCGAATACACCGGGACGATCAAGATTGACGGCGTCGATCTCGCGACGCTGTCAAGAGACGAGATTCGATCCCGCCTCGTCACAATCTCGGAAGAACAGGTCCACCTCGACGCCTCGATCCGCGTCAACCTCCTCCCCTTTACCATGAACCAGGCGGCGAGCACGGATCCCGTGCAGCGGCAGATTGAGCAAGACGAGGCCGCGCAGCGCGACGGGGCGCTCGAGGACATGCTGCGCCGCTTTGGCCTCTGGCCACCGCTGCAGCGCAAAGAGGGCCTCGACACGCTGCTCGACGATGCGGGCTACGCACCTGCCGAGATGCAGCTCGTGTGCATTGCGCGCGCGATTCTGCGGCAACGCGCGACGCGCAGCAAGGTCGTGCTCGTCGACGAGGTGACGAGCGGCGTCGACTTTTGGCGGCAGGGCTTTGTGCAGGACATCATGCGCGAGTCGTTCCCGGGATGCACCATGCTGGTAGCGGCGCGCAGGGAGGAGTCGATTCTGGATGTCAGTGTGGTTCTGGAGATGGCACACGGCGTCATCATGCATGCTGCGCGGAGAGATCTGTAAAGTAGCCTCCCGATCTTTGATACAGGGTTGGATATGGGGCACATGTATATTGTTGTATCTGGCTTCTGCATATCTGAGCCGCAGGGTCGTATATTCAAATCCAATATACTATTGACCGACGTCAGCCTCTTGTGGATTTCCGTCTACTCTTTTAACCCATCCTGCATTTTTTAAAGAATGTTTATATACATGTGATGTCGGCCTCGGCTTCTCTTGTCATCATGCCGGCGGTATAGTACAATAAAAAAGCGACGTGCGCCGCCTGTCTTCAACAAAAGCAATATGCTTTTGTTTTCATTATACAGCTTCCTCTGCCACCCTCTCGGCACCCTCAACCTCTGCTCGCATGTTGCGATCGATTTTGAACTGGCACAGCGAATACTCATTCATTCGGCGACCAGCCTTGCTCAACTCCTCCCACTGGTCCTTGTACCGCAGCTTGGCCCAGGTCTGGAACTCGTTTTGTAGTTCCCGCCCGGGGAGGGCATTGTACGCAATTCCGAGGCTGTCCACGGGGTTTTCTCTCGTTAGCAAAGACACACTCTTTTCTTAAGGGTAGGTACATAAGCAGGGCTTCCACTCACGTTATTGGCTCGGGCTCTACCCCGACCACGGCTGGCATCTTCATGATCAAGGCGCGAATCTCCTTTTCGGAGCCCGCGCCGGCCACGGCGCCAATGTACGCATTGTACACGCGGGCCGAGACCTCGAGGTCCATTCGCTCGATGCGGTCCCAGATCTCGCGCGCCATCTTGTAGCCGCCGGGTTTGCGCTCGAGCGTCCAGAAGACGGCCTCGAGCGTCGCGTACGACGGCCCCTCGCGCGACTGCGTAATCTGCGTCCACACGTCGAGCGCCGCCAGCGGGCGGTCGCACGCTGCAAACGCCATCATCAGCGCCGTCTGCAGCGCCGTGGTCGTCTGCACCGTCGTGTCCATCTTGAGCATGTTGTGCACCATTTCGAGCCCGGGCAGGTCCGGGCAGCGCGCCAGGCCCTCGAGGCAGGCAATGTACGTCTCGATGCGCGGGTGCAGCGATTTGCTGCGGTGCTGCCGCATGTGGCCAAAGACGTGCGCGGCCATGTCGGCCCGCTTGCGCGCGAAAAAGGCCGCCATGAGGCGCGTGCGCCGCGCCACGCTCGTGTCCTCGAAGAACTGCTGCAGCAGCTGGTAGCCGCCCCAGGCGCGGGCGGTGCTTGTCCGCGGGTCCAGGCAGAACCGGACAAAGGCGGCCTGCACGACCTGGCGCTCGGCGTCGCTGAAGAGGAACGTGTTGATGGAGAGGATGTCCATGACGTCAAAGTGCTGGTCGTTTTCGAGGAAGCGCAGGCACAGGGCAGCAATGGTGGCCGGCGCGAGGCGGAGGCCCAGCTCCTCGGCTGTGTTTAGGATGGAGAGGAGGAGCGGGAAGCGCGGGGGCGTCTGCTGGGCGAGGGTGACGAGGTAGTGGTTGACGAGACGGCCGAATTGCGGCTGGAGGTCGGATTTGGAGTCGCTGCCCCAGGGCTCGAGAGACGTGACCTGCTCGTAGGCGCGCTGGGCGCGCTCAAAGTCCTTGGCGTCGATGCACAGGCGCAGCATGTGCATGTAGCTCTCGCCATCCATCTTGAGGCCCTTGTCGTTGCCGAGCTGCAGCACGTCCTGGCCGAGCTGGTAGTTTTGGAGTTCGACGGCGACCGATAGGAGGCCGTTGATTGTGTGGATGGTGGGTTGGATGTCGCCGCCGCGGTCGACCATGTGGTCCATCATGGTGCCGACCTGGGACAGGCTGCGGCCCATGAGCAGGATCGACTGCAGCAAGACATTCCAGTATTGCTTCTTGGGAGTCGACTCGCCCAATTCTATAAAAAAGGGCATGGCCCACTCTTGTAGCGAATTCCGTCTGGCAAACGAGGCGACGGCACGGTAGGTGTCGGGGTGGCACTGCGGTTGTTCGATGCGTGCTGTGAACCAAGCTTTTGTTTCCTCGATTCGGTCGCGGCTGGCAAAGTATTGTACAATGACAGACTGTAGCTTAGCGTCGAGAGCAATGCCTCGGCTTTGCGCGTGGTTCACCAGCTCCAGCATCTCGGCCTCCTTGCCCTCCCTGGCGAGTGCCCGGGCAACCACTTCGAGCAACTGATCGTCCTGCGTCAGGTAGACGGCGTACTCGGCCACGTCCCACTTCTGCTCGAGCATCTCTTTGGCCTCGACGCCGCCGCCATACAGCGAAAGCGCCCGCACGAGATACGTCCACTGCAGCTCGACCGCGCGGGGCTTGCGGGCAAAGTCGCCCTCGGTCCACGCCTTGTGCAGCGCGCGCGCAAAGTCGACGTGGTGCTGCGTGGTCTCGCTCGGCTCGAGCTCGAGAAGCACCTGCCGCGCCATGGCCAGGTCCGCGGCCGCCAGGGGCTTGACGTTGCGGTCCTCGTGCAGGCTGACGCGCTGCTCGGCGAGGTACGCGAGCAGGCGGCGGCACTGCAGCGCCTGCGTGCTGTTGAGCGGCACGCGCGACTTGAGCTTGGCCTGCATGAGGCGGCGCCAGGCCTCCATGAGGTCGCGCCGCGGCGGCGGCCGCAGGTTGTCGAGCATCCGGCTCCGCCAGACCATGATTTGCATCCAGCCGGGCTCGTACTCGGGCTGCCGAATGTCGCGCGGCGGCTTCTGGAAGAGGACGTTGAAAAAGGTGCGCTCGAAGCGCGGACATAGCGACGGCGTGGAGGGCGGTAGTCGTCGAGGAGAGGGCGAGGACCGGACGAGTGAGCAGGACGGCGCTCGCGTGCGATGGACCAGGAGGCGCCGCCCGTGGCGGGCAAAGTTGGCCCTCATCTTCACTGCGTTGGGGGTTTATGACGCGTTGGGGGCGATTCTGTGGTTGGATTGGTCATTAGAATTAAATTCAGAGACTGGTCCGTGAATAGAGGGGTTCATCTCACAGAAGCATCGTAATGGAAGAATCAATGGCAGGATTCATGAAAGGTATGGTCAGCCTTGGTGTCTCCAAAACGTCGGAAGCTGCTGGACATCACCACCTTTCTAGTGGAGCTACAGGGGCCTATATCCTATATATCCGCTGCGATTATCCGTGGTTTCGCCGGCGCAGAACCTCGTGAATGAGTATGCTCTTCTTTGAATTTGGATAGCATCTTAGTGATTGAATATGGGTCGTGGATTTACATTTCATAGTGTCTGCTGTCCTCTAACTACCGGCCTTGCGCGGAGAGTGAAAGCTGACGGGGGTGTCGGTACGGGTACTTTGACATTCAACAGCTACAAAGGCTTGTGCTAACAGGTCAAAATATTGTATCAATTGGCGAGCTGTGGATGAAGCTCGAATGTTCTATAGTACATGGTTATTCTAGATTCACTGACAAAGAAAATTGCGTGATTGCTCCTCCCGCCTTACTATACAGCTGCACCGTGCGAGCTCATCCTCAGCAGTCATCCCGTTTAGCGATTAACCCCTGCGCTGCTCAGAAGGGTAGAAATCCGAGCGAATGAGTTCTGGGTGGTCGTGGATAGTGGGGTAGAGGCCCATGCCTTGGATTCTGCGAATCATCTTGGCAACCTTGCGCTGGTTGACGGGTCGCAGAGCAGTCTCCTTGGAGTGTTTGACCTGTCCGGAGCTAGTCGTAAATTCTTGGATGAGAGAGAAGTTCTGCATTATTCGTTAGTGTCCAGTTCCCATTCCACAGTCCATGTTGTGGGTTGTCATCGTACCTTGTACATGTCTAATGGGCGAAGACCGAGAATGTCCACAACATCAGCCTCACGCCGGTTTCTTCGACGCCACTTGTCCATCTCGCGCGGGCTCAGATCGTGTGGCGAGTACACATCACCAGGCAACCATCGACGGGGCATCTGCCTGAGGTAGTCGTTCGACACCTTGCGACTCTTGAGGTAGTCAATCTGCTCCTGCTTCACAAGGAGGCCGGCAGCCGCCCGGTCCCTGTAGGCCTGGCCGATACGGTGCATGGAGCTGGCGCCGGCGCTCCGCCCATTGGCTCCGCCTCCGACGGACATGCGGTCTTTGTTGATGGATTGGAGTCGGCTCGTTGATGATGGCGTCGATGACCGGGTTGGCGGTTGAGGGTGCGGCTCCCGCGGCGGCTGGGCGACGGCGGCTGTGGACGAAAATGGTCGGAGGAAGGAAAGGAGGAGTGTTGACGGAGCGCGCACGGCGCTCAGCCCTGGTAGTCGCATTGGCATCTTGTTGTGCCGCTCGAATGTGACCGAGATTGGGGCGGAGGAAACGAGTCGCGCGGTCGAAGGTCGACTTGGTGAGTAGGATTTTCGATTGGAGATTCAAGGTCGGGCGTGACCAACCAGACACCAGTACCAGACCCACAGCAGCCTACGGCGAAGAACAGACCTATGAACAACTTTTAATATAATTTACGCTCTAAGTAGAAGAGCGAGAAGAGAATAGATAAGATGAAAGTATAGTCCGGCAAGTAATTAGACGTCCGTCTGTCATGAGACTTGCGCAATCCTTGGCGCTATCATGTACATCGGCAGGTCGGCGGCTGGTCCTCCGTGTCATCGGTGAAGCCCCATAAAAACTTTTTCTTAGCAACGTTGGCGTGGAGATTTCGAGGAAGAATGGCTTCTCGCAATTCCTACACATAGCCACGACACAACAGCAGACTCGTCAAGATGGTGCGAAAACTCAAGTATCACGAGCAAAAGCTCCTGCGAAAGACGGATTTCATCACATACAAGCAGGACAACGCACACCGCGACAAGGAAGTCATCCGCCGATACAACATCCAGAAGCCCGAAGACTATCAGAAATACAATCGCCTCTGCGGCGTACGTACCCGTCCCTACCAAACAGTCGTCTTGTCTGAACGTTTTTTTGCTGACCCCCCAGATGCAGTCGCTCCGCCAGCTCGCCCACCGGCTCTCGCTCCTGCCGCCCGACAACGCCGCGCGGCGCAAGCACGAGGAGCTGCTGCTCAACAAGCTCTACGACATGGGCATCCTGTCGTCGGCATCGAAGCTGTCGGCCGTGGAGAACGGGGCGACGGTCAGCGCGTTTGCGCGGCGGCGCCTGCCGGTGGTCATGACGCGGCTGCGCATGGCGGAGACGGTGCAGGCGGCGACCAAGATGATTGAGCAGGGACACGTGCGCGTGGGCGTCGAGACGGTGACGGACCCGGCGTACCTGGTGACGCGGTCGACGGAAGACTTTGTGACGTGGTCGGTGGGCAGCAAGATTAAGCGCAACATTATGAAGTACCGCGACCAGCTGGATGATTTTGAGCTGCTGTAAGGGGCGGGCGCGCGGTGGTGTTGGGGGCCAAGGGAGAGAGAGGACAGGGAAAGGGGAACAGGGCTGATTGATGGTCTTGGCGTCTGGACTGTCGAAATCAGTGGTGTTTGTATTTTTGTGTTTGTTGGAGCATTTCCAGGGCGTTATGGTGTCTACAAGGAGGCGGGCAGCCGTGTCAAAGAGCGATTACAGTATCGGAAAATACAGTTTTTATGGAGCTCATTTCGATCTATATGTGACAGGAAACAAAGGGTATGTCATGGAAAAGAAGAATGTCAGCGCACAATCTGGTACGAGTACTTGGTAAGAACAGCGTTAGCCGAGTCCAAGATGGGCCAACGTGAGCTGCACGAATAACCACCATGGGAGGAGGGAGGGCCAAGGAGATTGTTTCCATGGCTCAAAGCGAGTTAGCGAGTAGATTTCGTATTCATACGTCACTCGGCTTTTGTTTTGCAACACACTCCGCTGTGCTCCTTTTTTGGCTGGCTGGGTGAGTTTGGGTTGAGGTAGTCGAGGCGGGATGCTGCTTCTACGTTGAAGGATGCCGCATAGTATGAAGTAAAAACACCACCACCCTCGAGTGTATATAATCTACTCGAGAATGGATTTCTTTTGCATCGATTCCTACTCGAACTGTTGTGTGCTTTTCCCTTTCAAAGGTTGGCATGGCAGTGAGGCGGGTGGCACGCTCACTTGACCGGTCCCATAATTTAATAGCCCAAGCAAGTTAGAGTGAGGCCAGCAAGCTTCACGCCTCTTACAGCAGCTTCCTCACACGCCCAAAGCCGCCGCCGCCCAGCTCCGGGCTTCCTTGCCTGTCTCCTGTCTCGCCATGCCTCTTCTGTGCCGGCGCGCCCTGCCTGCTTCATGCTAGCCACACACCCAATCCGGCACTGATATAAAAAGGGAGCTCGTCGCCCTCTTGCGCCTCTTACACTGTTCCCACATTCTGCGATTCATTTCCCATACTTTTCGTCCCGTCGCAAGAATTCGGTCCCCCTCGTTCCTACTATTGCTCATGTAAGTCAGGCAGCCCTCACGACTTCCATCTACACGCGTCTCTAACATATTCGCAGCACCAATCTCTACATTACTGTCTCTCCTCATCCTCACCACCTGCTACGTGGCAGCTTTTTGTCCATCATTGACCCCTCCACTCCATCCTCCTCACCATGGGTCTTAAAGAGGACGTGGGCGACTTTGCCATGAAGATGATTGGGCCCTGGATTTTCATCGGCATGGCCGTGGCCCATTTCCCCCAGGCCATTTCCTCCCTCGTCTCCTCTGGCCAGTACGCCAAGCTCCTCTCCCCGTCCGAGATCCTCGCCGTCGCCTTTGGCCTGTTCTGGGGCACCGTCGGCCCAACCATCAAGGAGGACTTCAAGCCCCGCGTCGTCCCCGTCCTCCAGGGCCGCGTCCGCGACGGCAAAATTGTCGACGAGGTCGTCTCCGAGCCCGTCTCGGGCGTCATCATGGAGGTCGGCGCCGGCAGCGGCATGTGGATGGACGTCATTGCCGGCTTTACCGCCGCCGGAGCTGGTGCCGACGGCCCCGCCTCTGGTCTGCGAAGACGCAAGACGGATGCGGCCGGCGTCGTCACCAAAATTTACGGCGTCGAACCGAATGAGATTTCCGCAGCGTCGCTCCGCAAGCGCGTCGCAACCATGGGGCTCGACGGCATTTACGAAGTCGTTCCCGTCGGCATTGAGCAGGTGACGGACCCCACGGCTTGGGACGGCGAGATCCCAGAGGGCAGCCTGGACTGCATCGTCAGCATTTGTTGCCTTTGCAGCATCCCGGACCAGGAGAAGAATATTCAGTATCTTTATAAGCTGCTCAAGCCAGGTGGTCGATGGTATATCCATGAGCACGTCAAGGTCACTCGTGGCGGCGCTTTACTAAACTGGTATCAGGGTGAGTACTTTATACACTTTTTTCAGTCACGGCCAATACTGATTTTATCATGAAGCTTATGTTGGATTCTTCCACGGCCTGGTCATGGGTGGGTGCCAACTCCGTCGCTCTACCCTCCCCAACATCCTGTCTGCGGGTCCGTTCTCCGAGGTCAATGTTGGCCATCCTGAAGACGAAACCGACTACGACGTTATACCCTGGGTCATGGGTGTCCTTACGAAGGAATGAGAGAAGCCAGTGGAAACGATTTATGAAAAGCGGCCTTGGGGGGATGGGGTGACAAATTTGCCGAGACAACGGCATCTTTTAGGATTGCTAAGTACCATAAATTGCTATTATACTTTCAAAACAAAATTATTCATGATCGGATCCGACTGTAGTTTACAAAATGTGCGTCGAGAGTCATCCAAAATTTGCTGGCTCCCAATATGCAAAACTGCTTCCGTTGGGCTCTAGTTCCTTAAGAACCCCCTCGTCTTATTCCGCCCCAGCTCGGAGCTAAAGGCCTCGAGGCACACCGCCTCCATTGCGCACTCAAAGTTGCTCTTTCCGTGCGTGCTGCGCTGAATACGCAGCCTCCATTGCCCTCGCTTAATCGTCCAGTTCTCCCCCTCAAGCGGCTCGTCCGAGAGCGCGCCTTCTGTGCGCCGGCGCTTACGCGAGTTTGCGCCTGCCGAGTCTGCATTCTCTGCCAAGTGTGGCGGAGTATATGTGTAGTCTTCTCCGTCCAACGTCACGGCCGCTTCGGGTCCAAGGCGGACAATAACAAGGTCCTCACTCAGAGGCGTGTTTCCCGGCACCGCCCGTAGTGACCGGGCGCCGCCTGATGCCATGAGCAAGCCGAGAGGTTGTGTCGTCGGGGGTAGGCCGAGCTTCGTCGCAATGACTTCGAAAAGCTTGGACACTCTCGCGCATGTGTCGCCAAAGAACTCGGCCCGCGGTCCGTCGGTCGTGAAGTGAAGGCGAGTTGATTCGGCTCCAATTTCAAGGACAAGCTCCGCGGGAGCATCGTCTACATATGGCCGGGAGTAGTTGACCCAGCCCGACATGGACTCCGCAAATGCAGCAATGCCGCCTTCCTCAATCACTTCTTCTGCACGGTCGTGAATGATGTGTATTCCACTTTTCTGCACGTTCTCTAGCCGTAACACGATTTCGCTGCGCTGCCTCACTGAATTGAAGCTGATGGAGTGGGGAATCAGCTTCTGTTCGAGGCCCTTGAAATGGAAATACCGCGCGTCGCGCAGCAGCTCGTCACGATGCGTCTCGTCCCGTATTCGGATGGGATATCCGTGAAGCAGGCGTAGAAGATCTGCAAAAGTATCGGCGTTGCGGTTTGGAACACTGGGCGGGAGGATGGAGGGTGGCCGTATCAGCCCTTCACGGTCGAGACCGGGGAACACTTCGTCGCGTCGGGCGAATAAGAGACCGAATCCCAAGGAGAAGTAATTAGGAGAATTTGCGGGGTCGGTCAGGACGTCGCGCGGGATCTGGAACTCGCGGTCGCCAATGGATATAAAGATGCTCTCCTCATACAACTGGGACATGAGCTTGGGTACTAGCATGCCTGGTCAGCCAAGAACCGTCACCATGATTTCAAGGGCTAACTTGCAGTTGTAAAATTGCGCGTCGGCAAAGAGGCGCACGAAATGGGTGCCGTCGTGCGGCTGTATGTGATAGCCTTGCAAGTGCAACGCTATATCGCTAAAGGTAACGGGATCGCGGTCGATGTACAGCGTGCGGATGCTGGCGGAAATGTCTTGGCCATTTTGCTGGGCCTGTTTGATTTGACACAGAAAGTACTGCGAAAAGTAGGAGGGTGCTACCCATCCAATGGCCTCGTATTAGTTGCGCTGTTACCTGCAAGCAAAAACAGAAACTCGGCACAACGTGCTTCGGAGGTCATACACACCGTCGGAGGAGATGGAGGCGCCAGAGAGCTTGAATATCTCGCCACCTATTTGGATGGGAAATACACGCTCGCGAGGAAGGATGTCGGGTATCTTGTGAATGGTTTGCTCGGTGTGGCTTCCATCACTCGGGGCGGCTGAGGTCGAGGAAGCCATGATGTTCGGTTCGTGACGGCGCGGGATGCTCTGGGATAAATAATAAAGATCGGAGATTCGCACTATTGATTCGCGATTCAATCAACGATGGAAAGGCATTTTGTCGATGATCGCAGCTCGATTGTCGATTGTTGTCGCAAGGTTCGAGAAGGGGGTCGCCTGTGGGCCGACTGTTACCTGAACACGGGGGTTGCTCAGTGGGCTCTAATACCTGTTCACCAGCCGGCACAACGAGCACTTTTCATCCTCATACCTAACGTTATTTGGCCGCAATTTAATTCTGGACGATCCCTTGTCATGGAGGTCTTTTCAACAATCAGTCGGGTTTACAAGAATACCACTGGTCACACATAACATTGCGAGCCGCTCGATGATGGAGCTGTGACAACAGCTTGAGTGCGTATGACAGCATTGGCTGATGTATGGATAAGTTCAAAATGTTTGCGGAGGGCGGTATCGACTCTCGACTGATGTTCAGACGGGTCGTCATATTCTACAGCTAATAAGAGGGGTGTGAATGCAAAAGAATCGACGAAGAATCGACGAAGAATCGTTGAGCACTACCTAGATCCGGCCGGTGGTGCCGAGAGCCTAAAGCAGTGGTTCACGTGCACACGTGCCGACGCTCCTCCGCGATTCCACTTGACGCGCTTCAGCACGCGTCCGCTGCCGATTCATCAATCATCAGCCCATCAAGATCAAGAATGCACGCCAGCGACAATGGCCCCGGTCGGCGGCACACCACCCATCGTTATATTGGACAGCGACGATGACAAGTTGGGAAGTGATGTGAAATCAGACCCTCATCCCACGGAGGCTGAGAGAAAACGCAAGGCCGAGCCGACCTTCTCGGAAAAGGTGGAATGGACAGATGAATCCGACACTGTGCCGGTCGCGAAACCAAAAAAGAAGCGCGCAAAAAGAAAATCGGCGCCGAAGAGGAGAAGTACCGGCGCCGCACGGCCAGCAACGGACGCCGATGATGTTGTGCCTGAAGATGACTGGGAGCCTGAATTGCCCGACTACTTGATTGAGCGGCGACAACAATTTGACACGGACCGGAGGAAGCACCATGAAGCTGCGCTCATGCTTCCGCCAGACTACACTGGCATAGATCTTGGGGGTGATGATGGCATTGAAAATCTCAGCGAACGTCCAGTCTTCCCTCCCAGTAGTGGCATTCGCCCAAGGAGGGCGTATGAGGATATTGAGCTGCCACAGTCCGCAGGTCTTATCCCAGCACCAATCGCCCAGTATCTGCGCGACTATCAAATTGAGGGTGTCAAATTTTTGCATCGCAAATTTGTCTACCAAGAGGGTGGCATTCTCGGTGATGACATGGGCCTCGGCAAAACCGTCCAAGTTGTCGCCTTCTTGACCGCCGCATTCGGAAAAACTGGTGATGAGCGAGACAAGCGAAGGCTGCGACAAATGCGCTGGTATAGCACAGACAGGTGGTACCCTCGTATTCTCATCATTTGCCCCGGTTCGCTCCTGGTGAACTGGAAGAATGAATTAGACCGTTGGGGCTGGTGGCAAGCCGAAATATACCACGGACCCAACAAAGACGACGTTCTTGGGACAATGAGGGCGGGCATGTCAGAAATCATGATTACCACCTACGACACCTACAAGAACAGTCGCAGCGCTGTCAATATGGTCCAGTGGGATGCCGTCATCGCCGATGAGTGCCACAAACTCAAGGGACACAGGTCGGAGACGACCAAGGCAATGAATGAGATCAATGCGCTCTGCCGCATTGGGCTGACTGGCACGGCCATTCAAAATAAGTACGAAGAGCTTTGGACGCTGTTGGACTGGACCAACCCAGGCAACTTCGGTACCCGAACAGAATGGAGCCAGACAATCAGCAAGCCGCTCACCGTCGGCCAATCTCACGAGGCGACCTTGGCTCAACTGAGCCTGGCCAGACAGACAGCCCAGAAGCTCGTGAAGAACGTACTACCCCGCTACTTTCTCCGACGAATGAAGAGCCTCATTGCCGACCAGCTGCCCAAAAAGACGGACCGCGTCGTCTTCTGTCCGCTGACCGACCTGCAAAAACAGGCGTACGACAACTTTCTCGAGAGCGATGACGTCTCGGTGATACGCAACATTTCGGAGCCGTGCCCGCACGACAAGAAGCTCGGCTGGTGCTGCAGGCGATATATCAGCAACGGCCGGACCTGGCAGAGCGCCGTGTTCCCCAGCATGATGTCGCTGCAAAAGCTCTCCAACCACATGACGCTCCTCGTGCCGTCGGCGACGGACCTGGACGTCAAGCAAAACTCGGAGCTGCACACGCTCCAGGTTTGTGTGCCGGACAAATGGCAGAGCCTGTACGCGCAGCGCGACCAGATTGGCAATCTCGTTAACCCCGAGTTTTGCGGCAAGTGGAAGGTCATGAAGAAGCTGCTCAAGTTTTGGCACAGCAATGGTGATAAGGTGCTCGTCTTTTCTCACAGCGTCCGTCTGCTACGGATTCTGCAGCATCTCTTTACAAACACGAGCTACACAGTGAGCTATCTGGATGGTAGCTTGAGCTACGAGCAGCGACAGGAAGTCGTCGACACGTTCAATTCCGACCCGACGCAGTTTGTCTTTCTTATCTCGACCAGAGCGGGCGGCGTCGGCCTCAACATTACCTCAGCCAACAAGGTTGTCATTGTTGACCCGCACTGGAATCCCTCCTTCGACCTTCAGGCACAAGATAGAGCGTACCGTATCGGCCAGGTTCGCGATGTTGAAGTATTTCGGCTAATCTCGCTCGGCACTGTTGAGGAAATCGTCTACGCACGCCAAGTCTACAAGCAGCAACAGGCCAATATTGGCTACACTGCGTCATCAGAACGTCGCTACTTCCGCGGCGTCCAGCAGGATGCAGATCGCAAGGGCGAAATCTTTGGTCTGTCCAACATTTTCACGTTTCACAGTGATAGCGGCCTGCTACGTGACATTGTCAACAAGACCAACATTGCAGAAGCTAAAGTCGGCGTAACCTTGGCAGACGTCAACCTGGACCAAGCGACCAAAGACGGCGACGATCTTGTCTCTGTCAAAGCCGAACATGGCGACGACGACAATGGCGTCGGTCAGCTCGCGGCCCTTCTCACGGCAGAGAACCAGAAGCCCAAGCCAGATGGTCAACCGGCGACACCGCGTAAGAGCGATGCGATCCAGGCCATTCTCGCTTCGGCCGGGGTCGAGTACACGCACGACAATGCCGAGGTCATCGGCACCTCCAAGGTTGAGGAGCAGCTCTCGCGGCGTGCCGCCATGGCCTCGCGGGGGGCCGACGACGCGCTGGACCAGAGCGCCCTGTTCGCCGGCAGCCAAGATGACATTCAAGACCTGGATGCGCTGCACAGCGTGTACAATCCGCCAGAGGACGTCCGCCTGCGGCAGTTTTGCGAAATGGCGCGCGAGTTTGGCTTTGCCAATGCGCAGGACTTTGCGCTCGTCGTCGAGGGGTGGACGCAGGAGGCGCGGCGCAACTGCCTGGATGCCTTTTACAAGAGGCGCCAGGAGAAGATTGCGCGGGAGACGGAGAGGAGGATGGACGAGGAGGAGGATCGGGTTAAGAAGCAAGAGTTTGATGAGGGATCCATCTGGCAGAGTGTCGAGGTGAAGAATGAGGTCAAGGCAGAACCGGGGGTGAAGGGAGAGTCTGTGAAGCACGAAGTCAAGGATGAAGTCAAGGATGAAGTCAAGGATGAAGTCAAGGATGAAGTCAAGGATGAAGTCAAGGATAAAGCCAAAGATGAAGTCAAGTACGAGGTTAAGGGTGAGGTTAAGCCTGAGGTCAAGTCTGAGGTCAAGTCTGGGGTCAAGTCTGAGGTCAGGCCCGAGATCACAGACCAGGTCAAACGCGAGGTCAAACACGAGGTCAAGGGCAAAGTCAAACACGAGGCAAAGTTGGAACCCAGCGTTGTCAAGCGTGAGACTCATGCAAAGACAGAAGCAGAAGATGTCAAGATGGTAGACGTCGAGGCCGAGGGCGGGAGCAAGAGGGTATCCATCTTTCTGATTAGCGATGATGACGATGACGAGCTTTAATGTCCTACCTGTGCCATGATACCCAGATAATACGAAGCAAATTCAAAATTCATTTCACGCAAATTCTGTCACATGGACATGGATTTTGATCGTCATTAAATTACTCATTTGATGCTTTTGCTAGTACAGTTTTCCTTCCCCCTCCCGCCGTTGTTACCTGCTCATCAACTCGACGCCGTTCCGCACCACGCCGACGACGGCGCCCGTCTGCAACACCTCGCTGCCGCCGCCGGCGACGCGGTGCTCAATCTCGGCCAGCCCGTCGAGCCAGGTAATCATGACGGCGGGGGGTACGTCGAGCTTGCCGAGCTCCTCGGCGAGTGCCGTGATGACGTCGGCGAGCGCGAGCCCCTGGAGGCGCTTGATCGAGTTGACGGTGCCGAGGCAGCTCGCGACGTCGGCGGTGCCGAGCAGCGTGGACATGATCTGCTGGATGGCCTCGGGCGCGGGCGCGGCGATGCACGTGTAAATGGTCTCGGTCGTGATGGTCTCGCGCTGGAGCTCGCTGTCGGGGACCTTGGGCGCGCCGGGCGCTCTCAACGGCGTGCCTGCAAATTTTTCCGAGGTTAGCAGGAAGAAGAAAAAAAAAATGTCTAGCAGAGGGGAAACGGCGAGGAGCTTACTAGAGGCATGGCATGCTTGCAGGACGTTGAGGGCGCGTCGCATGTCGCCCTTGCTCAGCTTGACAAGCGCGTCGACGGCCTCTGCGCCAATCCGCACGCCCTCCTCGTCCACAACCTTGACGACGAGCTGCCTGATATCGGCCTCCTTGAGCGGGCTGAAGCGGAAGCGCGTGCAGCGACTCAGCAGCGCGGGGCTCAGCTTGTGCGCGTAGTTGGCAATAATGCAAAACCGCGTGTTCGCCGTGTACTTTTCCATGATTCTGCGCAGCGCCATCTGCGCCGTGTTCGTCATGGCGTCGGCCTCGTCAAGGATAATCAGTTTATACCCCGCCATGGCGGAGGACCGGCCGGCGGCCGCCGCCGCGCCGCCCATGTTGAAGATTTGCTTAGTGCTCGCAAACGTCTTGATCTGCTCGCGCACCACGTCGATGCCGCGGTCGTCGGAGGCGTTGAGCTCGAGCACCATCTGGCGCGCCTGGGCCGCGCCGTAGATGCGCCGCGCGAGGGCGAGAATGGTGGACGTCTTGCCGGTGCCGGGCGGGCCGTATAGGAGTAGGTGCGGAAGGCGGTTGGAGTCGACAAACTTGTTAATGGTGGCGAGGATGTCTTGGTGGCCCTCGACGTCGTCGAGGGAGACGGGTCTGTACTTTTCGATCCTGTGCCAGGCTGTGTTAATCGACACGGAAGACTTGGGAGTGGCAAGTTTCGGGGGGGCGGGTATATGTGTTTGTACCATGGCAGTGTGTCTTCAGCCTCGACGGGCAGGTTTGCTGTGCTTCGCTTGCCTTTGCTGGCGTCGGCGGAAAAGAGAGCGGCGTTGTTCTGGGCGGGCGCCAAGTCGACATCCATTTCGTCTTCAAAGTCGGACATTTTCGCTGGTTATTTCTCTCTGGCCTGTCTCTTTTCTGTTCGGTTTGATTTTTGGAGGCGTTAATTGGCAATTGGGGGACAGAGAGCGAGTGGTGCTGCTGTTTGCTGATTGCGTGGAGAATAAATCGTCAGGATGTGAGGTTGGGGAGACGCGCCGCCACGCGCTGGTGACGTGAACCCATTAAACTGACCTCCACTTTGAGGTAGGCTGTCCACTCTGTAGTTACCCTACATCACTTATACCTTGGTTTTGAGGCCTATATTTTGCGTTGTTTAGGGTTGTTTTCCTCTATACCTTTTTCATTTCCCGATCTATAGTAGTATATGGCTATCATCATTTGAAAAGTGAATATCTACGGGGACCCCATCGGCGGCGCCATCGACTGAGTTTCGCCGTTGCTCTTCCGTCCAACATGCCACTTCATCATAGACATGTGTGGTACGCCAAAGAGAAGCACTTCCCTTTGCGTCTCAAACCCAGCAGACTCATACAGTGGCAGTCCAGACGGCGTAGAAACCAGGTAGCAATCCCTCTGCTCCTCCTTGGCCTTTTGTACACCCCAGTCGAGAAGCATCCTTCCAATGCCCCTCCTCTGCTGCTTCGGATCAACGCCAAGCGAGTCCAAAGCTTGCATAAACAGTCAGAAAAGGATAACAAGCAGGATATGGCGAAGCAAAATTTCAGAAGGCAAAACCAAAGGGGAATAGAAGAAACAAGACTCACTCCAGACATCTCTGGCTCCCCTGTCGCCAAACGAGTCGCGCTCTTCCTTCATCATGACCTCGCGCAGAGCCGCCACAGCCTCCGGATCGAGCCCAGCCATCAGCGGCGGCTTCTTCGGCGGCTCCTGGTCCTCGCCTGCCCGCAACGGCCGAAACCAGAGCGCGTAGCCCACAATCTCACCATCCCGCGCCGCGACCAGCATGACGCTGCGGGGGGCCTTGAGCCGTGCCGTTTTGCGCATGATGCTCCAGTCGCGAAAGTCGTTCCCCAACGTCCCGTCCTGGCGCCGGGCCGCGGGCAGGAGGTGCTGCGAGACGGCGTCCGTGGCCGGGTCAAAGGCCGCCATGGATATCTCGGCGATGCGGGGCACGTCGGCATCGGTCGCGGGACGAATGGACAGTGTCATGATTTTTGAGACTTTTGTTCTCAAACACGAAAAAAAAAGGAATAGAATAAAGCAGAAAGAGGGAGGGGGCAGGCATAACCTGTTCGGTAAACCCTCAACTCGGTCAGGTTAACTCTGTGGAGTTGGAACAGGTTGACAAAGAGGGAGGGGGAAACAAGGCTCTCTCTATACATTCACGAGGCTGCGCTTTATAGTCCGCTAGTAGGTGGCACTAGCAGGCAAGGCTGAGTGATAATACGTCATCTTCTTGGACGGCTGCTTTACGTAGAAGCTTAATGCATTTGCAAGGTGACAATTAAGTAGACTACAAGTAGAAACCTTGACCCGCATGTATTCAGAATGAATATAGTCTTCCATTAGTGCGCCGTGAGGGCGCATGCTGCTCCAGTTTCATCATCATAACGCCGTGATCCATCCCATATGCATGTACGTACGGCGTATTATCGATGCTGCGGAACGGTGGACTTTCTCTACCCCATCATAATTTTATTTGATGCGTCCGTAAATGATTAGTCCCGAGCCCAACCACTTCAAAAATGATTGGAATTAATGCAACTGCAAACCATGCAATTCCTGCCACAAAAATTAGTGTCGGTCGTTTCCTCAATACGGCGTGCAGAGCACAACAAGACGTACCAGTATAAACGATTAATTTGGTGACAACTTCGACATCGTACCTTACACGCGGCTTGACAAGAAGCGCAAACACTTCCTTCTCATCAACAGCTCGGCTCTGCTGCTCCGTGGGTTCGTCACCTAGGGTCATTGCAGCCTCATTCCCAGCAATCATCTTTTCGTACTCTGTAGAAGCGGATTTTTGTGCGCCCGACGACAGCGCCTTGCCAGAGTAATCGTCCGACTTGCCAATGCTGTGGTTGCTGCTGACGCTCTCGCGCCGCTGGCGCTCGCGGTAGGCCAGTGTCTCGTACGCGTCCGCGGCGCTCTGCGGGCCAATGGACACAGAGCGACCGCGCGTCGTCGGGTGGCGGATACCCGCCACCATGCGCGGAAAGTCGGATGGGGACGGGAATAGGGTGTCGATGCGGGAACCGGGCGGTACCGACTTATACTCGCTGGCGGGGGTGAAGAAGCGACGGGGCAGGGTGAAGCCGGAGGACTCGATGAGGCGGAACAGATGCGGCAGGCTCTTGAGAAGGAGCGGCTTCATCGTCTCGCGCCAGGCAAATACGATGAGGACGCCAAAGATGATGCGAACAATATTCAGACCCCAGCCGAGCGGAGTGACGTCGACGGTGCCGTTGCCAGCGTACGCGTGGGACACCCAAGGGTCCCACGGAATCTTGCCATAGGTCCACGATCCAAACTCGAGGCCAATCACGACGCCCGCAAACGCAACGCTGTCGTCAAAGCACGGACAATCATCGGCGGGCTCCGGATGAATGCGCACAAGCACAACAATGACCAAGCAGGCCATCGCGGGTGCCACCCAAGAGCTCGAGTGCATGTACGCGTCAAACGCCGGACCGTAGCAAAATTCGAGCATGCCAATGGCGACGCCCGTCACGGAGCCCACAAAGACGTCGAGGAAACCATGCATACCGCAGTACAGCCGCCCAAAGACAATGGACACGGCGTAAAAGTACGACAGGCACTCTAGGAACAGCTTCATGGCGGGCGGCAGCGTATTCTCGGGGCTTTTCAGGAGCAAGAGGCCGTAGACGGCGACGGAAACGGCATTGGCACTGTGCGTCGAGGGAAAGCCGTATTCGAGCGCCGCGGAGCCGGACATGGTGATGCGGTGCAGCGGCGGTGAGAGCGGTCGGGGCAGCGAGTAAAAGTCCTTGATGAAGCCGGTCCAGAAGACGCCAAGGGCGAGAATATGCACGAGCCTGTAGCAAGTCCCGTCAGCATTTCGCCGAGATTCCACTGTGGCCATTGACCACCCCATCGATTCTTACCCTTTCCCGAACCAGGCCTGGCCGCACCAAAAGCACATGGGAAGAAAGACCATGAAGAAGGTATGGGTGCCCAGGTTGGCGGTAATGGCAAAGTAGCTATCGAGCGCCGGCGTGCGCAGCCTCTTTTGCATCCACGCGAGGTACGGCGTCTCCCATCGGATCAGCGGCAGCGCCTGCTGTCGAAGTCGGTATCGCCACGGCGGGAGCGCTCTCTTGTCTAGGTCGTGTTGCGACACGCGCGCGCTGTCAGTGGCCTGAGGACAAGGAATAGGTGGGTGCGTCCGCCTACAATGATCCAAGCTTCGCAGTCCAGCGTCAGGTACATGGCCATTCTGGTGCGACGCACCATTGCTTCGCGTGTGTCCGCCCATGGCGTCGAGAGTGATCGATCGCGCGTGCTGGTGTTTGCTGCTGGAGGACGGGGCGTGGGCTCCTTGTAAAAGACGGAGCCCCGGACAAGAAAGGTGGAACGGAGAACACAGAGCCGGGCGGGCGCAATGGACGAGAAATAGAAAACGCTGAAAGGAGTGGATGCCCAAAAGTCGCGCCGTGGGCGACGGAATTGAGTGATGGATTGGCGAAGGGAACCATTGCTGAAATTGCGGCGGAGGACCTCGGGTCTTGTCTTTGTGCTCTGTGCCTGGCATTTGCGGGGACCGTTTCCGGGGCAGCTGGCCGCATCATGCACGCTACCATAGTACAAAATAGTTACTACCTAGGTAGGTAGGTAGTTACTGGATCAATCGTAGTCAACTGAATTCATATCGAGACTCGCTATTACTATTATCCAATGCAAGAAAGAAGAAACATGAAGAAACGCTCCCGCAATGGCCCAATGAAAAAAATTGAAAAACAACTCCATGCAACGCCAAGCAACCTGCCCACCCCTCAAAGAGAGCAGCACCAACCTCCATCATTTCAATGTACAGCCTGATGGCAGGCTCAAACATATATATACGTCACATATCCAGATGCAGTCATTACTGGAGTCCCAAAGCATAGCTCCAGGCTTCAATGCAAAAAAAAAAATCCAAACACATCAAAAGTAGTACTTGCTCGTAGGAATCGCTCCCCATCATGCTTTTATCGTGTCCTGCTCGTGGTGCGGCTGGTAGGAGTAGTTCGACTGGCAGCTCTGCTCGCAACTCTGCTCGCAGACCTGCTCGTTGGCCTGCTGCTAGGCTTCGCTGTAGGCCTGGTTCGTGTCGTCGTCGTCGTAGTCGTCTTGGAAATAGTCTTGGGCGTCGTCTTGCTCAAGGGTGCCTTGGTCGATGATGAGCTGATATCCCGCTTTGCGCCCGTCGGTGCTAGCTTCTTAGGTGGCACTGCCGTCGCCTGCGCAATGCTTCGTGCGCGTCCTCGCCTCTCTCGAATCTTGGCCAGCGCTTGTTCCCGCGTCATGGTTGGCGTAAGAGCTGGGTCTGTGAGATCAAAGCTAGCGCTGCTGCTTGCTGAAGGAGTTCGAAGCTTCTCATGAAATGAAGCACTGTGCTGAGAGGATTCATCGCGCACCGGAACAGTGGTCGTCGTCACTTTGAATCGAGTTGTGGATGAGTACATTGTAGGCGTGGGCGACCCTGAGGTCTGGCGAGCCCCACCGTCATCTTCATCTTCATCTACAACGGCCTCCTCTGGAGCATCCCCAACTGCCAATGCAGTCCTAGACTCGCCATCTTCGACAGTTGGGATGTTGAAAGTCGTAGGAACTGATGACTCTTCCTCGCTATGCGGCGCACTCAGCAGAGACTGGAGGGAAGTACGGTCTCTGGCAATTCGGTCTCTCGACATGATGGCGCATGATGGTGGCTCCACGGATGGAGTCCTGGCATACATACGAGAGCTTCTTGCCTCTTCCATCATATCGGGAAGGATAATGTCAACATTATCCTCCCTCTCATCCGGACCAGGTTCCGCCTGGAAGCGCTCTTCCAAGGCCGCGGCTTCAGCTTCCTGCTCTGAGACTGTGCGGAAAACACCCTCCTTGGGGCAAAATATGGTGCTGGTTCGCCCCTTCCTCGACTTGACGATCATCAGCTCATGCTCACCCAGTGACTCGGGCTCAGGAAGCGACTCGCGACGCTCTTCCAAGTCACACTCGTGATGACCCTCGTGATGGTGGTCAATAGCAAACTCTGGCTCAAGTTCCGGAACGGCATCAGCAGGCGGCGCCATGGTCTCGTCGGCACTTTCTTCAACATTCCCCTCGGGCTCTTTCATTGTGAACTCGGCTTCTTGAGTCGGCTCCGCAGTCGGCTGGCGTTGGACCGTAGGCTCGTGGTATTCCACTGCGATAATGTTGTCCGGTACCATTTCAGCCTCGACTTCTAAAATTTCGTCGGACTGATCTTCATCCATCGCTTCATGGGTGTCATCAGTCGCGGGGGTTTGGCTGTGGGGCTGAAGCTCCTGCTTTGCAGGTGTCATCTGAACGTCGGCCATTGGTTCAGGTTCGTCAATCGTGGGTTCCGAAACGTCTGCTGGCTGACCCAAAGGTTCCCCCTCCATCAGGTCCTCGGTGGTGGTAGTAGTAAGGGTAGTAGTAGTAATAGTAGGAACCTCAGTTGTAGCCACAACAGTATCATCTGCAGGTGTAGTCGACTCTGGTTGCTCGATAGCTTTTCGTGGAGTGACCTGGCTGGCCTGGCTGACCTGAACGACTTGGCTGACTTGGCGAGTTTCCCGCGCACCGAGGCAAGAATGCATCCGGCATTCGGCCTGTAGAAATTCAACCATTTCTTGAGCTCTGTCAGCTCTATGTTTCTCCCAAGCAACTTGCAGCGCAAGCTCTTCTATTTCTATTTCTGTAGCGGCAGAGCCAACCAAGTCCATCGTGGACAGAGACACACGGCCGCCGTCCTTGGCTGAATCTCGCTTGCGCTTCTTCTGGACTTTGTTTGATGATGATAGCTCGACTGCTTCGTTACCGAAGGCCAGAGGCAGTCGGCCCTCGGCAGCGATGCGTGCGACCTCCTCGTTCTTAGCTGCGGTCTTGTAGGCATCGCGCTCCTGCTCGACCACCTTGACGCGCTCCAGTGCCTTGTCGAGTTGTTCCTGGACGCCTACTATTTGATAGCGAGCAGTGAAGGCTTCTTGTTCTCGCCGCTGGCTACGTTCCTTTTCGCGCTCCAAGCATTCTTCGTTGATCTTGGCTGCGGTGCGAGCAGTCTTGAGCTCCTCTTGCAGCTTGACCATGGTTGACTGTGACTTGAAGTTTTCTTTTCTCGCTCGTCGAATTTCTTTTTCCCAGAGGGCTTGAGTATGTGCGTGTGTCTCCTTTGCTCGGCCGTAGCTGTCCTGTGTAACTGTTAGCTGGGTTGGGGCTTCTGTTTTTGCTAAGGCTGCTTACCATGACGGCTTCTAGCCGCTCGCCAACTTTTCGTTCTCGTTCTTTTCCTTGATCGAAGGCATTTTGGAGCTGCTTGATTTCATCTCTCATACGCTTCATCTCCATTTCGGCCTCCTCCCGTCCAAGAACAGCTCTCTTGAGCGCGTCGTTCGTTTTGCCTAGCTGTCTGGACTGGCCGGACATGTTATTGAATTGGCTAATCTTTTCGAGAACTGGGCTGTCGTAGCCATCGGTTCTGAACGGTGTCATCTGGGCCTCGCGGCGTTGGTTGACGCGGTCTGGCGTTGACATCCGCAGCGGGCTGAGCGGCCCCGTTGGCGTCAGGCTCAAGCTGTTGTCCATGTCCATGGCGAATGGTGGATCTGTTTGTGTGGTTTCAAAGTCGGTAAAAACAAAACGGCGCTTTAACTCAAGACTACCCCGCCCCTATCTCACCAAAAATTGGCGGTGATGGAATGGTCGCAAAATTACAAGTCGCGATCTTTTTTGTGCGTTGAACCGTGATATTCACGAATGTCTGTTTACTGTGGTGCTGGCACCAAAGGCCGGTAAGACGGAAGACAAACTGGGCAAATAGTGGGTCATCGTTGCTGTGACGACGGCGGGTCATGTGACGAGTACGGAGTACCGAGGACGCCATGATCGCATGTTCGGTGGCGGCCCGGCATCACTCCCCGCTGTCCCGCTTTGCTGCAACGGACATTAGCCCCTAACTATTACTTACTACCCAGTTCGGACGAAATTGGGGTCAGACCTGCATCTCAGCCGATTGTGTGTCCTTTTGCTCTGGCTGCTGCTTAAGGGGCTGCGTTTTCCTGTGTCTCTTGCTTTCCATCAACGACCCCGTCCCAGAAAACCCACATCAGACATCATGGCTGACACGGAGCTCCGCCAGCGCAAGGCCAAGGACAACGATGGCAAGGCAAATGAAAGCGCCAAGGTCCGCACGAGAACTTCGGAAGATGATAACCTAGGGTCAATCCGCCTGGATATCTTACGAGTCTTGACTTTCTTGTTCGTTGCTTCGTGCGGTCTCAGCTATGTCATCAGCTCTGGCGAGAGCTTCTTCTGGGGCATGCACAATAAGCCGTATTACCTGAAGCCTGAGTGGTGGAAGGCCAAGTTTGTATGCGACCGACCCAGAGCTGGCGGCGCAACCCCAGATTCTCTGCAGTATAGCGATATAGCTGACCCAGCTTCTTTGAACGTAGGGTGGACCAATTTATCTTACCCCTGACGAACTCTCCCAATACAACGGCTACGAAGAGGGCAAACCCCTGTACCTAGCTGTCAATGGCACCATATTTGACGTATCCAACGGCCTGCACATGTATGGTGTCGGTGGCTCGTACCACTTCTTCGCCGGTCGCGATGCGTCGCGCGCCTACGTTAGCGGCTGCTTCGAGGAAGACTTGACCCCCGACATGCGCGGCCTTGAAGAAATGTACCTCCCCATCGACGATCCCGAAACTGATTCCAAGTGGACCACGGCCGAGATGAAGGAACTCAAGGAGCAGGAGCTGGCGGAAGCCAGCGAGAGAGTTTACAATGGCCTGAAGCACTGGGTTGACTTTTTCACCAACAGCCCCAAATATCAAATGGTCGGTTACGTGAAGCGCGAGGAAGGCTGGCTGGAAAAGCTTCCTACTCCTGTGCTGTGTAAATCTGCCCAGCAAAAGCGCAAGAAGAGGGTCCCTCGGGATCAACAGTAGGATAATGAAGCTGCATTCTACTCTATACCCTTGATGCTGTTCGACACTGTCCATAATAAAACAAATGTATGCAAACTGACGGTTCTGTATTACACAGAAACTCTCAAACATAAACAAATCCCGTCCCTGTGGCCTGCGCTTGATATCATTACCCTATTCATATACACGATACTATTAAACATGTCATTTCCTTCTCTACAACAGCAAGAAAACAGCACCGAGAGCAAGTAGCATCGAGCTAGATACGCTGGCAACGGATGCGCCGCCCGTTGAGGGTGAACCTGAAGCGGCACCGACGGGGGTTGTGCCAGCAGACTCAGCCGAGGGAGTGGCGCCCTCTGTCGAGCCGCCCGGAGCAGCCTCAGCCGCAAGCTTCTTGTATTCCTCAATAGACCGAGAAGCGTTGGCGCTGGTGCTGCAGGGGAGTTTCGGGTCAGCACTTTGCAAATTTGCGGACTGCTTAGAGGAAAAACAAGACTTACTTCTCGTTGATCACCATGGCCATGCCCTTTTCGCAATGGGGACCTTGGCTGCAGAAGAACCACATGGGCTTAGTGTCATTGACCATGACAGTAAAGACTGGAATCTCCTTCTTGGCTGCGCTGGCGGCGACGGGCATGTATGCTGAGAAGATGCCCAGGGCGCTGGGGTTGACCTCCTTGATGGGCTTGCACGGGTGGTCGAAATCGGACTGCGTAAGGGTGTGGTTGCCGGCGAGGAACTGGAACTGAACCATGGAACCGGGCTCAGCCTTGATCTTCTCGGGCCAGAACTTGAGGCCGGTGACGTTGTTGACTGGGTTGCGACCAACAGAGACGACCTGGACGTTGATGGCTGCGCGTGCTTCTGTTAGAACATGACGTGTCGTCAGGCTTGCTGTAACGCCTACCTTGAGCAGCGCCAATCAGGGCCGCCACGGAAGCGAGAGTGAACTTCATTGTGATTGTGGGATGTGTTGTGGTATTATGTGATGCGACGTAGAGACCGGACGGTGGGCAGAGCTGCCAGAGCTGCCAGGCAAGTGAGAGACAATCGGACGAGTGAAAAAGGCGAAGGAAGTAAGTAACCAACAGCGCAAGAACAGAATACCGCACAACAAAGGAACTAGCCTCTGCAAGAAACTGAAAGAGAGAATGTGCTGAGAAGAATAGAGAGAAATAATGAAACAAGGGAAGAGAAAGAAAGAGGAAGAGAGAAGAGGAGGATGGCTAAGATAAATGGAAATTTTCAGAAACAGCAGGGGGGAGTAAATGCAGAGGGAGCCTGACAGGCAAAGCAGCGAGCTGTAACGAACTAGATTAACAACCGGTCATACCGGGCAAAAAAAGATGTTGTTAGGCGAAACAGGAGTGATCAGCCACCGCATCTTGTCCCCTTGGCACCTACGCATCTCATTGTTTCTCGCCGCGTGCACTCACTCTCAGGCGCCTGGGAAACCAGCCAGCAATGCAAGTAATGCAATGGATGCCGTCTTCCGAGTTGCGACCCTCCGGTCTACATCTGACATTCGCTACTGGCTGAAGGGGCGTGGGGGGGGAGGGGAGGAGGGCGAAGTTGCCGTCTCAGCCAGCTTGGCAGTCTTTAGCTCTGGATCGGTATTTCCAAAACGGGCTACCTGGACACTCGAAACCGGGTGGGTGGTTCTGGTTCGTCCATCGTCGGTGTAGGAAGCTTGCGTTCCGGGGTTGGCGGTGTTAGAGGTCTTGTCAGAGGGGTGCTGCTCAAACGTGGCGAGTTGTGTCCTCCAATTTACAACTCGTCATCATTTTGAACCGAATGTGTTTTTAAATTGAAGTATCCCTTGGCGCAACAGAGCTATCCTCGAAGAATTCCTACAGTCTAGTATGGTCGGTTTTTTTTCTTATGGACGTGGTGTGTTGGTCCGGTGGCAACCTCTAGAAAGAGCAACCCGGAGCAGCTCGTACAGCGCACTCACGACAGCGAGTGCGCCGTTTAAAAATATTTCTGCAATATTTTTTGGAAAGAACACCTGTCATCTGACTGGGCTGCGCCTCTGGCCTGCATAATTCTGGCACTGGATGCGCCGCACCTTTGCCATTCTACGACGCCGACGAGACAGGGCCCGTTTCAGACCCGGCCCCACAGCTCCGTGCTTGCCCAGACCGGTTCAAGGACCGCCGACGGGACACACCGCCGCTAACGGCTATTCTGCGTGGCGGTACTCTAATTAATCCGCTGAGACTCTAAAAATCGCCAAGTAGCGGCCGATACTTTGATTGGCTACTTGTCGTCTGATGACAGGCATGCACACGTGGTGTGGTGTTGGGCGACCAGCCGAGCACCACACGGTTGCTTAACCACAAGTACAAATGCTGAAGCCACGCAATAGATGTTTTCGGTAGTTTTCTATTCAAAGCAAGTACCTTTCTGCAACCAACTGACCAGTGGTAAATTACTGCGTGCTGGTTATAATATGAACACAACAGCCAGCGTTGGCAACACATTCTGTGCCGTCGCATGCCCATATTATAGCCGTTTTCTCTTACAGTCGACGCTGTTATGCGTCCGCGCATTTGGAAGCAAAGCTATGGGGTACAGTGATGGAGATCGTCTCCCAGGACAAGCTCCCGACGAGATGTCCGAACCCTTTCTCGTCAGAGCGTGACAGATTCTTGCAATCAAGTGGTCGGTGCTCGGAAGTCTCGCTCGATTGACCAGATTCATGGCCTCCACTCTTCGCGGGGATATACCGAGGCCTATGCGTTCTTTGTGGAATGTTGAGATGGTGGCTCGATGCACAAGGACCTCGAGTAAGTCAGTTTCTATGCCGGGCCGGCCTCTTTCGCCTAGTGGTGAGATGAGAGCGCTTAAAGGTTTGCATCATGGCACCCATCATATCGCAAAGTGTTCATCATCCATGGTGACTTGATAGCAATCTTGTTCAAACGCCGCCTCAGAGGTCCAGCAAGAGCTGTGGCGCAATCTTTTCCAGATCCTCCACCTACTCGCACAACGCACGTCAGTCACCAGACGTCCCCGCCATCGGGGAGGGAGAAAAAAAAATACATACCTCGAGAAACCCGGATCGCTTCTCCACTGCCGAGCGCGCAATCGCTTCACGCACAAAGACGTCGACGTACTTGCCCACGGCGGCGTTGGCGTCGCGCGAGACCCGCGTGGCGTCCTTTTCAAACAGGTCGTGCAGGATGCGCGTGAGCAGGTCCTTGGGGATGGACTTGTCGGCGGTCGAGTCTCCGGCGGCGGCGGCGGCGCTCTTGTCTGCATGGGGACGGCGCCGGGGAGGCGAGTCATCATCGCCTGAGTCAAACGGGTCGCTCGAGGCGCTGGCGTCGCTCCGCTCCTCCGCCGCTTGCCTGCTACTACCGGCCTGGGTGCGGCTGCGGCTGCCACTGGCTTGCTTCGGTGGCATGTTGTTGTTCTTGTTGCTTCGGCTGGAATAATACAGGAAAGAAGAGGGAACGCTGCTAGAGACGCGCCTCATACCGTGTGCTGGTGGAGAGGCCCAGTTAGTCATCCAACTGATGGTCAGTCCTCTACAAATATTTCATGACAGAGCACAGCAGCGAGATGCGATTCGCAGAGAAAAAAGAGCAGTATTAAGAACCAAAGTTCGGGTAATCTAACAACAAGGGAAATTGCGTAGGTGTATAAATTACAGCGACTAGAGAGTCTTCGGCAGAGCCATAAAAGAGAAATGCGCCATGCCAATGCCAATCTCATCAGCGCATCAGCTGTTGCACATGACAGAGTGTCAGGGTATCTACCCCAACTTCCCTCACCGTCAAACTTTCAATCTCTCCATTTTTAAATCCCCGGAGTAATCCTTTCCGAACTAAAAGCAGTGTCTATACAGTGGTGATGGGGAGCATGGCATTTAGCCGGAGCCGCCAGAGAAGGCCTTGCCGAACATGAGGACCTGGAGCTTGTCGTAGATGGACAAGACACCAGCACCGGCGACACCACGGAGAATGTTGGCACCAGCACCGTTGAAGAGGGACTTGACACCGTTGGCAGCAATAATCTGGCGGGCAGCGTCGAAGGAGTTCTTGTACTTGACGGCCTCACCGGAGGTCATCATCATGCGACGACGGATGGTGTCAAGAGGGTAGGCAGCGATACCGGCACCGGTGGTGACACCCCAACCGAGGAGGAAAGAGGCAAGGAAGTTGTCGGCGAGGTTACCAGTGAGAAGAACGGGCTTCAGGGAGTCGTACATGCCGAAGTAGAGACCACGGTAGACGATGATACCAGCGACGGAGGGCATGAAGCCACGGTAGAGACCGGCAATACCGTCAGAGGCGAGAGTCTTGCGGTAGACGTCAACGAGGCCGTTGAACTGGCGCTCGCCACCCTTGGAGGCGTTCTTGGCATCGTTGGCCAGACGGGTACGGGCGTAGTCAAGGGAGTAGACGAACAGCATAGAGGTGGCACCAGCGGCACCACCAGAGGCGAGGTTGCCGGCCATCCACCAGGCGTAACCGTCACGCTCCTTCTTGAAGCCGAACATCTTCTTGAACTTGTCGCGGAAAGCGAAGTTCAGGGCCTGGGTAGGGAAGTAACGGATGACGTTGGCAGTGTTACCGCGCCACAGGGCGAGAACACCCTCATCGGCAGCGGTACGGCGGAAGCACTCAGCGATACCGGTGTAGCGGCGGTCGAGACGGCCAGACTTGATCATCTCATCCTGTTTGAACTGTTAGCGACACTAGAATCGCGTTGCTGGTGGATGCGACAAACCTGGTTCTGGATCAGAAGCTTGACACGCTCGATGGGAGCAGCAGCAGTCTTCGAGACGGCAGCGGAAACACCGCCCACTGGATAAAAATTAGTACCACATTCAGGAGACGGTGTATTTTGCTTCGAATGATGGCTAGTGTCGAGCAACGATTGAGAGCGGATAAAACGTACTCAGGAAGTCGGCAACGAAGGGCTGCGAAAGGAGTTAGCATGTGTCCAGGGGTATCCGAGCGTGTAGCCGAAAGCCATGAAAATTTTGTCGCGTTACGCCTCTCGTGTGAATCGAAGGAATCGGGACAGCAAAGGCACAGTAATTCATCAGGGGCATTGGCGATGCATCGCGGTTCAATTGGCCCCCAAGATTGTTACAGCTTCAATGGCCAGCTTCCCCCTTTGTTCCGACGGCAGAACGCGGCATTTCTGGCGACCCGGCGAAAGGTATTGTACTTACGGGCATGCCCAGGACCTTAGGCTTTTCTTGAGACATGATGGCGGTTGTTTAGGTGCTTTCCCGAAAAAAACAAGAAAAGACTGAGGGGAGAGTTGGGGATGGAGAAGGAAGGAAGAGAAGAGTGTCTGGGGAAACCGAGCGAAATAAATCTGTTCGCGCTGGGTGGCAGGGTTGGGGGGGAGCGAAAAAAAATTGCTGCGGGTCCAGCCAAACGGACAAGTTTTCTTAGAGCGAGTCTTTCCGGCCACGCTAGAGCCAGCCATGAGCGCTGCCCAGGCACCTTTTCCATGGCAACAGTGGAGTTTGCGCCTGAGGCCAGAAGGAGGTCTGAGGCCAACAACCTCTCGCATCCTGTGACAGAGCGCACACCTTCCCCTTGGGCTAGAGTTACCGGTTCGCCCCGATGTTCCTTTTGGCTGGCCGGCACGCCTCAAGGTACCTGCAGCCAACTGACTCTAGCCTTGCTACCTCGCATCTTGGGTCTATCATCAGGCCCCGGCGCTGCCGTACTGACATGTCACTGAATCGAGAAACGCTTCCATGGACAGTCCCTGTTTTGGCCACGATAGTGTGGCCCTCGGCCGGTCGTTTCACTACGTATCCGTACCTACGTACGAGATATAACTACCCGCCAGCCTCTCCTACTATCCTTACTGGTATATCTGTACAAGAACATCTGTGTAACTAGCTACCTACCTAGGTAGGTATGTGGCCATAGCTGACACACAGGTAAGCCAAGGGTAAGCCTCGGTCAGTGCTGACCTAACTAGAAAGATCTCGCGTTTGCATTCAAGAGACATTGTACAACCATTGTCCCTGGATGTTTCTGAGACGGCTGCGATAAGTAGATCGCGTACCCGCAAAGCCACCGTAATATCTCTCACTTCCATTTCCGTGCCAACAGCTCCTCACCATCCTTGAGCAACCCACTCATTGAAGTTACTTGATTGAAATTTTGTAAGGCGTTATGTTGCATTTTCACCGTTTTTCTTTTCCGACACATCGGAGGTACAAGAGGCTCCATATAGGTACATACCTGCCCAGCTCAATCGCCTACCTACCTAACTTGAGGTAGTTACCATCGTTTTTTTTTTTGCCCGGGCCCACCAAACAGCGGCTGCGCCGAGCCAGGTATCCGGCCCCTGTCTTGCGCTATCCCCTGCAGCCTTTCACCCGGGAAAGCCGCTAGCAGAATTCCAGAAAGCGCAAGGGCATCAATGTCTTGCTTCACTGAGTTGCCCGTAGGAAACGTATTGGTAAGGAAGTGGCGCGGTATTTAAAACGAAGTGTCCGTCGTTACATCCGGCCAATTGCCACGTAGCTAACTTCATACGCCGTACAGAGTATTACTCCGTATCGCATCTGGCTGTTTGTTTCAATCCCACCGAAATCCCGGCTAGCCAACCGCCCACCGAGCTGTGTTCGAATAGTTGTGCCGCACGATGCAGTGACATTGAGGGCAGCCGCGCAGAACGTGCGCCAATGAGGCAAACTTCTTGGAACAAACGCAGAGGCGCATATTTAAAGGGTAGCTTTGTTTATTGTTCATGTATGACATGTGAATGGCCTAATTCTCAGCTACATGGAAGATCTTGCCAGCTTGCCTTCTACCGTACAGCCTCACCAGTCAGGCTGAAGTAATTACATGTCACCAACATACTCTGGTCCCTTAGTTATTCAAACGACCGATAATCCCAGCTGCCCACCATGGTAGTTAACTTTACGGCTTTCGGCTTCCGGCCCCAGTCCCGTGCCTTGTCACGTGACGTCACAGATATGCTTTGGCTGTTCTTGTCATGTCCCTATGCGGAGGATGAAGCGCCTCCTTGTAGTCAATCGCATGTGGGAATTGGATAGATCACGGCTCATAAATTGCGGTCGCTTCCGATTTGTTGTCGGAATGGGCACCACTCGCACAGTTGAGTGGACGCAAATCGCGACGCTGCTCAAGAAGTCAAATAAAGTCGAACCCCAGCCTGCTCCATCGACCAGCATGTCAAGCAAGGCCTACTAGAATCGCTCGTCAGTACTCCGAGTAGTCACAGTGGATAGTTCCGGTAGCCATTGTCATCAAGAGGTTTTTTTTATTTCATTCCGTTGCCGTTTGCTCATGCAATTTCGGTTTCTAGGTATGCTTAACCGAGTGTGAAAAGCGTCCCAACCAGGCTGTTTTTGCCTTGTATCTTTTCCCCATCCCTCGGCCATATATCATTCAGGCCATAATGACGCCAAACTTCCAGAAAACACCTCGATCGAAATTCGCTTATGCGACAATGGCGCGGGCTGTCAAAAACTGTTAGCATTGCGCCCTCATCGTTCGGGATAAAACGGCACAATTGGAGGGTAGTCGCATACTGTAGATCTTCATCTTGCTGTGTGTGATAACAGGCTTGATCAAGCCCTTCTCCTCCAGGTCGGTAATGCACTGGCGGGCCAGGGAGCCGTTGATCTTCATACGGTCCACGAGAACAGCAACGGTGACCAGGCGGTAGGACTGGACATCCTTGTAGAGCTTCTCGGCGGTGGTCTTGTCGAGAAGGACGGCGTGCTGGGCCTTGTCCTTGACCTTGCCCTTAGACCACTTCTTCTTTTGCTTCTTAGCTCCAGCAGCAGGCGCCTACAACATGAAATTCGACGGTTAGTTTTTTATCTCTTGGGTATTCAGGTCGTGATCGCGAGTAAATCGTCGTCGTAGGCGGGTGAGGGCGTACCATTTTGATGTGATGTGATTTGACGTTGACGGAGTGTGGAGGAACACGGATTTTCGCCAAAGTTGCGAAGTCGACTAGCACTTTGGCGATGGGTCTCCGCACCACCGGAGAGCGGCAGGGCAGGCGTGCCCTAACAATGGTGGCGTGTAGGGTACGCACCCAAATTTTCGCCGAACTTGATTGGCCCGCAGAGCACCCACCGAAATTTGCCAAACCCTCCGCTACCGAGCCAGACCTCCAACTTTATGAAAAATCCCATCACGACAAACCGAGCATACTAACCGCAGTCCCCCGCCATCCACGGAACCACCGACTGCTATATTCAAAATGTCTGAGGGCGGTGATATCGACGTTCTCCCCAGCGTCCTCCCCAAGGACGTCGCCAAGGAGGTTGGCAACGTTAAGTTGTTCAACAAGTGGGACTACGATGTTGAGGTTCGCGACATCTCGTTGACGTATGTTTATGTCTTGCACTGTTTTGTGCGCAGGGCGAGGAGAAGGAGACGAGAGCCGACGCCGACGAATTCCTCCTCGCTTTTCGCCGCGAAACCGAAATTGGAACGAGTATTCTGACGAATTGAATCCTATAGTGATTACATCTACCTGAGCAAGCCCGTCTATGTCACGCACTCCGCCGGCAAGTATGCCGCCAAGCGCTTCCGCAAGGCCAGCTGCCCCATCATTGAGCGTCTCACCAACTCTCTGATGATGCACGGCCGTAACAACGGCAAAAAGCTCATGGCTGTTCGCATTGTCGACCACGCTTTCGAGATTGTGAGTGACGACTGCCCCATGCCAAGGCCAGCTTCACACGAAGAAAAAAATCGCAGCCACCATACGAAGAGACGGATATGCTGCGCACACCGGATTGAACCTCGAATGGCCGCGAAGGGCAGGTCAATTGGACGACTAGCTAACCAGGGACTTTGCATTTTAGATCCACCTCATGACCGACCAGAACCCCATCCAGGTCGCCGTTGACGCCATTGTCAACTGCGGTCCCCGCGAAGACTCGACCCGAATTGGGTCCGCCGGTACCGTCCGTCGCCAAGCCGTCGATGTCTCTCCCCTCCGCAGAGTCAACCAGGCCATCGCCCTCCTCACCACCGGTGCCCGCGAGGCCGCCTTCCGCAACGTCAAGTCCATTGCCGAGTGCCTCGCTGAGGAGCTGATCAACGCCGCCAAGGGCAGCAGCAACTCGTACGCTATCAAGAAGAAGGATGAGCTAGAGCGTGTGGCCAAGAGCAACCGATAGAAGGTTTCACAAAAATGGATTTACGGTTGGATGGAGTGCGGCTTTGGCGTGGTTCTGGCATATTACAGAATTGCATTTTTGCGTTTCGGGTCAGGGAACGCGGCTATGGATTGTTATTGAAATGTCTTTAGCTCAATAAAACTGGGCTCTGAAGAAGCCCGTTCACCGAATGAAATGTCACGCCGTTTGTCGATTCATACTGAGAGTTGCATCTGCTGCATGCGCACTGCCCGTGCACGATTTGTCCCGATAGGATACAGGTTTACATGCCAGGTGATGCAACTTTGCAGCTTCTTTTATTGGAAGGAACTCGACACTCATTACTATTCGTTCTGTGGAAATCCAGGTAGTTTGAGGAGCACGTCTGCCATATAGCAAAGCAAGAGGTATTATAGAATGGAGTGTAACATGAACGTTGTTCTATCATATGGCTGGGTATAAAGGAGATGGCAAACTCTAACAGAGTCGTGTATGTGCATTCATTCATGTCATGTCAAATCATATGCTCTATAAAACTTGGGTCGCGTCAATCCTGTATCAGTATATCCGCAGCTTCTTTTCGTTGATGGACAGACGCTGGAACATTCCAACGTGAACTATGCCCTCCTCCCACCAGGAGCCCATACCTTCGTCAAGCTTAAATCCGCAACGCTCCCAGAAGGGCTGGACACGCTTCTGTGCATGGACGCAGACCAGTCCCGCCCATGATGGGATTTCGGTTTCTCGCCTAGCGCCCATTTGCTCGAGGCCGAGCTCGGTGATGCTGGGGTCAAAGTACGCGGGGTTCTCCTTGAGCCACTGCAGGACGGTGCTGACCAGAAGGCCAGCAATCTTGTTGCCGCGAAAGTCTTTTTGGACGGCGAGGCGGCCGAGCTTGACGTAGGACTCGCGGCCGTCGTGGTACGTGGTGGGACGATCGGCTCTGAAGATGCGTGGCTGGCCGGACGGCGTGGCGGCGGCGGCCTCGCCCTCGAGGATGTTGTTCCAGTACCGGCCGCCGTTGACTGGATGAGGGTCGTGAGGAAAGGGCACGAGGCGGACGGTGCCAATGGGGGTGCTGCGCGTCGAGCTCTTGCGCGGCTGGACGACGGCGCCCGTCTCGTCGCGGACCTCGGGCTCCTGGGTGGTATGGACGCTGGCGTAGGCAACCCAGTGGCAGGAGCGCGAGTCGTCGATGTCGAACTCGTTCTCGACGGGTACGCTCTGCTCCTCGACAAAGACGTCCTCGCGCACCTCCATGGCGTCGAGAAAGGTGGATGGGATGGAGGCGGGTTGGTCTTTGCGCGGAGAACCCACCTTGAAGCCCTCGAGCTTGCTAGGCTCGACGAGCGAGATGAATGGCGTTCCCATGGTACCGTTGACCTTGTCTGCAGTTTGATGTAGAATGGTGTTGTGGAAGGCGTGGAGTAGTTGCGGTTCAAGGCAGCCTTGCAAAGTGACTACGGGAACAGCTCTGAAGGGCCATACAAATGGAAATAATGGCGGCGGCGGGCGGGGTTATGAGGTAAAGGTGGTGCGGTTGTGACTAGAAGAGCAATGAGTGTCTTGAGATGACGTTGAGTCAGGGACCCGCCAAGCGAAGTGCAACGGGCGCGGCCAGTTGGCACCGGCGACCACTTGTTCTGTTTGCAGCGGGAGGCGGTGAGACTCGCGGGCGTCTTGCAGAGCGAATATCATAAATTAGCTCTAGTTATTGAAATGGGTGTCTGTCAGATCAACCTGCCAACAGGGAGGGAGGACTGGTTTATTTTCGCCTGTCCCCTACTTGGTTGGGCGGCTACCCTAAACAAGACGGCGAGCGAGAGCGCAGCGGCAGTCGTGCCGTCTGTCAATGAGGGGGCAGAAATCTCGCCATTTCAATTGGCAGCCAACAGTGCGCACTTGCAGGAGAAAACAGCGGGTGTGGTGATGCAAGGCATGGGTAGGGTAGTTTTGATATGTAGGTGATTGCTGCAACAGAGGGTTTGAGATTGAGGGGGTGGTTCAGATGTGAGGGCTGCAGTGATTCAGCGGCGCGCCCAGACAGGCACCTCGGCAACCTTACGATACATGCTCTACAGCCCAATATCTGAGATTTTTGTCCTTCTCCAACACCAAGTATTGGGCCCTCGCCATCCTAGCATCAATGCAGTATCATGCGATGAATAAATGTATGTTCCAGCACCTCTGGAGATTGGATGGCATGCGGCTAAAGACTGCACGGACCGGATAAGGTACGTGAAGCGCGCCCCGTGCCAAGGTCACTGGCGGGCGGCACAACGGCAGTTGCGGGAGAGGACGGTACCAGGCAATGCCAGGGGGCACAAGTACCCTTTTAACTCTAGCATAAACGGGTCTTTTTCCCTTTGCGACGAAATCGACAAACTTATCAACTAACTGCCTACTGTCTCGCGGTCGACGCAGGTTTCTAGGGATCTAGGGATCTGGGAGATATTGATGATATCATCTGGCGCCTCCCAACTATTGAACGGCATTGGTGCCCCCGATGCGTCTATTAATAAGTACCGGCCTGGTACATAAGGCAATTGGGCATCTTTGCGGCCGCTCTCACTCTCACTCATTCCTCACTCACTTATATCCCCTGTAATAAATGGTGCGGTTGGTCCCAGATACCCCCCCGTGTGGAACCCGATGGGCTAACTCATGAGCTAGCGACTCCGTGCACCTCAAAGAAAAAAAAAACGCTGTGCTCTAACAGGATGCGATTTGCCGGTTATCTTTTCAGAGTAGTACACAATATTTGCGATGGTTGGGTTCGCAGTGGCAATGCACTGCCTGGTTGCAATGTGTGCTTGGCGAACTGATTTTTATTTCTTTATTTTATCATGTGAGGCTACCTTAGTATTAGAGACACAGCACCCAGATATGATTTTATACCATCGCTCCTTGTCCATGTCCCGCAGCAAATCAAGAATGGTTTCTGCAGCACAAGTCGGGGATTTTTGTCCTTTCCACATCGCGCCGAGACATCGATTGATACATACATGTCCTTCTGCTTCTTTCGGGTAATAAAGAAGGTCGGAACCGGGTCTTTGCCGTCACTAATTCGTACCTAGGTCCATAGTATGCAGGCACTCAGTTTGCTTTTATTAACTAAGGTACCTAATAGTTAGCGTGCCCCGGTACCGCTAACAGCCGCACCACCACCACGAACCACATGGTACTACAAATTACTTAGTACACACTACCTACCTCTTAGGTAGCTTCACCCATTTCCTACTCTTCGCTCAGGGGTGTGCGCAAGACCCCCCAACCCCATGGACTTTTTGCTCACCACGTTTTCTTCCAGCCCTTGAATGCTTCCGAGCAGCTTCTTTTTTCCCCTCGATCCTGGTCTCAAGCTCATTCTCACTTCAACGTACACCGACTTCTGACACTTAGTTAGCCATCGGAGCTTCATGTTGGTGCTGGCGTTGCTCCCTGGCCACTAGCAACCTCAGACTCCGCCGGCCGGCCAGCTTGATATAGGCTTTCAGGCCAAACCCTCCACGAACCTCGTGCACGGCAATTGAGTCCAAGTCGCCCCTATCAGAGTTGTCGCCTTGTCGATACACTCGCCGCCAACCCATTTGCCATGCCTTGGCACCCACTTCCGCGCATCGCCTTTGCCGTGGCAACTTTTCCCTTCACCGCCGAACGACCTGCCGACCTCCCCCTCGAAATTGGCGATGAGCTCTACATTATTGAAGAGACTGCCGACGGCAACTGGTTGAGAGGCTATCTCGTTGCCCCTCCCAGTCTGCTCGCAGGTCTCACCTCTGTCCAGGGCCAGACCCTCGAGGCCAGAGTCTTTAGCGGCATCTTTCCTCGAAGCTGCGTCGAAATTCGAGAGATGCTTGGCGAATCCGAAGACGGAGACCATGAATCCAACCGAGATGACCAAGATGCCCAACCTCACCACAATGACCCGCGTCAAGACGAGAACGCGTCCGAGGATTCGGCCAAGGGTGGACTCGAAAGTGATGTCGAAAACACCGACAAACAATTCAAGACAAGGTCCACACGCAAACGTCGAGCACCTTTGCAAGAACTTCCCTACGGCACAAATTCGAAGCTATCAGTGCATGTCAAGCGTGATCCAAGAATGCCACGCCCTCCAGCGCCAGTACCAATGCTCAAAATCGGCGACGAAACACCCACATCCGCATCCGAACCCTTAATAGACGAAATATCTTCCTGCCTGCGCGAATGGCATTCCAAGAATCTTCACCAACTTCTCCTCTCCAGAGAGTACGCCAAGCTAGACAAGCTCTCCCAACTCATCACCAAACTCAATTTGCACCGTCAGCAGTTTCTATACAATGTCCTCACCGCGCGAGAGTACGAGACTCTTCGAGAAAAGACGGTATGGGATTTGGTCCAAGTTAATAAGCTTTGCGGCGGCGAAGTCATTGTGCGCGACCCTGGAGCTCGCGGCCGCATCTTGACTGGCGAGGATTCTGCCGTAGCTCTCACAGAGCTGCAGTCTACCATGAGTGTTCTTGATGAACCCCCAAAGCCAACAATCGAACTAGCTAGCTTACACCACCTGCTTCTCGACATTAAAGGCTTTGCTGGCACCTCTACAGAAGAAACCTGCCTTGTTGCCTACCTCGCTAGCAAGCCGCACCATGACAAGCCAATCAATCTCTCAGAGGCTTTCAGTATCGACGTTCCTGCAGGTCGCACTATGGGTAGTCTTATGCAGGACGGTGCTACCCGAACGCTATTCACCGATCTGTCCAGTGTTGATATCGGCGATGTCTCTGCCCCCGAATCAGATCTCTATCTTGTTGTCAAGGTCCTATCTCCTCAAAGAATCGAAATGACGTCGCCCCAGACCAGATCAGGCAGTGTAGGCGACAACTACTACACCCGAGAACATACCAAGTCACTACCGGTTGGCGGTGGCAAGGGCTCGAGGAGAAGCTTCATGTGGGCTGCCAAGTCCACGAGATCTACCTTCTCGCGAGGCTCTGCGGTCAACAAAATGGATGCTGTCAATGAGCACCAAGGAGATCGGCCTTACTCCAATCGCACAGCGAGTCGGGATGATCATGGCCCACCAAGTACTGCCGGATCGCAAGCTAGCATGGCAACTGACGAGGCTCAGACGGCCCAGCGCACGGTTGGCGTTGGTGTTATGAAACTGAATGCTATTATGAAGCAAGATGAAGACATTGAACATGTTATCAGCATCTGGGCGCCTTCCAAAAGACCCATGACGGATAAGGAAATGGGTGAAGAGTGGAATCCCTTGATTCGAGAAATTATGGGCAACTCCTCAGAATCGTTCGAGAGAGCGAGACGTGGCGAGCGACTTCAAGTCTCGCTCAAGGCCTTTGATCACCCAGACCCGGATGCTCTCATCAAAGCGACGCCGACAATTCTGTCTGGGGTGTCGAAAACCAGCAGAATTGGTTTCTCTGGTGCACCAACGCGACCCAGATCTGACATCTACTTGACTGTCAATGCCGCGGCCCTTGCGAAGCAAAATCTCCTCTCTAGATACGGGGGAAGCGCTACCGGTATGTCGCCGGGAATGCAGGCCTCTAATTTGCAGGTCACGCTAGAGGTTCGACATCGATCCGGAAAAAAGATTGAAAACTGCATATTCCCCTCGTCCAATAGCAATGGCTTGACTACTTTCAAATCCGTCGCTACTGAGCGCGGAGAGGCGTGGAACCAAACTCTGCGCTTATCGTTACCATCAGACGATGTTGCCAGTGCCCATGTTGTCATGTTTGTGAGCGACATGCCAAGCCCCCCGTTTGCCGTCGCACACATACCTCTCTGGGACCGGGAAGCGTTCATTCGTGATGGTCCACACGGGCTGCTACTCTATAAGATAGATGAGCATACCTCGACAGCGCAAGCGGGACCGACGGGCAAGGGTGGCTATCTTTCCACTGTTTGGGCACCAAGGGGCCGGGATGAACGCTCAGTCGAAGTGACTGGGCCGCTTGCCTTGCTTCTCATAGAGACATTCCTGTGCAGCACGCGATTCTCGCAAGACCGCGTAATTCTCGGACTTTTGAAGTGGAAAGACCTAGCCCAAGAGGATCTTGCCGCTGTGCTGCGCCAAATCAATTTTGTGCCCGAAATCGAGATTGTGAAGCTGCTTGGCGACGTCCTCGACGGCTTATTCGGCATTTTGGTTGAGCACTCTGGTAACAATGAGTACGAGGACCTTGTTTTCACGGCTCTGGTCAGAGTGCTGGGCATTGTTCACGACAGACGATTTAATCTGGTTCCTCTGGTTGACCAATACGCCGAAATGCAGTTCAATTATCCCTTCGCGGCTTCTTGTCTTGTTCGTGCTCTTACACGTCTGCTTCAGCACCCGACAGAAACCGAGACTGCTCGCAAGCTGAGATCTACTTTCAAGATTGTCAGGCACATCCTCAAGTTCATCACACAAGCGCGCAGCCAGCAACGCGCCAAGGAGGCAGGAATCGGTATCAAGACTTCGGCACAGGGTTTCACGAAACAACTCAAGTCGATCTTCAAAGCTCTCGAGGAAATGATGCGAAACCCGGCCCCTGTTTTGGTTGGTAGCCAGACTCTAGTTGTGCAGCACTTTCATACATGGCTACCTGAGCTCACGGATATGCTTACAGCTGAAGACATTCTGCATATTGCCATCGACTTCATGGACTCCTGCACTGATGTCAAAGGCAAGCTGACACTGTACAAACTTGTTCTCATCATCAACTACTCTAAATTGGATATTTTCAGCCACCCTGACCAGAGATCCGCTCTGAGTGCCAACACTGTTCGCTGGATAAGTCCTCATTGGGGTCACTGCCCGGACATGACCGACCAGTGGAAAAACCAAATTCGACTATGCTGTTCTATTCTTGCCAACCAACTCGACTACATTGGTCCTGAAATTCCAGACCACGCACCTAGAGCTATTGACTCCTATCTGTCGATTCTCGCTTCCCCCCCACCGGCACGAAAGAAGCTGTCGCTGCTATTCCCTTCATCCTACCCGTTTCCGACCAAAACTACTGTACACATTGTCGAATTTGACGAAGCTTTGGCTGAACTGTCCGCCATTCTGTCAGCAATCTCGAGTTCGCCAGTCGGGATGCAGTTGGAATTGGCAGACAGCAACATTCAGACAATGTTGGAGAATGTCCTCCAGGTACAGATAAGCATTTTGAAGGGAGAGGCATTCCCGGAAGGCTGGCTGAGTGTACACATTTATCATCACAAGTCCGCCATGCGCACACTTCAGTACTTGGCCACGATTCTCTTGGAATCCTTCCTACCTCATCCTGATGATGCCGAAACTTTCAACACCGACCTGTGGAGACTGTTCTTCGAGACGCTACTTCAACTCGTTGGAAGCCCTTCGCTTGCCCTGGAAACGTTTCCTGAGCAAAAGAGACGAGCTGTCTGGAAAATTGCCGGCGATGTGCGTGAGGATGGCGCTGCCCTTCTACGTAGAACGTGGGAGGCCATTGGATGGGACGCAAGCAACGAAGAACGCACGAGATACGGACTGGCTAAGATGGGTGGTTATCAAGTCCAGTATGTCCCTGGCCTAGTAGGACCAATTGTGGAGTTGTGTTTGAGTGTGCATGAAGGCCTGAGAAGAATGGCTGTCGAAGTCTTGCAAACAATGATAGTCAGCGAGTGGACTTTGAGCGAGGATCTCTCAGTCATCCAAACGGAGATGGTCGACTGTCTCGACATTTACTTCAAAACCAAGCCTTTGACAGAGAGCGTTTTGCAAAAGCTTTTCCTCGGAGAACTAATGGAGAGATTTGTGGCTCTTTCAGGCGATACCGACGAGCCGTTGACGGAGGCACTCCAGGATCTTACTGCAACATTGGATGAGTTTCTGGATCTTCTTGTTGCCGTTCACAGCGGGGATAACGGAAGCGGAGCGTCGGACATTATCAATCGGCTTCGACTCATGGAGTTCCTTCGAGATATGCAGAAGGAGGAGATCTTCGTGCGATACGTTCACCAGTTGGCCAGCCTGCAGGCCGAATCACGCAACCATGCTGAGGCTGGTCTAGCACTGCGATTGCACGCCGAGCTCTATGAGTGGGATCCAAATCGAGAAACTGGCGCAATGGCTGATCCAGAGTACCCGGCCCAGACACACTTTGAGCGCAAAGAAAGGATATACTTTGACATGATCAAGCACTTCGAAGAAGGCGAGTCTTGGAGCAATGCATTGACAGCTTATAAGGAACTCCAGGCGCAATACGAGACCAATATTTACGACTTTGCCAAGCTCGCACGAGCTGAGCGTGCCATTGCTTCTATTTACGAAACCATCTCGAAGAGCGACAGGCTTGTTCCCAAATATTTCAAGGTGATTTATCGTGGTCTTGGCTTCGCAACCACCCTTCGCGACAAGCAATATATCTACGAAGGCCCTCCCGGCGAGCGCGCTGCAGCGTTCACGGACAGGATGCAGGAGCAGTATCCGTCGGCGAAAATTATCACGGCGGAGGATGGCGACGAAGTCGAAGGACAGTTCTTGGTCATTTCTGTAGTGACGCCACACCGCGATCTGACGCACCCGATTTACCAGCGGACTCGCATCCCTCAGGTTATTCGCGATTTCTTGCTCTCCTCCCACCCGCAAGTGTTTTCTATTACGGCCAAGCGTAGTACGTCTGGACCTGTTCACGAACACTACTCCCAGAAGCTGCTTTTCACCTCTGCGGAGCCCTTTCCGACAATTCTCCGCCGGAGTGAGATTATTGACGTCAACGAACTTGAATTGTCGGCGCATGAGACGGCTTTGGAGCGCATTGTGCGCAAGACGCAGGAAATGGCTGCTTTGGAGCGGCGCATCTCGGAAGGCGAGGAACAGAACATGCAGCTCCTTTTGGACGCTGTAGCAGTTTCAGTGAATCCCAACTCTGATCAAAGCGTATCTTGCTATCGCAAACTACTCCCCGAACCAAAAAGCGACAACGAGGATGAGGAGGATGATGAGGAGGACGAGGAGGAAGAAGAGCTCAGCCCCAGCAACGGAGCTATCAAGACAGCTCTTATTGACCACGCCATGATGCTCAAGAAGTGCTTGTCACTATTTGGCCGAACCAAGTCGGACCCTTTTGCTGCCAACAGGTACGACGAATTGGCTCGGCACTTTGAGAACACGTTTGCTCCCGAAATTCTCACTTTTGCCCCCCCGCCGCCTGTCAAAGAATTGATATCCACGCCGTCGACTATTTTTCGAGGCACGTCACCCTCGATTGAGCAGAGCCCTAGGTGGCAGACTGTTATTTCCCCGAATGGCGGCGCAAAACTAGAGGAAGCTTCCGTGGTTCGCCGTGTGTCTCTGCAACAGCCACGAGGTACGCGCTTGAGCTTCCTCGGCGGTAAGAAGAGCAGCATCGACCCGCAACCCGACCTGAACGGCATCAGTGAATCACCGAGGAGCCATGTCCACAGGCGAAGCCTGAGTAAAGAAAACGGAATGCGACAGGCCATCTTTCGATCACAGTCAAGCGAAGCGACCAACGGGGAGCGACGAGGTAGTTCGACGAGCACCGATAGACGCCAGTCGCAGGATGACAATGACACGCCAGCAAAAGAGTCTGGCTTGATGAAGCGGGGCAACAGCGTGCGAAAAAGATTCAGTCTGCTCAAATTGGGCATCAAAAACAAGAACAGTGCAGTCATGGGCAGCGTTGACGAAGAATAAACACAAACAGGCGATGCTTCTCTATAGCATTTCAGCACTATCTCGCATTACTTTCCTTCAGCCTACTAGCGAGCTCGTTTTGCATTCGCCGGATCTTCCATTTTTTTCAGCACAGCCGATATATCACAGTACAGAGCGTCGTCCTCGTTTTCTTTTCTAGTTGTCTTTTTTTTTCCATTTTCTCAACTGTAAGTAATTTATTTTTCTGCCTCTTTGCGGCTAGGTGTTCTGGATACCACTGTCATGCTGGTTTGTCACAAGCAATTTCGTGTTAGGCACATGGGCTTGACTCCCAATTCTTTCTCTGTATGCATTTTGCAATCGTCAATTTCTTACTATATCCAAGAAGAATATATGATGTAACTCATGCAGTATATACTGTGCCTTGCGTCGACCGTAGAAAGTTGCGGGTTTGTACCCACGGCCATCAACAGCGGAAAAACAAAGATTGACGTATGTACATAACCAGCACGCACACACACACAAAAGATATATACACAGAAGATCTAAATACTCGAGCCGTGTTTTGTTTCAAACATCACACGTCAGTTCCAAGCGCGGAACTCCATCTATCAAAGATGGAGCTACCACTGGGAGGCGCCGTTGAAGGCAAGCAGGTTCCTGGTGCCCCAGACCTGGTCAACAATCGCATTGGGGGTAGCCATCTGCTGGATAGCTTGGCAGAGACCGAATCCGGAGAGGCCATCCTTCGCGGCGAGGTAGGCGGCGAGACCAGCGATGTGGGGAGAGGCCATTGAAGTGCCGGTCATGGTTCCCTAGGTGTACCGCACGCGTTAGTTTCACATCGATCTGCTGCAGGGCAAAGACGAAGAGGCTTGGAAGGTATCTTACCACCTGGCCGTTGGGCATGGTCGAGAGAATATCGACACCGGGGGCGTTGATGTCAATGTTGGGACCAAAGTTGGACATTTCGAAGCGGCGGTCCCAGCGGTCCGTAGCGCCGACGACACAGGCGCGACTCGCCGAGGCCGGGGAATCGCCACGGGCGTCAGTGTTGGTGTTGCCCGAGGCGGCGGCGACAAAGATGCCACGGGCCGAGAGGTTGTCGACGGCGTCGTTGAGGGCCTGGGAGTAGCCGCCGCCGAGGCTCATGTTGACAATGACGCCCTTGGGGCAGTCGCGGCCGGGCGCGTCGTGGGCGACGGCATTGACCGCCTTGATGATGTCGGACGTGTCGCCGGCGCACTTCTTGATCTCTGGGATGAAGCCGAGGGCCTTGATGCCGTAGAGGCGGGTGCGCTTGGCGACGCCGTAGGTGCGGCTACCGAGGGTGCCGGCGACGTGAGTGCCGTGTCCGCAGTCGTCGTGGTGGGGGCCGGGGCCGAAGTGGCCGAGAAAGGTGGCGCGGCCTTCAAACTCCTGAAGGGGGCGTCAGTCTGTGTGAGTGGAAGGGCGGGGAAAAAATGACGAGCAGGACGTACAGGGTGCTGGGCGTCGATGCCGCTATCGATGATGTAGCTGCAGGTGCCCTCGCCGGCGGCGTCGTCAAAGACGTACGAGTCGCTGCCGGCCCAGCGGCTGGAGAGACGGGAAAGGCCCCAGGGAGCGCCGCCCTGGGAGACGAAGCCCTGGGTCGTCATCATTGAGACCGGCTCAATGTACTCGACCTGGAATGGGCGCGTGTGTTAGACGGTGGGGAATTGACTACTATTTGCTGCTGGCACAAGGGACAAGACTTCACCTCTGGGTGCTGTCGGATGGCCTCGAGGTTGGTCTCCTTCATCATACCGGCGAAACCGGTAAAGACGCCGTCCGAGTATACGTTGGCCGGCTCGTCGTCGAGCATCTTGAACGCCTCCTCAACGTCCGCTAGCGCACTTCCCTCCTTGAACTTGACAATGTACTTGTCGGCGACGATGTCCTTGGTGTCGCCCCGGGCGGCCAGGATGGGAGCGGGAGAAGAGAGACGAGGACGGAAAGACGCATGATGGTCTGTAGTAAAACGAAGGACGGGGGTAAAAGAGCGGGTGGTGTATAGAAACGAAGGACGAGGGCAAAGAGCGAGGAGGTGCTGAGGAGGGTTGCTGGATGGCGGCGAACGAGTGGCGATGGGATGCTGGATGATGAAAGGTTTGGAACGAGGGGGCGAAAGCTCGAGTATTTATCTTGATGGCTTCAACATGGCTCAAGGGAAGCATGGTTACGATGGGGCCATTTGGGTTGGGTGAAGATGACGCTACAAACTCACTCGTCGTGCAAGACCAACTTGATGGCCCGGCATTGTGGTGGGACATTTGAGATTACGGGACGGTGCTTGTTTGTGCTGACTCGAGGCTGTAAAACGCAACGACAAGTCGACCATGGACGGTTCGTGTCGACTCTTGGCTCTCGTAGATTGTGACTACTGACGTATTCGGCGTGTGTTGACACCTGGGGACTTTACTACCCCAGTGTTACCCGCACTTTTGTTGTATATATGCGATGAAACGTTGAATGGCAACTTGCTAACCCGAGATGCAGTGGACCTGTCGATGATCCTGCGCAATCTGCCGCCACTCGGGTGTGTTTATCCGGCGGATGGACGGGATGCATGGTATCGTGGCTGGTTGTTGGTCCTTGCCGGGGGGTCGGGATCTCGCAAGGTTCTACGACACTTGCACACTGGACCCAGAAGAGAAACTGTGAAGTAATCGTGACCCGAATATAAGAACCGAGGGCACGTCGCCATGTTCCGAAGACGCAGAGTTGCCATCCATACTCACAGTATCTTCCGACAAGTGAGTGCTCACGCTTCAGACAACCAAGGCCATGACGGAAGCGACTTGCCTATTAGCCAGCGGATAATACCGGTGACTTGCAAGGCAAAGTGCCAGTCTTTTCTGAAACAGTTGGTCGATGGGACTGTACGGCGCCAAGGCTGGTGTGAATCTGTCACCTGCCAAATCGGGCCATGAGGCGGTCCCCTCGACGAGTCAAACAAATTTTGTCATGGAGACTCATTTTTGGTCAATCTCAACCGTGGATGATGGGCCGGCATGATGGTGCAAGGCATAATGACGGAGATAAACAACCTGTACTAGTATGCTTATCTGAGGAGGGCTGGTGGCCTCACTGGAGGAACAATATGCATAAAACAGGCAGGGATAACCTTGACTGTCATTGAAAGGGACGGAAAATAGTGTGGCGTATTTTTCAAATGCGTTTTGTTGTTCTCTTTTATTAATTAGGCTGGACGCATCAAGGACCAAGAAAACCGCTCGTGTGATGCAGGTGATTGAGTCAGGCTGCACCACTTATAGCCCTTGGGCGCAAAAAAGCACGAGGAGTGGCATGTCGACAAGACGGGCAGAAAAAGAAATCTACCTTTACACCGCCCATGATTGTCAAGAGACCGTTTGAAGACGCACATGCAGGTTGTTGGTTACCCTGTCCTGTCTGTAGATGTTGCTGCAACGTTGAGAGGTAGTCATGACAAGGCTTCAGGAAATGGCCAACCTAATCGCATTTTGTGTGTTTTTTTCGTTGGGAAATATTGAAACAAGGGGAATACTGAGAGCATTGGTCTTGATAAAAGATCGCGATGCAGGCATAAACGGACAAGGGTGCCTAAGAAGAGGCGGCCAGAAGCTGCTGGCGTGCAAAGACGGGAAGGAAAGAGGGCCATCCGAGTAAGGCCGAGACTTGAGGATAACTGTAGAACCATGTTTTGCACTCCTTAGAAAAAGGGATGTATACGACGTCTTTGAGAACACTAGTCAGTCTCACAGCGGCTATAGAAACAAAGATGTCGCCTTCCTTGTGAGTCCGCCGTACCACTGAAGCTGCCAACTCGTCGCCAAAATCCAGAAACCAAAACAGAACGTAACATATAAACAGGTTTGTCTCCACAAAGTACTTATGATGGACGTCAAGGAATAACGGTGCCATTTGCTAGGCAGTCCCGGCTCATCACGATGGTTCACCGCCGACGTGATGCCGGTACAGACTCAGAGCGTGAAGCGTGCAACCTTGATGCTGAAGAGTGACTTTGATTAGAAGATGGCTCGCCATTTGTGTCTCATTGCCAGTCAAGACATGCACGACCTGGGGGTCAAAGTCAGATAGCTCAGGAAGCGCACTCTGCTGTTCGTGGCTGTATGATACAGACCTCCGCGGCACTTTCAGAATATGGAAGACGGCCCCTCTAACAGTAACGCGAGAAGTGACGAGAATAGTATTGGACTCCACCGCGGAAGTTTGAGCATATACCCAAGTTTCTCCTCTGTGCGACTCAACATTCTCCTGTGTCTGACCCAACGTTGTCCTGGGTGCGACTCTGCTCGAGACTCTCAGAGGTACACAGGAGAAGCTGCAACGTAACACACTGTACGGATACTGACGGATCCCATGCAGTAGCTTCTGGGAAACCATGATTCGCCTCCGTCACGCAAGGAAGGCCGCGATACGCCGGGTGACACCGGACGCTCGGCGAGAACAAAGAGGCCTGTGCCCCTGGCTTCGCCCTGGTGCGATGAATATAAAGGCGCTCGAGAACCACCGTACAGTTGCCCCGTCGAGTCGGTCCATCGAGCACATACCTGGGCTGTCTAAATTGGAGGACCGGACATGTAGGAGGGAAATGTCCTTTATCCTGTCCGAAACGTGAAGAAGCAGGGATATATGGAAGATAAGAGGAGAGACTGCGAGAACCAAGGAAGATATAATAGTCCGGTTTGTGATACTGGCAGGGATGCTGCTGGAGGCTGTACTGCGCTTCATATTGTCTTGGTGATTTGTTGAGCTGACTGAATGGTGACTCGCTTTCTTTTCCACTCCTCAACGCACTACAGTTCTTCTACATCTCACGATAGTGCAAGCCATAATTCCAGCAACTTTGCGAGTGACATGTCCATTCATCAGGCGCTTGCTCACGAGATCTGACTTGAGCAATGTTATCGCTCCGTCTCTCTGCCCTATCTGGTGTTGCACCGACTGCATGCTCGCCTGCAGACCGACCACCGCTCCCGACCTGCCGTTTCACCACATATACGACTTTCCCATGTAAATGTTTGCTCTGTTCCCGTTGCAGATCTGTGCGAGGTCATCACGGGATCCTGAGCAACCTCGAGCCATGTATATAACCACCGCTTCACCGCGGCAGTCTCCCATTCACCCATCCTCCCCTCCCACATCACCCCCCTCCCCCCTCTTTGTAGAGAGAGCGCTGCCAGAATCCCACTACACACACACACCAAATCCGCAGTACCCGAAGCCTCTCTACAAGCCAAACATGAGACCCGCGGAAAAGACTTCATCGGCCTTGCCCGCCATCGCCCAGCGGTTTGTGCGCTGCTACTGGCAGCCCGCCCGGAGCCTCGCGCTCCTGCAACGACACCCGCGGCTGTGCGACCAGCAGACGCGGTCGCTGCTCGAGCGCGACGCCCACCGGCTGCTGCGCTGCCCAGAGGCGCACAGCCATGCCCGGGCGCTGAGCATCGTGTGCGCCGTGGCCCTCCTCGAGATGTGCGCCGGCCGCCCGCCGCGCGAGGTCCGGCGGCACCTCGCGGGCCTCACCGACAGCGGCGGAAAGACGTGTCAAGAGCACCGGATGCGCGCGCAGGCCATCCTCGCGCGGCTCCTGAGCGGGTGCGAGGCGGAGCGGCAGACCCGGCGCCGTGTCCGCGTCAAGTTTCGCCGCGGAGCCGTCGCGCTGAATTACGAGCAGCGCGACTTGGACCGCCGCCTCGAGACCATGTCCTTTGACGAGGCGAGCGAGACCCTGCGGAGGATGAGCCTCGAGGAGCGCGAGGCCGCGCTGGACCGCCTGACACAGGTACGTTTCTGGTTCCCGGCCGTGGATGAACACCTCTGTTCTGACTGTGATTGTGTGTGAGTTAGCCCGGTGGAGAATTCCGCATCATCCGGCAACGGTTAAACCCGGCAGCAGCGGTCAGGGAAGTTGTGGGAGGGATACAGGCACTGTATCTCTAGCAAGGGGCGGCGTGTAAGTGTTGGTCGGGCGGGGGCCTTGAAGGACGGCTGTGTTTCTCTTCATGTCTGTTTTTGCGGCCTTTGTGTATATTAACATGACCAGTGTGTGTTTGGTGTTCTCTTTGGCTGAATAGGAAATCGAAACATACTTTACCTTGCTCTGCACTACCTCTGTCGCATCCTTCCGTGATACAGCCCCTCACAGAAGAAACAATTTCAGTCAACAAGTAAGACGGCAAAAGCTCTCCGCTATCTTGCAGAATAGAACACTCAAAGGATTGCCACTCCTTGTACCTTCAGCATGACTTGTTTCCCCGTCAGGCTGCCACCTCATCACCGTACTCTGCGGTAGGCAACGCTGCCACCTCATCACCGTACTCTGCGGTAGGCAACGCTGCTGCCTTGGGCTCGCCATGGTAGGCCGTGCAACCTTGGAAAAAGTATATAAAGGGAAGACGAAAGACCGCAACAGACCATAGAGAGACTCATCTAACAACCCGGAAAAAAGCCTAGACTTGACCTTTGACACAGTCTTCTACCTCTCTGGTAAATCACCAAGTCCACAAAATGAAGGATGGCTACTGGAGCTCCTTTGGCGCGAACGGCGCAGCAGCCAAGGAATTCGCCGAGACATTCGACAACGTCCTCGGCAAGCTCGTCGGGCCCGAGACGTGCATCGCCCTGCTCAAAGACCACCCGACCCTGACCTCGGAGGAGACATGGAAGAAGCTGCTTCTCGATGCCCTGGAGAACCCGCTGCTCGGCCGCTACACCGACCAAGCGCTCGACCGTATCGTCGGCGCGGCCCTGCTGCTCTGCATGTGCGACGGCCGCAACGACGAGGCACGGCTCGGGCTGATGCGCGACCTCGTCGTCTGGCTGCACGGCGGGGCGCCCGCGAATATCGATCCGGTCAAGTGCTACTGGCAGCTGCGGAAGCGGACGGTCGAGCGTGTCTGGTACCTCCTATGCGGCGCGGAGATGGCGCAGTACCGCCTTCGAATTGGCCGCGGGGGTCCGAAGCAAGGCATGGAGGGGCTGGACCTGAGGGATACAGGCACGGTCTGCAGTACCGATATAGAGGGACGAAGAGAACCGATTCCTCTTCTTGGCCAGGTATGATGATGAGAGAGTCCGATCTACTGAGCTCCTTTGTTTCGCGCGCTAACTGATGTTGACGTAGCACGGTGTCGACGTTACCTTCACTCAGAGCTGGGATTCCAACTCAGTACGTAAGGAACAGCTCGTCAGCCTGAAGGAGCGATTCTTGTATCTTGACCTGAAAGTCTGGACGCTTGAAGGGGAAAGTCTGGACATTTGAAGGGGAAAGTCTGGACATTTGAAGGGGAAAGTCTGGACACTTAAAGGGGACATTCTAGATCTAGAGAAGTCGGGCTAGACTAAGCCGTCTTGGAGTTGAATGAGAAGAAAAATTTCAGTCATCTGCCAACCCCTGCATTGCAGCGTACCTCGGAAATATAGGCACAATCAAAATTATGTTGTAACACAGAGAAAGAAGAAATGTAACATGGAGAAGGAAGAACAAATTCCTGTACCTGTGAATAGCCGCCAAGCTGATGCCCAGCCACAGCTACACCAACTTGGGCGTAACTGCAGCTTCTCCAGCTCGCGAGGGCTTTAGGCGTAGCAGTGCTTTGAGTTTTCATGACTCACAGGATAGAAGAATGCAAAAAACTTTCTATCTAAGATAATTCCACGAAACCTTTCAGACAACTCTCAAGTATCTAGAAGCTAAGTGGTCACCGGATTTGCACAAAAGGTCTGCTCTTTGATGAGTCTAGGCGGAAAGCACTCGAGACATGCAGCATGTTGCGCAACCCGGGGAACAATACCGGCATGAGAAAAGTTGCTGCCTGGATCCAGTGAGACATTTTGGGTTTGGAGCGGCTGCACATGGTCATATCAGAGACAAAGAAAGGTATTTGTATGACGGACGGAGGAGGGACTCCGTGTAGCCCGTCGAACTGCCTGGGCGCCAAGCTGTTACCTAGTTGCACATGTGCGTAGTTATTGGGGGCTGATGCTGGGTCTCAGGGTTCATCACCGCGTCAGCTGGTGCCTTGGAACCGGATATAGATCAAGAGGGAGAGCACAAGAAGAGTATGCGGCCGTATCCATTGAAACCCGAAACTGTACTGAACGAAATCTTTTGTCCGCCCTACCTCTAATCAAGTGTTGCCACCCTCCCAAACTAGACATGATATCATACAGATACGTTCAAAGTGACACTAGCCTCGCGCCGCGCAATGCCAGACTGCTGCCTATATACATCCTTGAAACAAATCCCAGCAGATGGTATCATCTTGTGCTTTGACCCAACACACAGCACCCATATATTTCTTCTCGTTACTGCTTTCTTGGACAAAGCCCACCCCTCTACGACGTCAGTTCCGCCATACGCCTCTCCAGCTCCGGCACCTGTCGCAGCTTCACATCCAGCTCGTCCTTTTCGTCCTCGAGCTTCAGGCGCCTATCGGCGTCCAGTCGGGTGAAGACGTAGTGTCCCTGACCGTCAAACTGCAGGATGTGGGTGTGGTACTTCCACAAGCTGCGGCGGTGGCTGACGGTCATGAGCGTGATGCCGAGCGCCTTGGCGTGGTCGTACATGATCTTCTCCGTCTCGAGCGTGACGCTGCTCGTGCACTCGTCGAGGATGGCGTACTTGGGGCGGTGGTAGAAGAGACGCGCCATGGCGACGCGCTGCTGCAGCCCGCCCGAGAGCACGTCGCGCCACTCGGCCTCGGCGTCCCAGCCCTCGTCGTACAGGTCCACGAGGTGCGCCAGGTCCAGCGTCTGCAGGATGCCGAGCAGCTCCGCGTCCGTCGTCCCCCGCTGCCGCATCTGCCGCAGCGAGTCTGGGTAGATGATTTGCTGCCGGAGCGAGCCCCGCGACAGGTACGGCCGCTGCGGCAGGTAGAAGATGGACGAGAACGGCGGCTTGTACACGGTGCCGCCGTACACAGGCCACAGACCGCCGAGGATGCGGAAGAGAGAGGACTTGCCGCAGCCGTTGGGGCCGACGACGAGGAGGTGGTCGCCGTGCTTGATGGAAAAGGACAGCGCCTGGACGAGGACGTCGCCGTTGGGTGAGATGATGGGTCTGTGGACGTTAGTATTGGAAGAACAGAAAGTCAAGTAAGAAACGTACACGTCGATAAATGTGATGTCCTGGCTCTCGTGGATAGTGCCGCGACCCTTGAGGACAGCCTCATTATTCTCTGTCCCCGAAGACGACACTAGGTTCTTCTCAAAGTGACCCGACTGGATATCGTCCATGACGTTGAGCAGCAAGTCCACGCGCGACGTGTAGCCCGCCAGCTCCATAATCTCGCGGTACGAAAACATGACGCGGCCAAAGGCGTCCGAGGCGGAGAGCAGCATGCGGCGGTTGGTGACAAACGACTCGGTGCGGTCGCCCGTGTTCATGCCGGGCCGGGCGCCGGGCAGCTGGACAAAGACGGGGACGGAGCAGAGAACGAGCCCGAGGGCGCCCCAAAAGTACTTGATGACAAAGTCCTCCATGAAGCCGTGGTAGAAGCGCCGGCGCAAGATGTAGTTGACGTGCTTGATGAGCGTAAAGTAGCCCTTGTCGAGCGTGTCCTTTTCGGCCGTGTGGCCGTTGTAGAGCGCCACCTCCTCAGCGTAGTCGATGAGCCGCGAGTGCTGGAAGCGGAACTCGCCCTCGAGGCGCGCCTCGTCGGCCACGTACTTGCCAAACGGCGGCGTCAGGATGCGCATCACGTTGGCTGAGAGCTGCACGAGCAGCGACATGAAGACGACCCCCTCGCCGCCGACGCTCTTGGAGAGGGAGTAGGTGTAGATGGTCTGGATAGATTAGCAACAGCTTCAGAAAAGAGAGTGTTGTCGCTTCGAGAGGGAGCGTACCATGTCAAGTAGGGGCTTGGCCAGGTTGCTGTAGAGCTCGGCCAAGCTGTTGGAGAATTTGGACACGTCGACGGCAATGAGCTGGTCGGGGTTCTTTATCCGGTCGTCGAGAGCCGATATGCCGTAAAAGGTGAGGTTGGAGAGGTATTTGTCATGAATGTACTGAGTGAGTCGTGTTCTATAGTTGAGTGACAGCTCCGCTTGGTGATATGAAAGCTGACCGGAGTTAGTTGGGTGTCTCGTCTCCAATCAACCACTCCCAGCGACTCGACTCACCATGGAATTCGTAAAAGTGGCGGGCACCGCAATAATCATCCACCACACGATCCGCGACAAAAAGTCCTTGCCGTTGCCGCGCACAAGCGCCTTGACAATCGCGCCGTCCATCTCGGCCACCTTGAGGCTGATGACGGTGCGCAGCACCAGAAAGAAGCTGTGGCTGATGAGCAGGCGCGCTTCCTTGCTGCGCCAGCCCGGCACGACAATGCGGATCAGGCGCATGAGCGAGCGGAAAAAGGCGCGGTCGAGCGCAACCTTTTTCCGCGGCGCATCCGGCCCGCCGCCGTCCTCACCGGGCAGGGCGGCGACGGTGGCGCGGCGCGCGGCGCGCTGGGTCGCCTCGCGGGCCGAGGCCGCCTTTTGCTCGGCAATGGCGTTGTGGATGCGGTGGAGGAGGGCGACGAAGAGCGTGATCCAGACGGCGCGCGAGATGCGCGAGCGGTTGGCCACGTACAGCTGAACGAGCTGCGCGGCGAGGGCGCGCACATTGACGCCGTGGAGGCTGCCCGGGAGGGCAAACTTGGACTGCGTAGCCATGGCGCAGAGCCGTGTCCGGGGGAAGGGCAAAGACGCAGAAGCTGGTCGAGGCCGAAGTCGTCGACTGTGATGGGTTGATGCCTTGATGGTGCGGAAAGGAAGAACTAAGTAAATAGGTAGCGTTCGTTACGACACTCCAACTACCCCAGGTGGAGTTTTGCCCTTCGATGGGGCCTCGGCCGATCTATACGAAGCAGGATAGAAAGACAGAGAGGACGGTAGGTGCAATTGATAAATGGAAAACAAAGATACCTCTCCAAGTCTATGAAAGCGATGATGGAGCGAAAAGAGAAGAAAATAAGAAACAGATCACGAGGGAGTGCTGACGATAGAATGCATGTGGTTGGGTCCCTCGGCCTGTTTGAGAAACTGGGGAAGATTAGTGCTTGTCAAAACGGCTGCGCCACAGGTTTGTCACAACCAGCATGTGATTTTGAGTTTTCAGCCACACACGCCAACATACAACATGAGGGCGGAATCAATTCATCAAGAACAAACTGCACTTTGTGGACAAGAAAAATACGGATTTGAGCCAATTCGTGTCAACGTGGATGGAAATGGAAAGGCCAGCTAATGTAAAACGCTGTTGTGTTTGTTTGCTCAAAGGCAGAAAAACATCGGATGAAGCGCCAACGCAGCACCATGAGGCTGTGCTTGCCAATGTATATTCAACGGGCTCCATGTCACTTCTATTTCCCTCGCTCCACTCGCTCGCATGTATCCTTGATCCGAAATGCTATTGCGCAAGGGGCTTGTGGATGAACTCGTCGAGCTCCTTGTAGGCCGTCTCGAGGTCGTCGTTGACGATGATGAGGTCGTGGACGCCGGGGGTCTGAGAGTACTCGAGCTCCTTGTTGGCCTGCACGAGGCGCTTCTGGACGTTGGCCTCGGTCTCGGTGCCGCGACCGCGCAGGCGCTTCTCAAGCTGCTCGAGGGACGGCGGCGCAATGAAGACGTAGCGGGCGGCGATGCTCGAGTTTTTGATCTGCTTGACGCCCTAGACGACTGTTAGCTAACCCTGTTCCCCAGCCGACATGTTTTCTGCGACCGCCATGACAGCAAAAGAAGAAGGATAAAAAAAACGAGGCAATGGCAAGTCTGGAGGGGACCACACACCTCCATCTCAATATCGAGGAGCACGATGCGGCCCTTTTTCGTCTGCTCCTCGATCGTCCTCTTGCTGGTGCCGTAGCGGTTGCCGCTAAACTCGGCGTGCTCGACGAAGCCGTCCTGGGCAATGAGGTCCTCAAATTCGGCCATCGGGACAAAGTGGTACTGCTTGCCGTCTTCCTCGCCCGGCCGCGCGGCGCGGGTCGTGTGCGAGACGGACAAGCAAAAGGCGTCGGGGTGGCGCTCAAAGAGGAGGTTGAACAGCGTGCCCTTGCCGACGCCCGAGGGGCCGGAGACGACGACAGGACGGCGATCTATTTTCGGGGGGTGGTTTCATGGTTCAGGTTAGCGGCGTAACTCCCAGAAAAACAGAAAGCTGATCGTCGGCCGGTGGACGGTGGGCAGTGACGAGAAGTGTGTGTTGTGTGTGTGCCTGGTTTAGGGGGCAAAGGACGGTGGGGTGGTGCGTGGGAAACAAGATGGAACAACCGTACCAGTGGCCATGGTAGATGTGCTGCGGAAAAGAGAAAAACGGGAAAAAGAAACGGTGGCAACGGATCGAGTCAAGGAATGGGCAAGCGAGCGCGCCGGCATGGAAGTTATGCGAAACCAACCCAACAAGAAAGGTATATATATTGGGGAGCAGGATAAGATCGACTTTTGGAGGGGCGCGGCTTAAGCTTCTGGGGGACGGCTTTTGCAGGCTACTTCTTCAGTGGAGTCGGCTCATCCCCGGAGACGGCGCAAAAAGTTGGTGGCGATTAAACGTTCGCGATGAATGTCATTTTTACCCCTCCAACTATTTTCCCCTAATTTCTTTTACTCGTTTTTTTTAAAGAGAGAGAGCGAGTATACTCACAGAGTGAGAAAGTCGCCGCAATGTCCGACGACGACGACAATCTGTCCATCTACGACGAGATTGAGATTGAGGACATGACATTCGACGACGCCCTGCAGACGTACTTTTACCCGTGCCCATGCGGCGACCGCTTCCAGATTGCGCTCGACGACTTGCGCGACGAGCAAGACGTAGCTGTGTGTCCGAGCTGCAGCCTCATGATTCGCGTCATCTTTGACCTGGTAAGTTTTTCTTTTTATTCTCGCCGTCCTTCTCTCTTCTTTCCTCTTGTCTTTTCTTTTTTTTTTTGGAGGGGTCGGGTTGCTCATATTTGCGAAACAGGACGATTTGCCCAAGCCGCCGCCCGGACCTGCGAACCCGATTCCTATCGCTGCGTAAAAAAGTTCACGGGCCACCCGAGACACAAAGGAAGAAAAAGGACAGGAACGGTGGTGTTTACAGAAATCGCTGCTCGTCGATACCGCGGCAGGCTCATGGCCTCGGCGGCCGGGCAGTGACTCATTGGTTCGAGGCTTTGGTCGCAAGGGACAAAACTGGCTGGTATACGATGGATCACGAATGACACGAGGTTACGACGGCGAGGTGCAGGACGGAACAAACAGTTTTGAATAACACACCAGAGCGGAGCGAGAGAACTGCTTAGTCTGGGCGTATCTTTTGGTGTACATACGGCTGATGAGGGGTGTTTTTTCGAGAAGATCATTGCCCTGTGGCAACACGGGCTCATTGCATTGGCGTTGGGATACCAAAAACACTTGGGGGTTCGGTTTATTTCTATTCGCTTATTCTTATTTTTATTCTTATTCAAATGTTCGTCACGTTCCAAGACTTTTACACTAGGCTAACTACAGGTCCCGTTTAAAAATACATTTACATCGCAGTGTTTTTGTAGCTTTTGTATTTTACCTGACGTTGACAAATAAATGCCAAAGTTTCTTTGATTATGGCGACACCACGGCGTCGTCAAATCTATCTATCCTAGGAACACAACTATCAACACAAGACACTTTCTGTCAGTCCGACACCCCGGCTTTCACAAGTCGATTGTAAAAATATCCTCTGTTGACACAAGCCATTAAGATATTATGGTAAATTTGTAACTTTGAATCAGCCTCATCCCCCCCCCATCCTAGTTGCGTGTAGATGTGTGTACGCGGAAATGTGCGCACATCGATAAGCAGCAAATCTAAATGCGAGTGGTGTATCGTGTTTATATCGCGTCGAAAAAAAAAGTAGAAGAAAAACAGTCTCAAGAGACTGAAGATAGCAAAGCTTGGTGGTATCTCCAAACGCCGGCGTCCTGCCGGGGACGAGGAATGCATCCGAAAAAGGTAGGCAACGCCTGTGGAAACAAAGATGAAATATAGAATAAAAAGGGTAAACGCGAGCGCCAAATGTCGTGTATAGTCGAAAGGTCGATGTCCATTATATATACTGGTCGGTTTGTACGCCCGTAGAGACGGGGTCATTATTCGTAGGTTTTTGTGTGTTGATAAAAGTAGTAGGCAGCAGGACCAGGCGCCAAACGTCTCATGGCCGGCCATGAGTCTCGAGCGGTAGAGGGAGCAACTAGAGCAGCATGAGGCTCATGATGCAAAAGCCCAAGAGACCGGCCATGGAGCCCTGCATCTTGGGCAGAATGGCACCGCCAGTAGCATCTGCGGGTTTTGTGCTGGTAGCATTGGTGTGCGCGATGGCATCGGAGGTGGCTGTTGATTGCGCTGGAGAACTGTTAGCGTCGTGTGTTGGTTAAGCAGTTTGGGGCCATGGACATACCTGCGGTGTGAGTCGATGTGTGGTTAGCTAGGCCGGGTGTCGTTTGGAGCGAATGCGACGAGGCGACGACGGTGGCATTACTCGTAGAGACGGACTCGGAAGTGGCATGAAGACCAACAGCGGTAACGACGGGCAGCGAAGACGGTGACGAGGCGAGGTCGACGGAAGTAGGGGGGGCGCCGTCCGCAGAGTAGGGGATGCCGGCGCTAGCGGCAACGGCCAGGCTGGCAGTGACGTAAAGTTGCGAGACACGCATGGCGGAGGTTGTGACTGTGTGTAGGTTGAGAGCGAGCGAAGGCGAGCGAAGGCGAGCAAAAGCTGCAAGGCTGACTGAAGCCGATATGCAAAGTGCAGAACGAATGAATTGCACTGGCACCCCACAGGTCTTGGCAGCGGACAGGATCTCGACTAGGCGGTCCGGGGTTCTTCGAGGCGGCAAAGGGAAAGCTTGGCCGTAGTCGTTTGAAGGCGAGGTTTTGGTTCGACGGGTGGTGGACAGAGCAGCTAGCTGTGTTTGCCGAAATCCGTCATCAGCGTGGTGTAAGCTGTTTGGTGAAGCTGTCGGGAAGAGGCGTGTGTTGAGAGGAGCTGAGCGAAAGTGGAAGGGAGAAGAAAAAAGAATGGAGGAAGACTGGGGATCGCAAAGTCAAAAGAGAGATGGGAGAGCGAGGGTGGTGGTGGTAAAGAGAGTTGAAAGAAAGAGTTGGGAGGAAGCTTAAGGTAGCGAACCAGCGCCACGGGGGGCGTATCCTGGTGAGGACTCTGAGGAGTGGATGTGGATTTTGGTGGATGTCGCCGCAGCAGGGGTAGTGTGGCGCGGCCAGGATATTTTGGTATGACAACTTTGACAAGAACAAGGGATAAAAGCGAAAATTGGTGCAATTGAGGGATGAGAAGAGGAGGTTTTCCAAGTTTGTTACTTGAGAGGACACGCTGTAGTAGCGGAGGTACATAGAGCAGCATACTGGTAAAGGATAAGGGCATAAAGGATGATGCTCCTGCAGCTCTGTTTGCAGCTTGCAGGTACGTACCCTCCTTCGTATCTACCTTTTTTTCTCTTTCCATTTTTTTCTTACTAGCTCGCTTCGGCCGAAAAGGTATCTTCTCGGTGGTATTCACGCCACAAAGATACTTGTTATCCACTAGCTAGCCTTTCTGATCATTAGGGGCTTGAGACAGAACAGGGAAACGTCGCAATCTGGTGGAGAATTATAAATTTCTTTTTTTTTGTTTTGTCCAAACAGGCAAGGCGTCGGCAGCCCCTTGATGAAAAAGGAGCCGTGGGCTTATCAGAGGATGGTCTTATCGCACGTCGCAATTGCAAATTGCAGCATTGTCCCGTAACCACGCGAGAATAAGCTGCCTAAGGCGTGGACTAGTAGTACATGGGATGGCGACGGCCAATCAACGTTTTGTTGAATTGTCGTTTTGTTTTTCTGCGCCATTGACTTTGTCTGCCTTTGGTCCAGCAGTGCTGCGGCAACTAGGGACCACCTCCACCACTAACTAGGTACCTAGGTGGAGGTAGCTTTTATTGCCTTCGGTGCCCACCGGTTGGGGGGTCGTTAAGCGATGATCCAATGTCGAGGCGGGCTATTGTAATAATAGCTATTCCGTATACAGATTGCCAGGACGGTCGCAATCTATGGGCTGGGGTTATGAAAGACTGCGCATCGCGTTGAAACGGCCACTGTGGCTCAAATCCCTCAAAAACACACAAGGCGTCAAAACCACGTGTCTTGAATTGAAACAGACATCTTTGTCAGTTGTCATACAAAATGCCCTCGAGAACAACCCCTCTATGCGAATACTCTGTACACACCAACTTTTAGCTTCAAGACTCGTCTCGAAACCTCAACGGTGAATCGGTCTTGGCACCAAAAAAAGCTTGGCCCCCACCATCGATCATGGCCAACCTTATCCTTTAACGAATAATAATAATAATAATAATAATACAGTTCTACTGTTCGTGTATCATCAAACGCGCATCTCCACGCTCTGCGACTTCCACTGCACTGAACACCATCCCTGCCGCGTCATGGCCCCCAACCCTGGCAAACCGACGCAGAGCCTCAAGCCACTCGGTATTAACTCCCATGCCCATTCCGCCCCGGCGGCGTTTCCTTCAAGAAAGTCGGACACTGCATGTTAGGGAGTAGATACAATTTTCGTCAGACCCATATTCCCTACTACTGCTCATCCGAGAAATGCCCCGACTCTAGTTAGCAAACCAGGAACTCGTGGCTTCGGAATACACAACCTAGATGGCCAGCCATATTCCAGGCATAGCCTGTCGCATCCTGCTTTGGAGATCGGCATCTCGGAGCGACTCATTCGTACATGGGTACTTTGCATATGACTGATCCTCTGTTACTATGTTGATCATCAGGTCACTTTTGGCAGCGTCATTGGTTTTCACCAGCCCATTCTTTGTTTATCAACTATGTAATAGTACTAGTTGGCCAATGTCGGGAACCAGAGGAAATGGCACGTTGCATCAACAAAAATGGACGAAGAAAAAAATGGCCCTATTGAGAATGTCTCACCGCGCAGCTCAACGCCCGCTCAAAATGCCGCTTCTCACCAAGACGTCTTTCTTTGTTCTTCTCTTTCACGCTCAATATCAACAAGTAGCCACAATGCACGCGGGTGGCGTGGCCTCACAACATGCAGGATGATGCAGCCCGACGGCTCCAAATACGAGGTCCTCAGCCTCGTCCATGCCATTGGCACCAATGCGCGACCATGGCTACCAAAACCTCACCACCACAACGAGTCGTGACTCAGTGGATCGAGCATCTAAAAATGGCAGCAGGCTAACAGTCAGCAAGTTCATCAATGCCATTCATTCTTACGTGGCATGACACCGCCTGATTCATCCCACCTCGATTCTACGCTGCAGGATCTCTCGCAAAGAACAACTGCCACGTATGAAGGAAGAGCCGGGACGTTTCTTTTTTTTTTCTGCGACACGCTGCCACAATCAACGCCCAAAAGAACATCGAACCCCAAGCAACCTGGCAACTAATAATATGGTTTGGTATAACAGAACCAACAGGCATGTCCAGGCTCCTCCATTCGCTCGCCGATAGCAGCAAATATAACCCGTTCATCCCAGTTATTGACAAGTTTGCCCCCCCCCCCCAAAAAAGAAAGGCGCGCTCTTTTTAGTGGTTATTATGTACCTTTTTACCCAGCACACGACCGCCATTGTTGTCGAAGCCACACCCGCATGCCCCCGGTTTATTCATAGTTTCATGCATAATATAATAATGAAACATCTCTCTTCCGTAGACACGTGCGAGGTTTACTGGACGACTTGCTCTGAGCAGACAGGTATCTGCCCTCCCACATCAGCGGCGTCGCTCTTGACGTCACAGCTATGTACGTCCAGAGGCTGCGCATCTTGTCGTATCTTGACTTGTAAACGCCATCGCTCGAGAATGCATTGTACATCCCTGTGCAATTGCCGACGAGCAGATTGTAATCCCAAACAGAAAAACCACTCTGTCAACCCCACGTGGGTGAACTAATGGCCCTCATCTCCGCCCCATGCTTCTTTCCCACCAGCCCACCCCTGTTCATTGTAATTTGAAGCCCAGTCGCAAATTTCCTTTTTGACCCGCATCCTGACAATTTAAGAAGAACATCGAACCCCCGTTCATCGTAACCTCTCCACCTCCCGGCTTGGCATCCGCGTCGGTGCTTGACTGCCGACATGGCGACAACCGTCGATAAGTTTCACGTCAGCCCTGCAATCGATGCAGTGCAGTCAATAGTTACAGCTCAATCCAGACACTCCTCAGACTGTCCTCAATTACTTCGCCTCACAGTAAATAGCCCATTGCTTCATGAATCGTCACATGCATTCTTCATTGAAATCTCTCATGTAGTCTATACAGATCACTACAGACTCTCGGTGTCCACATGGCAAAATCTCCGTCCTATGTAGCGAAACCTCATCCTGTCTCCTTCACGTCTAAGCCTCGATATTCTCAAACACAAACGTAGGGTTCCCAGGCACCGCATTCTCGGCGAGCACATTGTTAATGTCCACCGTCTTGCCGTCCAGGAGACTCGTCCCCTTCTTGCCGCCCTCCTCCACCGCCAGAAGCTCGATGCCCGCCAGCCCCGCGCCGCGCTTCAAGCTCGGCACCATCTGTAGAAGCGTCTGCTTCTCGTCAAACGCCAACTTCTGCTCCAGCACCACCGACACCGGCTCGCCCATTGTCAGGCGGCGCTTCAGCCCCTGCACAAACGGCATCGCCTTCTTCATCTCGCCCATCTTGCCAATCTTGCCGTTAAGCTCCTTGTCGTTGGTCGACTTTGTCGAAGGATCCCACATCTCCTGGAGGAGCGTCAGGTACTTTGCCTGCCACGCCGGAAACGTCGCCGAAAGGTAAATCGTCAGCTTCTTGGGCTTCTTGGGGTCAAACGCCGTTTCCTTGCCCTTGAGCTTCTTCTTCAGCTGCTGGCCCTCAGCAGAGTTGATGTTGGATGCCGTGTTGCGCACGTAGTCGCGTTTAGCCGACAGCGCCGAGTCGACCTCGTCCATTTTAGGGAACGTCGCGTGCTGGATCGACTTGTCCTTCTTGAGCACCTCGAGCCAGATGTACTCGGCCCAGTGAGGCGCCACAACGGCAAGAAGGAGTGCCTGTACCTCAATATACCGCAACACCGTCTCCTTGTGCATCTTGATGTTGGCAGCCGTGCAGGCCTCACGGTAAAAGTCTCGGGCCGTAATCAACTCGTACAGACCAGCCTTGAGCGCAAGCTTGAAGTTGGTCTCCTTGTACTGCTCAACCGACTCGCGTGCGAGACCGTTCATGTCGTTGATGAAGAGTGCATCCTGGAAGTCGTTGATGGCACCCTCACGGAGGCCAGCCTCGGGGTTGCTCATCTCCTCGCACCACTCGCGCAGGTTATATAGACGTAGAATGTTGTTGTCTGCGACGTCTTCCTCTAAATTGCAGTCACCAATACCATCACCAGCGTCAGCCATGGCAATACGAGACGCGTCACTACCATACTTGGCCACAAGCTCCTGGAGGGTCAGGAAATTGCCCGTACTCTTGGACATCTTTTCGCCGTTGAGGGTCAAGTGGCCATTGACACGGATACCACGAGGCCAATACTCCCTAGGGAACATGGCCAAGTGGACGTAGAGGAAAAAGGTCAAGTGGTTGGGTAGGAGATCCTTGCCAGACACACGCATATCGACAGGGTAAAAGTATTCAAACTCACGACGCATGCTCTCAAGGTTTTCGCGTGAAATATTAGACTCCTTGAGAACAGACTCGTCAAAGTCGCGGCGGCAAAAAATGTAGTCCCAAACATTGTCCGTCATCTGGTGTGCCGAAATGTTAAACTTGCCAGGCTTGGTACCAAACAGATCGCTATGCAAAAAGTGGGCAACAGTATAGTACGACATGTAAATGGTCGAGTCACTCAGACTCTCGACAATAAATTGAGGATCCCAGGGCAGCTTCGTGCCGAGGCCGAATGAGCGAGCGCAAGCCCACTGGTTGAGCCAGTTGAGAACACCCTCGAGGGCGTTCTTGGTATCGGCTGAGAAGGAGTCCAGGCCGTTGTCCACCCACTCGAGGGCGGTCTTCTTCCACTCCTCCTCGCCGTAGTCTAGGTACCACTGATCCATTAGAGACACAATGCAGTCGTCCCCAGATCGAGAGATAACCTTGCGCTCGGGCTCAGAGTAGGCAAAGGCCTGGCCGGCAGCCATCATGTCGGCGCGAACCTTGGGCTTGGCGACTTCGACCTTTTCGCCCTTGTACGCGCCGACCTTGAGGATGCCCTGGTAGAATCCCTCCTTGTAGGCAAGCTCCTTGGCTTCCTCGAGCTGCTTGGTGTCCTTGGGAGAAGCAATCTTGAGCTTCTTGACGAGGAAGGGAGCGCACAGGTCGCCGTAGGAGGGGGTCTCGATGATGGGGAAGATTTCGAGCTCGGCCCACTCCTTCTGGATACCGTAGTATTCGGACTTCTTGGCCAGGTCTGTGACCGTGGCAAAGTCGTCGGGGCTATCCGACGGGACAGAGGTGACGACGCCGGTACCTTTGGTAGGGAGAACAGTGTCCATGGGAAGGACGCGGACGCCATCCTTGTGAAGGGAGAGAGGAGCATCCACGAGGGTACCAACAATATCAGCTCCGACAATGTCCATGGCCTTCTCAATGACACCTTCTTGCGCAAAGACACCCTGGTAAGCCATGTTGCGGGCAGCACGCTCGGTGATCAAGAAGTAGTCGGTCTCGTTGACCTTGTAGATGCCATACTGGATTTTGGGGCCGACGAAGCAGCACGTCTGGCCGTACATGGTCTCGGGTCGCAATGTGGCGGGTACGAGGAAGACGTTGGCGCCGGCAGGCAGGCCAGCCTTGACCTGCTCGCCCGCCTTTTCAGACCATTGCAGGACCTTGAGCTTCAGGGCGGTGTACTCTTGGGGGTTGACAGCCTCGCCCTCGGAGCGGTCGTGATCCATGCAGGGCTGGCGGTCCTTGATGGAGTAAATGGTATAGCGCTTTCCAAACTTGATCTTCTTGAGCTCGCGGAGGCGGTTCATCTGCCAGCGGACAAAGGCGTCGTAGTAGGGGTTGGCGTCGGTGGTGACAAACGTCCGGCGCCAGTCGATGCGGCAGCCAAAGTCGGTCAGGTCGCGGATGGTGAGCGGCGGAAAGTACTGGAGCCAGTGTTGCGAGTCCGCAAATTTGTGAATGTCCTCGACTGGCACACCAATCGACTTCATGATCTGGAACTGGTACTTGGCCTTGATTGTCTTGGCGTTGGCCTTGCCCTTGGTTGCTTTGAACTTGGTCGGGTCCTCCTTGATCTGCTTGGCGGCAGGCTTGGGCGCCTCCTCGACCACCTCCTCGTCAGGGTTGTAGCCGGCAAAGTCGCTACCAAAGAGTTCAATCTCCTTGACAAGCTTGTCGGCGCACGCCTTGATGGGCATGCCGGTGCAGTGGAAGCCCATGGGGAACAGGGCGCGCTTGCCCTGCATGCGGGCTACGCCGGCCGAGAACTCGACCTTGGACACAGTCAGGGCGTGGCCCGCGTGCATGGTGCCGTTCATGTAGGGGTAGGCTGACGTGCCAAAGAACTTGGGGTGTTTTTCTCGCAGCTCGCTCGCGGAAATAGAATGGAGGGGAACCTCCTCGATTGTCGGCGCATCAGTGTGGAAGACGCCGTCCTCGGCCCATTTCTTCTGGTACTTCTTCTCGACGGCGATTAACGAATCTCGCTTCTCGGTCTGCGGGGCATGTTAGTAAATTGGCGTGTTGAGGGATCGTTTCTTCTTCGTATACTTACACCTTTCAGCTCCTTTGTCTTGGAAATGGCAAGACCATCCATGGCCTTGGTAGTGTCGGCCATGATTGCGAGTATGTGTTAGATGCCAAAAGGGAACAACAACTTTTAACAACTGCCGAACCAGAGAAGTGCGAAACAGCAGCTCCCGGCGCCAAATGTATGCGTATTCTCAATACTGTCTCTTGTGACTCGCTCCTTCAGCAACGCTACACAGTGCCTTGCCAAATTAGAGTGCGGGTGCGAGACTCCTTTGGAAAATGTGACTCAACAAGGTGGGATGCTGTCCTCAAATTTGGAGGGGTGAAAACCGAAATCGCGGGGCAAACCCGCCCAGGGCACACTGGTGGCTGAAATGCTCTGTGGCGGTGCCGTTTGTGTGGCGCAACTGTTTGGGCGGCTTTGTGGAGCAAGCTACATCATCCGAAGAAACGACATCATCGCTCGATTTGCAAGATTTCCATCGCAGCACAATTGACAGATTTGACTGCCGATATCCAAAATGTTCCCAACGCTAATACGGCGCATGGCGCAGCCGGCCAAGGAAGCGGCCATCAAGTCGGCGCAGGCCACCAACTTCCGCCAGACCAAAAAAGTCTGGCCTCCCAACTTCAAGGAGCTGAGCCACCAGCAGCAGCTGCGCTTTGAGAAGAAGTACAAGCGTCGCATGATGCTGGCCAACCGCTCGCCGCGGTGGGATAAGGGCGTCAAGTACGCGCAGCTTGCAACCATTGCAGGTGAGTTTGCACCGTGGCATGTAGCCTCCCATGACATGCGCTTGGCTGACTCTTCTTGCTTCATATAGCTGCTTTGGTGTGGCTTCTGTTCTACTCCGAGTTTGAGTGGTGGGGTCAAAAGTATAAGCCGTCTGAAGAGGTATGTATCTCCGAGACTTTTCCTGGTAGTACGGGACGTTGCTGACTTGATAGATTCGTCGGCGTGCGCAATATCTGTTTGGCGTCATGGACCCGGACAAGCGCTACGAGCGTCGCAAAGACATGGTTGAGCCGGCCAGCGTTGGCGACAGCAAAGAGTCGCCCTCAAAATAACTTGTACGATCTACCGACGAAGCATCTTGTACTATTTTATTGTATATACCCTGTCAAATCCATCATGACCAAAATTTTTATTTTATACATGTATCCCCGGTAGGGAAAAAAAGTGCCGTTGTAGTCTCATAAGGTGCTTTTGTTTTCGCCCACCACTCATTACCGGCCAGCCCATCCAAAGTTGCCGCCCATGCCAATACTCAGTCCCGAACCGATCCCCGTGCCGCGTCCCTCATTCACCGGCCTCTTGGCCACGGTGCCCTGCGCGCGGACGCCCGCGACGATGCGGTCCAGGCTCGTCTCGATGACGACGCCACCGATAATCATCTCCGACAGCGCCGCGTGCAGCGTCTCAAAGTTGAAGATGAGGTCGAGCTCGCACACATTCTCAAACAGCTTGTCGAGCGCCTCGACGTACACCTGAATCAGGTCGATAAGCGCCAGTGGCGACTCGGTCGACGTCGAGATGACGATGAAGTAGAGCGTTGCGTAGTTGCGGTAGGTGACGAGGGACGGCACGTCGTTTTGCTCGGCGCCGCCGTGTTGGGCCGTGCCTGACGCGGCGAGCAGCGGCGGGAGGGGCAGGAAGTTGCAGGAGCTCGCGGGTCGGTTCGACACGAGGGTGAAGATTTCGGAAATGAGGCGCTGCTGGATGCTCGTGTCCTGGTCCGATGGGCGGTTAGCGAATTGATCCTCGGGGTTGTCTTTGCGCATCAATTTATTTGCGCGACGTGGGTGCTCACCAGCTGTGTGTAGAATTTGGTCAGCCGAGGCTGTCCCTGGCCGTTAAAGACCAAAAACGCATTAATCATGGTGCAGGGTCCTCATGTTCATGTGTCCGCAACGGCTTCCGAAGCTCAGAGTCTAGTCGTGGTGGGGAGAAAGAGCATGAGCTGCCGAGACCCGCACATGACGAGCTGCAACCAGCTGCCAATATGCGGTCCGCAATTGGCCATTACCAACCTGCATAACTTCGCATCCTTTTTCTTTTTTTTTTCCTCAAGCGAGAAAACACGCAATCCCTATTCTCGTGATACCTATGCAGTGAGACAGCAAACAAGCTCAATTTCCACCTCAAGGATCTGATTGATCTTTGTCCTCTTTGTCCAAGAGCACCCGCCATCGCATCTCTCCCACTCCGCCCGAACCTAGAACCGCCGTCATGTCTCGAACCAGCCTCGTCTACGTATCAAGGCTCGCCTCACGAGCTCTTAGTAGGGCCGCTACGCCCCGTGCCGCCCTGCGCCGTCTCCCGGTTCTCTCTCACAGCGCAGCGTCCGCCGCGGCGCCGCAGCGGTGCTTGTCCTCGTCTGCGCCGCTTCGCAAAGGCATCATGCCCGACACGGCGTCGCCGGCCAAGGAGCCGCTGCCGTCGTCGCCCGATCTGACCTACGGCGCCATCGAACTCTCCGAATCTGAATATCACGACATTGCCGACGAGTTTCTCGAGGGCGTCCTCACACAGTTTGAGGCGCTCCAAGACACGCGAGAAGACATTGACATTGAGTTCTCCGTTTGTTCCTCCACCCTCGACCCATCCTTCCATCGCTAACGAGTTGATAGGCTGGCGTCATGACCATTACACACACGGACAAGGGCACGTACGTCATCAACAAACAGCCCCCCAACAAGCAGATATGGCTGTCGTCGCCCCTCTCCGGGCCGAAGCGCTACGACTGGTGCGTCGTCGGCGAGGGTCAGGCCGACAAAGCGGGCACCGGCCAGGGCGGCTGGATCTACGGCCGCGACGGTAGCAGCCTCAATGCGCTCATCCTCGACGAGCTGGGCGTGGACGTGTCGACGCCGGCGGCGAGCTAGGAGGCATCGCCCTGCGAGTCGGACCGCCGGTCCAGATCAAAAAGAAGAGCATAAAGAGAGGGAAAGAGAGAGAGAAAGAGATCTCTTTCTATGTAATAGTGTAGCTGAGCAACATGCGCAAAGTGTATTATAGTGGTATTTTCCCCAACAGCTCAAAGGAATTCATGCAGAATTGCTTCCTCCTGTTTATCTGTATAGTACAATATTTTTCATATGCAAGGCCTTGATTGCGGCCGTTTTGCATCCCAAATAGCAATCCTATCCGAAACGCCGATATATGGTACAAGTCCAAGCATGCTGTCCTCTCGTCATCGCAGACACAGCCCCATGGATTTATTCAGCATTGCCACAGTCGCATCGTAGTGCTGAAACGCATGTTCGTACCGATCCGTCTCATCCGGCCTAGATCGTCACCATCAGCGTTAGACTCCATTGCCTCTCCTACCCCCAACCCCTTCTCCGCAGCTACAATTTCTCTACTCACGGCTTCTTGCCCCAAAACAGCGCCCTGCGCCAGCGTCTAGTCGGCGCCGCCCGCTCGCTGTGCATGCGCACCAGGTTCCGCAGGATGCGGTGCTCCAGGCCCTTTTCCCGGCCCGCGGCCGACAGGAACCAGAGCGTTCGCTTGATTGCGCTGGCATCCCAGGTGGTGGCCGCCGGGTCGACGTCGCCCTGGCGAAAGGCGAGCCGGATCTGGTCGCGCACAATGTAGCGCGCGGGGATGGAGTACTGCACTCCGCGCAGAAGACCCTTGTACAGGTGCCGGTACGCGTGCAAGACCTCTTGGCGGCTGGCCATGGTCGGTTTGTCGAGGGTGTTAAAAGGGTAGGGTTGGGACGGTTGCGGAAACTTGGGCGCGCTCGTGGTCGACATTGTGGGGAACCGGTCAAGTTCAAGGGACCAAGTTGACATCACTTCGATCAACGAGTGTAGAAAGATACCGTGACAAATTACACTCAAATAAAACACGATCTCCAATCGAGGCCATTTTAAACTTCATATCCCAGAGCTATTCCACAGCAATGGGGCAAGTCGAAAGACCAAGTGGCCCCTGCTGTGGTGGTAGCGTACAGCTAGTTACTTGAACAAGCAAGGCTACGCTCTCTGGTGCTGTCCGCGACGCCGGCTCGCAACGCCTCGTCTATATGCATCCTCTATTACTCAAATCCAAGCTCAAATAACTACGTCCCTCTACCTTCGGTTTCCGCTACCGCTTCTGGCTCTATCATCTTGCTGGCCAATCGGCGCATAACGACCTTGGGTGCTGAGGCCACTGCGGCCGCTGCGACCGCTGCCTCGGCTATCAGAACGGCCCCTTACCACTCTATTGAGCCAAGCGCCGACACTGCGGTCTTCGCCACCGCTGGTCTGGATCTGTGATTTTCTGTCGTCGTCATCCTCGTCAATGGGGAGGCCAGCTCCGCCAATAGGAGAGCCGGCGCGCATGAGAGAGGCCGATTCGTCTTGGATAGAAGGGGCTCCGTGGACGGTACTAGCATCCCCAAATATAGAGTCCATTTCTTCAAGACGAACACCACAAGTCTCGGGGTACGTAAAGTAAACTGTGATGGTCAATGTTGGTCTCGGGACAAGGGCGTCGGGTACTAACCAATAACAAAACTCACCACGCAAAAGAATGCGTGGATGAGATACAGGCGCCACTTGATCCATTCTTGCAGGATAGGCGTCATTTCACCTACCAGCCAGTTGAATGCCCAGTTGGTGGCGGTGGATAGACTAGCGCCCTTGGATCGAATGCTGAGCGGAAGGATCTCAGGGGGGTACAGCCAGGGAATAGGGCCCCATGAGTAACCGAAAGCGGCATTGTAGATCATGACGAATAAGACAACCATCTGAGGAGTGCGCTTGACGTCCAAGTAAATAAAGTAGGAAATGAGCGAGAGTGAAATAGCCATCATGACGGCGCCGGAGAGGAGAATAGGACGACGGCCCCATCGATCAACCAAATACCAAGGAGGAATTGTTGAGAGAAAGTACGTGATGCCATTCAGACCCGTCATGAGAATAGCGTCGTGGCCAACCCAGCCAGCGGACTCAAATACATAGGGTGCATAGTATGAGATGACATTGATTCCGTTGAGCTGGGCGAGAGCTTGTGCGGACATGGCAATGAAGACCCGGGCGCGATATCGTCGAAACATATCGGCATAAGTGCGCTCGCCCTCTTGGCGTTGCAGCAAGACGGACATTTTTATCTCCTTGTATTCGTCGCGAGCGTTGCTGCTGTGAATATCACCGGCGCCATATAAGTTGGCAATAACAACCATGCCTTCTTCGTCTTGATCGGTGTCCAATAGCCATCTACACTGGTTAGGCGAGTAGGTGCAAAGAGAATACAGTTACGAACCTGGGAGACTCCACAATGACCAAACTACCGACAGCGAGCAAGGCGCCCATGACACACTGCATGAGCAAGGGGATACGCCATGACAAATTGCTCCTGATATACCCACAGCCGTAATCGACCCAAACTGAGGTGGTGTAGCCGATAATGTTACCAGAAAATTCGATACAGGCGAGCTTTCCTCGGTTGTGCGGCGGCGAGATTTCGGATTGGTAGACAGGCACAATCGTCGACAGCATACCGACACCAAGACCGGCAATGATGCGACCGAGCATCATCATGGCCAGGGTGGATGCCAGAGTCTGGAGAGCACCGCCAACGAAGAAGATGCAAGAACCGTAAAGGATGGTTTTTCGACGGCCAATGATATCACCAAGACGACCGACAATTAGCGAGGATATAAAGGCACCGATTTCGAGAATGGCAACCATGGTTCCTACTGCGGCCTTGGAGGGGTGGCCGAAGTAGTCGATAAAATACGGGCCGCTGGGTACGGGTTAGCCGAGGACATAGGTGCAGGCAGTGTTGCGATGGTTGAACAAACGTGATGATGCCGGACATGACTCCTTGATCATAGCCGAAGAGAAACACGCCCAATGAAACAAAAATGCTGGTGAAATATCTATAGCGGAGCCAAGCCATGTCAGTGTACGGCGCAAAGGTCGGGAGCCTTGGACAGAGCATACAGGAGGGGCTTGCCCGTCAGGCCATGAAGGCCACCGGTTCGGCCAGCCATGATGGAGCCGAGGCAGCGTTCTGCGCGAGTGGGAAGACGTGGTCGCGGGTTGGGGATGCGGATGGTGTCCTTGTCAATGTGGTAGTGGCTAGACGGCGATCGATGTCGGCTATTGGGCGAGGGACTTCGGATGCGGACCTTTTTGGCGGCGCGGTCGGGTCGTTGACGATGCTTGGGAACGGCAGCGAGGAGCTCGGCCTCGATATCTTCGGGGAGCTGGAGGCGGACGGGGTCGTCGAGGTCGTCGTAGCGATCGCCAATGTCGCCCGTGTCGGTCCAGGACGACTCCGACTCGGAGGACGAACTGCGGAAATGTCCGTCGGCAGGACGGGGGACGGGGGCGGAGGAGAGCCGAGAGGACGGGTGGCGGTGGTGCTGGGCGTCGGAAGCGTTGCGATCGTGTCGCGGCTGGATGGTACGCAGAGGGATATTGGAAGGGAGACGACTGCCCCTGTGTGGAAGAATTTTGAGAGATCGGGGCCTGTCTCGCAGCAGCGCCCACCTGCAGTCCAAAGGTAAAAAGAGAGCTTGACGCTGAAAGTATAAAACTTGCCCTCGGAGGGCGCCGCGAGGGGGAGTTGTCGGGTACTAGCGGCTGTAGTGTGCGCGTGCAGCAAGGGAAAACAGACCAGCGACGTTGAACAGAGAAGAAATAATGGGTTGCGTCTGCTGATGGCGTCGGGTGTAAATGTCGAGGTGTGTCAGGTCGTATCTTGCATTCGGTCTTTGGTGGAGCACAGCGCTCGGTGGTGCGGACGGAGCCAGGACAAGGGGGGCGGCAGGCAGATGATCAAGAGATCAGGCGTGAACGGGTTTAGGCCGGGATGCAGACTACTAGGTAGTCAACCTGGAGAATATTCGTGGGAGGAAGCACGCGGAGGCACTGAAGTTGGTGCCTGCTAGGAGGTGTCTGACGCAGGATGCGCACGATGGCAGGCCCAGATCGCGTGGTACGTCACGAAGAATGACGAGGCGGCGATGCACCAGCGGGAAGGCGATGGGAGGTGGGGGGCGGAGATTTTGTTGCAACGTCGTTAAAAGGTGGGCGTGTCAAAATGTCGTCGGCAGGCGAAGGAATGAGCGACGAAGAAGGGGAGGCAAGAAGACGCAATAGGGAAGCGAATGTAACTAGCCAACAAACGGGGGAGTTGCAGAGTCGAGATGAAGGAGATGACGCGAGTTGAGAGATAACGGGTGCGGCGGGCTGAGCGTGAAGCTACCCACTGGTAAATAATGCCTGGTACCTGGCAAGAACGTTACGGGGGGGGTAAGGCTGCCTGGCCTCGGAACGGATAAGAAGCGTTGGTATCTATTTGTAAATGCTGCCGACACCTTAGTCATTACGACTACAGGGATGAAGCTGACATACAACTGAAGAATAGGGGTACTTATATTGTTTGGGGAAAACTCTTCTTATTTTGCAGCGCCGAGGCTGTCTTGGCTGCCGCCTGAGCTTCAGCTTCTCAACAACAAGTCATCACTGTGAGGGCCGTTTGCAGACGCTGGCAGTGGTCCACCAAGCCAGCAACGCTAGCAGGCGGACGCTCGGTTTCAACACCAGAGTTTGAATGGATATACATTCATATGCGCAGTCTTATAATAGAGAAATCAAATAACACTCTATATTCATGTCCTAGTATCGCTCGTGCCAGAGTCTTGGCCATCGAGACTTGAGTGAGGAATCTTTGGCTCGCTTTAGCGTATCAGTGCTGCATTGTAGTGGCTCGCTACACGCTTCTAGTGCTCTTTAGGTACCTATATACCGAGAACGTAAGCTCCCTCTCGTGAGCGTCCTGTGTGTCCTTGCGTCCTTATAAAATGCATGTGATTGTCATCCTAGCTATTCTCTTCATCAAGTAAAAGGCATCTTTCCGCCGCACGAGAGGGATGCGATGCAAAACGATGCGGCCCTAGGTTAGCAGTTTCTACCGTAGTCCCCAAGCCCACCTTCGCCCACTCCAACCTTCCTTACCCACGATTCGATAGTTATTGCTCTCTACCTATGTGCTGTTCAAAGGCTCCGTATGGTCCTTCTGTGGCTGCCTTCATCTACCTATCATGGTAGTATGGTCGTCCTCGTACGCGCCTTTTTGCTCTTCAACATAACAGCCTAGCATGACGCCTGCCATCCGCCCAGAGGACAACTTCGATGCCACGGCCACCGGCAATGACAGGACAGCCCGGCCCTACTGGCAGCTCGGCCGCCTACCTGGTACCTACATACCTAGGTAGGTAGGTATGGAGCGAGAGAGGGAACTGACTGGCACACCAGCTTAAACCCGCGCATCATGCAACGGATCAGGATTACCCATCGATACACCGTACAAGGTTCCATGTCAAGATGGCAGGGGAGGAGCATAGAGATTGATATTGCTGATATAGAGTATCACGAATTCTACTCGTTTATATATCTCTTATTTTTACATAAACTTGCTATCTCGTACCTTTGCTCTGAGCCTTGTCGTTCTTCCTTTAAGCAAAAGTAAAAGCATGGCCGCGCTATTTCCGTCGCCTCCTTAGCCCACCATCAACTCCCCACCACCAAAAGCCGCCCATCTTCAATTTCCATCAACTACAACGCTCGCGTGCCATCACCGCCGATAACAATGCCACGCTCTTCGCAATAGACCATAATCTCTGCTCCTCCTCCTGCCCAATCCCAGCACTTGCGCCCTCCCACCATGGCCCTACGGTTCGCCGGCAAGCACGCCGCCGTCGTCGGCGCGACCGGCGTCATCGGCTCCCGCATCGCGCAAGCCCTGGCCCAGCAAGGCGCCGCCGTGACGCTCCTCTCGCGAAGCGTCACCGCCCAGCGCGCGCGCCTGTCCGCCCAGCTGGACCCCGCCGGCGGGCCGCACCGGTTCCTCACGGTGGACGTGTCCGATCCGGCGAGCATCAGGGACGTGTTTGCCGGCCGCGGCGCGGATCAGCAGCAGCAGGTGGTCGGGTTGGTGGATGTGCTGGTGAATTGCGCGGGCATCTCGCAGACGACGTTTTTGAAGCGCACGCCGGATGAGGAGCTGGCGCGCATCGTGGATACGAATTTGTTGGCAACCATGTTGGTCTGCAAGCATGTGAGGATGCAGCCCCATGGTACATACTTTAACCCCCCCTCCTAATGCCTGCTTCTTGTATTGTATTGACGGGCCACTCTAACATGTTCTTCGATGTGGTAGGCTGCATCATCAATGTATCCAGCCTCATGGCTACGCACGGCGGCTTTGGCGCCACCGCGTACGCCGCTTCCAAAGCTGGCCTTATCGGTACGTTTTTGTTCTTCACAATCCTCATTGTAAAGCCCGCACAGGAGCAGAGGTGCAACCCAAAAAAAAACATGATTCATATTCGTCTTGATATGTACTGCTGGGCATCGTATCCTGTTTCGTTTTTTTCCAACCTCTTGCGCGGGGTATATCGACGACACCCTTCGGGCAAAAAAAAAAGCAACCCCCTCCCTGTGCCCAGATGCTAACAATGGGACTGGTTCGCTTCGCTCCGTTCTAGGCTTTACGAGAGCGCTCTGTCTCGAACTGGCTCCGAGATCTATCCGTGTAAATGCCTTGCTGCCAGGCTGGGTCGACAGTGACATGTGGCAACGTGAGTTTCCTTCCCTCTTTCATACATGACCAACGCAAAAAATGAAACAAGAACATGAAACAAAAAATGGCCATCTTCAACTCTTCAGGTTGCCGTTTACCATCCTCCTCGCGCCATTTCCAAATATAAAACAAAGCCCCTCTTCCTTGTTCGCCTGGCTAATGTACAAATCCTATGGTATCGCACTTGGCAGGTCTCAAACCGGAACTCCAGCAAGCATTTCTAAAAGACACTCCTCTCGGCAGGGTCGCGGATCCAGCCGAGGTGGCTGACGCGGCCGTATTTCTCGCCTCCAATCAGTTTGCCAACAACTGCATCCTGAATCTCGACGGCGGTCTGGGCGCTGCGTAAAAAGGGCCGAGGCCAACGCGAGACGTGGGCATCGTTTTGCCCCAAAAATTTTTAGAAGGCTCAGTCATCAATGACAATCGCGCCACCGGCATCCTCCACCAATACGATGTCGTCGTCTTGTGCCGCTTTAGCAATCTTGGCTTTTTTCAAAGGCTGCTGCTCGCCATCGTCGTTTGATCGCTTCAAGCCTTTTGGGCCTTCGAGATGGACGAGGCCGTTGGTCTTGCTGACGCCGTTCGTCTCAGGTGGAGTGACCTTCTTCGGCTTGCGTGCGATATTGTGCTGGCTTTCCTCCACGGCCTTGTAAGGCTTCTCCGTCGCTTCCAGTGCCCTGTACACAACGTTAGCATATGTACACTACACTCATCTCCATGTATCATACCTGTCTTCGATATCAAGAACAATGTTGACCAATGTGTCCTCGTCCTCGTCGTCCACAATGGTTAGGAAGCTTCCATTGCGGATGCCTAGCTCCGTAAGCCTCTTTGGCAAGTTATCCGTTTCGTCAAAGTCGTAGAGTATGCCGATATCATTGTTTACAGAGAATTCCCGATCTCCAAGACCCAGGTTCTCCTTGAGGTAGCCCTCGACAATGTCCCCCAGCGTGGCTCGTGAAAGGTCAACTATGACACTAGCGTTGAAGACACCACAGACTGGGCAGTCAGGGTTTGGTTGGCGCAATCTGTCCGGCGCGAGAAGCCGCGCGGGAGCAAAAGGTGTCAGAAAGACCTCCTTTGCCTGGTCAAACTCCCCCTTCAAAACCTTGAATGACTCCAGCACACAGAGTCCCGCGACGATGGCGTTGGTGGTAGCAATGGCAGGAATAATGTTGCCAGCCATTTGCTTCACGTCGAATCTGGACTTGCTCTCAATCCCAAATACCGTCGAACGAATGTTTGCGCTAGCAGTGACAAAGTCCAAAGTGTCAATGTCGTCCTTGTCAAACGTAATGACGGGCTCGGGATCAGACGGCCCTTTAGCCTTGGTCGACTCAATCGCGCGCTTACTTAATCGCTCCAGGCTGTCGTTGAGGACTGCCAAGCTCTCTTGTAGTGACCAAATTCTTTGATCATCAGCAAGTACCGCCTCTTTTGATGCGATGGCGTCGCGTGCTTGGCTCAGAACCTTGTCGTAATCCAAAGGTTGGGGGGCCGTCCTAGATTTCCACATGTCCTCGACAGAACGCAGTCGTTCTATGTCGGCGTTGAAAACTTTGTCAAAGAGCATTTTTGGAAACTCAGGTGTTCCCATGGCGGCTCGAATTTTCTTCAGCGCTTCGGATTCTCGCTTGAGTTCTTCGATTTCCTTGGCTGTAATCTGGTCAGGTTGATAACTTGGAGAGGTCGATCTCTGGCTTACCATTATCAGCGTCCTCGGAATGGTCGAAAGCAGCCTGATCCTCACTGGCACCAAATATCTCACTAGAACTAGTCAGCTGGTAGTTTCCTCTGGTCGGTCATATTCTGCTCACTTTAATAGATAGCTTTTGCCCCATACTATACAGTGAATGGGTTGGCTAGGCGTGCTTCGGATGGTGCACACGGGAAAAGACTTGGGTGTCTCTTTTGGAGTGCAGTCGTAGCATGCCGTGACGCCCTTCTTGATGACTTGAGTCTGTCCATTGAAGCCCGTCGTACCACTCTCAATCAGTGGGACTTGAGCAGCCAGACACATCTTATTCACATGCCGACGCGCTTCCAGATTATCCAGCGCGTTGAAGACGACGGTAAAATCGCGGAACCATGCGACAGTGAATTCTTCATCCTTGATGTTTGCGTGGTGTGCGGAAATCTTTACGTTGGGGTTGAACCTCTCAGCGGCTTCCTTGGCCACGAGGGCCTTGGACTTTTTGATGTGTTCTTGGCGGAAAAGAAATTGGCGGTTGAGGTTTGATAAATCGATCGTATCGAGGTCGACAATGTGAATTTGGCCAAAGCCCATGAGGACCAGGTTCTTGAGAAGCTCGCACCCAATGCCTCCGGCTCCCACCATTAGCACGCGTGACTGTTGCGTTCAGTGTTAGCCCAGTATCCCCCTCCAAAATGGGGCCGTCGCAAAGGACCGAGTCCTAGATCAAGATTATGCGACGGTGCCGACGTGGAGCACGATCTTACCTGCTTCACTTTCGAGTTTAGCGACGCGCCGAGGGACTGTTGGTTGTAACGGTCCCTCGTGATCTTGGGGGCGGGTTTCGGCTGCGCAGCTTGCGCCGCAGGGTTCGCTTGTGGCTGGACGGTCGCCGAGGCTTGAAATCCTTCTTCAGCGATTCGGATTGTCGTCTCTGTTTGTTGTGCCGCGAGCGCGGGTTGCTGGGCTGACTGCTCAACGACCGGCGCAACCTGCGACTCTTCGTTCTCGAGAGGTGCGGACACGGAGGCCGCAGGCCCGGTCGCCTCTGATCTATGGGTTACCTCCATCACTCGTATGTTACGCCTGCGGGAGTTTTGGAAAGCTTCGGATGATGCGGGACAAAAGATAAGATGAGACCCGCGTCCGTCACGCAGGCATGGACGGATTTATTAGTACTTGCGTCGTGGTGCAAAGCGCAGGCGAGTTGGCACTGGCCTGATTTTGGCTGACACTGTAGGTAGCAGCGTGACCAGCCAATCGGATGGCGCTCGTGAGTGCCGTAGGTGGATAATTGGCTGCACCAAGTTGCACGACCGCTAACGTTAAGACGCAGGCGAGTGCACTTGTGCACAGCATACATTCAATTGGAAACGTGGATTGAATGCGGGTAGCCGTCACTTCAGGCAAATCGGATTTTCATATCACCTTTCCAATATTTTTAAATGTGAACATCTTATCATTGTCAGCTGTCAGCGTGGATGCCTAAGATCCCGTTTGCTCACCATGTCGCTGCCTGCCCAGTCGGCAGCAGAGCCGGGAGAAGGGGCTGTAACGCATCTCAGCGGGGCCTAGGCCTCAAAACCTTTTCAGAGTGACGACACTTACTAGGTACTTTATCAACTGTCTAGGTAGCCACCTGAGCTCCCCCAAAAGGAGAGAAAAAAGGGCATCTCAAAACGCGCAATTATTGATATAGTGGAACTCTCCAAGATGTCAGACGACGAAGCAGACCCCGAGCTCCTCGAGCTCTTGCGCGCCCATCTGCAGGGTAGACTTAAGGTTGATGATGAACCCGAGACTGGCGTCCTGCAAGGCGTGGAATGGGTTTACGATAATGGCATCGATGTCGCGATCGATATGCGGGCATCCAAAAACGCCGCAGAAACTATATACCAGCAGATGCAAGAACGGGACTACTCTACCGCCAGCTGGACAGACAACGAACTGCACCCCAAAACCAAGGACGAGGCAACCGTCGCATTCATTTTCACTATGGATCTGCTTAACTTTTCCTTCTGGTCTGAGCTGCCGCAAGACGAGAGATTTGCCATAGAGTACAAGGGAAAGCAGTGGACGGGGTATTGGAGCTTAGTCGCCGCAATGCAGCGCGCCTTGGATGAGGGTATGTGCGGCCTTTTGCGGCAAGGAAGGCGCTGATTAAATTGTACAGGTATACCTATTACTGATCCTAGCTACTGGGTAGATGATGACCAACTCACCCTTCAGTCATTGAAGCACATTTTCCGGTCTTCTACGGAGGAAGAAATGCCGCTACTTCAGGAGCGTTTCGATTGTCTTCGAGAAAGTGGCCAGGTCCTCTTTGACGTACGTCTTCCAACCAGGCTGTCTCTTCCCCGTTCTACCCGCACCGCTAACGCGACTGTATAGAAATACGACGGGTCTATATTGAACCTCCTGGACCAGGCTGATGGCTCGGCAGCTAGGCTGGTAAATCTGCTTGCAAAAGACTTTGAGTGCTTCCGCGACGAGCATCACTTTGAGGGGAGCCAAAAGCCGATCCGGATCCTCAAACGGGCACAGATTCTCGTCGCCGACATGTGGGCCTGCTTTCAGGGCGAGTCATACGGCAGCTTTTACGACATTGACAAGATTACCATGTTTGCCGACTACCGCATCCCGCAAATCCTGGTCAGCCTCGGCGCGCTGTACCTGAGCCCCTCGGTTGCGAGCGCGATCAAGTCGAGCAAGATCATAGAAAGCGGTAGCTCGTGGGAGGTGCAGCTACGAGGTATGTGTACTGAACCTGTGTGCTTTGCATGCTTCGTCCTGGTCTAACACTCTCTACGTAGCATGCAGTATCTGGTGCGTCGAGTTGATTCGGCGCGAGATTGTGAAGAAGCACCCCAAGACGCATGTCAATGCAATTTTGATTGATTTCTTCTTGTATGATACCATTAAAGAGTTGGAAGCCACTGGGCAAGAAAAGTTTCCTCATCACCGAACCAGAAGCATTTGGTACTAGCTGTATATTACGTGGCGTTGGGTGAAAATAGACAACAAAATAGGAATAATTGGAACATATGCGAAGATAACACGATAACATGATAGTGTGGTACATGATCATGGCTTTAAGTGATAGTCATACAGTCCCAACGGACAGTCCCAACTGAAAGAAGCAAACGCCAAAACTCAGCCTGCAAAGTCCCGCCAAAATACAAAGTCGTCCCGTCATATACAAAATTTTATGCAGCAACCACAGAGTTCAAAATTTTGTCCATGTGCGCCGTCTCGATGTCGATGTTGCCCTTGTTTTCTTCCTTCAGGAGGACGGCAAGAACTTCGATCGGTGGGCTTAACCCCAGACGCTCAGCACGCTGCCAACGCTTCATGCGAGGGGTTCCAATGCACGGCTTTCGGATATGTTAGTTTTCGTGCCAAGACCATTTCGAATCTACAACGTACCCCATATTGTGAGCTGACGTCAAAGTACCGCAGCACCTTTTCGTGGAGCGACAGACCCTGTTGGTGCACCCGGGACGCCATGCGCTCGGCCTCGATTGACTTCCAGTATTTTCCAATCCGCGCGTCACTTAATTTCTCAGCCTGGAGCTCGGCTTGCGTCTTTTCCGGCACGACGACTTCCTCGATCACGTCGTCCTCTTCCTCTTCCTCTTCCTCTTCCTCGTCTTCCTCGACTGGCTCCTCGGCCTCGAGTTCAGCGACTACTTCGTCCACCTCGAGCTCCTTCTCGGCCGGCGCATCGACTTTTTGCAGCGAAGGCACAATGATGGAGTTCTTGATGTCCTTGGGGACCGGTTTCGTGACGCGGTTCGAGAAGCTGATGGTCGATTGGCCCTTGGTCGGTCCGGGACGGGCTCGGGCGCCGCCTGTCGATCGTCTGGGTGCAGGCATGTCTGTGTGGGTGACGAATTTGTAGAGTGTGTTTCCAAAGATAAAATAAATTACGCACTCGATTGTCGAGCAATGGCAGCTTCTTGAAAATGATAGAACTGATTAATTGGTGCTCTGATGTATATGACGTGGCCGTTGGAATTCACGGCTGATCGTTTCTGGGGGTGGTGACCAATTCGTGCTCTCTCAGCCGGTGCACTAATTTGGCGGGGCAACGGGCACCGCGAGATAGGCACCAAGTCATGTGATACATTTGCGTAGTAAATTGAAAGCGAGGACCGAATTTACAATAACATAGAATAAAAATCTTTCTTTGCCTTTTTTGTACCCTATTGCAAGTCATCTAACCACCGGTAGCCTCGCGGTAAAATGACAGGCTCCTGTTGGCGCCGGCCGCGCAAAACATCTCGCTGCGACCAGTCTTGGGCAGCCACCGCACTGCCCATAGCGCCTTGTCCGTCTCACTGTGCGTCGCCACGCAGTCGGTGCGCTCTACGGACCATACCTTAACTTTGCCGTCCATAGATCCGCTCAGGAGATACTCGCCAGTGTCGCTCCAGTCAATCGTTGTGATCCATGAAGAGTGGCCAGTCAGGTTGCCAATGTGTTCTCCGTGCTTCATGTCGTACAGGGCGATGATGCCAGCGTCACCCGCAGCCGCCAATCGCGTATTGCCAGGCGAAAAGGCCACAGCGCGCACCGGTTTCGCCAGTCCTGTTGCAAAATTAGCATACTTGCCCGTACAGATAGAGGGCGCTGGCGCTATCTCCAAAATGCTTACCAGAGAGTGAGTAGAGAATGCGCCCCGTATCATTGTCAAAGATGTAGATGGCGCCGTTTTGATGGCCGCTGGCGGTAAACTTTCCGTCTCTGCTGAGGTCGACGCACATGCCAAAGCTTCCTGAGCCTGCGCTTCCCGTCTCGTACTCGCGGATCTTGGGCTTTGCCTCATCGGTCACGTCCCAGACGTTGATCCGGCCGTCGTGGGTGGTACTGGCCAGGTAGCCGCCGTCTTCGCTAAGGGCCAGAGCCCAGACCTCGCCCGCCTGAACGGAGCTGCCGCTTATCTCACCCGTGCTGCTCCATTCACCAGTCTCTGTATTGAGCGCCCAGATCTTGACCTCGCCCCCGAACCCCGCGCTGGCGGCGTACCGCCCATTTTTTGACGTGCAGAGGTGGTGACAGCCTAGCTTGTGGGCGTTGGATATGCTCTGCTTCAGGGGAAAGGCTGGGTCTGTGGTGTCATGAACATGAATGGTGGAAGAACCACCGGCAGAGAGAAGTGCCTTTGGCGTAGATGCCAGGGCAAAAATGTCCGTTATGTGTGCTGTGACGTTTGTCAGAAGCTGTCAAACGACGGACGGGCCTCTTCACACATCATCGCGGGGTAGCTTACCATTGTCGACGGTATGTATCGTCAAGTATTGCTTTGACTATTCCTTGTCAGTTTCTGGGTTGTTATGCATTTCCGCTGACATTTACCATCGTGAGTAGCCTGTGTGAGTGAGACTGGAGATGGACGAGGATGAAGGGTTGCAGAAAGTGAATGACGGATAGTGGTGGGGTTTCTTGCGCTGTGGGCTGTGATCTGGTGCACACCAGCCCACTTGTACCTTAAGGTTGCAAAGATCAGAATTCGATGGGATGAATTCCGGTTGATTGCGAGCAAAACTCGCCTTATTTAACTACTGGTACAGCATCAAGCATCACATAATGCCTGAGGAGAAACGTTCAATTTCCAGGCATCGTCATTGCGCCTTGGTAAAGGCGAGTCAGTAACGTCAAGAAATTGGATATAAATGTATTATACAGGGCCCCAAATGGGCCAAAACGCCGTGTGTATGCATCCTTTAACCGGAAGTCGAATATACATGAGATTTTGATACACCAGATCTTCCACCAGTACCACTAATGCTTCCCGTCGTTTTGTTGGTGCACTATGACTTTCGTCGCTCGTCGGATCGCCACATGCCTCGCATTTCTTAAAAAAGACATGTTAGAACGGAGGGAACCTGCTTGGAAGTGAAGAAACTCTGTGTATACCTTCTAGACAATTTTGACATAGACGATGCATGCGTTTGGGGGCTCCGCAACCAGGGCATTGGCAAAGACTGTTTACGTCTTTGAGGCCCTTGTTGGCTAGCTGCCTCATGCGCTTCCTGGAGTGGGAGACTTTGTTCTTTGGTACAGCTCGCAGAATGCCCTCCCAGATGTCGTCCAGCAACGTGGGAATGGTGATGCTGATGCCAGGGAGAGCTACGCCGAGAGTCGGGAGCAGTCGGCTGGCGATATTTGCTAGCGACGGCAGACGAGGAATGGGAAGCATCGCCGGCAAGGCAATTCTGGGAAGAAGGGTGGCCATTGTGAAGACGTTGACGGTCGAGAGTCGAGATGGTTAACGGCGTTTCTCTATTGGAGAAGGGAAAAGAACTTGGGTCGGTTCGTGACTTGACGTAGAGTCGCACTGCGAAGTGTGTGCTGGCTGTGGATGAGAAACAAAGAAACAAACCCAAACTAGAAGCGGAGAATAGCAAGTGAACGTGTCTAGTGAAATCGGCGCGTCGCAGCGTCGTCGGTCGCAACTTGGGTATCACGATGGTCGTGGCAGTCGTAAAATGCGCTGCAACAAAACTTGACCTGGTTGCTTTTGCTGGTCTTCCGGTGGGGCCATAAATTGGCAGCAATAGCCAATGAACAGCGACGCCGCACGGACTGGTGCTGGCCAATAGCGGTGGCCTGGTGTTGGGGGCGCCGCCCCAGACCCTCCCTGCCCCTTTCCCAAGGTCCCGCCTCCTGAATTGGACCTCTGAGCTTGGGCAGGCTGGCAGGGCCTGGAGATCCCCTACTAAGTTACAGCACCGGGTAACCGACCAGCTGGCCTGTGCCTCTCGCCCGCCCAAAAAGTTTCCCCTTTGCAGCTCCTCCAGGCTTGTTCAACCGCGTCCCACAAAGTCCCATCTCGCAGAGTTGCTTGCTCACGACTGCCTCGTCTGATCCATCTACCGTCCAATTCCTGCTTCCTTGTCTGCCTTGTCGCTCTTGCACACGGCAACCGGATTTTTTCTCTCACGCTGCCCCCGCAAGTTGCATTTGGAATCGAGCTTCTTCACGTCTCCCCTGACAAACCAAGTGGTATCACGACGCAATGGCTGCTCCCTCCTCCGCCATTTTCCCTCAGAGCCATGTCGGTTTCGACAGCATCACGTCCCAGATTGAGCGCAAGCTCTTGAAGCGTGGTTTCCAATTCAATGTCATCTGCGTTGGTAAGTTTGTCGTGTCCCTCGTGATGCTGCCCGTTCGCCCCTGAGGCGGGTGCGGCACGACCACTACCTTAGCCGGACCAAGCTCTAACCCGCGTCTCCCCTCGTTTGCAGGTCAAACCGGTCTGGGCAAGTCGACTCTGATCAACACCATCTTTGCCTCGCACCTGATCGATTCCAAAGGCCGTCTTCAGCCCGATGAGCCCATCAGATCCACCACCGAGATCCAGGCCGACTCTCACATCATCGAGGAGAATGGTGTCCGCCTCCGACTCAACATTGTCGACACCCCTGGCTACGGAGATCTGGTCAATAACGACCGCTGCTGGGACCCCATCGTCAAATATATCAAGGATCAGCACTCCGCTTACCTGCGCAAGGAGCTTACGGCACAGCGTGAACGCTATATCCAAGATACCCGTATTCACTGCTGCCTGTTTTTCATTCAGCCCTCTGGCCACTCTCTGAAGCCTATTGACATTGTCGTCCTCAAGAAGTTGTCTGATGTCGTCAACGTTGTGCCTGTCATTGCCAAGGCCGACACCCTGACCACTGAGGAGCGTCAGGCTTTCAAGGAGCGCATCAAGGAGGAATTTGCTTTCCACAACCTCAAGATGTACCCTTACGACAACGATGAGTTTGATGAGGAGGAGCGTGCCCTCAACAACCAAATCAAGGTTTGTACCACCATCGATGTCAATGTGCATACTTGTCACTAACCTACATGACAGGGCCTTGTTCCCTTTGCTGTCGTCGGTTCCGAAAAGAACATCATTGTCAACGGCCAGCAGGTTCGCGGTCGCCAGAACCGCTGGGGTGTCATTAATGTTGAGGATGAAAACCACTGCGAATTCGTCTACCTCCGAAACTTCCTTCTGCGAACCCACCTCCAGGACCTCATCGAGACGACCTCGCAGATCCACTACGAGACCTTCCGTGCCAAGCAACTCCTTGCACTCAAGGAGAGCAGCGCTCACGCTGGAGGCGCTAGCAGCAGACCCATCAGCCCTGCTGCTGATCGCGAGCTGAGCCGCAGCTCTCAACGTATGGCTATGAACGGATACTAAAGCAAGTACTCCAACCATGACCTTGCGAGACACGGCAGGAGGGGAGACTGGGTCTGTTCTGCGATGGCGGGCGAATGCAGTTAATAAGTTATGAAATAGGAAAAGTTTGTCTCTTATGGTGTCATGTACAATGGGCAAGGCATCGAGTGTGGCTGTCGGTCCAGGTTGCGACAGGACATGCCGAGCACATGGCCAGCAGACCTTACCTTATATACCGGGCGACGAGGCGTGTGTGGAGGGGTACTTTATTTCGGAGTGGCCGTTGTATGGAGGTGATGATGCCGTATTTTTGGTATTTCTTTTGCTTCTATGACGGTGAGCCTCGTTTACCACGCAACGTTTGCTACATCTTTTGCGGGGGCTGTACATTTGCCTCGCGAGTTTCTCTTTTGTGGACTCTTTTTAATAGTATGCGCAGGAGCCTTGTCTTAAATATTATGCTCTAATTAGTAGCTATGGCCCAGGCTTGTCTGAATATTGGTGAATTGTACGTAGCGACCAGTAGGTGGTAGGCGGTGATGCGAACTGGTATCTACAGACGCAACGAAAGGGTCTTGATCCAGCGAAATGGGCCAGAGCAAGGGCGTCGGTCTTGAGTTCATTCATAGGTACCTACTGGTCTTTCTGAGAGATGCGTGGATTCTCCAGGCTATTATTAGATGGGAGAATAGGACCGAGAGAGACATGGAGATGACGTCGAGATCCGCCGCGGAGGTACTGATCAGACCCGTAATGAGGGGCGAATAGAGCAATGGAGGGGAAAACTGATAACAGAGACCCTGAAAAGATTGCGCGTCCTTCAATAAATTGCCCCGCGATCCAGTTCACCTCGTATCGACATTGCAAGGTCGGGTACCTTAGTAGTTCACTACCCGGCCGAGGCCAGCGCCGCGTTTGCAACCCGGTGTTGCTACGTTGTTGGTTGGTGTATTGCAGGCAAACCATCGTGACATCTCGGCACCACCAATTAAGGCTGGCTGGTCCCTTGCACTAGCACCATGTCGGCACTGCGCTTAACACCAGCCAAGAACCAATTGCTCAGTACTTTTTAGTGGGTTGCCGAACCCCTAATACCGCTGGAGGAAAACTGATTGGGCGCTCTATTAGCCCCCCAATTTTAGCGGGCACGTTGCTGCAGTGCAGTGCCGTGGTGGGCAATGGCGCGCCCCTGGAATTGCATTTGAATTGAATTTTAGGTAGGGTCCGACAAGGCAGGGTGGCGCTTGCCCTATTGAGTTAGGTAGGAAGTACCCCTGCTCGTTGTCCCCCCTCGTTCCATCACTTGGTTCCTGATCTTCAAACGCCAAACGTCTCGTCGTTTCCTTCTTCCTTTCTTCCTCCTTCAACCACACAGTCCAGCTTTCCACACTCCTTTGGTTGTTGTTTGTTTCTCGGTGTGTCGTGCCCGGGTTAACAAAATTCTCAACGTTTCGTTTCTAGTCACTCCTTCCCGGACGTCTCTTCCGTCCTCCGTGTTCTCCCCGTTTGCGAATTTGCGCCCCGGCCAATCTCACCATCGTACTCTTTCGCCAGATTACTTGATTTCATCCCACGTTTAGAATATAGACAGTCGGATATCATGCTTGTAAGTTGGCTGTTGCACGTATGAGTGCATGGGCTGTGCGTTTGCGCCCATGACACCCCGTCGTTGTGTCGCTTTGCATAGCGTCTCATGATCTGGCCTGCGTTTGTTCAAGCCCCCCCATGCTCATATTAGGTACTGTTCTAGATCCAAACTGCTCTCGTGGCACTGGCCGCCATGACTGTTAGCGCCGTCAAACCCCTTCAGGTCAAGGGTAACGACTTCTACGACCCTGACACGGGCAACAAGTTCCAGATTGTTGGTGTTGGCTACCAACCCGGTGGGAGCGCCGGTTACAAGCCTGATGAGAAAAAGGACCCATTGACCGACGCTGATGCTTGCATGCGTGATGCTGCACTCATGCAGATTCTCGGCATCAACACTGTCCGTGTCTACAACATTGATCCTTACCTCGACCATGACAAGTGCGCCAGTATCTTCAATGCTGTGGGTCCCGTCGTCCGATCATCATGCTTGGCATCACACTGACTGCATCTAGGCCGGCATGTACCTCGTCATTGACGTCAACTCCCCCCTTCCCGGCGAGGCTATCACGTCGTTCAACCCTTGGGAGAGCTATTTCGGTGGCTACCTCAACCGCACCTTTGCCGTTATGGAGGCCTTTGCCAACTACCCCAACACCCTCCTGTACTTCTCCGGAAATGAAATCATCAACGATATCCCCTCGGCCAATGTCACTCCTCCTTACATTCGCGCTGTTACTCGTGACCTCAAGAGCTACGTCAAGCAGAACTTCAAGCGTCAGATCCCAGTCGGCTACTCAGCCGCTGATGTCCGCGACTTCACCTATGACACTTGGAACTACTGCCAGTGCACCATTGACGGTGAGAAGGACAACCTGAGCCGCGGCGACGTTTACGGCCTCAACTCTTACAGCTGGTGCGGTATTGATGCCACCTACACTTCCTCTTCCTACAACGAGCTCACCGACAAGTTCAAGTCGAGCTCTGTCCCCGTGTTCTTCTCTGAATACGGCTGCAATCAACCCCTCGACCAACCCCGCTATTGGAATGAATCTGTGGCTCTTTACAGTGACAAGATGAATGGCGTTTTTTCTGGTGGTCTCGTCTACGAATGGTCCGAGGAGGCCAAGAATTACGGCCTTGTCAACTTCACGACTGACGGTGCCAGGCTGCTCGGAGACTACAACCGCCTCAAGAACAAACTTACCAAGGTGGACTGGAAGAGTCTTATGGCCCAGAAGGCTGCCCAGAAGGCTATTGATGCCCCCAAGTGCGACGCGAAGCTCATCACCCACGATGGCTTCCTTGCTAACTGGACTCTGCCCGCTCCTCCCGACAACACCAATGACATGATTAAAAATGGTGTTTCCCCCAAGCGCAACGGCAAGCTTGTTGACATCAGCGACTACAAAGTTTCCCTCAAGGTTCTTGATGAACAGGGCAACGAGCTCAAGGACCTCAAGGTTGTTGCCTTCCAGAATGACGAAGTCAACTACCCTGGCAAGGTCAGCACCGACACTGGCAAGGAGACGACCTCGACCACCAACTCGACGGCCAGTGGCAACGGCAGCAAGGGCGACGGTAAGGGTGACAGCAAGGGCGACAAGGATAACGGAGCTGCCTTTGCCGCTCCCATGATGCTCGCCGCTGCTCTGCCCGCCCTTGCCATGATTTTTGCTTAGTTGGGATGAAGTGAGAGGGGTGTCATGACGCAGATGGATGGGGATGAGATGCCAGACAGTCACTGTCAGTTGCCAATGTATAATCTGATTCTCAATTGGTACCTAGTGTACACACTATAGATTGCTTTGCGCCATTGAATGCAATTAAATTTGATGCCAGCCCAAGCGCCTGATTTCCATGTTGAAATTTCCAAATGACAAGATGATGTGCAAAAACAAGAGCCAAGCGACGACGGTCAAGATTGTTTGCCATGCTCGACGGTGGTGCAGCAAGGATTTGTCGAGCAGGGAAGACAATAGTCGTGGGTTCCGTAATCTGCGCATTTGCAGCAGGATGTGCAGCAGCCGTTGACGAGGGGGACGCGCGATACGGCGGCCATTGTGAGATTTGTGCTCGAGGGTTGAGGGTTGTAGGTTGTTTGAAGTTGTTGTTTCGAGTTGTTCAATGTATTGTGGCACAGGCTTTGGAGCAAGTATGACTTTTGCTGAATGATGGTTGGTGGTCAAAGGGCAGAGTGACTCTTTCTTGTTCTTTCTTGTTCTTCTCACAAAAGAAATAAAGGAAAAAAAAAATCAAGAGGTGCCCCTTCGCTAAATTATATAGCTGGCCGATGTCGCGTCCCACCGAGCCCAAAGAAGACGGAGGTGCGTAGAAGCCGGATCATGGGATTCTCTTTTGGCCCAGCCCCCAAAGCCCAGGGCCATACATGCGTCTTTGCGGCGCAGTGCATGTCAATTTTGCCAATTTGCGAGTCGCACCAATTTCATGGCCAAGGAAAAAAAAACAATTTTTATAAGAAAAGTATTTAAAAAAGGTACCCAGGGGAGTGAGCCACGTTGTTGGGGGCGGCTGCCCGGGGGAGGGGGCGGCGTCAGCTGAAAAGAAGCCCATGTTGCACGAAAATCACAGCTCGAGTAGGGCTGTTGGCATTGGTCTCATTTTGCGTACATGGGGTGGTGTTGCTGCTTCATGCAGAAAATCCATGTTTTGTGCTTTTTTGCCTTTTTACGCCTTGTTCTTTATTGGCCTCATTGAGTTATTCGAGGCGGTGTCGGATCTAGTTGCTGTATTTGGGGGCCGCGCGGACTTCGGGAGGGGGGCAAAGTACAAATTAGTTACGGCCATGTGTGTCAATATCTGTCCAAAGGGCGGCTGACAAGGTGACCTGCTGCCTCTTGCCGTGTGTTCTCGTTGATTGATGCTGCACCACGTTTTCTTGTCAACATGGCGTGTTCGCATTACACAGCATCAATGGACCGGGGCTTTTATCAGGTTGGTGGCGCTACTGATGGGAAGTTTCCTTCGGAGCAAGCCCCGAGAATGATTGGGTATCAATGTCTCGGGACACAAGGCAAACGACATGCTGTTTCAAAGCCTCGAAGCAAAATCATTGGCTGTTCCATATGTCCGGAGAGGGCGACACCTGCAGCCGTCATCGGTGAGGCGTTCACAGTGCATGAAAGAAAGAAAAGAAGAAGAGGCGATTTTTTTTTTCATTTTTTTTTTCAAATAAGCAAGGCAGCCAAGACAGGAGAGTCATATATGGGGGGTTTTTGTGTGTCGTGATGCCGCCCGCTTGGGTGCCACAAACAGGCCCCGTGCCAAGGCGCTGGGCGTTGCACTAACGTTGGTTTGATCGCTCTCCCGATGGGTAAGGTGTAACTAGATTTAGAAGAAAAAGGAGAAAAAAAGGAAAGAAAAAAAGAATGGTTATTTTTCTACACAAAAAACACGTGTGTGTAACACGCTTGAGCCAAAAGGACCCAACGTTGGGAGACATGTGACTCTTTAGGCATGTGAGACTGCGACCCGACGTCGGGTCCCAAGGAATGAGGAACTGTACCAAATCAATGTACCGTGATGATGCGACTATATTATTCAGACAGGTGTGGGAGATGACTGGCCATGGACGGTCCTTGGCGAAATGTAGATGTGACACTCGCAGCTCGCTGGGGTTGACAGACAAAAAGACACGTGAAAAAAAAAAAGCCCCTCAGCCCAGTTCTGACGACATCTTGTTTTACCTTTGCTTTCATTCTTGCAGGAAAGCAGGAGTCCAGCGGCACGTCATCACGAGACCCAGAGCGATGGCCACCACCCCATCTTGCCCGCGGCATTCCTTCTTGACGTCGCTGCCAATGTTACCCTGCTCGCCCACCTTGGACTTTTTTCTTGTCGTTGTCGCCCCTTGCTCTCTGGTGGGTGGTGCCATTTCCGCTGGCAGTGGCCCGCGCTGCCCGGCGAGGTGCCGGCGCCCCTTCCCCCCTTGTGTGAGTGCTTGCTGCGATGGCGACGGAAACGATGGTGGAAAAGGGTGAAAAGGGGGCGCGTTACTGCTGTTGTACGTGGAGGCGGCGCTGAGAGGAGGAAGAGAGGCCGCTGTTTGTAGCTGCATGACGTCGCTGCAGCTTTCTGAGACTCGTCAGGACACGAACAGAGACGGCTGTTGCGTGGTTCGCAACGGCATATCTAGTACTAACCGACCGTCCTGCTCCGTGTTGGCCTCGTGCCGCGTCGCTGTCCTCGTCGCCCCCCGTCCGGGCCTCTACTCGTGCTTCTCGGCGAGGTTAGTCTAGCTCGAACGACGCCATGTACCCGCCGCCGCCGCCGCCGTGGCGTCCCATCTTTCGACAGCGAACAGGGAGTTGAGCGAGATCCGTCCGTCCGTGGCTGTCTTTTCGGTTCCGCGTCGAGCGCCCGCGAGAGAAGAGCCGCCTGAGATCCTGGGCATGGCGGCGGTCGAGGTACAGGCTAGGCGCTGCTGCGTCGAGTGGCGCGCGCACACGGCTCGGCCAATGTGAAGCGGGAGAAGAGTCGCACGCAGCGCTACCAGCCATTTTGCTACAGGACTTGTACATGTTTACGAACCGTTCAAGTGTTGCCACCGCTTGACTTGATTAGCTATCAGGCTTTTTGGCTGACAACTTTTCCAGAATAGTCCGACAAATATCACAAGCCATTGATGGACGGGTATGGTGAAGCAGGCAGGCACATGACGTCTCTTGTTCAACCTGAACGAGAAATTCAATCTTATTATATCCAAAGTGGGATAGTAAAAGGGTAATAGACCTCAGTAGACTCGCTCCCCTTCTACCTGACAGCCCACTATCACATCACCATGGCGCACTGGCGATTTACGATGAAATGACAAAAGCACGCTCTCAGCCAGGCAGCAAGACAACAAGGTCTACGCCGTCCTCACGCTTTTGTAGAGATTTAGCACTACCTTTCATGTCAGCAAGAGAGCAACTTATGCGCCAACCATCCTCTTCTCTCTTCTTCAACGTACATGTCCGTCCGGAGAGAACCAGCTGAAGCACTTGCCCGTGGCCGGGTAGTAGCCCGTGCAGGGGCAGAGGCCGCGCTCGAGGCACACGCAGTTGCAGTCGTACGGCTCGTCGCCGTAGTAGCACGCCTGGCACTGGCCCTCCTTGAGGCAGCACCCGTCGCGCTGCGTCGAACACTGCCGGCGCTCGATCGGCGTCATGGCCGCGGCCGAGGCCAGACCGACGGCCATTCCTAGCAGGACGATGAAGCGCATGGTTTGACGTGTTGTAGAGAGAGGATGGGGGGAACGTTGTGATGAGAGAGTCGCGAGGGGAAAAGCCGATGAGGATTTGGAAATGCTGGTGCGGGTTGCTGCTATAATAACCAGTTATATACAAGTTCCCCCGCAAAAAAAAGGATTGGAGATTATTGGTGGCATAATTCATCGCATCTCCTTCATTGCCGCTGGATGCATGTAAGCTGACTACCTATGCTGTGCAGATGGATGGTACAAGGTTGCCAATGAGAGATGGGCCGTCGTGTCGGCATACTTTATCCAAGCAGGATCACCGGCTCAGTGTGTCGGAGCCGGCCGTGGTCAGTTTTCGAATGTCAATATTGCGCTCAATTGAGTTTACAAGGTCCATAATGGTGGTCGTAAAAGTAATTAGTCGCTTAGCATCCGATTGGAAATATCACAAATATGCGGACACACACACACACACATGCATATACATGGAGATGTATATACAACTGCGACGGGGTACGTGACAGCGGCGCAATCGCACGACATTGCCAAATGAAAGGCTTAGCAAGTGTTCCAGTCGCTCCTTATCGTCATCAATCAAGCCTCGTTGTCGTACACTACGACAAACCGGATTACCAGCAACAGGGAACATTCGTCATTTCTATTCTATATAAGGATATCGCTTTCAAAGAACCCCCCTTCATAATTCAAGAGTCCTCAAACTTTCTAGGCACCCGATGGTAGACAATGACATTTGTGCCATCGGCCAAAGGCTCATTGTGCGGAACCAGCTCGTATTTGCCGATTTTGGGCGCAGCCACCCACCAGACAAACCAGTACACCACCGACAAGAGCAGGAGGGCGATTCCCACAACACAGTACAGCCAGTAGGGCAGCGGCGGCGTGTCTCCCTTGCCGCCAGGTGGGCGAAGAAACGGCGCCACCAGCTGGAACGCCTGGCCGAGCATGAAGAAGCCAGCCACAGGCCACCACACCTTGAACGGACGAGGCGTGTCGGGCTCGCTGAAGCGCAGGTAGAAGAGGCCCGCGACGACGAGGAAGCTGATGACGGATCCGGGATAGCCCTCGAGGTCGAGGATGAAGTTGTATGCGTTTCCAAAGGGGATGGCGACAATGACGATGAAGGACGGGATAAAGTGGAGGATCAGTCCGGTGGAAGGAGAGCCAAACGGCCAGTTGGACGCCCAGAATCGAGGGAATGGGATGACGCCTTCCTTGGCCAGCTCTTGGTTGACGCGCGCCTGGGCAAATGTGACCGTCATGACGTTGCCCAGAGCGGACAAGGCGACGAGCACGCTGAGGGCGCGCTTGGCCGCGACGCCAAAGACCTTGCCCATGAAGTAGGCGGCGACGGTCGTGCCGCTCTGCGCCACCTCGTGGGGCGTGGCCGCGGCAAAGTAGGCGACATTGGCGAGGAGGTAGAGGACGCCGCAGATGGACAGCCCAAGCGGCCCGGCAATTTTGATTGTCCGGATGGGGTTCTTGACTTCGTTGAGGACATACATTGCGTTGGACCAACTATCCAACGTGTTAGCGACGAGATCCCCTTGTGCTATATTACGCTACACAAGAAAAGCACGCACCCAGCATACGAGTTGAGGACTTTAAACAGCGCCGTCGCGTAGGGATTGCCCGACTGCGCCGAGTTGGCAAAGGCGTCTCGGAAGCTGGCGTGGGGGTCCGGCACGCTGGCGACGCCGCCGCCGAGCACCACCCAGCCGGTGACGACGATGAAGAGCAGCAGGGCGATTTTGAGAATGGTGAAGAAGTTCATGCCGTGCACGCCGAGCTTGGGGAAAAACGTGTGGACGAGCGTGACCAGGATAATGACGGCAATGGCGATGCCGCGCTTCTCCCACTCGGTGGCGACGCGACCGGCGGCAATGACGATGTTGGAGGCAAAGATGATGCAACCAGAGGCTGAGAGCGTGGTTAGTGTAGTTTTTTTTCGTTTTTTTTCTGTTCAACAGAGAGAGACATGGGATGGTGGTATACCGGTAAAGCCCAGAGCAATGGCCTGGACGGCAAAGACGGTGGTGATGAGCATCTTGGGTCGTCTGTAGGCGGCCTCGAGGTAGACCTTTTCGCCGCCGCTGCGCGGAATCAGGCAGGCGAACTCGAGCCAGACGCAGAGACCGGAAATGGCGAGCAGCAGGCCGAGCACCCAGAGGAGCAGGGAGGCGCCGACGCTGCCGACGCCGGCGACGATGCCCGACGGCGTCGAGAAGATGCCCGTCCCGATGATGCGGCCGACACTGCGAGACAAAAAGGGGTTAGCCCTGGGTTCCCTTTTTTTCTTTTTTTTTTTGGCGGCGGACTGCTGCCCCCTTCGTACATGAGAAAAGTTGTGCTGACGACGCCGAGATGGCGGCCCAGTCCTCCGGCCGTGTACTGGTCGAAGCGGAGGTTGCCGACGCCGTCGTCCAGGACACTCGCATGGCTCACTCGGGGCTCGGCGCCGTCGTCGGAAGAGTTTGGTTTCTCGGGTATAGCAGCCATGATTTTGTCGCGTGCGGAAGAAGTGGTAGAAGAACAAAAGAGGCACAGCGTCGCGTATATATGGCTAGCCCGTGTTTTTCTTGGCCGTTTTCTTTTTGACCAGTTTTTCTTTTTATTATTCTCTTATACTTGATAATCCCCCATAAATGCGCAGCAACCCTGAAAACCCGATATTTCCACCATGCAGCGAACGCTTGTGATAAGGCCGTGGTGACATGAACAGGGTACGCTATGGCGTGATCTGACTGCTGTCCAAGGCGAGGGCCGTTGTCCTCGGGAAAGGACCCGTGCGTAACCCAAGATACGGCAATGTTGGCTCTGTTATTGGATAGGGTTATTGGATAGGAGCAAATGTGGCTGGCATGACGCAAAATACTGATGAAATTTGGAGAGAAAGCTTCGAGTTTATTGTTCTGTGTCTGGTCTGGTAGTGGCAAGAATGAGGCGCTAGTCTCGGGCCGCATAACCGACCGACTTGGCTTGTCGATGCCAAGCTCTGAAGGGCTGGGCTGGCTGATGACTTTTCTTCCGCAACAGCAACCATATTTTCTTTTCTTCTTTTCTTCCCCCTTTCTTTCCTTTTCTCACTTGGTGCCAACGCTAGCTTGGTCATCTGTTCGTACTTGATGCGACCCAATACCCGACCATTCCAGGTCAGCATCGAGCACCAACGCTAGATGCATGACTGAACCAAGGCAGCCCTAGAGGCCGAATACCATGTCGCTGGTTATTTTAATAAACTCGTCCGGTTGCAGGTCGTGCGACAAGATGACACGAATCGAATACGTCGTGGCCATGATTGAATCCAACTCCAGGTTCTTCTCGCCGACTATCTTCATGATGTGACATAGGAGCGTCTCCATGGGAAGCCTTCGCGCGGCGCGAAGCGCGCACTGGACCGTGTCAATGTGCTGGCTCCGGATGATGATGTCGACGCCCGGCGGGCCCGTGTACTCTTGATGGTCGCCCTCCACTGCGGTCCGAATCTCGCCCGTGGCGCGATCATAGTACTTGTTGTCTATCACGGGCGTTCGGGACTCTTCATGCCATCCGGGGGAGTGGAACTCCAAAGGGTGCAGCGCCGATGACATGGCGGAGTAAGTGATGAGAGAAAAGACGTCGGGCGCAAGATGTGATGGGCAACGTTTTTGTTCAGTGTTTGAAAGACGATCGAGGAAGCCAGGGCTAAGAGGGGATGAGAGGATGCTTTTATAAGAGCGTGTCGTCAGACGACGAGTTGATGAAGGAAGCCGTCAATCCATTGGACGGAGGGGGACGCCCTCATGGGGATCTCTTACGTACTTTGCACTTTTGTCTGGTCTTGTCCCTTTGTTTGACAGACAGTGACACAACAGTGGACCAACATGCACGGCGCAGTTTACAGATGGTCTTCCCTCACACGACAAGTCCGCTTTCTATACTCACTACAAGCGAGTGTTTGCAACGGGTCAGGCCGACTTCTGCCTTACCACCTTTGCGGCCGTTCCCAGGTCGAATCCAAGTCATTGCGCTGTTGACAACTTCGGAGCCAAATCGACAGCCCGACACACCACACACACCACACACTTGGGCGTGCTGGTAATCCCGAGGCAGGACAGGGCTGTGGACTTGCAGATCTTGAGGCGGAGCAATCACGCCGTGTCTTGGGTTGCCTCACCGCTCAGATGCGCTATTTTCTCTAACTACATCATCGTTGGAAAGAGCACCCAGGCCGTCGCCCGATGCTGTGGCTGTTGTCGCACTTGACCACTCTTCGCCACCGTTCGCCAGTCGAGAATTGAAGACGATTCAAACAGGTTCAACTGCCTTACACTTACAATCTCTCCTACTCTCTGCCCCGCCAGAGCCCTGATGATGGCAAAACCGTCCCGTGGGCAAGCTTAGCCGGTAGTTAGAGCTAGAGACGGTTCGCTTAGCGGGCGATGCCGCCGGCGATCCCCTCACGGAGACCAGTAAGCCACGGCTCTAAAACGGTTGTACGTGCAGGGGCGGGCCGCGCGTCCCAGGATGCACACAAAGGCGGGCTGGTGCTACATTCCATACGCGCCGACCAAAGAATCGTATCGGCCCATAGTGATCTTCATCCCCGCAATATCATGGTGGCTTGAGAGGAAGCAACGATTAAGGTAACGGGTCTGATCAACTAGTTAACAAGTGTTCGGGTGATATCCAGACAACCCAGAGTACTGGGAATTTGTGTCGCGTAGCAAAAGCGGGATTCACACCTGCTGGCCTGAAACTAGACCTTAAGTACTGTTCAACAACATGTGAAGGCGCTGAGTAGCATAACCCCCCGCGACCCTGTTGCGGATGAGTGCGACTACCTTCCTACCAGTCGCATCGGCTGGCTTCTGGCTAGAAGAGTTTTCTCTCGACAAGCTTATAAGCCATTAGCTACCATGAGAGAAGATGTAATCCTTGTACATAATTCTTGTATATTGTGTACTGTACAAATACAGCCCCAGCCTAGTGGCCGTCGGCTACTTTAGAGGCTCTGTAGTAGAGTCTCACCAACCAATGCACCACACAGTTGTGAGTGTGGGGAGCTGGTCGTCGGCCTCGGCCGGCGCGTACTCAAGCTGCGACAATGTCGTAATGTCCTTGGCGCCTCTACTTTTGCTTTGCTGCGACATAACCCGACTCGGCTATCTATGCCATTTCAGAGGCGAGCTCGGATGGGGCAACAGGGAGAGGCTAAAGACAATCCGGGAAGCGCTACGCAAGATTGAGCTCTCGAATAGAAACGGACAAGAGAACTATGTAGTTTGTCTTCGTTCTGCAAAAATGGAGAGCGATGCCAGGGCGTGCGTGTGGTCTCCATGGTGCGCCACAGCGGCTAACTAATACCAAGAGGATGCTTCAATCAACGCCATTGATTACGCGCCGAGGCTACCCATGGAAAACCATCCTTGCATTCACCGACTGCAGCGTGCGACCCCAATGTATTTGTCTAGAAAATCCAATCAAGGCTTTTCTCCTGGCTATTTGTTCATTCTCCTGGCGACCGCTGATGGCGCAAAGTACCCCGCCTGTTGCAGGGCGTCGCGACTGGTCTCATCTACTGTATGGGTCGAAGCGCTGATTGAACGAGGAGAAATGAGAATGCCGTGTTAATAGCTAAGGGTAGAAAAGTAGTAGTCTTGTTTTAGTTCTCAACCGAAAAATGGACAGTTGCTCAAGACGCAGGAGCAAGGCTCATTTTTGATTGCTAAGCTTAGATGCTGCCCGTTTGCTGCCCTTATTACTTGAGCGACAGCCCCAACCTAGCACCATCATCATCACCAGTACGCGCCCGACACAGCCCAGCTGCCCACACTTCCTTCTGCACAGCTTTCCAAACCAAATCGGGCTGATGGGTCATTGTCCATCCAAAAAGCCTGTGTTTTGGCCTCTTGAGCTGCCAGTACTCGGTCGCGCGCTCTGGCGGCCGTTTGAGCGCGACCCTGCCCTCCCCTGCCGCGTTTCGTTGCTCGCTGTCCCTGCATGCGCCCCCCCTCGTCATGGACGAGCCGGCCAGTCGTGAGGCTTCGAAGGAGGCATCCCAGGGTCTTGCATCGATTATAAAAAAGGATGGTGCCCAGAATCATGAGCAAGATCCTGAGAAACCTCAACGCGGGCCTCTTTCCTCCTCCAAGCGTCCTTGTCCTGCCCCTGCGGCGGCTGATAACCACCCAACAAACGACGCAAAAGACCCCCTTCCTCCAGATCTCTTGGTTTCTAGCTGGCTTGACGACGTGTATCCCGCCAAACGTCGACGGCGATTCTCTGCCACTTCAACTGGCTTGGTCTTTGGAAGCGAGAAATCCAGACAAGACAGGCAAGACAGGCAGGACAACCAGGAGGGCCAGTATAACCAATACGGTGCCCAAAGAGCTAGAGCCAGTTCTGAACCGATAGCTCCCCGTGACCCTACCGGCGGCATGTCGCTAGCGAAACCACCGACAACGGCTTCTTCTCCGCAAAGCCCGCGCAGCAGCAGTGCTTCTCGACCTCGCAGTAGTTCACCCGGCGCTGATTCTGCCGAGTCTTCCACGACGCGAACGAGTGCCAAATTGGTTGAGAATAAAGATTATCGGTTAAACAACTTGGACAGCAATGGCATCCAGGTGCGTGTCATGGATAGCCCTCTTCCTGCGGCGGTTCAAGCTGTTGTTGAATCCCTCGGATTACAAGAACCCCCACCTGAGCCCACAACCAGCGACTTGAAGGATGTTCGGAGTATCCGAGCACACAACGATGGGCTTTGCAAGCCAATTGAGAAAATCATATGCCGGACATTCGATGAATGTCTCTTTCCCCTCAAGGATCTAGACAACACAGCCTCGTTATTGCTTCGGAGTGACGATATCGAGCTGACGCCCGCATTATTGTCAACAAACTTTCCGTCAGAGCAACCGCGAAAGCTTGACGAGCTAGAGATACCGCGCCAAAAGCTCAGCAAACCGAAACCTGACATCATATACGGCTACCGCTACGAGGCCTTTAGACCAGACGTCCGATATCTGCTCAGATCGGCGCTCGGCAACTTGGCAGAGGCCAACACGGCCCTCATGGTAATGCCGTTCCTGCTCGTCGAGCTCAAAGGAGAGGGCGGCGGCCTGTGGGCTTGCGCGAACCAGTGCATAGGCGGCTCCGTTGCATGCGTTAACATTGTCCGGTACCTGAACGCTCAGCTGCGAGCCAGACAGCACGACTTGTTCAACAGTGCCATCTTTAGCCTTGCCATGAACGGCGAGCACGCCACCCTCTTTGTGACGTGGAGGCCAGACCCTGACGTGGACCTCGATGTCAGCCCGGGGGCGGAGTACTACACGCAGAGACTGTTCCACTTTGCCTTCCAACAGACGGATCAATATTTGATCTACCAACGCTGTATACGAAGGATTCTGGAATGGGGGATGGGAAAGAGGCGGGACGCGGCCATTACGGCAATCACCTTGTGTGCAAGTAAGAAGAGGAAGGAAAGAGGCGAGGAAGGAATCCCAGAAGAAACTTCTGTGCAAGCGAAGAAGAACTCCTGGCAAGCGAATGAGAAACCCGAACGAGCAAAGTGAGGGCCGTGATGTGGGTGTGAGAGAGACGACCATGGTCCATCCTTTGGCACAGCATCCATGGCGTCAATTACAGACCATGGACAAGAAGCAATTGCTGCTATGATGACTATTATGGTTTCATGTTGATGATGCCTTTATGTTTGTTTATTTTTGTTTCTATTTCATGCCTCCGCTATAAACTTCTGTTTTATTTGCTTTAGATGCGTTTTTTTCTCTCTGGATCTCTTTGCTCTCCAACGCCACCTGACAGGGGCTGGGCATCCGTCTCTATTCGTCTCGTCCTTGTTCGTCCTCGCGAGCAAGCTCATCGAATACCTTCTCAATCTGTCCAAGACGGTCAACTTTTCCCCATTTGATGATTTTGTGAACAGAGCGCATAAAATCCCGGCATTGCGCCTCCTCATTAAGTGAAAAGGAGCGCACTGGCCGAATGTTAAAGACGGCGCGAGACAGCCGCTCCGCGCCTCCGGGCGGCGCGTGTCGCCAGCACACCGACAGTTCGGCCGTCTTGCCGTCGGTCACGATGCCAAACACGGCGCTGCAAAACGGCGCCGGGTCGCGCGACGGCAGCGCGGACACCAGCCGCTCGCCCATTTTGACGCACGACGCCATGCCGGTCGCGCACTGGTTGTGAGCCGTCAACAGGTTGTCTCCGTCGAGCGCGATGTCAACCACCAGGAACGGGAGTGTGAGAGGGGTCGTCTCATTCGCATTGTCCATATCATCCAGCGTGGTAATCATCTGACCTCTGTGTTTCGAGGAGAAGAGCAGCGGCATATAGCCGTACAAAATATCCGGAGCGGGTGTGTTGATTTGGCGTTGCTTTCTGTCCGCGTAGGTCATGTAGCCGAGCTGTTGAGTCTTCCATCTGCGCCCAACGACGAACCTACTCATGCGCTCGCTGTGGGAGCGTTCCATCTTGTCCAACTCGCCCGGGTGCTCAAACGCAAGCCCGTCCAGAGCCTCGAAGACTTTCTTCTTGTCCCGTATGTTGCCAGCAGTGTTTAGCTGCAATACTTTTTCGTAAAGCGCGCGTTCGGTATCCAAGCTGTCGGGCGGTTCACTTTCCGTCATCATTTTTTCGGCCAGGCCCTGGATATCCGCCGGCAAGTCCTTCTCCGGGTGGAACTCGATGCCGTTATACCAGAGGTTATCGTCTCGATAGTCGCCATCGGAGTCAACCGGGCGGCCTCCGAGAGAGCTCAAAGACTGATATGAGGAGCAGCTTCGAGACTCATCCGGCAACTCCGAAGATTCTGTAATTTCATGTGAGTGTTGCTCTTTTTCTCACTAGTTTATCTGATTTGTACTGGTTCTCACAAGTACTTACCCTCAGCATCATCGGTAGAATAGCTCTGTGTATTCTCCGGATCAAAGGGTGCAGATTCCAGCCATTTAAGGACCCGTCTGTTCGGAGTATTGTCGTCTTCTTCTTCGCGGCACCTTTTCCGCCATTTAAGGACCCGACCGTTCGGAGTATCGTCGTCTTCTTCTTCGCGGCACCTTTGCACACCAGCAGTGTGGTTGTGGTCCTGAGCTGGCGTCATCGAGTCCGGCATCGAGTTTAGGACAAAGACTGTAGGAATAGATTTAGGAATAGAAAGACAGCTACTATAAGTACATGAGAATCTTCTCCCCGTGACAGGAGCTTAGGCATCTAGCAAGCAAGTTACACACGCATATATGTGCTCTATCATCACACCTGTCGGTGACGGGCGGTGGGCAGCTCGCACAGCAACGCCCACAGCCCAAGATGTTTCAGGGGGGTTTTCTCGGCACTCTTTATGAAGGAAATGAATAGCTATAGTAGGGGTTTTGGTGTTGCTAAGCTAGATTTCTTCCATCTCCGCAGAGCGCTGTGGCACTCTGCTCAAGGCAGCCAGTCGAGCAGCTGATGACCGTTACACAGTAGTTATGGGAGTAGTCTATTTTTGACCAATGACGGTCTTTCCATTCAGTCTCTCAAGCTTTAGGCAATATTACTAGTGTCCAAGCTCCAGGTGATGTGTCGGGAGTGTTGCCTTCCCTCAGCAGCATGCCTCGTCCACCGTCTTCCACTCCACTGACCTACACGAATTCACCCTGCTGCCTTGAGTACTATCCTACTCAAGTAACTGCTTTATGTACCTCAGCACGTATCTTGTCCCACCATTCGCCTCGGTCTCCTCGGACTCCCCACCAATATCGTCACCCGTATCATGACCCCCTCGCCCTTTTGCCAACCCGAACCTCTCTGCCTAGTCCATAACCCATGGTCTTTAGCATCGCCGGTAAAATCAGCCAGGCCACCCGCTTTGTTTCATGGTGGCCCGACCGGGATACCGAGCGTACTCTGTTGTGGAGTTGTACAGGCAGCATTGTAACCTGATGCCAACTTGACCACCCCTACGCGCCGGCTGCCTAACAAGCTTCTCAGGCAGGCAAATGCATCGTTCCTAATGAGTCATCTAGTTGAAAAGCTTTTGGTGGACTGATCTCGCAATTCTTGCCACTTGCCCTCCACACATCCTCCGAGACGTGTCAACGAGTACACGCTTGTACACAAGCAAACGTCCCGTGTCAGCTGATATCTCGGCGTCAGATACACCGATATCTAGTTCGCTTGACGGCTTATATCCTAAGCTTTTGCGGTGATACTCTACGATTGCAGTTAAAAGGTAAGTACCTTTTGTCATGCGATTGAGGATGCCAAGACTGGTAATTTGTATGTAATAGCAAGGTACACCAGACAAGAAATACTGCAAGGATAACGCAAGCACTGCATTGACCGGCAGGAGCCGCAGTGATTGACAAGTCTGGACTACCGAAGCGTGTATCTCGCAGAGGACAACTCCACCATACATCACAATGTGCGGCAACTCTTGCCAGCGACCATTCAATCTCTAGTAGTAGTTTCGATGTAATATTCTCATGTCGTGCAAAGTCACATCACTCAAAAATGAACGTCAATTTGAATCGTCATGCAATGTCTATTACGGTTATAATCATATTCTGCAATGCAGAATCATTTACATAAGTCTTCTCGAGCTTGTATCATCCATATGTCAAGGTCAAAACTCCCAGCCTTCATAGCAGTCTAGCTTGCAAAATACAACATTTGGCAAAGCCACAGGCACAGCCCGGGCTTCATCGTCTTACTTTTTTTTTCATTATCAGTAGACGTTCAAGCCTTGAACTCCTCAACGTTGCCGCTCTCCCACTTTCCGGGGACAAGAGCCAGAGGGACGATACCGGAGACGTGCATCTCGGGGCCAAAGATCTTGGCGTCGAGGCCAAGCTCCTGGGTGGCAGCCTTCATGTTCTTGAGACCCTCCTGGTAGTTGGGACCGGCACGGCGGACCCAGATCTTGACCTTGTGCTCGATGAGGCGAGGGGCAAAGTCGCGGAGAGCGCGAATGACACCTTTGAAAGTGCTTGCGACATTGGTGAAGTTGGCAATACCACCACCGATGAAGAGAACCTTGCCCTTGTCGGAGAGGGGGGCGCGGAGCATCAGGTCGAGGACGGTACGGGCGTAGTGGTAGGTCTGAGACTCGGTGGGGGCACCAGAGTATTCGCCATAGTTGGCAAGCTCGTCGGCAAACCCAGACGAGGCAATTGCGTCGGCATAGACGACGGAGGCACCGCCACCGGCAACCAGAGTCCAGATGCGGCCGGCAGGGTTGAGGACGGTGAGCTTGAGGGAAGCACCAGTCTTGGCATCGAGGTCGGCGATGTACGCCTCCTCCTTGGTGAGCTCACGGCCGAAAGGAGCAGGGAACTCCATCGGGGGGCCAGCATCCACGCTGATCTTGTCGGCACCAGCTGCAATGTTGGTCAGGCCGAGAGCAGCGGGAGAGCGGGCAATGGCCCACTTGGAACCACACTCAAAGTCGGCCGTTTGGTCGATCTTAGCAGCGAGATCCAGGAAGTGGACTTCAGCAGAGGTCTTTTCGGCGTTGGGGATGACAACGAGGGGGTTGATCTCGAGATATGTGAACTGGCAGTCGACGTAGACGGCGTAGAGGCGCATGATGAAATCGACGAGGACATTGTGAACACCCTGGGGCACCTTCTTGAGAAGGGTGGCGGCGAGCTCCTGGTGTGAAGGGAACTCAGCAAGATCAACGGGGATGAGAATCTTCTCGGCCTTCTCGTCGACATCACCAACATCGACACCACCCTCGTGGGTGAAGAGAATCCAGTCACCCTATGGGGAAAACAAAAGCAGTTAGCACGATCTATCCTTCTTTAAATAGAATTGAATTCAGAGGCAAATGCAGGTACGCCGTTTGCGGGCTTCGGGTCGCGCCGTTGCTCATCGAGACAGGGGTGGTGGTGCAGAGCCGGGACCCTCTTGATCGTGACATCCGTTCGCCCGTGGCGGATGAACGTTACGAGGGCACCACACCAAAAAGGGAGCCCACATAAAATCTCAGCAGCCGACAGCTGTGGTCTATAAAAGTAGGAGTCTGCTGCAGAGGGGCAGTAAGAGACATTCCCAAATTACTTTCACCAGTGTTCCTTTCTGAACATGTAGGGCACCCCATGCACTGCAACGATGTGTCACGCAAACGACAATGGCTGAATAAGCCACAGAAGCTGCCAACGGCACAAGAAAAGCAAAAAAGACGACAAAACTTACATCGCGGACAGAGTTGATGTTGATGTAGTACTCGGTATCTTGGGGGTGGGGGACGAAAGGCTCAACAAGGAATTGTCTGAGGACACCGCTGGTATGCTCAACCTTTTGCTCCGTGCCAGCGCGCTCGGCAACCCATGCCTTGGCCTCGGGCCAAGTCTTGTTTAGGGCGAGAAGACCGCTCTTGCCACGACGCTTGATGAGCTGATCGGGCTTTGCGACGAACTTGGCGCCGTTCTGGAGGAGCCAAGGGTAGGTGACCTCAGCCTGGTTGAGAACGTCTTGGACGTTGGCGTCCTCAGCGAAGTGCAGAGAAGCAAGTCTGGCCGGGGCGTTGTGCTTGGTAGGCTGAGCCAGAGGGCTAGGCTTGATGGCGGGAGCGCGAGTGAGGTGGTAGTTGAGGATGGCCTTGCCGTCGGCCTCGAAGATCGACTTGGCGGACATGGTTTGGAGATGTGTGCGGTGAAGTGGGATATGAGAATTGGCGGAGAAGAGGTCTGGATTCGACAGGATCAAACGAAATCTGGGACGAGTCAGAAAAAGGTCGCCAAAGATGAGCGCATGTGCAGCGGAGCCAATGGACACGGAAGTCAACGACAAAGCCACCGAGGACGACCCAACGCGGAAGCTCGCAGGTGCAGTGGGATGGACAAACGTACCAGCAGCTGTGGCAGGGAGCTGCAACGGGAAGTTGAAGAGATAAAAAATGGAAGAGGTCGTGTGGAATTGCACAGAGCGAGGTCGGCGGAAAGATGGAGAGGATTGTGAAGCTCGAAAACAGAGTCAATGGGCGAAGAAGTGGGAGGGAAGACTGATGAGATGCAGGATGGTGGCAGAAAAGCAAGCACCGAGTCGAGACGGGTGGGTGACAGCGACAAAAAAATTTGGGGGACCAAGCTCTGGCGCAGTGAGCAGAGTGCAGCGTGCAGCTGTCCAAGAGGGGCGATCAGTGCCGTCTGTCGGATTTTTGGGGAGCTTCCTGGGACTCGGCGAGCAGCGCGACAACCCCTCTGGGTCCTTCTTTTTTTGGTGGGCAACGGGCGGTCAGCACAGGGGAGGGGGCAGTTGCTTGGCTGTGGTGGGCAACAGTGACGACAGTTCCAGGCTCTAGCTGTATCTGCACTCAAAAAAAGCTTTGGGGCATGTACCGGTACATGGAGGCTGCATCCCCCCAGCGGTTGAGAAGCCAAGTGGATCAGCGCTAGAAGTCTGGTGGTGCCTGGTCTGGCGGGCTCCGCAGTGGCCGTGGCCGGCAACTTTTCCGACCTAGAGAGGCAGGGTCAAACAGCAGTACCTCCTGGGCTGTTTCTCAGCTATCTGGATGGCAGCACTCATCAGGCTCCGACTCCGTCTTTGTCTGACCAATTACGCCGTCGGCGATTCAGAGCAGCCACGGGGGATTATGTACGCCACGGATGAGATTACTCAAAGACTTGCTTGGAGGGAGGGCATTGCATGGAACAAGACACAATGCTGTATCCATCACACCAGCAGCACGATCCTCCGAGGCCGCCGAGGACCAAACCGGGTTCCACCAACAAATTGACAGAAAAATCTCAATTTCCCGATTTCGCTCTCCCGGTACGAGTACTGGCGCGGCAAACCAGATCGAATGCCACAAAGCGAAAACGAATTAGGGGTGGATACGGATGCGACACGGCTGACGCAGTGATGGCCCGGACAAGATTACACCTTCAACAATCAGACCTTCTATCCGGTTCTAACTACTCATGCTGGCATGTATGACCAGGCTGAGAATACCCCAGACTACTCGTCTCTGAAGTCTTCAGCAAGACGTCCTTGGACGGCAGCTACAGCCCAACCCATGTCAGCTCCATCGTCTTGGGCGCTTTATTATTATGCACCAGTCTGTCGTTACGAGATTGATGACGAATGATGTTGGAAATTCTTATGGCTAGTCGGGATGATTGTCGGCCGTTTCTGACGTTGCGACGTCTCTTATCATTGGCTTATCGCCGGCCGAGCTGAGCTTAAACTTCATTGCCGACAGTGGATGCGTGCTGCAGGCTTTGTGCGGGCTGGTGTGCATATGCACCCAGATGGCGTGTAAGCCAAGATGCCATCACGAGCGTTGCACGGGTTTTTTTATTGAGAGAGAGACAAGAACCGCCCAAGGTAGCTCTTACAGACATCAGCACCTACACTCTTCATACGGCAAAAGAATGCCTCTTTGGGCAGCTTCTGGTGATGAGGCTTACGCGCTAGTGCCGCCGCCCAGCACAGGCGCTGCGTGGCGCTGCGACTGAAGCACGCCGTTGCTTACACAGGAATGGCATTCGCGTGCATCGGGAGGGGAGCCGGACGAGATGGGAGCAGGCTTCTCCATGGTGAGCGGGGGTTCTAAATGCCGGTCTGGAGTTGAAAACCGGGTGCGACAAGTTCTTCTTGTTCGCGTTGCAGATATTATTATGGGCAAAAGAGCTATTTACCTGACTCTAGAGCCCGACAGCGGCGGCCTTTGGCAGCTGGCAAAGCAAAGGGACTGGCAGTGACCACCACCAAGCGCAGCGGCGCTGTTGCACTTGATCCCCCACTAAACCCGTCTCGGTTTTAGTGCGGCGGGACAAGGGTCTGGCTGGACTCTGTGACAGCCTGCTATGCTAGTTGCTCACACCGCGTGGCAGCAATTCAACAGATCCAACAGGCTTTTATTAGCCTCAACTAGTTAGTTACCGCGAGACGAGGAGAGAGGAAAAGCAAATCGCCCCAACTGGTATGGCATACACAGCCGCCAGACAGCGACACCGCTCATCCACCTCGCTGCGTCTAGATGCCAGAGACGTAGGTACCTACCTACCGAATGAGCCAGCATCGTGGAATTAATGGATATCTATCCGATTGCGAGCACAGTCAACTCAGTACGGATTCTGGTTGATTAATTCATTCCTTCTTCTTGTTGCTGAGGCTCTACCCTCATGGCAAGCACACAGTCTCCCAGATACAGCTCCCAACTTACAGTGGACTAACAGCGCTGTTTCCGTCGAGCCCCACCCAACCCCAAGGCAAACCTGCCCCATCACCGCCCGCCGCAGCACAGCACCATACTTCTGCATCGTCGTACTGGTACTGTGCATGTACCTCTACTTGTCCTCTCAGATACTCCGTACTCCAAGTCCTCCTCACTCTTTTTCGCTCCCTCGTCAACCCAGCACCACTCGGCAGGGATCCGCTACAAGGTCCCGGCTCCACTCCCTGTTTTTGGTGACCCTCTGCTTGGTGGGCTGTCGCTGTCGCTGTCGCTGTCGCTGCAGGCTGCTGCTCCCCAAGGAAGGTGGGCTGTCCACAGCATTGGCGGGCGACTTGGTGCGGCAAACACTCCCACCAAAGGCCTGGTCCGTCCTGTTGAATCACCCAGAAGCTCCTCCTCGTTATCCTCCGCCAGCTTCCCTTCACCTCCTGATCTTTCTCACACCTCTTTTTTCTTCCTCCATTCCCTGCCCTCCCCCATCGTCCTCATTGGCAAGCTTCATCTTGTCATTCACCCTCTCGTGTCTTCCAAGCTCAGCTAGTAACAGCTTCTCCCTCCGCTGCCAATACCGGCAAAAAAAGTTTCCTGGTCGGAACCCGCCTCTCCTCCGTTTGCTCACCACTCGAGTCACCTTCCTCAACAGCTTCAATTCATCCACCTGCAGCCTTGAACGGCTCTCTGCCCAGCTTCTACATACAACACAGACACGACATCCTTCACAATGGCTCAGGGCAACACCACGGCCAGCGGCGCCAACCTCTCTGCCAACGACAATATCCAGCGCTTCGCTGCTCCCAGCCGGCCTCTCAGCCCTCTCCCCGAGCACGCCCTCTTCCACGACAAGACCCGATGCTTCGTCTACGGCCTTCAGCCCCGAGCCGTCCAGGGCATGCTTGACTTTGACTTCATTTGCAAGCGCAAGACCCCCTCCGTCGCCGGCATCATCTACACGTTTGGTGGCCAGTTCGTCAGCAAGATGTACTGGGGCACCTCCGAGACTCTCCTGCCCGTTTACCAGCAGACTGAGAAGGCCATGGAGAAGCACCCCGACGTCGATGTCGTTGTCAACTTTGCCTCTTCTCGCTCCGTCTACAGCTCCACCATGGAGCTGATGCAGTACCCTCAGATCAAGACCATTGCCATCATTGCCGAGGGTGTCCCCGAGCGCGTAAGTTGCACCCCAATGGTGTCTCGACTCGGGTATTCAGCTAACAACCAGCTTCTTCCAGCGCGCGCGTGAGATTGCCCACGCTGCCAAGAAGAAGGGCGTCACCATCATCGGCCCCGCCACTGTCGGTGGAATCAAGCCTGGTAGCTTCAAGATTGGCAACACTGGTGGTATGATGGACAACATTGTCGCCTCCAAGCTCTACCGCAAGGGTTCCGTCGGCTACGTCTCCAAGTCAGGCGGTATGTCCAACGAGCTCAACAACATTATTGCCCAAAACACAGATGGCGTATACGAGGGTATTGCCATCGGTGGTGACCGTTACCCCGGTACCACCTTCATCGACCACCTGCTCCGCTACCAGGCCGATCCCGCCTGCAAGATCCTCGTTCTTCTTGGTGAGGTCGGTGGTGTCGAGGAGTACAAGGTCATTGATGCCGTTAAGAAGGGCATCATCACTAAGCCAATCGTCGCCTGGGCCATTGGTACCTGCGCCAGCATGTTCAAAACCGAAGTCCAGTTCGGTCACGCTGGTGCCCTCGCCAACTCTCTGCTCGAGACTGCCGCCACCAAGAACCAGTCCATGAAGGAAGCTGGCTTCCACGTCCCCAACACATTTGAGGACATGCCTGCCCTTCTCGGTGAACTCTACCAAAAGCTCGTCAAGCAAGGCACCATTCAGCCCCAGCCCGAGCCTGTCGTTCCCAAGATCCCCATTGACTACTCGTGGGCCCAGGAGCTCGGCCTCATCCGTAAACCCGCAGCCTTCATCTCTACCATTTCCGATGACCGTGGTCAGGAGCTTCTCTACGCCGGTATGCCCATTTCCGACGTCTTCAGGGAGGACATTGGTATCGGTGGTGTCATGTCGCTGCTGTGGTTCCGTCGCAGACTCCCTGAGTACGCCTCCAAGTTCCTCGAGATGGTTCTCATGCTTACGGCCGATCACGGTCCTGCCGTCTCTGGTGCCATGAACACCATTATTACCACCCGTGCCGGCAAGGACCTGATCAGTGCTCTCGTCTCTGGTCTCCTGACCATTGGCTCCCGCTTCGGTGGTGCCCTCGACGGTGCCGCCGAGGAGTTCACCAAAGCCTTTGACAAGAACCTGAGCCCCCGTGAGTTTGTTGACAGCATGCGCAAGGCCAACAAGCTCATCCCCGGTATTGGTCACCGTGTCAAGTCCCGCAACAACCCTGATCTGCGTGTTGAGCTTGTAAAGGAGTATGTCATCGCCAAGTTCCCCAGCCACAAGCTTCTCGATTACGCCCTGGCTGTGGAGACCGTTACCACCTCCAAGAAAGACAACCTGATTCTCAATGTCGACGGCTGTATTGCCGTCTGCTTCGTTGACCTGCTGCGCAACTGCGGTGCCTTTTCTCCGGAGGAGGCTGAGGACTATCTCGGCATGGGTGTACTTAACGGTCTCTTTGTCCTTGGTCGCTCCATTGGTCTTATTGCCCATTACCTCGACCAGAAGAGACTGCGCACTGGTCTGTACCGTCACCCCTGGGATGATATTACTTACCTCCTCCCCAACCTCCGCGAAGGCCGGCCTGGCGCTGAGGGCAGAGTCGAGGTACAGATGTAGGGAAATGATGAAATTTCACGAGCGTCACATTGCTTTTTGTTTCCAGTTACCATTGATGATTGAAGGTGATGAAATAAAGGAGGGAAACGGTAGACTACTGTACAGGAGAACGGCTCATGGCGGCACGCTACCATGTGGCCGCTATGGTTCGCTGTTGAATCGAAATAGACATGTAATTAATTCAATCTTTGTCAATCTACTCTGCCGCTCTTTGGGTGTTTTTGTTGCAATAAATGTTAGGCTAGGTGTCAAGGAGTCTCTCCAACACGCAGTCTGCGGTAATACACTTCTAGATGTATTAGTTACTTAATAAGCCCAGTGAAACAGATGGTACGCGCCACAGCAACACTCAAGGTCTAGAGCAAGAATCGCAGCCTCGAAGCAAAGGAAATACCATTGAATCGATCCAGATGAAATCTCGGGCCAGATTTCCTGGAATGTGACAGGCAATGGCTATCTGTGAAACATATGTTCCCTTGCCGGGTATTAGGCTGTTGGTGGGAGCGCACGTGACTTAAATTTTATCGACAACCCAATGTCCAAGTCTCGAGACAATCTCAAGCCAGAACTTTCAGAGCAGCAATTGCGCCTGCGAAGCCAAACATCACCAATAAAAAAAGACGCACTGACATATCGAGCGAATTCTGAACCCCTTGCCTCGACATTTTACCCCTCTCACGAACGTTCAACCGACGCCAACTCATCTCCCGCAGGGGAAACCCCCCCCCCAAAAAGTTACCATCTATCCTTGGTCGACGACCGTCATACCAACTCACGAAATCCGACCAGACGAAAAAACACACACAGACACACACATCAAGAAAATGTCGTCGTACTTTCGCGTCACGCTCCACCGGAGCGCCATTGGGTTACCGGAGCGCACGCGGGGCGTGCTCGCGGCGCTGGGCCTGAGGCGGCGCGCGCAGACCGTCTTCCACCCGGCGGAGCCGCAGTTTGCGGGTATGATCTTCAAGGTCAAGGAGCTGGTGCGCGTGGCCGAGGTCGACCGGGCGCTGACGAAGCGCGAGGTGTCGGCGGAGCGCACGCCGGATGCCGGCTTCTATGTGGAGAGCAGGGTGACGGACCGGCTGCGACTGCAGCAGAAGCAATAAGGGGAGGAGGAGGCGCGGAGATGGATGAAAGGAGCAAGAGGGAACTGTAACCATATACTATTTTGTTGCTTTTTGACGACCATGTACGAGTATTACTGGCATATTGCAGAGGGGGCGACCTTGTAGCATGGATTTTTTCACATATCACAGCATTCTTCAGTCGCATGTATTTGATAATTCAGCAATGTGTTAAAATGCCACGGTGACCATACTGTTGTACACTGAGTATAAAGAGAGAGTTCCCCCGTGCTCCCTGAATAAAAACAAGGATAGAACTGTTCAACACCGTTATTACCAAGACAAAAACTCCTTTCCAGCCGCGATAGAATGCAAGACACGAAAACGCGCCCCTTTTCTTTCCAAAGAAGATGCCCCCCCCCCCCAAGCTACTTGTCGGTTCCTTTAGAAGCTGCGCGCCTTGTCAATGTACTCTTGCGAGGGCGACTCGTACTCGTTGACGAAATAGTGCTCGCAGTTGCGACCGAGCCACACAGTAAACTTGCCAATCTCCTCGCGCAAGCGGGACACGGACTGCTGGTCCATGTTGGTCTGCGCCAAGAGTTCGGGGAGAGAGACTGCAAGTGCTGGTTGTTAGCCTCGAAAACAGGAAATGGGGGGGGGCAAGAATGGTTAGGGTGTGGTTAGGGGAACCTACCGATGAGACGGGCGAGGTGCTCGGCGCCGTAGACGTCGCAGACGTTTTTGTACTTTGCGTTTTCGCCGGGATTGTCCCACAACTTGCGGATATCCATGTATTGATGACGTTCGAAACTGGGGGAGGGGTTGTTTAGCAAAAGAAGAACATGTTGCCACGTAGCGTCCTGTCAAGTGGCAGAGCTTCGCAACGTACCGGTACAGCAGGATCCGGCTCAGCGACTTTTCAAAGTACTCGCGGAAGCCGGCAATGACCTCGTCGAGAATGTCCATGCTGGCCGAGCCCGCCTCGCGGTGCGGCCGCTCAAACACGAGGTAATCCGCAAACAACTTGGTCACCGGCGTGGGGTGCGGCAGCGGCACGAGCTGGTTGTTCTTGGTAATGTTTTCCCAGTCGTCCACCAGCATAGCCTGGATGTGGTCCGGCACTGGAATGTGAATCATGGGTTTGGCGTGGAAGGCATCCTCGGTCTCGAGCTCCCAGTCCTTGCCGCGGCGACCGCCGGCGCCGGCGCGGCCACCCAAGCCCGTCACCGCCGCTGCACTCCCCCCCCTCTCCTCGCTGCCCCGGTTCGAGGCGTCTGGACGCAGGCCGCCCCGTCTCCCGCCACCGGCAGCACCAGCGCCGGCAGGTCCTTGCTTGTTATTCTTGGCCATGCTCTGTCGCAGCTGGGCGTGCAGCTGGGCCGCGAGCTCGCGGTGTTCGTCGTCGAATGGGCGGATGCGATCAGCGAGCACCCAGTCGTCCCAGGTACTCTTCCAGCCCTTATAATGCACCTTGTATCGCCACCCGTCGCCCGGCTTCTCCGCTGGCTGCACGTCGGTTACCTTGGCCTCGTAGAGCATATCCATGTGGAAACAGAGCACCTTTTCGTCCTTGGAGAACTGCGAGGGCGGGTTGCGTGCGGGCGCCATGGCTGTGTGTGTTGTATGTTTTGTGCCAGGCGAGAAAGCTGCAGGTAGCCCTGCGTAAAGCGGTATTTGTTTGCTTGTTTCTGGTTCTTGTGACGCTATTGTGAGGAGACTATTGAAATATTGGAAGATTAAAAAGCAAAATTGTCGTACAGACGCGAATGACCCAGGTGTCGCTTCGTTGGTGGTGGTTGTGGTGATGGAGAATGGAGGCCCGTTTGCGATGGTTGCTGCATGGATGTGAGTGAGCTCGGGATCGATTGAGGCGGACCAGACTTGACCAGCTCGCGTTAATTGCCCAGCGTTCTTTGTTCCTTTTTTGGCCTTGTACGCACGCGACGCGAATTTTGAGCACTCCCGCCCGGGCGCAATGGCGGGCCGTGATTGGCCTGAGGCTCCTGCACACACACGATTTGACCGCAAAGACTTTCAAGCCCACCAACTCTGAAGTCTACTCCTAATTTATATATTAATTTAGTATCTACCTACACAGGCATGGCGCGTATATGAATTAATAAGAATTAAGACAATGATGATAGCCTAGGTATGGTACCTGCAAACGAATAGGGACGCCGTAATAGTTGAGGCTTGTAACAAGCGCCCGGGGACATATTTCTATGGATTAATTTCTGATTATTGAACTTCAGTCAAGCCCTGATATAACAAACTATTCAGTCTCGGCGTAATGAATCCTCAATTGGTTGAGCTTGGAGCGTATGCCTATGACGATGCGTCCGCGGTTGGTGGGGGTACAAACGTCACCGTTCACCACCCAAGCAACGCGTCTCCAAGCTACAGCGCGTGCAAGGCTGGACCCTGCATAACCACCAAAATAATAGCTCTTTTGCATGATACCAACGCAGTCCGACCAAACCCAATAATAACTCCGAAACGAGGGGAAAAAAGCACACACCAACTCCTCCCGCTCCTCCCGCTTCTCCCCTCCCGACACACATACGCGCGCGTCACCAATGGCATCCTCCTCGTCATCCCCGACCGAGGCCGAGCTCCTCACCAGCTTCCTCCTCGACCCCGCGCGACTGCCCAACATCATGACGCTCGAGCAATTCCGCGCGCTCTTCCCGCGCGAGGTGCGCGCCGCGCCGCCCGTCCGCAGTCTCTTCCTCGACCTGGCTGCCCAGCGCGGGCAGGCCATCGACACCGTCGCCGCCGCCATCGAGCTCGAGGCGCAACGCGGCGGGCCGGCCATCCGCCGCGCCGTCGCGCGCCAGCGCCGCGAAGAGGTTAACTGGGAGGTGGACGGCGAGGTGGAAATGGACCGCGCCGTAAGTCTGGGTCCTCGCTTCGCTCGCCCTGCTTAATTGGGAGAGCTGACCGTGCTGAGATGGAAGAGGTTTTTTTGTGCTAACGATGAGGTGTGGACAGCTCTTTGGAAGCGACTCGGCGGCCAAGAAATCCAAGCACACGCTCAGCAGTATCCTGCCGGAGCTTGACGGTGCTGCCGGCGCGGTCGAGACCGAGATTGCCAAACTGCGGCAGCAGGAGGCGGAGCTGAAAGAGGCCATTGCTAGGACAATCACTGACCTGGGCGACTTGCGCACCGGCACCCTCGCAAACGAGCAACTGCCGAACGAAGTGCTGGACGGCTTAGAAAATTTACAAGAAATTTGCAATCGCAAGACATGACACTTCATGCGCGACAACAAATCATACACAACGTAATACATCACGCGAGTCGCAAATATTAACCAAGATGACATGTAGTAATGGTCGTTTCTTCTCTACTAGACATGGCCACATACCCAATACGAAGAAACAGACAGGGCTGGCCTCATAATCCAACAATAGACCAGAAACATCCCATGAAAAACCTCCAGACACTGGCTGGCCCTCCGACCCAAACAGCGACTCCATTCGAAAAGGAAAACATCAGTCGTCGTCATTGTCGGCCCCGAATTTTTATTGTCCCAGGAGAAAAAAAAGATATACCGGAAGAAACCAAGGAGCCACGCTTGAGCTCCTTACTAAAATCGATCAAAGCTGTATTATAGGATATTGCGAAGTAAAAAAAAAGGACAAAAAAGATGCGTGTCCGATCATTGCGCACCAGCAGCGGGAGCGGCCTCAGCACGGCGCTGCTGAGGCTGCATGCGGTTACCCATCATGGTGCGGCTAAGCATGGAGACAATGAGCATGAAAGCCCAGTTGGGAACGAGGCTGAAAGCCCAAAAGGCGTAACCAACTGGCAGAGACAGGCCAAGCTCAGCAATCTTGCCGTTGAAGGGGTGGAACCACGAGTCGAGAAGCTCAAAAGACTTCCTGCCGTCGGCGTGGAGAGTGACGAGGTCGTCGGCGGTGGTGGTGGTCATGTTGAGGCGTCTCTTGTAAATGTCAATGGGAGCAGGTTCGGGGAGCATATCAAAGGCCCAGATGGCGCCGACACCAGCGGACCACGAGTTGCACAGGACACGCTCGTCTTCGCAGTTGAGGATAGCCATGTGAGGAGCCTTGGGGGTGACGGCGAATCGGCCGGCGGACTCGTTGAAAGCCTTCTCGATCTTTTCACATTGGCCTATTAAACATGTTAGTACGTGCGATTGAGATGTAGCAATTAAAAGGGTCCATACCAAAGCAGGTCTTGTTGCGACCAGTGATGAGCACCCACCACTCCTCGGGGATCTCAGAGCCCGCCTTAACGGGGGCGTAAAGGGTCTCCTTCCAGTTCTCGAGGGTCAAATGGGACGTCGTAATCTCGCCAACCTTGGCCTCGGCGGCAGCGACGGGGCCGTCTTGAACAACGGCCGAGTCGGCGACGGAGCCAGTGAACTTGCCGAGGAAGTTTTGAAACTGGGCCTTGTACTGGCCAAGAGGACCATCGGCAGCAGCGTCGGCAGCAAGGGCGGGAACGGCCGCGACGAGGGCGGCGGTAGCCAAAGAGAAGCGCATTGTGCTTGTGTGTGGGTTATTTTGTTCGAGGGAGGGATAAGGGGGGGAGGTGTTTCTCGAGGCAAAAAGCTGCTTGAGGAAGAAAGCCGCGAGAGAACGGAAGATGGTACAAGGTAAAAGCTAAATAGGAGAGCCTGGTCGGACGGAATCAGTCCAAAGGAGGGATATGAGGCTTCGAAGAAGAGCGAAAAGTAGGAGTGCGGCGACACGCTGGGGTGGTGAAAGATGGAAGATTGGAAAGGGTAACTAGGGAAAAGACAGGATGAGGCTAACTAGGTAGGCAAGGTGGCCAATTGAGGTGGACGTCGAGGCCGTGGCACCGTGGCGTTGGGGCGCGTTTCCCAAGAGGTACTTGAAGATGCGTGTGACTTGTGTGAGAGAATAGGTACCTGTGAGGGAATGAACCCCGTGTGTTTAATTTGCTTGGCCACTTTGGGTTGGCCGGCCTGCGGGGAAGGGAAGCTCCGGAGAGAGCAAAGCCGTGTTTGGTATTTGCAGCAGACGAAGGAGAGGGACATGCCGGAAAATACCAGGATAAATATTTGCGTATTCTCCTCGTAGTATCATGTATTTTGGCTATCTTTTCTATACATGGCATGCGGGTGACAAAATCTAGGTCGCCACACAATACAGCCAGGCACTGTGTTCCAAATAATAAAAAGGAGAGAGGGTAAAAACATTGCACGAGAAGAATAAAAAGGATAAACAGAATTATAAAGATAAAGAAGGCGATGATGATGAATATGTAATTCATAAGAACGAGGGGGATAGTAGTATATTGCTGACTGGTGTTTTGTTTCGTCAACCTCCTGTTTGCAAGAGGCAGAGCTGCTGGCATCACAAACAAGCTCCTTTCACCGGCACAAACTCAACGCTCAACACTTTGTAGCTCTAAGATGAACATGGCCGCCACAATCACGATATCATCGACGTCTCTAGGAGCCATTGTTTTGCCAAAGCTGCCACTACCCTCATCATGGAGCGTTGCGAACCACGCCCAGCCTTGTCACGACCACCTGGCTGGCTGCAGCCTGGCCGGCCACAATATTGGAGTTTGCCCCTCTTGTATGTTTTGTGGCTTGTCATCGCACAGAATCCGCACATGTTGGAATTTCTATGATTCTTTAGCATTAAACCTACAGTGTCGCAGATTCGTACGATGGCGCAGCACGGAAAGACGGATACTGCGTGGGACGACGACGACATACTCCTGGGACGTGACAATATGAGCGACTTCAATCCTGACAACATTCTACCTCTTCCAGTAGAGGAGATTGCAAACGTTCAAGCATGGCTGCAGCCAACTGCCTACGAAGACGATGATAGCGAGTTCTACAAGCACCTCGCAGCCCACCTTCATGGCACCGGCAAATGGCTTTTGGAGTCTCAAGAATACAAGGACTGGCACAAAAGCCAAGAAAATGGCTTGCTTTGGATCAGAGGTAAGTAGCTATCTTTGGAAATTGCTCTTCTTCTCAGAATTGGGCTGACCACAATCGCCTAGGCATTCCGGGATCCGGCAAGTCGGTTTACGCAGCGATGCTGACCCGTCACCTTCGCGAAGAAGACATCCCGGTGCTGTTCTTCTTCTTCAGGCAAATTATTGACGTGAATCACCAGCCTATCGCGGCCGTGCGTGATTGGCTCGCTCAGCTCTTGCCACACAGTCCGCCACTGCAGGCTAGGCTGAGCCAATACATGGCCGCCCATCGCATGTTGGAAAGCCTCTCTGCTGTCGATCTTTGGCGGGACCTCCAGATGGCCTTGCGGCACATTCAGAAGATATACCTAGTCGTTGACGCGCTCGACGAGATGGACCGTGGAGACGAGATGCTGTCCTTCTTGGAAAACCTGACTGAACTTGCCCGGTGTAGACCGGCACAAACCAAAGTCGTCATGACTTCTCATCCTGTCGCGTACCTTGAAGTGACATTACGGAGGGCACATTCGATCGACATTCGGCTCCAGGAGAAACTCGTCAATTTGGATATTGAAGCATACGTCAACGATCGTTTGGCATCCTCGAGTGTCAGGGCAGACGACCAAGAACTCATCAAGACTGCAGTGCCGGGTCATGCCAATGGTTTGTTTCTCTACGCAAAATTGGCCATGAATACTTTACTGCGACCAGGAGCGAATATACAAAGGGCTCTTGAGACTCTATCACAGGACCTCAACGTCATATATAATGGCTTGCTCCAGGATCATGCACGTCGAAGCGGTTTGGCCGAGGAGACACAGCTTCTGATTATGCAATTTGTCACGCACGCAACTCGACCACTACGTCTACGAGAGCTTGCAAGCATGATGAATGTCACTCAGTGTCTACCAGCGAACCGGGACCTTGAAGCTATGAAGAGCACTGTGCGGGTGGCCTGCGGGCCCCTGTTGGAGATTCTTCCGGACGAGACTGTGGCCGTTATTCATCACTGTCTCACAGAATTTCTAACCGACGTCACTAGAGCTGGAGCATCTGGTGGCTACCCGGTCTTTGAAGCCGCGAGAACCCACCAAAGGCTATCACTGGTCTGCCTGGCGTACCTACAGTCAGAAATTCTCGACAACCCAGACCTCGCAAGCAAGTCTGATGGACGGGAACGGGTTGTTCGTGAAGCGTTGCAGCGGGATACTTTTGCCAGATACGCTGCTAAAAACTGGTATATCCACGCTCGCAAGGCGGCACTCGCTGGTGCTGACCAATCCTGTTTGAACCCTATCTTGGACGAGATTTTCGGATCACCGAAGATGCTGGACCTGATGATAGGATCTGGCTCGAGTGGAACACAATTTACCCCAGTCTACGCGGCATCTGTTCTCGGTCTCCACGACTATGTCAAGATCCTGCTATTACGCCCTGGTATAGAGGTAAACCAGGGCACCAACCCTGAGGAGTCGCCTCTCTGCTATGCCTCAAGAAATGGATACGCGGACATCGTCAAGGCTTTACTCAAGGCTGGGGCAGATCCTTGCGAGCACTCAAAGGACTTCTCAAGACTCGCGCCGCTGCACTATGCAGTGAGACACAATCATCCAGAAGTCATCAAAATTCTGCTTGATAGCGGTGCCGATCCGATGATGGCCCCCAGCCGTCCTCACTCTTGTTCTGCATTTGCAATGGCCTGTACCGGAGGTCACCTCGCAGCACTGAAGGCTTTTCTACCTTATCTGAGTTCAGAGGCGCTTCTAAGTCGAGCCATCCTCTGGGTAGCACCCACAAGGCGATCGGATATGATGGCTGCCGTGTTGGGTCACCCTCTCGCTAGGATCGACAAGAAGACGAAATATACTCCACCGTTGTTTCTTGCCAGTGCGAAGCGAGATCCGTCCATGGTAAAACTACTTTTGCAGGCAGGAGCAGACGCAACAATGGTGCACAGTCTGGAGAGCTGTGGTGATCCCAACCTGGGATATAATGCCCTCCACGGCTGGGCCGCGACTCAATCGCAAATTAGCAGCATCGAGAATCACGATTATTTCGACCTTGACCCGAAGGCATACGACTCCGACGCCACAATCGAGGTTTTCAATTTACTCCTTGAGGCTGGCGCTGACATCAATCAGTTGAATGACCTCCACAACACGCCGCTGCACTACGCACGCGATGTGTTGGCAGCGAGACTCCTCATTGACGCGGGCGCCGATGTTTCTGCGACCAATCGCCGCGGTGAGACCCTAGTCCATTTGACTAAGAGTCAGCCTATACTGCAGTACCTTCTCGACGAGACAAGTGTGTTTACGAAGTCGCGCAACCTGTTGGACTCGATGATGCTCCGGCGCCTGCGTGACGGCTATATCGAGCAGGCACAAATGTTCTTTGAATATGGCGCCAACCCTTCTGTGGTCGATAGTGACGGTCAAACGGCGGTGCACCTGCTTGCGGTTGAGAAGCGGCCCAGGCGGAATGGAGCAGAAGATGCACGAGTGCCTCTCTTGAGAAGGCTGTTACAGTCAGGCCTGGACATTAATGCTCGCAATTCCAAGGGCCAAACAGCTCTACACCTACTGGATTTCAATTTTCGTGAGGAGGATCAAAATGCCGAGCTATTTCAGACCTTGCTACATCATGGTGCAGACATTGAAGCCAAGGATCACCTCGGACAGACGCCGCTTTTCTGCAAATTCGGCCCCGATGCACGATTTTCCAGGCAAGGCATGGTGGAGCTTTTTCAAGGCATGTTGCGGATTGGAGCACGTCTCGACAGCAGAGACTGTTTAGGCCGGACGTTGTTTCACGTTGCAGTCAACGAAAGTCACGAAGACGATATCCAGTGGCTAGCGGAGCACGGCATCGATCCTCGGGCTACGGATGCCGATGGAAACACGTTATTCCACGAGTTGCTGAAGCACGCTCCAAGAACCTGTTATAAGAGTCCCGATTTTGCCAAACTCGAGAAACTTGTCAGCCTTGGCGTCGATCCGCAGCAAGCCAACGCTGCTGGTAGAACGCCACTCCACATAGCGAGCACGATGAAACTGTGTGCAATTGCAGATAGGCCCTGGACCTCACTCATTGGATCAACGACAGTGTTTGACTGGCTCCTGAATATCCAGCATGATGTTGATGCCGCGGATCGAGATGGAATCACGGCATTCCATTTGGCGTCAACACTCTCAGAGTATATGGCACAACGATTGCTCGAGCGGGGAGCCGATCCGCTGAAGCCGACAAAGGAAGGCCTAAATGGACTGCATCTAGCTGCGCGGGCTCGGCAAGTAAATATACTGGGAATGATCCTCGAGACCGTCGTTGATAGGGCAGGGGATACTAGTCACTGGCAGTCAACAGTTGGAATCTGTACTGGACACCCACAATCACCTATGTTCTATGCCTGTGCCTCTGGACGCCTTGAAAGTGTGAAGCTTCTCCTGGATGCCGGCCTCGGAACCCAATCTGTCGACTACCAGGGCTCAGCATTACAGGGTGCGGTTAGCTTCGAAGACGAGAACCAAAACTGGTCAAACTTTCAAGACGGCAACGAGAACTGGCCGCCAAGCTTTTTGGGTCTCCAGAAGAATGGCCCAAGGGACGTCAAAAGTGTTACTCTGCACGATGAACCTCGCACAACAACGCAGCCCAACACCGAACCGTCTGAGCGTATCGATGAGATTCTGGAAATGCTTGTCAGCCATGAGCTGGTACATAGAGATCATGTTTCAGAAGCAGTGGAGGAAGCTACAAAGAAGAATCATGCCTACACCCTGTCTTGTCTTCTGAAGATCAGGGACCGACTCAGCATGAGTGACGAATGCAGCGACGCCGAGGCAGTTTCTGCCTTGATTGAGTCTAGAAAGAATGCCCAGCGTCCTTTTACTGAGAAGACCTCGGATGGAAAGTCGCTCACTGCCGCAGAGTTTACGTCTGCGATGAAGGCGCGATTCTTTGATGTAGTCTGCCACGGGATGACCCCAGAAAGCTCCCTTCAAACCATAAGCAACAACTATCGAGACGAAACACTACTTGAATATCTCGTCAAGGGAGGGTACTCCGAAATTCTTGGCAAAATTGCAAACTCTGCATGCATCGTTATGCATGATAATGGTACATGGATGGGTACAACACACAACATAAACCCCGATAATGTCGAATCGCTGCTCATTACAGCCTGCCGACGGGTGGTACCCAACATGGAAGTCATAAAACTCCTCGTTGAGCGATTTGGTGTGGATGTAAATGGACCGGAGATCAAGGCGCGTCAAAGATCTTCTAGCCACCAGGACAAACCTGGTTCGGCGCTCTATGTACCGGCATCAGGTGGACACTGGTGGCAAGTTGCGGAGGCTATGCCGTATCTGATAACCCATGGTGCGGATGTTAATAAGCGCGACGAAAGGGGCCTGACACCACTCAATGCAATATTGAAGGACTTTCGGGACTTCAAGTTGGGCGTCAGCAGGAGAGCACTGGAAGTCCTTGTCAAGCACGGTGCCGACTTAAACTCCGTCGATGAGCGCGGATTGTCTTGCATTGAGCGTGCCATGTTCGACGGCGGGGTCTTGGCATCACTTCTGAGACGCCTTTCGAATGTGCCGTCGGAACATCTGATTTCCGCCATTCGTACAGGAAATCTCGACGTTGTTGAGAGACTTCTGAAGGCGGGGGCAGACCCAAATGGAAGAAAGACATTAGGGGCCGGGACTGGTGGTGATTCGTTGACAATGTACAGCAATATGAGGAAATGCGTTGTGCTGGGTTTGAAAGATGACGAGAAGCTTCCCCTACACTGTGCAATGTCGGGCTCTGGCTATCAGCGCAAAGGGTCGATCGAGATTATTGAGCTCCTCTTGAAGTATGGAGCGGATCCTCTCGCAAAATACGACACATCTACAATGCTGCATCAGCTGCTTGCGGAAGGCGCTGGTCAATCCTTTTCATGGCTCCTGGAGAAAGATATACCTGGATTTGACCCGAACTGCGCGGATGCAAAAGGTGCCACGCTCTTCCATCTTGCGTGCCAGTACAAGGACACAAACAATCAGCCTACACTGGCAGAAATTCTCCTTTCTCGCGGCGCTGACATATACGCCAAGGGCGAAGAAGGGTGGAACACGCTGCACTACCTTGCTGGCGCAAAGGGAGAGCATGCTCGGCTGGCGATGCTCCGCCGCGTCGCAGCTTTGGCACCGGAGCTCGTCAACGAGCGGGATAAGAATGGCCTTACGCCACTCCACTTGGCGGTGGGCGGTGGGCGTCACGACCACGATTGTGACTATGAGGGCATTGCGGCGCTTGTCGATGCTGGAGCAGATGCCAGCATGGCGGACAACAAAGGCAACACGGCGCTGCATATTCTACTCGGCGTGCACCCCTTTGTCGTCGGATGGCCTACCTTTGTCGTGGAGCCGGAAGAGCGCAAGGTAGTGGACAGGCTCCTGGCATGCCCCGGCGTGGACATTAACGCAGCCAACCGTGCCGGCGAGACACCCATCTTTGCGTACCTCCGGAGCGGCCAGGTCATGATGGGTGGCGACAACATAGACGGCCTGATGGAGGAGCAGCTCATGCGGGCGCTGCAGCACCTGGGTATTGACAAGAGCAACAAGTTGGAGGCGGTGGTGCTGGGCAAGATGGACACGGCGCTGCTTGACATGTTTGCGGCGCGCGGCGTGGACTGGCTGGCGCGCAACAACAGGGGCGAGACGCTGATGCACGTGGGCGTGCAGCATCGCGGGGGCGCGGCGGTCAAGGTCAGGTACCTTTTGGGCAAAGGCGTGGACCCGGCTGCGGAGGACGAGGACCTGAGGACGGCGCTGGATGTCGCGGCGAGTCTCGAGGCCAACGACGTTCTCGGGCTGTTTGGGCGTGACGGTCAGGACGCGGCTCGGTTGAGGGAGGAAGAAGATTTGTATGAGAGTGTGTACGGCCCGCAGACTACTCGATAGGCATAAGACTTGCTGCCTTGCCTCCCCTGTCAACAAGGACAGCCAATCATCAAAGTGATTCACTTGGTCATGATACACACAGCCTTAGGGGGGTGACGTAGCTGTTCGAGGTGCCGCGGCGTTGCGGACAGACTACATAGCAAGCAGCCTTGTCTCACATCAGCCCTAAGGCCGTCTGCAGCGAACAACACGCGAGTAACCAACAGGTCGGATTCTGTTCGCATTGACATACGTATACCCGGCGCGCCCACAAGCCGGCTCCGAGTTTGTTCAACGAACGACGTGGTGGGTGATCCAACTATCGAGTGGGAGCGGGAATGACCATGATTGGATCGGGGGATGGAGCCGGTCTTCTTGGACAAATGAGCTCGGATTCATCAATGCGTACTGTTTGGTGTATAGGTTGTGGCAGTGCATATTCCAACTAGCTCGTCCTTTTTGCGCCAATCTGCTAGTTAACAAGGTTTTGCAAGATGCGCGTATTCCGGTGCGGCTGAACCGTCAGCGAACCGGGCGCCACACAACTAAATTTATTTTTAACGGCCAACACGCGTATTACCCCCCCATTGGGTTTGGCACGGCTCCCCCCTATCGCCTTGGCGTTTTGGGGGAGGAATTGCAACTCGCGTGTTCACAGACCCGTGCCTGAGACTGGCACTGCATGGGGGCGATGTGGGATGATTTGGGCAACGTTATTTTCTCTAGCGCAGGACGTGGTTTTTGATGGTGTTGCGCGGACCGTTGGTGTTTGAAAAAAAAAGGACGAGTACATAAGGGGGTGTGCGGTAGGACGCTGACATGAGATCCCGTTGCCTTTTTACTCTTCTGGTGTTGTTGTCGGTGACTTTTCTTTGTGCCATCATCAGAGTAGTCGCTTTTCAAATTCGTCATTCAAAATCACAATGCCGCAACTCAAGCCCTACAAGGGCGCGTACTTTCTCTGGGACTATGTGCCCTCGATGCCGGCGGCCATTGTCGCCGTCGTCCTGTTTGGGCTTCTCACATCCGGCGTCGTCTGGCGGAGCGTCAGCACACGAACACGCTTCGCCATTCCCTTTGCCCTCGGCGGCCTGTGTACGTTCTCGCCTCGCTGCGCGCGCACCACCCCCCAAAAGAACCTCGACGCTAACTTGTTCCCGTCCCCTTTTGCAGTCGAGGTCATTGGCTACGTCGCCCGCGCCGCCGCCCCCGACCGGACGGACAACCTGATCCTGTATATCCTGCAGAGCATCTTCATCCTCGTGGCGCCGGCGCTCTTCGCGGCGTCGGTCTACATGGTGCTCAGCCGGCTGGCGCGCGCCGTGCACGGCGAGCGGCACCTGGTGATCCGGCCGCGCTGGCTGACGCGCGTCTTTGTGCTCGGCGACGTCTTTTCCTTCCTGGTGCAGTCGGGCGGCGGCGGGCTGATGGCGTCGGAGAGCTTCTCCAAGAAGTCGGCGCAAAACATCATCCTGGTCGGGCTGCTGATCCAGATTGTGCTCTTTGGGCTGTTCGCCGTGACGGCGGCGCTCTTCCACGTGCGGATGCGGCGCTGGCCGTCGGCGGCGAGCACCGACGGGCGCGTGCCGTGGCAGCGCATCCTGGGCATGATGTACGCGGCGAGCGCGCTCATCATGGTGCGCTCCATCTTCCGCGTCGTCGAGTACGTCATGGGCAAGGACGGCTACCTGCTCACGCACGAGTGGACGCTGTACGTCTTTGACGCGCTGCTCATGGTCCTCGCCATGGCCGTCTTCGTGTGGTGGTACCCGGGCAGGCTGGTGGCGCCGCCGGCCGCGTGGGACGGCGTCGGGGGGGATGACGCCCGGGATGCGAACATGAGGCTCGTCGAGGGCGAGTATGCGTCGTCACGCATGTCGTCGCGGGGGCTTCAAAAGTAAATGAGGGTTTGTTTGGATGGGGGCGTTGAATTGATGACGGTTCATTGCCACGGCCGTTTGCACGTTTTTTTTTTTCTTTCTTTCGTTCCACAGTTATAGACCAGGCCATATTCGGGATATAGAATCGAAGCAGCAAAAGATGTAATTCCTAGTTGTCTTGTCAGGAGCTTTGCATTGCGCAAACGGGCATGTTCTTGGACGCGCCGCCGCACGTGCTGCGGAGTTTGTCTCGGGGCCTAAAACCGCGAGGCCATTAAGAACCAACCCTCGACTCAATCGGCCGGCTCGCCTTTGTGCGGGGGGGGATTGGCCCAGAAGAAGCCGTTGATCGGATTCGCATGCCTGCTGCAAGATAAACTACCGGCGCGCTAATCATGGGGGGGGGCGAAGCAGACTCGGGTTTCTGATGGACTCCGGCACAAGCGAGCGAGGCGGAGTTTCTGTTGGCGGAAATCGAAACATGACCCCAGAGAGACCGTTTTTTTATTAAAAAAAAAAGGAAAGAAAGGAATGCTATTGGTGCGCTGGAAATAAGCCGACTGACGCGGCCGACTCATGCTCAGCCTTTTTTTTTCCTTTTGCTGTTTATTTTTTCTTCCCTTGCAAACTTACTGCCCTCATCGACAAGGCCAGCCAGCCCTCCCTCGCATCCTTTTTGCCAGCTGGGCTACCGACTACTTGGGCTGCTCTAATCTCCACGAGACCTCTCTCATCGTCCCCCCTCTTCAACTCCATTGTCTCGTTCGCCCGATTTAGCGATTCCCATAACGTAGCGATCCACCCGCTCTCATCAGTGACAGCTTAACCGGCGCGGGGGTCAAGTTGGACGATGAACCAGTCACCAGCCAATCGTCTCCCTCGAAAGCCCTAGAGCCTCGTCCTCCGTCTCAATCACCCACCTACAACAAGACAATGCCTCACCAGAGCTCCGGTGCCGCCGCCGACGAGCACCCCGCGGCCGTCGTCGATCCCACCACCTCGTCCGCACCAGCACCACCACCGTTTGACGCTGCTGCCGCCGCCGCCGCCGCCGCCGCCAACAAGACGCGGCGCTCCCACCGCAAGTCCCGCAACGGATGCACCGAGTGCAAGCGGCGGCACATTCGCTGCGACGAGCACCGTCCGGTGTGCTCCAACTGCGTCAGCGCCGACCGCCGCGCCTGCGTCTTTCCGCGCGGCCCCAGCAGCAGCAGCAAGCCGCCTGATCCGACCAACAGCGGCGCCGGGACATCTTCACCCAGCACCAGTCCCGCCAACAACAACAACAACATCACGCCCCCCTCCCCGCGCCGCGATTTTCCCTTTGACCAAGTCTGCGGGCCCCTGCCTCACCCGGGCGGCGGCGGCGGCACCTTTCGCCGGAGCAACTACACCTATTATCCCAAAAACGGGAATGCCACCGCTGCCGTGCCGCCGCCCACACCACCAGGCCACCACACGGCCGGACTCGACGCCGACGCCTCCGTCTTCTCCCCGTTTCACCTGCAAATCATGCACCACCTACAGACCGTCATGATGCCGGACCCCACCATCAACACGAGCAACCACTTCCAGCAGTTTGTCGACATTGCCATGCGCCACGCCCTCGACGCCCCGTACCTGATCAACGAGCTGCTGGCCCTCGGCGCCGTCCACATGGCGACGCAAAAGGAGAATCAGCTGCTACAGCAGCAGCAGCAGCAGCAGCAGCAGAACCAACAAACTCTCGACAGCAACGGCAGCAGCGCCAGCCACGCCCCCGCCGTCCTACCTCCCCTCCTCCCACCCCACGGCTCGCCAGCGTCGACATCCTCTCCCTCATCCGCCTCGTCGTCCGCCTCGTCGTCGACGCTCCTCCCGTCCCTCAGCACGGCCACGGCGGCGGCCGCGCACCCGGTCGTCGCCAACCTCCGGCACCAGGCCACGGAGCTGCAGACGCGTGCCGTGGCCAACTTTACGCGTCTGACGGCGCACCTGCCGCCCGACGACACGGCGTCGTGCATCCCGCGGTTCCTCTTCTCGTCGACGCTGTCCATGCACGCGCTCGCCGACTCGCTCGCCGAGCTGCGCGCCGCCAACGCCGACTTTGACGGCTTCATCGACCGCTTCGTCGACTGCTTCAACCTCTACCGCGGCATCCGCGCCGTCATCTACCCCACCTGGCGCTTCCTCTCCGACTCGGAGCTCCGCCCCCTGCTGCAGGTCACGCGCGAGGCCAACCTCGGCATCGTCGCCCGCGGCCGCGAGTGCGAGCCCCTCCGCGCCCTGCTCGACCGCTCCGACGACCTCGCTCCCGCCAGCGTCGACGCATGCCGCGAGGCCGTCGAGAAGCTCCAGTGGGCCTTTGACCTCCACAACAACCTCCCCCGCGACAGCGGCCAGCACGCCGTCTCCGCCTTCTCCGTCATCCTCGGCGCCGACTACGTCGACGTCCTCCGCAAGCACCGCCCCGAGGCCCTCATCATCCTCTCCTACTTTGCCGTCCTCCTCCACCGCTGCAGACACTTTTGGATCTTTCAAAACTCAGGCGCCTGCATGATCAAGGCCATTGCCAACCACATTGGCTCCTACTGGCGCGACGCCATGGTCTGGCCCCTCCAAGTCATTGAAACCGAAGACTGCTAGACACCTTTGTTCAATCCCGGCGAGGCGCGCCCTCATCTTTATATATTTTGTTTAACTATACCATGTATCATTAGCTAGCCCTTTTACGAACATGCATTCACATACTTGCCACCCTCTTCGCACACATGCTGCCACTCATGAGTTGCATTTATTCTTTATAATTCGCAAGAGACATCTACATAACTCCAACTACTTTTTGCTTTAGTCCTTGGTTGTCCTAGTCATTCTCACGAACCCCTTCATCTGCGGCTACACCTCTTTTACAAAGAACAAACTTGAAAAGGTCCACTTCACGCATCCCCTCCATCTGAGAAAGGATACCTAAACGACGTCCTTTTTTTTTCGCCGGGTAAAATCTGCCGTGGAGACTAATCTAATCTTTTTTGCCCTTTGTCGCTATCATCACAACTAAAAAGGAAATTAGAGATAAAAAAAAGCACAAAAAAAAACTGCTAGCTACCGTGTGGCAAGGAAAAACAGTCATCATGTGGTCATATCGACCCTTGGTTTTGCGCCTCATAGGCCATAAAACTCCCAGCCATCTCCGCCTGTGTTCTCGTCAAGCTTGGCCGCTTGCTTCGGGGCATACTCGGACCGAAACTCTTCACCCAGTCACAACTCTTCGTCGTCTAGCTCCGACGGCTTCAGCAGACCGCCAACCTTTTGTCGTCTCTCCATGTCGGCAGCCTTGGCGTCACGTTCTTGCTGTTCCTTTTCCACAATGAAGAGCTCGGCATTGTCACCAGCAAACTCCTTGAGAGAAATGAGAAAGTCTCGCAGGTTCAGGCGGAACTTGTCGTACTGCGTGTTTAGGCTAAAAAGGCCCTCGACAAAGTTGGTAATCTGAGCACTGTACGACTGTTAGCATCATCTCCTGGCTAGAGGGTGTGTTGCACTTACGCTTGCAGGTTGGGGAATGCTCGCTGTAGGAGTTGGAAAACCGAGGTGCCCAAGAACTCTCTGTTGCTCGTTCCCGCTTGAGCCTGGCCCTCGGTGTAGATAGGGCCCTGAATCTTGGGCTGACTGCCATCGCCTGGTTGAATGTAGTAGAACAGCTTCATCAGCAACATAGACTGTGTCTTAAAGCCAGCCTTGTGGTCATTGTCGGTGACGACGAACAAAACATCCTGGAGAATCGTAACAAAGAAGCGCTGGAAGAAAGCATCCGCGGTGGCGGTATCTGTCTTTTCGGCGATGTTGGTGATGAGCTCTAGACACATGTTGAGACCGGCAGCCTCCACATCGCGGTTGTCGTGCTTGAATGCCCAGGAGCAAGAGTCAATCACAAACTTGAACTGGTTGTTGTCGAGCTTGAGCAGAGCAGGGAAGCAATGCAGGTTGATGGCACGGAGAAGGTTAAAGAATTCGACGCGGTGCTCAGGGAACTCGGAAAAGTCCTTGTTGATCATTTCCAGAGTGCACTCAAAGACGTTCTCCATGATGGTGGGGACCTGGTCCTCCATCAGGTTTGACAGCTTGGTAATGACAACAGACATGGCCTTGAGCACTTCGGCATCGCGAGCACCAGGGACATTGCGGTTGTAGTCGATCAGGACAGAGTCAAGCAGCGGGGGGATCATCTGGGTACGGACGGCTTGCAGGTCCTCGGCCTTGTCGATATACGTTTCGACGAGCTTGAGAATCTCCTTCTTGATAGTGCGCAGGCCGCGAACCTTAGGCATCTTGGTAGCTAGCTCTCCATCACGCTGGACAGATTCTGATATCAAGGTACTCGTGGCACGGTACATCTGGAGCATATCGTGGTAAATGCGGCCAATCTGCGGGTAAAAGTATGGTCCGATAGACGTGCATGCCGATACGTTCGTCTTCATGATGTTGCCGATGACTTTGATGGTCTCCGAGTCCTGGAGAATCGAGGGGTTCAAGGTAGCCTGCTTGATAATCTCGTCCCAGGCGGCGTTGGGAATGCTCATCAAGTCGGCAAGGAGACGCTCCTGCTGGTGTTGGTTACCTTGAGCCGCAACCATGTAGCCACAGGCCTCGTAGAACGTGTGCACTTGCTGGGGAGTCAAATCACAGGTGATGCGGCCCATGTTACGGACAATCTCTTCGATGAATGGCTCCTGTTCCATGGGCTGGAGAGCAACAAAGTGTCTTCTGCACTGTCGTGCAATCTTGATGAACGTATCACAGGCCATGTCCTGAACGCCCTCGTGAGATTCATGCATAAACTCAAACAACTTGTTAACAACCGTCTTGAGGAACTTCCAGTGCGCCTTGAGGAATCGAGGGTACTGGCCAACAATGTACATGATATTACTGGCGACAACAGCTTTGTTGTCTTTGCCTCGTTTCATCTCAGTCAGGCCAAGGAGGTCCTTAATGACGGTAACGAGGAACCGTTTCTCGGTCTCTTCATTCATGGCAAGCGAAATAGAGCCAATGGCCCAGCAAAGAACGTTGCAGTTGTGCCACGACCACTCGGTGCCGTCGACCTGATGCGCCAACTTGTCGGTCATAATGTTTTCGGTGTCAACCACGTCCAAGTGCGTAAGGTAGACGAGACATTCGCGAATTGTCTTGTATAGTTGAACAGTGTCACTTTCCTTGACGAACTCGCGAACGATTTCACCTTCGTCGTTTTCCACAATCAGGACCTCCTCCGGACGAACCATCTTTTCAATCATGACAACGCGCAGGTTCGACAGCACTTCGTTGTACTTGTGTTTGCGGAGAGGATAGCTTGTGAGCAGCGAGGGGTTGGGAGCGCCGCCGCCAGAAATGCCACCACCGACAGCAAGCAAAGGGTTCAGATCAGTGATGGGCAGCTGCTGCATTTCCTCGTAGAGCTCCTGGACAAGCTTCAGCCAGTAGTCGAGGCAGATTTTGAAAATTTCGCGATCGTCGATCTGTGATATTCTGACGAGGTAGTAGTGTCCATGCAACAGAAAATCGCGGTTGGGAAGGTTCTCAATGAGCTGCGACAATTAGCAAAACCAAGATTGTGGGCGCGGGGTGGGAAACGTACATTGAGATGGGCTCCAAAAAAGTTGCAGAGGAACAGAGCGAGGTTCTGTATAAATTGCTGATCACGCGAGTTGCTGCTAGGGTATGTGGACTTTAAATCGAGGTTCATGGGGATGATTTCGGCAATGGTTGTCAGGACTTCAGTGAACATCTTGACAAGCTGTTCGTCGTATGAGTTGGGTTGGCCAGGGCCACCAGTTTGTAGACCACCAATCTCAGTCAGGCACTGCAAGGTGACATTTCGGAATTCGGGTGTCGGCAGGAAGCGAGTTCGCAGGGTGTCGATGAGGGGCGTCTCGAAGATATAGCCGAGCGGAATCCAGTTGCAAAAGGCGAGCAACGTCTCGAGTGTAGCCATGATGAGGCTCGGCTGGTCGGCCGTGTTAAGAACTTCCTGGCAGAGCTGGAAAATCTGAGAAAACTCGGCGCACATGGTCTGCTTCATGCTTCTCGTCTTGGCCGAGGTCATCTGCTCGGCAGAGTAGTCAAAAACTTCCTCGGACAGCAGACGCAGAATAATCATGTTATTTTCGCAAATCGACAGGCTAGAGTGGCACGACGAGATGATTTCGTTGATAAACGTCGGCCAGTTGTGGGGCCATTCTTGCTTTAGGACGGAAACAAGAACGAGGTTGAGCTTGTTAAGGAGGGTCTTGTTGGATTGCAGAGACTCCTCGGTGTTGGAGGACTGGATGATGAACTGGACAATGAAGTTGCGGATGCCTAGCGGAGTTAGTAAACAAATCGTGTATCAAGACAAGAGCTGACGCAGCGACCTACCCTGGCACTGGTCGCGGGGCAAAACCTTCCATCGCGTCAGGATAACATTGTCAAGAACCTGGAGGCCGAGATCTATTTATTTTATTAGCAAAAGTTGTCGTGCGGGGTTGTAGAGGAACGCCGGATCAGAGTCAGGTGGACGCACATTTCGTCTGCGGGTACTGGGCGTCAGAGAGAATTTTGTCGACCATGAGCCAGGCATCGGGGTCTTCCTTGAACTGCAGAAGGGATCAAAGTCAGTATATGGTTCCCACAACGGGCGGTCCTGGTTGGCCCGTCGTGAGTACCGCAGACTTACCTGGTTCAAGGCATTCTGCGCGGCTTTTTGCTGTTGGTGGCGGGCGAGGTCAGTAACCAAGCAAACAGGAAGTGGACGAGTCGGGCGTATGCGACCACCACCAAAAAGGGCGGGGGAAAAGCAGCAGAGCAGGGAAAATACGTACCTGATCGCCGCGACCTTCGTAAAAGGCGCGGACGGTGGTGTCGAGCTCCTCAATGCTGATGGCCATGCTGGAAGGAGGCGGGCGAGAGCGGGGTGTTGTGTGTGGTGGGTGAAGGCGAAATCACGGCTTCAGACGCAGCAGCAAAAGCCGGCGACGGCACCAGCGCAGAGGGCGACGACAAGATGCAGTGTGGCGCGTCAAGGCTGGGGGCTTCACTTTGTCAGATTGAGTAGGAGCAGATGCAGGAAGCTGCGACTCGAGCGGGCGAGACAGCGAGTTTAGTTTAAAATTTCGGTGAGTGGAATGTAGTGATGATGGGAGATAGTTAGGCCCAAGAAGAAGAGAAGATAAAAGGCAGAGCTTGGGTGGATGGTGGATGGAGGAGGAGAGGTGCCTGGCAGCAGCGCGCGGTGAAGCAAAATCGCAGTGCAGTGGCTCTCTTCGCTGTAACAAAGTACTAGGTAAGTTTGAGGGGCCAGTGGGAGGGGAAGCGGGGTTGCAAAAAAGTGCTACAGCGCTGTTTACTTAGTAACCACCATGTTGGTACCCAGGTACCCGGGCAGGTACTGTGCTCAAGGTCTGTTTATTAGTACTTACCTATTACGTACCGAAGTAGGTAAGTAGCTGCTGTAAGTTGCTTACTTGCTATTGTTATGTCCCGATCAAAGCGTCTATTGGAAATGGTCTCTCTGTAATACCATATTTCATAATCAAGATACTGCACGATCCTCTCTCACACCGAACCTACCTACCCTAAGTTACGACCTACCTAACCTAACCGCCCTGTAATCCATTTTGTCAGCCACCGCGCCACGACAGTCACAAGTACAAGTACTTGACAGGCAAAAGGCGGGGCTCGTAGCCCGGCCACTAGCCACCGTTGCCACATCAATATGCTTCTTCCGCCACACTTTAGGCCCCCAACCACTCGCACCGCTGCAGGTACCGCTACTTGCATATTCACAACTCCGTCACTACTGCCCGCAAACCCCCCACCCTTGCAACACTTGCACGCCGTCATCTAATCTGCGCTCGCGAATCGCTCTCCTTGTTTCTTCTGAAACTTGTTTCCGATCCGCTGCAAGCTGTCACAAGATTGTCATCAATTTCCGCCGCCCAAGTGCCACGGTGCTCGAGCCGCACCAAGATCGAAATAACCAACTCTCCGCTGCCGCTGATAGTTTATCAGTAGTACATGAATAGCGCATTTCATCACCCTCCCGGGAGTAGCCCTATCTCATGATATCCATACTTTTCATTTGCTTGTTTAGATTTGATCTATCTGTATTATGCAGCCAGGTGGGAACCACATCTATCCCGAAGCACTCGCATCCAACTGTACACTTCATCTTGGCCACCTAAGCCTTGTAGCCGCACTCGTTAAGCGATTCCTTGAGGGCGTTGAGAGCCTTGTCAATATCGCCGCGGTTCGAGTTGACCTAGCGAGAGCCGGATTAGTATCGACAAATGATGGTCTTCAGTCTTATCATGCACATACAGCAGAGATACCCATGTGGCCGAAGCGGATATACTTGGCGCCAATGGTGGCGTGTAGGCCGGCGGCAAAGATGACACCCTTGCTCAGCAGCTTGGGTAGAACATCGGTAGCACCAACGCCCTCCGGTAGGTAAATAGCAGTCATGGCGTGGGACTGGTCCTCCTTCTTGCTGGCAACAGGCTTGAGGCCAAGATCGGCAATCGACTTCTTGACGTAGTTGGACACCTCGACGTGCTTGGCGATGCGATGGTCGATACCGTTGGTCAGGAGCTGCTTGAAAGCAGTGTTGAGGGCGTGGATGAGCTGAGGAGAGGGTGTCGAAAAGTAAGACGGCTTGCCGGCCTCGTAGTTCTTCATGACTGTGGTTGCCTCGTTAGTCAGCCATCCATGCACAGTGACGCTATACTCTGCTTACTAGGAGTCCAGTTCTTGATGTTGGCAAAGTAGGCGGCGGCGGGGATCTTGCGGTTATGGGCGACCTCGACGGCACGGCCGCTGAAGAAGGAAATGGACAGACCGGCGGGAGCGCCGATGGCCTTTTGACCGGCCGTGATGACGCCGTCCAGGCCCCAGTCATCAAAGGCGAGCTCCTCGCAGGCGACGCTGCAGACGCCGTCGGCAATGACGAGGGTGTCGGGGGAGACCTTCTTGACGGACTGGGTAAGGGTCTTGAGGTTGAACAGGACGCCGGTCGAGGTGTCGACATGGGTAGCAGTGACGAGCTTGAACTTCTTCTCGGAGAGGGCCTTTTCAATCTCGGCGGTCGAGGGGACGCCGCCGACAGGACCGTCGAGCTTGGTCACCTTGGCGCCATACTGGGTGAGGCAGTCGGCGAAGCGGTCGCCAAAGTAGCCTGAGCTGAGAACGAGAACATCCTCGCCGGCCTCGACGAGGTTGGCGGCGACGAGGTCCCAGCCGAGGGTACCAGAGCCGTTGATGATGAACGGTTGGGCGTTGGGGTCGGTCGAACGGACGACTTGGCGGAGGAGCGAGAGGGTCTCGCCAAAAATCTTGACGAAGCCAGCGCCGACGTGGCTCTCACTACATTTGAAAACAAAAAAAAAATGTCAGCGTTGTGGTTTTGGAGTTGGGCGCAGATCCCGTTCCAACCAATGGGCCACAGCGGGAGCATGGTTGGCGCGGGGCAGAAAACGGAAACAGTACCTGTAGTGGCTCATGGACTGGAGAACCGCATCGTCAAACTCGATGGGCCCCGGGATGAGGAGCGTAGGGTGGGGAGCCTGGGAAGACATATTGGAGTATTTGCGACTCTGTACGTGTATGGGAGAGAAAACAATGGACGTGGAAGAACGTAGAGGAGTGCTGGGGATTGAAGCTATTATTCTGGCGGCGCTGGAGGGGTAATAAGGACGGCAGGTGGATGTCCATGACGGGCTGCGGGGCATCTCTTCCACCACAACCGACCGGAGCGCTGGGGGGCTTCGGAGGAGGGAGAGCCGCGATGCCATGGCTCGTTGCGACGTGGTGAAGCAATGACGAGGGAGACTCGGCGAGCTGCAGTGCGGACAGCGGCGACAGTTATAGCGCTACAAGTCTCCCGTCTGGTCAATGGCGAGTCGCAAGATACCGATTGACGGCGAGGACAGCGGGCAAAACGGCAAAAGAAGGGGTTTAATTTAGGGGATTGGGGGATCAAGTCCGTCGATTCTACAGCGGCCGCAGCGAGATTCTACAGCGGCTTCACCAAGGTGCGGTACCGGGCCAACCACTGTAAATTGGCTTCTCCGGCATTTCCCGGCTGCTCGGCCCTCGCTGTGAGCAGCCAGCCGCCGCACTCCGCTGCCCAGACAAACTCCACATCAGCTTACAGCGGCCATTACGAAGGGTGCAGAGCTAGCGAGTGATGCCGCTCGACTAATTATGAATCATATTGTATTCTCGTTGTCTTTTCGTTGCCGGTCGCCAGCCATGGGCCAGTCATGTGTGGCCACATCGGTGGTCTCTTCAGAATGCTTTGCGCTCCAATCATATCATTGGCTTTTAAATCTGTTTTCTTGGGGAACAACGCAACAGCTCGAGTGTGTTGGCATTACTTGAGAGATGAATGCAGATGAAATAAAATACTGCCCAACACGGCACATTTGCACATCTATTTCCCAACATTCATGAGATAGTCGTGCAGCTTCGGATAATTAGGTGTGCCCAGGCCAGTAACAGGATCCCAACCCGGCGCCGCCTGGAAGCCCTGTTGGTGACAATCCCTAAAAGACCCTGGGTTGGATCCAACAGTAATGTCGTTGAAGAGCGCCTTTTGCTCATCATACGCCTTGTACAGAGCCGGATTGACAAAGCCCAGCGTGCTTCGCCCGGCGCGGAGGCGGTCTTCGTTGATGCGGCTGAAGATGCTGGCAATGATGGGCGCAGACATCGAGGTGCCTCCGTTGAGACTCTGCAGGCCGCTGTTCACCGAGAAGCCATTGTCACCGACAGCGGAAATATCCGGGTAGGCGCGACCTGACCTGTTGAAAAAGGCTGCTGGTAGCTTGGGATCATGTTGCGTCAAGTATCTGGCCAACTCGAGTTAGCAATATGGTCGAAACGCACGGCGTGTTGTCAATAACTCACGTCGAAACCGCCTTCTTCTGCCATGGCGGCGTGGCAAACAGGTTGCTGAAACCACCTCCAGAACCAAAGCTGACCGCGGCAATCTCAGAATCGTCGACGCCAGCCCCAGAAGGCAGAGTCGTAGCACCGACCGAGGTAATGTACGGGCAGGCGCTTGAGCCGTCTACCAGGAAATTCTCGCTCAGGCCGCACTCTGAGTTACCATTGCCATCCACTCCATGATCTCCAGAGGCAAACACGACCGTGGTACCCTGCAGCGCAAGCTTTCCCCATTCATTGCACATGCGCTACACGTTCGTTAGTCCTTCGTTGTCCGGCTATGCGGTGGATGACGAGCTGCTATGACAAAACATACCGTGTAAAGATCAGTTGTCTGCTTGTTGAAGTACACCGGCTCCGTAGAGCCCCAGGATACAGAAAACACACTCGGGACAGGGTACTGATTGCAATCGGTGCCGCTGCCTTGGTCATCATTGTCAGCGCAGTATGACCCGGTGAGAGCGTCCTGGAATTGCGCAAAAATGTAGTTGAAATCTCCTAAGCCGTACTTGGGGTACTGAATCTGATACAGCGCCGTCTGTTGCGGGTAGATGATGGGCACGGCCATTTGGAAGTCGAGATTGGATTCACCTCCCGCGTTGGCCCGTGTCTGGTCGACCGTTGCACCATTAATCAAATACTGGACCGGCTTGGGTGCTGTCGTAATGTTCTGGTCTGCAATGGAGATGAACTCGTTCAGATCAGCTTGGTTAAAGTAGTCGTTCTCCGTCTCAAATATGCCGAGCACATTATCCCGAACTGCAGGGCCGCTGTTGGCAGGAATCTTGTACATGGCTCGGATACAGGCAGGTGTGACAATCTTGTCGCACTTGTCCGTTGAGACTGTTCGCCAAAGTAGAGTCAGAATTACTGTATAGTGCGCTTCTTACTGTGTTACTCACCGGGGTCAACAAACCCGTGAAATGGCTTGGAAGATGGACGACCAAGTTCCTTTCCTTGCTGCTCAGTGCCATCATGGATCGAGGTATTCAGAGAAGGCAGCACAAACTCCACCACGGACGAAATGTGCGCCGGTAACTCGGGATCGGCGATCGTATCGCGTTTGGCGTTCTTGGGCACCGTGAGGTTCACCTGAAGTAAAGACTCGAGTACGGTGACGGTGCTTTCGAATCTGACCCACGCCTTATTCCGGGACAAGTTGATAGATCTAGCGGCGATCCCAGACCTGACAAGCCAGTCTTTCACAGAATTGATAGCCTGGTCATCCGGGGCAAAGAGTGCATCAACCTGTGCCTGATTGTAGTGTTGGCCGTACTTGGCGGAAGTGGGATCCGAGCTGTCGAGAGTCAGACCGACAGGATACATAGATACTGAGCTATCGCAGGCCACTCACACTTCTAGAACATATTTCATCATATTCTCGATGTTCCTTTGCTTCATCCCGATGAGAACCGGGACAGATAAATCGCCATGTACGGCAGGGCTAGCCGGTTGGCCATTGCCGTTTCCGCTGCTGCCGGCTGGTGCTGCGAACGCTCCCACCACGAGGGTGGTGACAAGAAGTATAGAAGACATCATTTTCAAAATCTTTTGGATAATCAAATCTCAAGCCAAGTAAAAGAGTGCAGGCAACGTTTGCTGTTGATAGTAGAGCAGTCGCAGGAAAGTCGATCTGAGAGGAGCAATGAAAGTATTTATACCCACTGAACAATCATTTCTATTGAACCGACGACGAGGAGAGCTTTCAACTCTCTGAACTAACATCGAATAATGTACATAGACTTCAAGCTTGCATTAGACAGAGATGCAATTCCACCAACTGCTATCATCTAGACGGCCTGAATAAGAAGGTCTATCGGCACTGGCCAAGGAAGAAAGTGCCGATACTGCCGAAATTTGAGCCTGCACCTTCCAATTCGGTAATTGCAGTGAGAGCTAGATTGATCTAGCCCGAGGCAAAGAACTTTCCCGATGGCAATAAACTCCACTTCACTTTGAACGGCCTCGTTAAGACGGCCCCCGGCGAGATTCAAGACAACGAACAGAGGTTACACACATCGCAAAAATAACCTCAAGAAAAGAAATAAACTGTCAAATTTCACGATGCCGATTCGAAAAGTACTCGACGAAAGCCCTCTTCTGAGTAGCCAAATTGGACGCAAGGCACGGCCATTCTAGGTAATTTCTCGACTTCTCGACGAGAAACATGCACGGCCGGAACTGTGAGAGAACACACAAAAGCCCCCAAACCCTGCATAATAAGAATATAATGACATCACACTCGTATTGAACAGCGCTGCCTGCGAGTAATATTCGCAATCAAGGTACGGTTAGTCCAAGATCGTTTCGATCGGAGGGCTGTGCCTGAACCACCCACAATCAAAAGTAGAAGGTAGTATTTTCCGATGCATATACGAGATCATACTCATGTACATATTATACTATTAATTACCCGCTCGTTCGGCTTTCGGTCATAGCGCCGCGGCCGTGTCATCGATGCTCCAGTTTCATGTATTGATCTGGCATTTCTTGATATTGCAGGAAACTGCAGCATAGCGTGCTCGATGGTTGCAAACTTCGTCCAGACATTATCTCATCTACCTGCACGTTGCAGCGCCAAAAGAGGAAAATATTGGCAAAATAATACACCTGAAAGTACAGTGAGTAGTTATGACCTTTGATACGCGCACGGCCTGGTAAGAACCTTGGTGAGCCATTACGCGTCGCTACTTCATCACCCGCAACATCAATTACCAGGGGGAGTGCTCCGCCACTCGGCATATGAGTAGTTTTGCACGGCTCGTATTACTATGTTTCGGTGCCTTTTGGGGCCCCAAATACTTCCCTGGTGCATTCTACCGATCGGGCAATTCACAGTCGATCGCACATCTTCCAGATACGCCAAGAAGATTGCCGATCTGGCTCAATACGAACCACGTTAACCGGCAAGCGAGAGCAGAAGGAATTATACAGAAGAGTGAGCCCTACAGGACTTATACTTCTACTGAGTAAGATGATCCAACAATTGGACGGGTGAGTACGGCAATAAACATCCGCCTTTTGAGCTGAAAGCCGCAGGACTACGCCTCCAACGACAGCGTCCAATATGTGTTTATGTTCCCCTATACAATAGCAGCAGATATTCGATTCGCTACGATGGCGTCATTCTTCCTTCCACGTTTCCCCGCTAGGCTTCACCTCCGGTTCTCTTACAGCTCCGAATACTGACCTATATGAAAGCTATTAAGCTGAAATTACTTGCATTCGACGCCATGTCTTGAACCCGAGCTATCGTTCTCCCCGAGTCACCAAAACATGACGGAGGCGCCGAGTTTACTCTCGCAGGGGGACCCAAGTTGCAGAATCGAAGAGTTCTTTCCAACAATGCCAATAATCCTTGCTGCTGTATTTTTTTCAGTTCCTCTTTAACTGACTTATTCCCTCGACTCGACCGAGGCGCTGTCTACTGCCCAGCCATTCCACAGCAGACTTTTTTTTCATACTCTTTGCTGCCCAATCGTCAGTCTTGCTCAGCCCTACATGAGACACGCCATCTTGCGACTGCTGCATAGTTCCGACGACCCAACCTTGATTCGGCTATTCTCACCAACCCACGCCCACGCTTCAACAAGCCACTCATACCAAACGCGTGTATCATCCGTCTGTCGCCACATGCTGACCTCCAGCTCCGTGTCCGCAGGAAAGTACAGAGGTTGCTGCAAACTCAAAGTTAGCCTGAAAACGCATTGGAAAGAAGAAAAACAGTCATCACTTACATTGAGAGGGAAGAAGATGGGGAACCACGAAATCATGTCCTTGCTCTTAGCATCAATGCGCTCTGGATGCGTGCTAATTTCGACCTTTTCTCCGAGCGTCTCCTTTACTTGTGATTCGTACAAGGTAGACTCAAAATAGCCAGCAAGGCCGTGAGTAACACCGCGAGCCTGGCAGACAAACGTGAGGTGACAGAAGCGTGAATTGTGGTCGTTGGCACCGGCGGCGCCCGCCATGCTGCCGCCGCCACCGCCAACAACGCCGCCTGACCGCCGCGCTTCGACTCCCTGCAGCGTAGAGTTGGGAATGGGGTGGGAGAATTGCCACGCTTGCTGGATGCGCGGGTGATCCGGCACGCGGTGCGCATTGTAATCGAGCGAGAACAAGTGCACAACCCAGGGCGTCGCAAACGCATTCGAGTCAGTAGCAGAGCGCGCGAGGATGTCAGCATGCAGCTTAGGGGAAGCGATTGGTGTAAAGTGCGCCGTGTACGAGCTTGGGATGGAGATGCCCTGCGGGGCCATGACATGTTGGATGCCGTCCAAACACTCCGGGGATAGCTCGTTGTCGCCAAAGGAGCCCAAAAGCTCGGAGATTAGAATGTCCACCTTGCCGTAGACCGGGCCTTCTGCAGACTCGGAAATAACGGGACCTTTCCAGTGCCTCATGTCCGTCTTCACCACCTTGACACGCCCGCCCCAGACGCTCTGGTTCTGGCGTAGCAAGTAGACGTAGGCATTCGGGTTCTTCTCAACAGCCCAAACTTCCACCTCCACGTTGGCGTAGTCAGCAGCCTTGAGTGCGCGAGTGACAAGAGGTCCGCGGCCTGAGCCCGCCACGGCAATGACAACGACATCCTCCTTCGAGGTTGGCTTCTTGAGTGTCTTCCACTCGATCAGCGCCTCCATGGTAGCTGCTTCATATTGGTTATATTTGACGGGGTCACCTTCAAAAACCTCATACGTGGCAGATTCAAGATTATCGGAGAGCGGCTGCAGGGGCGATTGGAGCCAATCTTGGAAGTTCGTAAGCATGGATGACTCGAATATTGTCGGTGTTTGTTGCCCCGACTCCAGCCATCGCATGTACTCGAAGAACGGGGATGCCTTGTCGTCCTTTTCAGACGCAGACTCTTTCTCGGGAAATGGCTCTGAGAGTGACGGGAAGCCGTCTTCGGAAAGTGCACTATGCGGATAGCGTTTTATATGAGAAACGTCAGGTCCCGTATTCCGCATCAGGAGTCCTGGTGCAGCCTTGAGTTTCATGTAAGAATACACCATGGCCTGATGATGTTTAGAAAGCGTCGGGTTGCCTGTTTGATTCGTTTGGAAAACATCAGTTGTAAAAGTGAGATACATGAGAGGTTCCGAGAACCAGCGATTCTGCAGTACCATTTCCGGCATCACCTTTGGAATTTTCAAGGCTATGGACTGTTAGTCAGGAAACGACAATACAGGACAATGGATTGACTTGCCGACGAAAAGCCTCAAGTTATAGCTGCAAGCACTTCGAATACCGTGCCACGAGTCCCATGCGGTGAAGATATCGATTCCTTTTGCGGCCGGTGAGGCTTCTGACACAGGGTTGAGGCGGGACAAAGTGTCAACGCCGCCGTCGATACCTGGCTCGCGGTACATGGGCATTTGCACGGCAAAGCTCATGTTGGCTCCGATAGTCAGTGCTTCCTGAATCGCGCGAGAATACTGCGCTAGGCCAGAATTACCAGCACCTCGTGACGCATCCCGTTCCGGTGGGGGGATCATGACGACGCGAAGTCCGCAGAAGCTTGCATAATTAATCTCGAGGTTCAAGACCTGTCGCGAGACGCTTGCTATGATTGGATTTGGCGATGCTAGATCAATCCAAGAGCTAATGCAGCCAGTGTAGGTATTCACAACTTGAGACGGAAACAAGCTGGTGTCCTCCGGGGTCAGCGGCGGGATGATTGGGTCGGCCTGGGCGGCCGTGGCAACAGTAGTTCCCTCGGACTTGGACTTGACCAACAATTCCAGGTGGTCTTTGACGAGCTTGAATATTCGTTTCTTGAAGCTCTGGTTTGTAATAGGCGCAACTGCAAAGTTGAACTGCTCACTGTCAGTTGCACTCATGTAAGCTGGGTAAGAGCAAACTGACTCCCTGGTTCAAAAGGTATCCATATTGAAGGTCGCTGAGAGGCGTATCTCTGGTACTATCATGGTACCCAAAGTTGAAAAAACTGCGGTCATAGTCCGTCGTAGACATCTTGATACTGCCAACAGAACTCTCAAAGGCGGCAAAGCGCGGGTGGAGGCAGAATATTCCGCAGCCCTACTCTCAAAGCCACAACCAGACAAATACTTGCGATGTTGACACTGGAGCTGGAAATCAGGCATCCAGGCCTCTGGTAGAAGCAATAACGCGCTGGCAAAGTCGTTTCGAAAGCCGAGGAGCACCGTTCCAACCAGCCATATTTTCAGTCATTGTGACCTAATTAGGTGGGATGAAATGGGGCCTCGCACAGTGTGCGACAACGACGGAGCTCTCGCGGACCGATGTTGTGATTATCGATACCTAGACCAGCATGGCCACTTTATTACCCTAAGATGCCAATTTTTTCCTACCAGAAGGGATTGTCTATGCACTATGCTGATAGAACCAAAGTTGGCTGGGGCGGGACATTTTCAAGATAATTTACGGCTTTTCTGTACTACCATGGGCGATTTCACACAGTGCAAACAGCTTCACCATATGCACTGCTGCTTGCTTATCGATAAAGATTTTCCTGGTCCCTGCCCAAAATTTTCAGAATCAACCAAACCGATCCAGCCAACGAGTCACTGCCGACTGTTTCTCTAATTGCCCGACATAATCTGTACGCCCTTTGTAATTTTGCAAGGCAAAATCATGCCCGATAGTACCGGCGACAAGAGAAGCAGTGCCGATCTCGACGGCGCTTCTCGGAAGAAGATGAAGAAGGAGGAGAAGCAGAACCCGTACCTCGCCCACATGTACGAGAATGGGGATGACGAAGACTACGAAAACGGCGCGGAAGAGATGCCGGCACACTCGCCTCTGGCGGGCATGAAGCGCCGTGCGACGACGGCGAAGCAGGCTGCCGCGGCCGAAGATTTGGCCTCGAATCCCTTCACAGGGCGCCCCCACACACAGAAGTACTTTCAGATTCTGCAAGGTCGTCGAGACCTGCCTGTCCACAAGCAACGGTATGGCCATTTCCCACATGTGTACGCTGATTACATTCTAACCGGATCTTCTGCAGGCAAGAATTCCTCGACAAGTACCACTCGAGCCAGATCCTCGTCTTCGTCGGTGAGACGGGTTCCGGAAAGACGACCCAGATCCCGCAATACGTCGTCTTCGATGAGCTCCCCCAGCTCAACCGTAAGCTCATCGCCTGCACGCAGCCCCGCCGAGTCGCCGCGACTTCGGTGGCCCAGCGTGTCGCTGACGAGATGGACGTGACGCTCGGCGAGGAGGTGGGTTACAGTGTCCGTTTCGATGACATGTCGGGTCCCAAGACGGTCCTCAAGTATATGACGGACGGTATGCTGCTACGCGAGGCGATGCACGACCACGACATGTCGCGCTACAGTTGCATCATCCTCGACGAGGCGCACGAGAGGACGCTCGCGACCGACATCCTCATGGCGCTACTCAAGCAGATTGCCGCGCGCCGCCCGGACCTCAAAATCATCGTCATGTCGGCCACGCTGGACGCGCAAAAGTTTCAACGCTACTTCAACGATGCACCGCTGCTCGCGGTCCCCGGCCGCACGTATCCCGTCGAAATCTTTTACACGCCCGAGCCCGAAAAGGACTACGTCGAGGCCGCCATCCGCACCGTCCTGCAGATCCACGCCTCGGAGCCCGAGGGCGACATCCTGCTGTTCCTCACGGGCGAGGACGAAATCGAAGACTCCTGTCGCAAGATTGCCCTCGAGGCCGATGAGCTCATACGCGAAGTTGACGCCGGCCCGCTCGCCGTCTACCCGCTCTACGGCACGCTGCCACCGCATCAGCAGCAAAAAATCTTTGACAAGCCGCCGCCGCCGCTCCGCAAGGGCGGGCGCCCCGGCCGCAAGATCATCATCTCGACCAACATTGCCGAGACGTCGCTGACGATTGACGGCATCGTCTACGTCGTGGACCCGGGCTTCAGCAAGCAAAAGATTTACAACCCGCGCATCCGAGTCGAGTCATTGCTCGTGTCACCCATCTCCAAGGCGTCAGCACAGCAGCGCGCCGGTCGTGCGGGCCGTACCAAGCCCGGCAAATGCTTCCGGCTGTACACGGAAGTTGCATTCAAGAAGGAGCTCATTGCGCAGACGCACCCAGAGATCCTGCGATCCAATCTCGCCAACACGGTGCTGGAGCTCAAAAAGCTGGGCGTCGAGGACCTGGTGCACTTTGACCTGATGGACCCGCCGGCACCGGAGACCATGATGCGCGCGCTCGAAGAGCTCAACTACCTAGCGTGCCTCGACGACGACGGTGAGCTGACGGCACTGGGCTCGCTCGCGTCCGAATTTCCGCTCGACCCGTCGCTCGCCGTGATGCTCATCTCGTCGCCGGAATTCTACTGCTCCAACGAGATTCTCAGCCTGACGTCGCTGCTCTCGGTGCCGCAGGTGTTTGTGCGGCCGGCCAACAACCGCAAGCGCGCCGACGAGATGAAGGCGCACTTTAGCCACCCCGACGGCGACCACCTGACCATGCTCAACGTGTACCACGCCTTCAAGGGCCAGATGGCGTCGGACCCGGGCGCGGTCAAGCAGTGGTGCCACGAGCACTTTCTCTCGCACCGGCACCTCGGCAGCGCCGACAGCGTGCGCGCGCAGCTCAAGCGCATCATGGAGGTACAGGGCCTGCCGCTCGTGTCGACGCCGTTTGAGGACAAGAACTACTACACCAACATTCGCCGCTCGCTGCTCTCGGGGTTCTTCATGCAGGTCGCCATGAAGGAGAGCTCGGGCAAGATTTACCGGACCGTCAAGGACGACCAGGCCGTGCTGATCCACCCGTCGACGGTGCTGCGGACCGAGTTTGACTGGGTCGTGTACCACGAGTTTGTCCTGACGTCGAAGCAATATATCCGCACCTGCACGGGTATCCGCCCGGAGTGGTTATTGGTAAGCTATTCCCGTTGTTGATTTGCTCCTTGTTTTCTTATCTTTCCTCTTGCCACACTCCCCTCGTTCGCGCCCTTGATGCAAGGTTAGGGCATCATGTACTAACCGGGATCAACTCTGCAGGATATCGCGCCGACGTACTACGACCCCGAAACCGTGGAACAGCCAGACATCAAGCGGGCTCTGATCAGGGCGGCGGAGAAGAAGCGCAGAAAGGCGGCCATGAAAGCCGCCAAGTGATGACGGTTCGTTGGCAAATATGCAGCCTGCCATGCAACCAGCAGAGGGATGCGGCTGCAGTACGCCCACACGCTGTCGAAGCTGGTTGGTTGCTGCCGACTGACCTGGCGCAACGCCATGGCTTTTTTTTTTTGCTGTGTATCAGTTACCTTGCGCGTTCACTCGGTTGGTGCTGGATCGTGGGTGCTGTCTGGCTGGCTTCAGTAATGTCTCAAATGATGGAGGAGAAATGCGGCGCCATGGGAGCAAGGTTTTCGTATCAGATGCGCCTGAAGCATCTTTGTTGGTCTTTTTTTTATACGTTTTCTTTTGGAGGATTGGGCTGTTTGCTTTCACAGTTCACTTAGAATATAGAGGCGGCTAGACCTGCAAGGCGCCCGGCGCCATACAAGCCGAGTATATTATGTATGCCAAGACCGCGTGTTCGTGCATGGACAGATGGGCAACAACCAGCCAATGTGCGGGGGGGACGAGGCAGCATGAACGTGGTAGGATTGCTTCGGAAGCGAAGCCTGCTGCTGAGTTGTCCCCCCCCCCCTTCCTTCCCAAGGATGTTGATCACACACAGTCAAGGGTTGTAAGTCGCGTCGGCTGTTGCTTCTTTGTGGCTTTTTGTGATGCGGAAAAGTCATTGGTTTTCTTGTTTTTTTTTTTTTGCTTTTCGGACGATGCCGATGGGCTTGGGTAAAAAAAAGGTAAGACCTTTGGCGACAACAGGCTTTCTTGCATGGACAGGGGCGGTTGTCTATCGGACGCGGAAGATGCCCCGACGGCTTCCTATAGGCTCGCCGGGTAAAAATTGATACTTTTCATCTCACTTTTCTTACTCGGAAGGGGGGGGGGGGGGTTGTTGGTCCTCGGGCTCTGCTACCCGGGTCTTGCGGGTGTGACCAGTGTCCGTCCTCTCATTCACGGTCTCGGGGGGCTCCGGCTAGTTGGTTGCAGTGCATTACGCGAGACGACCAACCCGACAAGATGCCGGGGTGTTTTGCCGGGTGGTCCTACCTTTTCTTCTTCTTTTTTTTCTTACTATTTTTAAGGGCCCTTGACCTGATATGAATCACCAATCGTGCGCGCCGACTCCGAGAGCGAGCGCGCTGCGACTTGATCGCACGTATCACAACCATTTGGGCTGTTATACGTCGTACTGCATGGAGAAGAGATACAAGCCAGGGGTTTGTGGGATGCTGTAACATGCCTATTATTAGGAGCGCACCACCACATGGTTCTCGATGCAACCTTGGGCCGGCGGCCCGTAAACGACTGATCAAGTCCCCC